TTGCGGGATGAACCTATTGTTAGATCATTGCGGGATGAACCTATTGTTAGATCATTGCGGGATGAATCTATCAATAGATCATAACCTTGGTCATTATCCCTCTTATAATATATTTCCGACAAGATTATATTATGTTAAACAGAGGTGCTGTTGTTAAACTGCTCATCTTTTGTGCATAGTAACGTTGGACTATGTAGCTCCTGTTAAACAGAGTTGCTGTTGTTAAACTGCTCATCTTTTGTGCATAGTAACGTTGGACTATGTAGCTCCAATAAACCCAATGTAGGGGGAACGAATACTACATTATGCAGTATATATCATGTGTTATTATATATACGACAGTGCAGCACACTCTAAATTCTACTTATATTAACTACCTTCTCCTTCAGATAGATTAAGCTAATGTTAGCCTTTTTAGTGCTGCCGCTATTTTCAACATATTATTCAAAATTATCGCTCTATAATCATTTTCTAAGAAATATCACCAAAAATCGATATTTTTACACATATAAGACATAATTAATAAATGACACCAAATAAATTATTTGGGCGTGTGGCGTAGTTGGTAGCGCGCTCCCTTAGCATGGGAGAGGTCTTGGGTTCGATTCCCAACTCGTCCATTTATTTTTTGGATTTTTGAAGCGTCTTCGTCTGAAATGATGTATTTGGTTAGTATACTTGTGCTAACTCTCGAGATTATTGATTATAGACATTCTTGGACACCCTCTATAAAGGATTTATAAAGTTAAGTATAATTCCTAGACTTTATCAAGTCAGATTGGTATCTCGCTTTAGTTTTTTGATGATCGTTCAGTGGTTCTTATTACATATAAACACAAGCAATATAAAAATGTTGAAATTTATTAGAGTGCTTCCAATGAATCTAATCAGAATTCAGTTATCAATGTTTAGCTAATATAATACGGGTATATATGTATTTTTTTTTAAATACTCTGGTACTTGTATATTATACTTAAAAACTGTTCAATTCGTTCGACTCATACCTCACAGCTTGTGATACATAATTCAAATCCTAATCCTAACTAGCTATTACTAGTTTGAGATAACAACAGATTTATTAGACGATTCCAAAATATGTCAGTTGTCGTCAATAGTTCAACCTCTACACAGTAGCTTCCGACAATACAGCTGTAGCATCCTAATGGCATCTTGATATTTCTCGATTAATTGGTTGAAATAGTTCAGGTAATCAAATATTCAAGGAATTCAACCTGTTACTTAGGTATGAATCCTTCTTATCATCAGTATCCTGTTGTTTTTCTAACTCCTGCGCAAAATTAGCATTGAGTGGCTGTTTCTCACTCTGATATATATTGCTATTTTCACCATTCTCTGAAACAGGATTCTGTTTATAGTTATCGAAATCCCAATGCCCGTTGTTTAGGTAAGACGAGAAATCATTATTTTGAGTAAATGTATTATCATACGCGTTTGACATTGTTGGTCCACCAAATGACATCAAACTTTGAGTGTCAAAATTATCACCAGATGGGAACTCTTGCATATCTTGAATCATACCCATATTGAATTGGAAATCAGCTCCATTATATGATTGCTTTTTCCTTGGTTGATGTTTGGTTAATTGAACAGTACATATCTGTAAGTTATCTAATGTCCCTTCAACCAGACAACCCTTTTCTCTAAAATGTATCAATAGATGGTTCCATAATAGATTTTTGGATAACGAACGTGGGTTACCTAAGATCACTAAACCATATTTGGCTCTTGTTAAACCAACATTCAAACGACGTGGATCACGTAGAAACCCAATAGCTTGTTGTTCATTGGCACGGACACAAGATAAGATGATATAATCCTTTTCACGACCTTGGAAAGCATCCACAGACGCGACTTCTACTTGGATGTATAATTCCTTGTCTAGTGCACCATTCATTTGCATGTATTTCAAAATGTAAGCCCTTTGACCTTCATATGGGGTGATTATACCAATTTGTTCTGGTTTGACACCATCTCTAAACAATCTCGTAATTATTCTTTCACAATTCATAGCTTCAATTCTATTTAAATAAGATGTACCATTAGCTGAAATTTCTTCTCTACCATAATTAGCCCAAAACATCATTGGTACAGAACGAATTGGCCATGGGAATGTACTATTTGAAACGGTTCTTTCCTCCACAGTGACACCATTCTGTAGACTACCTTCATAAAACATATTACTAGGGAATTCACTCAGATTTGGATTCATACGGTATTGTACTTCTAATCTGATTGGAACATGACCTAAAGAGATTAATCTTTCAAACAAGGATTGTTTTAAACCAGCATCTGCAGCTTTCCGTTCTAGGATGACTGGTCCCAGTTGTTGGTGATCACCCACTAGGATGACTTGTTTGGCACCTTTCACAATTGGAATCAAACATTCAGGTTCAGATGCTTGAGTACTTTCATCGATCAATACAGTTCTAAACTTTGTATCCAATCTCTTATCACCAGCACCAACACATGTACAACAGACGACATCTGCCTTTGACAGAATTTCGGATTCAGTCTTTCTTACTAATTTAACAAATCTTCTTGTATCTGATGCTGACAATTCACCAACTTCATCCTTTAATTTCAATAATTTTTTCAATTCACCTTGAGCACTTCTTGCAACAATATTATGTAATGCCAAAGTAGACACTGAACTCTCTACATCTTCTCTACTCTTGGCTGTTAATCTAACAACTTTCAAACCCAAGTTTCTCAATTTGGCTGCCAAATGATCCACGGCAACATTTGATGGTGCACAAACAAGAATTCTATCCTTGTGGATCTTGGATAGATGGTAGACAATACTTGCTGAAGTCACCGTCTTACCCGTACCTGGAGGACCTTGAATTAATGACAATGGCTTTTGAAGAACACTTTTCACTGCATTAGATTGTGAAGCATTCAATTTTGTGAAGTGAGGAATCGACATATCTTTTGGTAAAGGAACGTCAAATGAGATATCCACTACATCATGACCTAGAATCTTATAATACAAATAACCCGAGATGGATTTTTTATCCACAGCGAATTTTTTCAAAGTATCTTGCATTCTATCATATGACGTACCTTTCCAAATAAATTCTGCGGTGAAACCTGTAGTCAATTGAGTTGGAGGTGGAGTCTTACTTGGTTTCAACTCCAATGTGAAAGTATCCTGATAACTGTTTGGTAATCTAACAATATAACCACGGCCTTCCCAATCTGGATGTTGTAAGCCTGAATACCATAGGATCATCTCATCACCTACTGCGACTTTCAACTCATTTGATTCAAATGTAGACAGAGAGAATGAAGCCAAATGTCTATTGTTTAATGCAAGGGACCAAGACACGGAGATGTGTTCCAAAGCCTGCGATTCCTTCAATTGTTTATCATAATCTGCTTCTAATTTAATCAAGGGCCCGTAGGATCTCTGATATTCATAAGCATCCTCATATCTTAACAACAATGGCGGAATATCATCCTGTTCCTCGGGGGCGTCGATATCATTAATTGTTGCGTCTTTGTTTGATCTCCATTTCGCTTCCAATTTTGAGATTTGACTTGGTGTAATCAATTTAGCATTCAGTTTCTCCTCATTCGACGGTTCTTCAGCGACCCATGATAAAAACTGTCTCTCTTCAATCAACGGTTGCCATTGATCGGTATCCCAATTTGCATTTTTCGTTTGAGCACAAGGTGTTCTACATAATAGCACCACGACGGCTTCACTCTTTGCCGAGACAAATCCTAACAGGAAGACGTTTTTCCTACCACAATTGTAACATTCCAACACGGTGTCTCCCAAGTCCGAGTCTGGATGCAACGAGACCACGTTGTGATGAGCCAAAACCAGATGATTCACAATATGCGAACTATTAGCGCCATTCTTTGCATTACAGAACCATTTATTACATTGGTTGCATTTCACGACGCAAGTCGGGGAGTCGATTCCACAGTATGCACATGTACATTCACTACCGGTGTCCTCCTCTTCTTCTTCATGCCCGTGATGATGAGCGTCGATAGTGGTTTGTTGTTCATCGAGGGCCTCTAAATCGATGTCTTCAACGACAGTCATTCTGCTACTGTTATTATTATTATTATTAATATCATTACTTATGGAAGCAGTTTCATTTTCACTAGTGGTCCTAATGGCATCGTTACCATTGGACGTCATCTGAAGCTGATAATAATCGTTACTCCTTTCTCTCTCTGTCAGTGTATACAATGTGTAAACGTCCATTATGTAAGAGAGAGAGAGCATCTTAAAATTTCAAATAGTTCGATGGTGAAAAGAATACGACAAAAAAACTTTCAACGGTTAAGGGCCATCCGTACACCGCGCAGCGAATAAATGAAACTATTAAGATTATATTACATATACTATGTAAACGTATACTATGAAGCAAACGAGTTTGCCAAGGAGGTTTTAACAGCGGACGGTCTTCTTTCCAAAGTTGCTGGGGATCCCTGCAACTGTTCGCTTGTTGAGTTATGCCTTGATGCGTGGTAGCTGTGATCCTTCTGTCTTGTTGGAGAAACAGTGAACGATGAACAAGAGGTTGTATCTCTCGCACTAAAACAATCTTTACTATCGAACACTGAGCTCTCTGTAGCCGTCGTCGTCGTCGTCGTACTATTACTATTATTATTTATATCATCCGTAGACAATTCATCCAATTGCGACGAAACATATTTTTCCAAACCGTACACATGGGTCGGGATAGCATTGCAAGAGGACGACGACACATCATCTGCATGTCCACCACCACCACTACCACTACTATTCACCGACAACAAAGCTTGTTCCGATCCGTTATTCTGTATGATGAACGAGGGTCGTCTTGTTGCCTGTTGCACAAACAGCGAGCTGTTTGTCCTGTTTGGGGGAGCACAGCAGTACGGTCTTGAATAAGTGCGCGAGCGCCTCAACGACATTTCGTCGCTGTCGTCTCTGGTATTAGAAACACTGCTGTTGTCAAAGTGGTGATGCTGACAGAAATGTGGAGCTGTCTGCACTTTACGCAGTTGATGATGTGGTGGTGCCTTCGGCACCACCACCACCACCGATTCTAGATGTTCTTCTTCTTCCAGTAATGGATCGTTGTCGTCGTTCATCGTGTATATATTATCATCTGCATCGTCTACATCGGTGGAACACGGGTCCTGCACGGCTCGTTCAAAAATATCAGACATTATGTAGAATACAATACTATTACTTTGCTTATACATAAGTCGGCGGGTTGCGGTGGGTGTGTCTAGCAGACTAGAATTGCCAATCAAGCACGACTATATATATAGTGTTACCTGGCAGCCTGCCCGCCCTGCCAGTGTGCCCATCACCGTACTGTATTGCGAACCTCACAGGGGCAGGCCCAATGCGTTATATAAGAAACAGCTTGTAGTGCCATGATTATATCAGAAAGACGACTGATTAACTAACCGTCGCAGCCCTTCCTCTGCGGTGCGGTGCTGTGCGGTGTCGGCACTAATCGTTTCTGGGCAGTTGCGGGAGAACACGCCGCAGCAGCAGCGGGATCGACATTGTCCACCGCCCAAAGGGGGAGGGGGCCAGGGGGCTGCGTGCTGCGTGCTGTGGTGTGTGGGTGGCCTGCAGACACCGAGGGACGGCTGCTCTGTCTGCCCCGGCGAAAAGGCGGCAGGCGGAAGGAACAGAGGCCGGCTGGTATGTTCCGGTGCGCCCTCCGTGTGAGCCCTATGCGCAAACCCTAGGGTAATGCTGGGCTAGTGGCAGGGCTCAACACCCACACACCCTGAGTGGCGAACAGGAAAACGCTAACGAGGCGAGACGGGCAACGCGAGATGTTGGGTTTTGGTTTTCGTTGCCCTGGGGACGAGAGAAATATTTTCCATTCGATTACACATCCCAATGATCGTTAGATCGTGACAGGTCGTTACATAATAACGGCTGCCACTGCACAGGAAAGAATAGACTATACATATAGACTTATAGATACACACACACAATACCTCTTGGAGATTGCGGGCACAGGATGAAGGAGGAGCGTGTTTTGTTTTCAGAGACACTGGCTCTGCAGGATATCGATTCACAACTGTCTCTGCTGCTGGAACCACAACAGGCATCCAACGGCATCATAGCAAATGCTAATGACGATGAGGAGGAACGGGCAAGGAAGAAAGCTCAGAATAGAGCTGCTCAAAAAGCGTTCAGAGAACGAAAAATGGCAAGAATGAAGGATCTGCAGGATAGATTATCACAGAGTGAGTTCGAAAAATTCACTCTGTTACAAGAAATTGATCAATTGAAATTATTAAATATAGAAATACATACGGAGAATCAATTTCTCCGAAAGCAATCATCGAATAAGAACATATCGCAGGTCCCTCAGGGCTTGTCGCCTCCTACCAGCTTGTCGGACGAGAACGGTGCACAGTTCAATTCAACATCGTTCTCATTCCCAACAAAGGACACTTTTTTCAAGTCCCTCATGATCGATCAGTTTGGGGAAGAGTTTATTCAGCAGAGGCATTCCGACGACAATCAATACTCCGGTGTGCAGTTATTGTCTGTCCCGGCAACTTGGGAATATTTACAGAAGATTATTCAGAATAATCACGATATTGAATTCGATATGATTATGGTAATGAATAATTTGAAGAAAAATCATATTTGTGCAGAAGAAGGTCCCTCATACCCAATATACTTAATTAATCAAATGATCGTAAAAGCTATCGAAGCATCATCCTCCTCATCACCAACTATGTAAAAACTTTTTTTCTTCTTTCTTTTTTTTCTATAAAACATATATATATGTATATATTTAATGCAAAGTATCATTATCACTGTCTTCTTTGTTGTTACTATCATCGTCCTTCTTCTTACTATCCTCCTTTTCGATATTATATTTCCTTAACATGGAAATATCATTCGAATTTAAATATGGGCCCCCCGCAACGTTTTGGGCACCTAATGCAGCACGGGTGGTTATACCCGCTTGGGACATCTTCTTATACCAATCATTAACATTTCTTTCATTGGCCCCACTTCTAGTCATCTGCGAAGATAACGTGCCGAATAGATTATGGGTAGTAGTTGCACTCCGTCTGGAGTCCGCCATTGGTGTTACTATCGACGAAGTCGAAGGGCGACTTCTTCTCTTTCTTTGCCTACCACGACTTTGTTTCCTTGCAATGCCAATATTATTATGGCTGTTACTACTATCATTCGACTGGCCATAGAAGTCTGGTTGACTCACGTTATTATGAGGGAACGTATCCTGTACAGTCCGTGGCAACGTTCCCACATCCCCATCGTCATCGTCATCATCCCCATCGACTTTACGTACCCCTGTACGTATTCTCGTCACGACTTTCTCTAATCTGGAACCCAGCTTCTCCTTAGGAACACTATACTTGTTGTCCCTGTTGTCCAAATATGCGTTCTCTTCCTCGACTTCCGCCGTCTTCACACGTCTCAACAACTCGGAATCGTCTTCATGCATGTTGAACCCATTGTCCGCCACGGAATGGGTCTTGATCTGTTGCAACAAGTCCAACGGATAATTGGAATTCTCGATGGTTCTCTCCTTTGCCAAGGGAGGAGCCATCCCGGCGACAGGGAACACCCCGGGAGGAGACCGGACGGCATTGTTCTTGTTGCTAGTCCGACTCTGTTGACTCGTTATACTTTTCAGAGTGTTCACTCTCTCTAGCGTGGCAGCATTCCATCTGGAACTCGTTCCAGAGACCCCTGAGGGTGCATACGTCCTTGGAGCCACACTAACTGTGTCGCTGTTGGTGGTACGTAACGACATGTCGCTTGTGTTGGTGGTGGTCGTACTACTTGCATCGGAGCCCAAGATGGACATTGATGCCGACGCCGATGCCGATGGGGATGCCGATAATGGTAACCGACCAGGATACTGTTGTTGTTGAGTGTGGTCGTCATACTTCGAGTGTGTATGAGTATGGCTATTGCGACGACCCAGAAAGCTTTCCTTTTCATCCATGACATCCAGCTCATCTGAATCACTGCCACTATCGGTAACAATTGTTGCATCATGGGGTCTTACTGGCATCCGTACGACTCTGGAGTCCATATTCAATTCAGGTTGTTCATCTCTAGCTTCGTACTCTGGTAATGACAATTTTGCTCTGTCCCTTTCCACTACGATCAAATGTAGATAGAATGGCACGACTAAGCCAAATGCAGATCCGCCCACCATTGTCCCTAGGGATGCAGGAATTAATACTCTCCATATGTATCTGCCAACGGAGACGTTTGCACCACATAGCATTCCGATGAAAAAGGTGGTCATGTCAGCTACAACGTGAGTATAACTTGAAGAAACAAAGGTGAATACAGGTAAAAGGATCATTAAGAATTTCACATGGATTGGTTTTGCCATTAATTGTAAATATATTGCTAAACACACGAAGAAATTCCCTGCTATACTCTTTAAAAACGTTTGCATGAAGGAGTATGCTGCTTTATCTTCTGTTACGTATTGTGCACCGTATGACCAATCTTCATGCTCGCTTATCCCTGAGACATGGATGAATAAATATGATACGAATAAAGAGCCTGCAATGTTACCTAACCAACTGATAAACCATGAGATTAATAAATCGTATATTGATGCGGCTCCTCTTAGGACACCGACAGAAAAGAAGAGGATATTTGAATTATATAATTCTGCACCTAGCATAACCACATAAAATAAACCAACGGAATAAGTCAACCCACCTAAGAAGTTTAATAAACCTGGATTTTTATCTAATATATCCAAATTTTCAGAATGTGCCGCCACATAAAGTACAGAACCAGAACTAAATAGTAACCCACCTAAGATTGAATTTATTATTAAAGTATCTAATTGTAGTCTTGCCTTTTTCATGCATGTGGCCACAACAGCTAACGCAGCTTCATGAGGAGTGATATAATTTGAATCATCCACCATTTAACCAAATATATATATATATATGAATAGATGAGTAGATGAATATGCTGAAATGTAGGAAAGATTATTAGAGGGAAACAAAGATGCAATGAACTCTTAAATCTTATTTGTGTTTTTTGGACTTTGAAGAACAGAAAATGAATATAGGTTAATAATGTAAAAGAAAGTTAGATTCTTTCAATGGTTATAATTATAATGATAATAGCACAATATGTTATAGATCAAATAAAGGTAAAGATGACGTACTTCAATATTAAATATTGTGAAATACAATTAGTTCTCTTCTATATATATGGATGGATTATGAAATACAGAAGGAGATATATCAGAAATGAAGTGTCCAGTAATACTTTAGAGTTAAATAACAAACCAAAATCCAAAAAATGAAGAAGGTTGCAACAAACTTTAACGATGATGGACAGGCTGAACTTTAGCAATTTAATATACAAGTTTTCTTCGCCGTTCGATAATAATTGATTTTGTTCTATTGGTGATTTACTTTCAGAAACTCAAACTTGAAGGGAATAAAGATGTCTCTCTTCTCGTTTGAACCGAACCGAGTATGAAGAAGTAGTGCTACCAAGTTATAATTTGAAGAAACGAAAGGAGAATATTATTCGATTACTTCAGGTAACGTTATATAATTTGGCATTGATGTTGCGATTACGAGAACTATCAACAAATGGTATCTATTCTATCCTATCCCATCCTCCTCCTATTCTTCTACTCTGCAAAGCTGTTACTATTTTTATTGTTCTTTCTTGTTCTTGATATCATTGGCAGGTCCCTTTTCATTCCATATTACGTTCGTTGGCTTACGTATGTTTGCGCTGGTAATATGGTGTAACAGACAGTGTATTTGCATAATATACAGAGTGTTGTACGGTGTGTTCACAGAGAGAGCGAGGCATTTGCGGTTGGTTCATATCATTTTTCACTGTTTGCCTGCTCCCACGCGAGAACAAAGAAGGGGGTGGACAGGGAGTAGCCGAATGGGGCAGTGCCCGCGCCTGCGGCACCGTGTGGTGGGATGCTGCGACGGCCGCTTCCTGTTTGGGAGGGACCGCCCAGTGCACTCTTGCGTGCCGCAGACTGCCATGGCAACCCGCGTGTCCCCTATATTCATTGCCCTGAACGGAATAAGGAGTGACGCGTCAGCGTGTCTGGTTGACGCGTTTCATCAGTCTGGTAGAGGTACAGACAGGTTGTGTTGACTGTTACTATAGTTACTCATGCGAATGCGTGGTTCTGCCAACGGTGCGGTTGGTATAGTTGGGTTGTGCCGTATAAATAAGTGAGCTATACATACGTCAGACGTTGCTCGAAACGATGTCGATGTATATACTGTACTTTTGTGTCTGAAGGTTACGATGGAGCGAATATCTGTATATATCCCGCAAACACACCAAGGCCACTGCTTGATTTGATTCGATTCGACTGTTCAGTGCAAGAAAAAAAAATAAGAACCTATTAGATAGCAAGCTTGGGTGGGGGTGTGACAAGTTCGAACCAATACGGGTAATGCGTTGAATATATATATATATCTGTCTCTGTCTGCCTTCTAGTTCAGTAATATAAAGTCCTCTTTCTCTTGTAATATGGCAGATTCGCTAATATCGAGTGGAGTGGAGTGCGCCGCTCATATTTCTGAAAATGAAATTGAAAAACAATAACATTCAAACGTTATGTAAGGGGAACCTAGAAAAGAAAAACTATTTACTTAGCACAACCCTTAGAACATGACTAAATAAGGTTATAAAACCCACTTGTATTCTTTGCTGATATCCCCACCAACCCCTATGGATACTAAGTATAAACTAATAATAGAGCTACCAAAGAAAACTGATCTAAATAAAATCTCTGATCTCTTTGTAAAAAATTCAAGTTTTAATCAAACTGTCACATCTGATACCCCTATATACAATAATAGTAATAAGTCGACTCAGGATTGGAGAGAAGGCGACATCAATATACAGACCATAACAATACCAATGTATTCCTCGGAAGACGCAGATTCGGTAGTATCAAAATATTTAGGTCATGGGATAATTAAATTATTTAAATTGGAAAACACTGCTAGTAGCAATGAGGAGGACGAGCTTATTATACCAGGGGACGACACTATGGTCAGCATATTGTTTATCCCGACATACTTCACCGTGCATGACTTATTGCACTTCTATATAGGTGACGAAATTATTAATAATCAAATAACAAATTTTAGAATATTGAAAAATGTAGATGGAACAGTGGGTTTAAATTTCATGGTTTTAATGAAATTTAAGGATTCGATTAATGCAAGATTGTTTAAAGAGAATTTTAATGGCAAGAGTTTTAGTAAAGTCGATCCTGAAAAATGCTATGTCGTATCGATCAAAGAAATAGTATTTAGAAATGGTTTGTTCGGCACGGCAACAGAATCTGTTGCCATCACTGACACGGACACTAATACAAATATTCCATATCTGGTAAGGGACCCATTTACTATGAATGGTTATAATGATAACGAGATCGAATTGCCTACTTGTCCCGTATGTCTAGAGAGAATGGATTCACAGACTACAGGTCTGATCACGATTCCTTGTCAACACACATTCCATTGTCAATGTTTGGATAAATGGAAGAACTCGAGATGTCCCGTCTGTAGGTTCTCCAGTTTTAGATTGAGTAGGGATTCGTTATTGAAGCAGATGGGGGACTCCCCACAATGTGCCATTTGTAACTCTAAAGATAATCTTTGGGCATGTTTGGTGTGCGGGAACATTGGGTGTGGGAGGTACAACTCAAAACATGCCATTCAACATTTTGAGACAACATCTCATTGTTTCGCAATGGATATTAAGACGCAAAGGGTATGGGATTATGCGGGGGATAACTATGTCCATAGATTAGTGCAGAATGAAGTCGATGGGAAGTTAGTCGAGGTCGCTTTGAATATGGATCATCATCAGTCGGTTTCAGCTTCTTCGAATCGAGGGGATGGCAATACTACTGGGGTGGATCCGTTGTCGTCATCATCGGTTGAAAAGGATAGTGATATGCTGACTGATTTTATGAGACAGAAGGAGTACCATTTGGAGTATGTTCAAGTGTTGGTCTCCCAACTTGAATCCCAACGTGAATATTATGAAGAAAAACTGAAAGAAAATTCTACTGAGGAAAATATCACCAAATTGAAAGAAAAACTTTCTGAGTTATCTACAAATCTACAGGATGAACAACGACTCAGATTAGAAAAGGAGGTTCGTGTTAAGGATAAAAATGTAGAAAATGATCTAATTGTACAAGGGTTACAACAAAATTTAGATGGACAAACCAAACAGAATGAACAATTCGCTAAAGATATTGCTAAATTGAAAGCAGAAAAAACCGATTTGGAGGATCAAGTTAAAGATCTTATGTTCTACCTTGAGACTCAAGAGAAATTCAAAGATGCTACAGAAGAAGAAAGAAATGGATCACTTATAATTAAGAACCCAGCAGGCTCTGCCACCAACAAGAAGAAGAAGAAGAAGAAAAAGAAGGTCAAGATACCAACTTTAGAAGAGATAGGTCAAAAGTAAACTAAACAAAACAAAAAAGGTAGCCTATACGTCGAATCGAAAGGACCCTTCTCATCGATGACCTAATACATAGACAGACCAGGAACCAGAGTCGAACGGTCCTCATCGCTTCATACTCCTTTGATCATCTCACTCTATCCTTGTCTCTCTACGTGGGAACCTCACTGTGGGCCCGTTGTTGCGGACATCCGAAGACCATCGCCATTACGAGAAAAGAAGAAAGAAGAAAAAAAAAATTTTCAGCTTTGGCAAAGTGCGAAAAAATTAAGAACCAAGAGATGGTTTAAGAAAGTTTCACCATCTCATCAGCTTTTAATAGTTAATTAAGATACGTTATTTTTGATATGTAAAAATCTAGCTTACTTCTCTTGTCAGTCTTCTAAGAAAGATTTATTCTTTTTTCCGTAATTTCATTGTATAAAGTTCCTCGATACCAAGCAATTCATTTTGTTCTGTCTCATTCTTTTTTGAAGATCCTGGTTTCCCAGTTCAAATAACTAAAAATCAAAATCATAAACATGGCTAACAACAACATTAAACTATTGGCTCCTGATGTTCACAGAGGTCTGGCCGAATTGGTCTCCAAGAGACTAGGTCTTCCCTTGACAGATTGCGCTCTAAAGAGAGACCCAACTGGTGAAGTCAGTTTCTCCATTGGTGAATCTGTTAGAGATCAAGACATATATATCATTACACAAATCGGTTCCGGTATCGTGAATGACCGTGTACTAGAGCTACTGATCATGATCAATGCCTCCAAGACTGCCTCTGCTAGAAGAATCACTGCGATCATTCCAAACTTCCCATATGCAAGACAAGATAGAAAGGATAAGTCTCGTGCTCCTATCACTGCTAAGTTGATGGCTGATATGTTGACTACTGCTGGTTGTGATCATGTCATCACCATGGATCTACACGCATCCCAAATCCAAGGGTTTTTCGATGTTCCAGTGGACAACTTATATGCTGAACCAAGTGTCGTTAGATATATTAAGGAAAATGTTAATTTCGAAGAAGCTATCATTATCTCTCCAGATGCTGGTGGTGCTAAGCGTGCTGCTAGTTTAGCCGACAGATTGGATCTTAACTTTGCATTGATTCATAAGGAAAGAGCTCGTGCTAACGAAGTGTCTCGTATGGTCCTTGTTGGTGATGTCAGTGACAAGATTTGTATTATTGTGGATGATATGGCTGATACTTGTGGTACGTTAGCTAAAGCTGCAGAGATCCTATTGGAAAATAGAGCCAAATCTGTCATTGCTATTGTTACACATGGTGTGTTATCAGGTAATGCAGTCAAGAATATAAATAATTCTAAATTGGATAGAGTGGTTTGTACGAATACTGTTCCATTTGAAGAAAAGATGAAGGATTGTCCAAAACTAGCTGTCATTGATGTCAGTGGTGTTTTAGCGGAAGCCATTCGTCGTCTACATAATGGTGAAAGTATATCATACTTATTCAAACATTACCCATTGTAGAGTAAATCATTTATATATATTTTTGTCTTTTTTACATATATATATTTTTTCTGTTTTTGTAATTAAGATTAGATTTATTTTGATCTATTTTGTATATTAATAATATCAGGTATAATTTTATATTTGAGTGTGATAAAGGATGATAAAGAGTAGTATTATACTTATTATACTTTTATTTTAAAAATATATATATATATTTGTTTTATTAATATTATATAATGGGGAGGGGGGAGCGGAGGCGGATGAGAGAGAGAGAACGTAGAAAATAGCTTAATGTTCTAGGATTTGTAAGTTACCAGTAATGACAACATTTTCTAGGATAGAACCATTTGGAATATCGATCTTTTGACCTTCAGAACAAACGATGATAACGGTACCTTTTAGAGTAACATCCTTCCCAAGGAAAACGTTACCAGTGATTGTTAAATGATCTAATTCAATAATTTTTGGAATATGTGGAATTCTTTCACTGAAATTAGAAACTTTCTTAAAATGGGAGCCTAATTTAATTAAAGGATTTGGACCAAATCTTGATGGATCTATCTTTAATGCACCATGTTGTAAATAGAATAAATCGGATTTAACCATTAATAAATCAGAACATGTCTTAACAGGTAAGAATCTCGATCTTGGTACAACAACACCATGAGCACCATTGAAATGTCTAATGGCAGACCCACAAGCAGTTTCTAATTGTAAGACATTAATATCATGACCACCTCTTGAGATAGTCTTTTGATTTGGAATGATTTCCATTTCAATGGAACCTTGTTCTAATAATCTTTTAACGGCTTTCAAATTAATCCATAAGTTATTAGTATTGAAATTAGTGAATTTTCTAATATTTTTGAATTCATCAATATGTTCCTTTGGAACTTGTGCAACTTCTAATAATCTAACTTGACCATCATAATTAATCAAAGTACCACCTTTAACATCGGCACGAGTCTTATCTGTCAATTCCATAATATATTCGGCGCCAGTTTCGATCATATGATTTAAGATCTTTAAATCAACAGTAGCACCTAAATTATCACCATTAGAGACAAATAAAATTTCTCTACCTTGAGCAATTAAAGCATCCAATTCACCAGAAGATAATAACGATTCAAACACATCACCATGACCTGGTGGGTACCAGCAATCCAAAGGATCGTTATAATCCTGTGGAACAGGTAATAAAGAATCTTTTAGGACTCTTGGATATTTAGATTGATTAAAGGATCTAATTCTAATTCTATTAGCAGAATATTTCTTAATCAAATGTTCAGTGTCTTTATCGGTATTGAAAGAGTTCATTAGCAACAAAGGAACATCTGAATCATATTTCCTATTCAAGGATTCGATTTGTCTAACAGAAAGATCTAAGAAAGAATTACCGTCTCTAACTTCAATGACAGATTTTGGACCGACACAACCCATAGAGGTACCTAACCCACCATTCAATTTCAAGACGGCCAATTTAGATAGGGTCGAGACGTTTTCGTCACCTTGATCCGGAATGGTTTCATAACGGACAACTTCGTCAGCACCGGGAGACTTGATTCTATCCCAATCCAAAGTATTATCCTTTGAAGATTTTTCGATCAAATAACGTCTAAACAAAGTGAAAAATGAATCCAGCTCATTTTCAAACTTGAATCTCTTGTCATCGTCGTCCTTGACGGAGTCAGCCAATTTGTTCAAAGCATTACGCATTTGAGAAGCAGCCACGTTCGAAGTATTACTTTCGAACGCATAAGTAGATTGTGTCTTAATATGTTTCTTACCGGAAGACATGAGGATGAGTGTATGGTTAGTTTGTGTTTCTTACTAATTCCAGTTGCAGAAAACTTTTAGAAGAGAAAATAAAACGGTTCGAGGTTTCAACTTTGACAACGAGTCGAGAAATATACCAAATCTGAAAAGACTGAAATTGTTTCCTTTTCTATTTATATAATTTGTGCAACCTGCCCCCCTTGGTTGTTGAAGTTTCAAGGGGGGGGCACGTTAGCTGAACTAAACAGAAAAAGAATTTCAAATTTTTCACACAAAACGGAAAGTAAACAAAACAAAGAGAGCGTGGCGGGGGGTTGGTGGGGGAACCAGTCGTATCCAGTGATGTTGCACAGACACAAGCGTAGAACAAGTGTAGAACAACGGCAGCATTTAAGGGGTCGTTGCTGTTTCAGCAAGCAGAGAAGAGACAGCAAGGACAAACCCTGTCACTGCTGTCAAGTTAAGAAGAAGAATATATAATATTTTTATAGATGGATATAAGATGGGGGGAAGGGGGGAAGCTATGTAATGGGTGTGTGTCGGGAGCGACTGCTGTTGTGGACACTTAGGCACAACGGTTGGACAATTGACGCACGACAAGTTGTGGCAACGACCTGTCGTGGTTGATAATGTGGTTGATCTCCAGAACACTTGAACGAGGACTTGTAGTTGTAGCAACTGTATTTGCAACGGGGGTCGAGGCGATAGGTATGCTTGTAGTTGTAGTTGTAGAGGCTAGAGTGGTCGTTGGTGGGAAGACGTTACGTCCAATCAACCCGCCTAATAGGCCAGTACATTCGACTAGATCGTTCATGGCTTGTGTGACTTGTAAGATTTGAGTGTCTGTAGCTCCGGTGTGTGTATTGTTCGAGGTTATTGTCATCAATCCTCTTAATAAGTGTGCAGGCATGTCACGTAATGCTTGAACATCACGGCGAGCTTCCTCAATGGCTGCCCATACAAACCATCTTTGATTGGCAACAGTGTTGTTCGAGATAATATGTTGTAGCATTTGTTTGATCTCTTGTAAGATGTTTGTCAATAATGGAATCACGTCGATGTTACGTTGCAATTGTTCGATGAGTTGATGTTTGTGTGAGACTAAGGACATGTATCTGTTACATAATGAAGTGTTACCAGTAGTAGATGTAGTCATTTCCAGTGGTTGTTGAGAATTTGATTGAGATTCTCGTAGTGATTCGAAGAACTGTAACCTTTGAGTAGTTTGTTTATCGATTGATGAGAAATATTGTTGAGTGAACCCCTTGATGGAACGATTCGTTAAAGAGGTGTCTGCGGGACATAGTAACAGATCCACGATATTCAAAGCCATTTCAAGACGATGAGACACATGTGGTGCTAAACTTTGTTGCAATTCATGCCATATACCTATACTCATAGCTAACAAAATACGGTTTGGTTTCAATGCTTGTGCTAATAACAATGAACAGATGTATAAAGTGATATCATCATTATTACCCATGAGGGATGAGATTGGAACCATGGTAGTCATACGAGACAACGTCATATGAGCATCTTCTACAAGTTCACCCATTGACAATTTCAAAGCGTGATAGAATAAGTTATGTAATTCTACATTGGTACTATTGGTTAACATATTCGAGATTTCTTCTTGTGGGAATGGTAATAATGGAATCCATTCGTTATTGAATTGGGATTGGTATAATTTAGTTAGCAATGTCATGATTTTGTAATCTTTATCGTTGGAAGAGGAACATTCACTGTTGGTATTATTATTACTACTAGAACGTTCACTGCCGGTACTACTAGTGGAAGAACGTCTACTTTCACGTGGTGACGGTGGGGAGCTGACCCTATAGACCAATCCACGTCTATCTTTACGACTGCCCGTGTTTGGACCACGTTTTAAAGGCACTCTAAGAAACGCACACGACACTCCTAACCGTTCGCAGCTGTGGCATTGGCGTCTATGTGAGTCGTAAGCACAACGGACTCGACGTTTGTGGCATTCGTCACATGCTTGTTTCATTTTTTTTTCATGGTTTGGTTTATTAATTCCTGGCATCTTTAAATATATTTATATGTAGTATTTTTTTTGGTAATAATTTATGTTGGAACACTGAAAAGGACCCGTATAATGTCGTTCTAAATATATATTATTTAATCCTTCCAATTACATTTATATATATATATATATTTATATTTCTCTTAGTGTCGACTGTGACACCTGTGGACCAAGAAAAGAAAAAAAAATTAGCATGGGGGATTCGGCGATGTGGCCTCCGGGGAAGGGTAAACTAGCAGAAGAAACGGGTTTCGGCAAACAATGCGCCGGTGCGCACGTTCCTTCCGCTTGTTCGCTTGTTCGCCCGTTCGCTCCCCGCCCCCACACGCATGCACAACAACCCACACAGGACCCCCGGAAGAATGTGCGCCGACACTTGGTGTATGTTTGTGGGGGCGGGGAGGGACACAGGGAGGGCAGCAGCGGCAGCACCACTATTTTGTTTGTTTGTCAATCGGCGAAACATGAATATTTTCACCGGCCGGGGTGCTGTGCTCCGGCTGCTGTGCTCCGGCTGCCTTTCGCTTTGCATGGAGAAAGGCACCTTTTCAAGCAATGAATAATAACAGCACTTTCTGTTTCTTTATTAGCCCCACGCTGGTGCATCTACCCAAAGAATGGTCGTTGTGTTCCGATTCTCCCCAGGTATTTAACGATTTATTGGTAGCAGTAACACCTTCTGCCGGCTGAAAACGTCGATAAATACGCCGGATTCACTAAGAGAGGAAATAAGTAAATAGAGACACACATGCGGGATAACTCTTTTGGGTTCAGTTTCTCACGAAGTGGGGGGAGGGGAGGGTAGTAAAGATCTCGATGGTGGGGGAGATAGTATAACCAGTTCTCAACCAGTCGTGTTCTACTACTGTTTGGGTCGTTGTGATTATACGAAAGAGCTAGTGGGGTGCTGCTGCTGAGGTGCTGCGTAACTAAGCTCGTTCAGAGGGAAATATATAGATGTGACGAAAACCCGGTTTTCGTCATTGTTCCTGCAAATTTCATGTATTATATAATATATTATATAAATATTTGATGGTATGTGGAGCAGGTACATCCACTCGAAGAAAAAAAGGTGGTGATTACGAGGTAAGAACTTACATGAAAGTAGAGACATTGTTGGTAATACTAGTATAATCATATGTAAAGGGACCTGAATGCTGAATGTATCAGTTGTTTTTGTTTTTTCATAGAAATACAAACAATAATTACTCAAAGCTGTTATTGTTTACTGGTGTGTATAGAATGTTCTTATACAGATAGAAACTATAAGTTTCAACTCTTTATACTCACAAGTCTTGAAGAAAGGTTGAACCACTTGCTTAAAACTGGCATTACATTAAACCGAGCTTTGCTGCAGTTCGTGCTGGCACTGAAAGAATTTGAAAAATTCAGTCGGCGCGATCTTTCTTTCATTTTTTTTTTTTCACTAATTGAATTATTTCATTCAACTGCATATATAAGAACAGATCCTTTTTGGACCAACGGTTCATCGATCTAACACTAAGAGAGCAACATCAACATCGCATAATGGAGGAACTGCTAGCTACACATCGGAAGCAGGCTAAGGATCTGCAGAATCAAATCACAGGTATGAAGAAACAAGCGACAAAATCGTCGAGAAAACAAGTCGTTGCCAAATGTGAACAATTACAAGCAGATCTGAAAGCTAAACAGACACAGGAGATAGCCGAGCTCGAAGGCTCATCGTCGAAGGAGGAGGAGGATGAGGTGACTCCCGAACAATTGCTGGCTCAGTTGTCCATAAGTGAAAATACTCATACGTCTGTTGTGGATGACGTAATCACTGCCACTCATGAACAGCCAAAGAAAAGAAGAAATAGACAGAAGGAGAAATTGGCAAAGAGAGAAGCTGAAATTGAAAGAATAAAAGAAGAAGCGAGGAAGGAAGCTGCAGTGCAACCAAACTTACAAAAAATTGAACAAGAAGCCATCGATAAGATGTGCGAATTGAATAAAGTCATTCAAATCGATATTAAACCTGATGGTCATTGTCTGTTTGCATCAATCCTAGATCAATTACAAACACGTCATCCGGATTTCAAAGACACTCATCTAGGTTGTGATATATACAAACTGAGATCCATGTCGTGTGATTACATTCGTGACCACAAGGACGATTTCATACCATATTTGTTTGATGAAACAACTATGCAAATTCAAGATATAGATGAATACACAAAGGAAATGGAAACTACTGCAAAATGGGGTGGTGAGATTGAAATCTTGGCATTATCGAAGGTGTTTGATTGTCCAATATCTATTATGTTCAGTGATAGACCTCAACAGAAGTTTAATGAGACTGGGGAATTACCGGAATTGAAACTCGTCTATTATAAGCATAGTTACTCACTTGGTGAGCATTATAACTCCTTGCATGACATATTGAATTGATTAAAATATATACAGAATATATATAATTTAGCATTTTTTAACTAGTATCAATTTAATTAATTTGATTAAATTTTAATTTCTCTTGTGTGATTTTAATTACGTTTTGGACGGAAAATTATAAATTATAACATAAACAAAAATTTCCAAATTAGTTAAAACTACCTTTATCAGTAAACAAAAAAATGATAGTGATATTTTGAACAAGACTCTATATTGGGGGAGTGGAAAAGGGCAATTAAACAATTCAACCATTCAATGTTACTCGGCAGACCAACTAATAACCTTCGAGCAGGTATTGTAGGTCTTGCAAACATTGGGAAGTCTACTTTCTTTCAAGCCATTACAGATTCAAAATTAGGGAATCCTGCAAACTACCCCTTTGCCACAATTAAACCATCACAAGCACTATTGAAAATCCCTAATCCTCATCTAGAAAAACTAAAGGATTTATACCAATCGAAGGAAATACAACATGAGACACTAACCGTTTGGGATATTGCTGGATTAACAAGAGATGCCTCTAGGGGGAAAGGTTTAGGTAACAAGTTTCTTAATGATATAGGTTCTGTAGATGGTATATTTCATCTAGTAAGGGGATTTCAGGATGATAACGTGACACACTTGGAAGGTGGTGTCGACCCTATCAGAGATATGGAAATTGTTCAGGACGAATTAATATTAAAGGATATGGATAAATTAGAAAGTTCGTTAGATCATTTAGAGAGATTAGGTAAAAACGCTAAGAACATTAAAGATAAAATAAATGAACAACGTGAGAAGGACTTATTAACGGAATTACAAAACCATCTTTATGAGGGGAAGAAAATTATTAATTTTAAACAAGATTGGACTCAAGAAGAAGTGGATATCCTCAATAAATACAATTTCCTAACTGCAAAACCTTCATTAATTCTATTAAATTTGAGTGCAAAGAATTATATCACTCAGAACATTCCATATTTAAAACAAATTCAAGAATGGAGGGATCAATTTGCACCTCTAGATAAAATTGTTTCATTCAGTGCAGATTTCGAAACGCAATTCAACAACCATAAAAGTGATCTCGACACTATCAAGACTAATTACCAAAACTCTTTAGGAATAACAAAAGATGAAATTTTAAACTTGAATAGTTCTTTACCTGATATTATTACAAAGATGAAAAAGGCCCTAGGGTTAATCGGATTTTATACATGTGGTCCAGAAATGGTAAAACAATGGAATGTACGTGTTGGATCAACTGCACAGGAGGCAGCAGGTGTCATCCATACAGATTTACAAAAGACTTTTATAAGTGCAAATGTTATTAAATATGATGACATCAAGGATTACAAACCTCCATTGAATATTTCTCAATTGAAGGCTAAAGCTATCATAAAACGTGTAGGGAAGGATTATATCATGCAAGATGAAGACATTCCATATTTTGTAGCTGCTGGGGGTAAAACAAAATGATTAACATTATATCTTTTCAACTCACTGTAAATAATTATAATGAAAAAGATATACTTTATCTCATTACATAAATTATCATATTCATTTACAAAACAAGCAAATAGAACTACATAAAATACTTTCTATAATGTTTTGATGATATCAGAGCATTTGACAAAAAGTTATTCTCCTGTAAATATTTCGTAAGAAATACAATCGAAGAGCTGGGTTTATAGCGTGTCACTGAGGACATTTTTTCATCACAAACAAAACCAAATAGAAAATATATTAATCAAAGAAAATACATATAGATATGTGGATATTCTGTAGTTAAATTAAGAACCTTCTTAATTCAAATAATATCACACACTCTCTTATCAACAGGATTACTTATTCTGGTGGTTTGATTAGAAGGACTTACTTTTTACTTAAGAAATTAAAAATACGATCAACGATATACTTGGCCTTTATATAGTAAATATTTTTTTTTCGAGCATTGAAATTTTTTGCGAAGTATCAACATTTCACTATGAAAAAAAACAGAAGAAAACATAAAACACGATGAGCAATGTTCCCAAATGTAGTTAACATATCGATTAGGGTTCCAAAAAAAAATGTCAAAATATCCAAAATTATAGTTTCTTAACGAGACAATAATGTCAATATATTATTTGAAGGTTTCTATATACTGTGCTATTATAAGTAGTTGAATATACAAAAGTAAAATAGAATAGGCTTGTAAATGATACAACAAAGAAAACTAACAAAAAATTGGATCTAAATTTGAGTTGTTCTTGATGTTTAACCACTGATGGTAAGACAGAGGTATATTGGGAAACTGTGTTTACCTAGAGTGGGTTAGTTATCTTATTTTGTATCAAATGCAATATCCTATAGTTATATTATCTAAAAAAAAACCCATATTCAAACGAATATATTAAAATCGAGAATCACTCATTAATAGTTTTTGAATTGAAAGAGTAAGCAAAATGAAGAAGTTAGCGCGTCTAATTGTGACAAACGACTAAGAATAAACTTAGTTGGAGGCAACGACGACTTCGACATCCACACCAGGTTCAATGGTGATTTGGGTGATTCTCTTAACAATGTGAACTGGAGCTTCCAAGTCGATGTATCTCTTGTGGATTCTCATTTCGTAGGTTTCCCAGGTCTTGGAACCTTCACCATTTGGAGTCTTTCTGGTGGAGATCTTTAGGACCTTGGTTGGTAGTCTAACTGGACCCTTCTTGATCAACTTGTGTTGTTCAGCGTTTCTGATGATGTTAGAAGAAACATTTTCCAATTGCTTAACCTTGGTGGAGGTTAGAGTAATTCTAATCTTGATGATTTGAGGTTGTTCTTGTTCCTCGACGTTTTCCTTCTTGAAGTCAGACATTGTTAATAATATACCTTTTTGTAGTCTTAGGGTTCTGGTTCTTTTTCAAGATAAAATATGATTATAATAAAACAATTTTATTTAAAATCATATTTAATATATGCATGAGAGAGGGACCATCACTAAGGTGTGCAACGAGAATGAATAAATGAGAGAGAGAGAGAGATGTCATCGGAGATTATTCTACAATTAGAGTATTGCGTAACAGATAGTAGCTAGGTTTCGCAAGTTTAGCGAACAAACCCAAGCATGGAGTTTGTTCTCTCTGAATTGAAATTTTCCAAAATTGTTCAGCAACAAGCAGTGCTCTCTGCATGATTAACAATGATATTTTCACGACAAAGAATTTTTTCAGAAGTGCGTCATTGAAAATATTGAAAAAATGAAATAAAGTCTGGGTGTACTGGTGCATGTGGGAATACACACAGGGTGTACGGATGTTACAGTCCCAAAAACAACTGGGTTCAAGAATCATTTCTAACGACACCAACAAATTCTTATCCGCCGCGCAAAAAACAAACAAAACAAACAAGAGGATAAGCACCCCGAGGGAGAAACTGCCGTAGAAGACTGGCTGGTATAACGAACGAATCTCGAAATGCCTTCTGTAGATAAGAAAAGCAGATTTTATCTCAATTAGGTACCTTACCAGTAAGACGACATATTTACTGTCATTTTGAACATTGCACCTATAAGGGACCGGATAGAGAGATCTTTGTACTGTTTTACATACACAATTTCGAATATATGGTAGTAAATACAAGGAATTTCAAAATAATGGACTGATAAGGTATTTTTTCTACTACTCATCTCTGTTATTCAATTTCTATTATCTAACTTGAATATGATAGGGCTGGGTCGTTTCTTTGCTATTGGTTTGAATTAACTACGTATGATTCATTACCCTAGGAGTACGCATATTTAAGCACAACAATCTCTCTTTATCAAAGCAAAAAATGCAAAATTCAAATTTGCACGATTTAGGTGATGTGTCACAGTATGTTTTGTATATTCTTTTAATTAATTCTTTTAGATAAGGTGTGTTGGTTCTTTTGCGATGACTCTCTCTATGATTTACTGTGAAAATGGCAACATTTTCTTTCAATAAACTAATAATAAGTTACTGAAAGCCTTACGTGATAAAGAAACAAAAACTGGAATTATCGAAATTACGATATCAACGCAAATTTATCATGACATCTATTACCGTATAAGGAAATAATTTGTACAGGAGGTTCAGAAACGATGCCTTTTATACTTTTAAAAATTCTAAAATTCTATAATTCAAATCATTTAAACTACGGCTGCATCACGTAGATCTAAGACTGGCACTACAATTTTAATCAGTTTTAGGAAAATATGCAACTCATCTTATGGGGGAAGCGGAAAACTCTCATACATTCAAAAGGGTTATTCAATAAAAGTATAAAAAAGATACTTTTCTCAAAGATATTTGTATTCCTTGCACAAGTTCCACCCTAAGTTACCTTAATTTCCAATTAATTATAAACCATCAACTAATTGGAATTGCTAATAACAATAGCAATAATTTTTGTTCTTTTTAAAACTTTATTAATAAAAACAATTTAATAATGGGGGAATTTAAAGCCATTCTTCCTCAAGGTGCCGGGTATGCCATCATTGTCGGTCTTGGTGCAGTCTTTATGTTCGGTATGATTGCTACTACTCATATGCTAAGGCGTTACCAAAAGGAAATTATGACCGCCGAAGAGTTTACTACCGCTGGTAGAACAGTTAAGACAGGGTTAGTGTCTTCTGCCGTCGTTTCAAGTTGGGTTTGGGCTTCCACACTATTGACTTCATGTGCAAAAGAATACGGTACAGGTATATTTGGTGGGTACTCTTACTCTGCAGGTGCTAGTTTCCAAATTATTGCATTTTCTATCTTAGCAATTAAGACTAAACAAAAAGCACCAAATGCTCATACATATTTAGAGATCATTAAATGTAGATATGGTAAATTAGCTCATAGCGTATACTTATTCTACGCTTTTGCTACTAATATTCTAGTCACCGCTATGCTTTTAACCTCAGGTTCTGCTGTTTTCAGTGATTTGACAGGTATGAGTTCTATTGCTGCGGCGTTCCTTTTACCATTAGGGGTCGTCATCTATACAATGTTTGGTGGTATTAGAGCTACATTTTTAACGGATTATATCCATACGTGTGCAATTATTATCATTGTACTGTTTTTTGCTTTTAGAGTTTATGCAACTAGTGATGTGTTGGGGTCTCCAGGAAAAGTTTACGATTTAGTTAGAGAAGCTGCTAAAAGATCTCCTGTCTCGGGTAATTATAAAGGTGAATATATGACAATGGAATCCAAGTCTGCTGGTATTTTCTTAGTTATTAACTTAGTAGGAAATTTTGGCACTGTGTTCTTAGATAACGGTTACTGGAATAAAGCTATCTCGGCATCTCCAGCAGCTACTTTACCTGCTTATGTCATGGGTGGGTTGGCTTGGATGCCTATACCATTCTTAATCTCTTTGACTATGGGATTTGCATGCTTAGCTACGGAACACGATCCAAGTTTTCCAACATATCCAGATCCGTTAAGTTCGTACCAAGTCAGTCAGGGTCTGGTGTTACCAGCTGCAGCTGTATCTGTAATGGGTAAAGGTGGGGCTGTTGCTACCTTATTAATGGTATTTCTAGCAATCACTAGTGGGGTTGCTGCTGAAGTTATTAGTGTTGCATCGGTATTCACTTACGATGTCTACAGAGAATATTTCAATCCAAGGGCATCAGGTAAACAATTAATCTATTCTTCTCACATTGCGTGCTTGACATTTGGGGTAGCAATGAGTGGGTTTTCTGTTGGGTTAACATACGGGTATATAAGTATGGGTTATATCTATGAAATTATGGGTATTATCATATCTAGTGCAGTGCTTCCAGTCATCCTGACTCTATGTTGGAAACAACAAAACAAAGTCGCCGTCATTGTTGCTCCTGTTTTAGGAACCGGCCTGGCTATTATGTCGTGGTTGGTTTGCACCAAATCTTTATACAAAGAATTGACCATCGATACTACATTCGAGGATTATCCAATGTTAGCAGGAAACGTTGTTGCTTTATGTTCTCCCTGTATTACAATTCCAATCTTAACATATGTGTTTAAACCACAAAGATTCGATTGGGAGATTTTAAAGAGTATTAAGAGAGCCGATGAAACCGAGGAATTGATTGAATTAGAAGAAGAACAAGATGCCGAACAGGCTCTTGGGTTAGAATCCATACAATCTAATGATAGTCACGATCCACTAAACAAGAATTCCAGCGATTCTGGTAATGAAGAAAAGCAAGAATTAAGAGTTACGGAGAGTAAGATAAAACCTATTAAGACTATACTAAGTAGTATACAGAAAGAAACTCCAGAAGAATTAAAAGAAGAACTTGAAAGGGAGAAGAAAGCACTGGCAAGAGGACTAAAGATCGCTTATGGTCTCTGTATATTCTTTGCATTTGCATTCTTACTGGTATGGCCTATCCCAATGTATGGTTCACATTATATTTTCAGTAAGAAATTTTTTACTGGCTGGGTTGTCGTTCAAATCATTTGGATGTTCATTAGTGCCTTTTGTGTCATTCTATTCCCACTATGGGAAGGTAGACACGGTATCTATACTACTTTACGTGGTATATATTGGGACTTGACTGGTCAAACATACAAACTAAGAGAATGGCAGAACTCTAGTCCTGAAGAACTTCATATTGTGAAGAGTCAAATCAGTGCTAGAATTCATAACATAGAATCTTACAACAATGAGCGAAACCTCGGGATTGATGACATTATTGATACCGAATCACCAAAGTAATACGATTCCATCTCGACTCATTCCTCTCAGCGATTTCTAATATTTCACAGAACAAACCAGACTTCAAAGCTTCCCATAGACATTAATTTGTTCATATTCCATCCTCCACCACCCTTCTGCCAATCAGTGTGTCTAAGTTTCTTCTCTGAACAACTGCGTTAATTCGCTCGGGATTTATGTCAAGTCATCGTTGCTGACAAATCGATTAATTAAAACTGACATTCCAGATAGTCATGAAAACTAAGAAGAAAACAGAAACATACCAAGGGATATTTACAACGGTATTTTTTTTCCTAAATAATAGTCATTCATATTGCATGACTCAACGACTGCGGTCGTCTACTATATTCTCTAGTTCTTATATTTATCTTTTTACATATCAATAAACTGTTCTGACTGGTTTATAACTCAATACTGACATCTATATAAGTGACAGCTTCAAGACTGAATTTTTACTGGCGGAGCGAAGAAAGAGTCACCTACCCAAAAAACGAAAAGAGAGAAGACAATAAAGGAAGTGATTACTAATTACTAATCTCATCGACTGATCTTAAGATACTAGATACTATTGAAAGTGAAAAGATATCCATTTTAATTTTGTGTTGCTACGAATATTATAAATACATACATACACATTAACAAAACAAAACTCAAAACAAAAAGATGTTGAGAAACGTATTTGCAAGACCATCTTTATTAAGAAGCCAGAGATTAGCTCTCAATTCTTCATCATGGAGAAGGCTACTTCATATCGAGACCCTAACGACACCAAACGACAATGCTTTGAAATACTTGTCTAAGGATGGTGAACTATTACAGCCACGTGGCTCCAAGAGTATTGTTATCAAGAATACAGACAAGACGTTGCTAGCTCATTCTAAGTTGGCTGAAACCATATTTGTTCAATGTCCTGGTGTGGAAACTGTGATGATTGGTGATGACTTCCTTACAGTAAACAAGGATTCTATGGTCCATTGGAACCAAATAACCCCTACAGTTATTGAAATTCTAACGACCCATCTAAACTCCGGCGACGATGTAGTTTCACCAGATTTCCAAGGTGCCCAAGAATTAAAGGATGGTGGTTACAATATTAACGTTCCAAAGTTTAATTATACCGAAGACGAACAAGAGATTAGTGAGTTGATTGATGAACTGATTGACACAAGAATCAGACCTGCCATCATGGAGGATGGTGGTGATATCGACTATCGTGGATGGGATCCCAAGACAGGTACTGTATATTTGAAATTGCAAGGTGCATGTACATCCTGTTCTAGTAGTGAAGTTACATTGAAGTATGGTATTGAGTCTATGTTGAAGCATTATGTCGATGAAGTCAATGAAGTCATCCAGATCATTGACCCTGAACAAGAGATCGCTTTGAAGGAATTTGACAAGTTAGAGAAGAAATTGTCTTCAAAGGAGAGTTCTACCTAGAGGAAGAGGGGGAAGAGCAGCAGCATTATTTAACACACTATAACATGAAGCCGTCATTGGTATATGATTAAAGAATATTAGGTTATCTATCTAATTCATATGTCGTTTTGGTTTCAACAACTTTATTTATTCATATGTACATAATCTTTATCAGCACCCAAAGAGAAGCAGTTTCTTACTCTGAGAAAAATAAATGTTAGATCATTTCTTAGGACTATAAAGTTCCAGATACTTCTCCACTTGTTTTGCTAATTTGATATCGATATCGCTTAAGACGCCGGAGCTACTAGGAGTCGTTGAATCATTTGGGATATCGTGAGTGGTTAATTCTATCCTGACTCTGTTATACGTGGTAATGACTGTTGGATGGTGGCCCCAGAGATGTGCTCTCATCGATACCTGTGTAAGAAATGCCCATGTCTGTTCAAATGTCTTGAATGTACATTCTCTAACTAGATTTGAACCGCCGTTTGTTATTTGCCATTGTGATAAGGGGGCCTCGTCTACTAATAGATTCTTCACTTCTTTTAACCCGACTCTGACTGCATTGACTCGTAAAGTCTTATTATACATAATTATTGCAGTTATATCGATTAAGAACCGTTTATTATCTCAAGTTCACCCTGTTTTAATACCTGAATTTTTTAGTTGTCGTCGTACCTTTATTCTTGATGATCGATGGCTTTTAGTTATTATCCGCGACTGATTATTTTGTAGCAGACAATCAAAGAAATTTGTCACTTCGACTTAACTAGAAATTGAAGACTTTCGCTATAAATTAGTAGGTTTGATAAGAAGAAATAGATGGAAACCAAAGGGTTCAAGCCTGAGTTATTGTCACCGATTTAATACATAATACATAATAGTTTTTGTTTTGTTTTTTTGTTATTGTTTTCCATATGTCTTCTGTATTGTACATATTGAATGAGAATCTTGAGCCATTAATATCTAGGAATATAAGGGCTTTGCCCTCTACCGATCTCCCTATTGCTCAATTTAGAAAGTTATACCACCCCGGTTCTCCACCAGTGATACGAGGGAGCCATGATACCTTTGAGTACATGTATCAAAGTTTTTCTTATGTTTACATACGAAGAGACTCACTGTTTTTTGTAAGTTTGGTGGATAATACTGTTGATATTATGGAGACATTGCATTATTTAGAACAATTCTATCTATTACTGAAGAATTATTTTACAGTCAAAATGCTAGATAAGAATTTAATATTAGACAATCCTATTCTAGTGATGGAACTACTAGATGAAAGTATAGATTTTGGATTTATTCAAGTAACTGATGCAGGACTAATCAAAGATTACATTCGTGTGAAAATCAATGTACCAGAGATTGATGAGAAGAATAAACAATTGAATCTCAATGGAGGTAAACACCATCAAAACGAGTATGACGATGAAGATGATATGTTTGGAAGTGAAAGTGATGAAGGAAGAAAGAAAATACAAAAACAAAGAAGGAAATTAAAACATCGTTCTAAAAGTACCACTAAAAGAGAGTTAGGTCATCTAACCAAGAAAGTCATTCAAACATGGAAAGGAGACAAGAAGAAAAGGGGCCAATTGGCTAACGATGACGACGATCATGACGGAGAAGGGCACGATGAGGATGAGGATGATACCTTTATGAATAGTGATATTGCTAAGACTACCGTGATGGCAATCTCGTGGAGAACCAAAGGGATACATTACGCTAAAAATGAATTTTACTTGGATGTGATTGAGAAGATAGAATATTATATGGATTATGAAAGTCAAACAGTTAGAAAAAATACAATACATGGACAAATAGTTTGTAAATCATTTTTGTCAGGAATGCCAGAACTACATGTTTCAATAAATAAGATTCTAAACAAGGACAAACAATTTTTATCGAGTTGTAAATTCCATCAATGTGTATCTTTGGAATCCATCGAAGACGGTAAAGAGATCATATTCACCCCCCCTGATGGAGATTTTATTCTATGTTCGTACGAATTGAAACGCCATGTTCGGGATCAACCTATTATCAAATTAAGTCAATTTGAATTAAAACCGAAATTAAACAAATTTAAATTGCAAATTCATTGTACTGTAGAATCCCATTTTAAACCTACAAATATCACATCCAAATTAAATGTACAGATCCCACTTAAACAACTATTTAAAAAATACAAAATAGATCTGAGTAAAAATATCAAATCTAAATGCGATGAAGGGAAAGTTCTATTCAATGTCAGTGACGATTTCTTATTGTGGGAGATTGGTGCAATGAAAGGTGGCCATGGGGAAAATCAACTCTCCATGGTTGTAGAGTTTGCACTTTTCAACCAAGAAGAATACGATAGAAAACAAGAAGAGTTACGGACCTCTATGAATCCACCACCTTTAGTCAAGGGAATTAAATTAGAGGAAATATACCAACAAATACATGCGGATGAAACTGATGCTACTGAAGAGACTCCTGTACCAAATAAAAGAGAACAGGAAAAAGCACAACTACTGCACATCAACTTTGAGATTCCATATTCAACTTTAAGTGGCATCAATATCGAATACTTGAAGATCGAGGAACCTCAACTACAATACCAATCGTTTCCCTGGGTTCGTTACAAGGCGATCAACGACGAGGAGTATGCCTATGCTGTATAAGTCCCCTCCTCCCCCACCCCAGCTACATACACGTCACTACTGGACCATAGCACCATGTGCACCGTGTGCACCATGAGTTCATGGAATTCACCTATGACCTTTAGGCAATCATTTTTATTGGCTTCATTGGTTCACTTTGGTATAGAAGTCACTGAATAATCATTGAATTTTTTTCACATGCTCAGCCAAAACGGGAGCGAAATTTGGCTGCGAAAGGAAAAAAACAAACAAATATTATATAAAATCATACACATTTTTTTTCAATATGTATATATAAACAGTTATAATGACCATAAGAAAGTGAATATCTGGGAAGAATTATATAGACAATCCCCCCCCCCCCATAATACCGGTACTAAAATCAGTCTAAGTAGGTGTCCTGGTTAGACGTTTACCACTTTGACCAAAAAATACATATAATACATATTTTTACTAATTCTCGTATTAGTTGATATACTAAGAAATTATTGACATTTCTTAGACTAGAACAGGTGAAGAGGTATTATTTTACGTTTCATCATATTTTCAAATTAAAAAGAATAAGTAAAATAGTAAATATTTTGCTTTGTCAAATTATACACACAACTCGATAGTACGATGGGATTACGAGAACATCTGGGAATGTCTGAGGAAGACCTGAAGGCTGCTGAAGTACTTGGTGTGCTAAAGAAATCGCAACCAAAATATACTAATGCATTAAATGGCTCATCGAAGAGAAGGAGAAGTATCAGTGATGATACGAACGAATCTACGATGGAGAGTAATAGAGCGGTCAAGCCACGCAATAATACCACGGGCCATTCTGGTACTTTATTGAATCGAATGGTAAACAATGTCGTCACGTTTTATGATGACTTCAATGATAGGAGGAGGGTTGCATCAATTGCAAGGTTACTAGATGATGCATATGAAGATAACTATACTAGTTCAGAAAATGATAGTGACAGTGGTAGCGATGATGAGAACGAAGAAGAGATAGACGCAACTAAAGAAGCACAACAGGGCTTAAACGAACTACCTCAAAAGAAGCCTGAAGAGGAGGTAAATCATGTTGAACATCCAATGACAGATGAATCTGGAGCTGTAATATTGCCACAGGATGAAAATGAGGAGGAAAGTGAGGAAGAAAGAGTATCAAAAAGGAAAATTATCTCTGAGGCCCTTCAAACTACTAGAGATAACTTGAAGGAATATAAATTAAATATGTCGATCGAGTCTAAAAAGAGACTGATAACGTGTTTACATCTTTTGAAGTTAGCAAACAAACAATTATCTGACAAAGTGATGAATCTGCAGGCAATGGTGAAGGAAGAAAAAACAGTTCCACGGAGGAGACGAAGGACATTAACTAATTCTCACGATAGGCATGGTGTGAGTCGTCACAGGCGTCAAAGAGCCTCTACAATTAGTGGTGAAAGTACCATGAGCGTTAAAACATCAAATAATGAAAAATTGAAGACCACACAGGATGGGGTCAGTCCCATGGGTGAGAAACAGCCTACACATCCTATAAATGCCGAGAAATCCGAAACTAGTGAAAGTGGTAGTGGAAGTGAGACTGATGCCGAAGAGGACTACTATGGTGGAGATGAAGATGAAGAATTTTTTGACGCATTCGATTCCAACGATTTTGATGAGAAATCTACTGTTATAAAGATGGAAGTTGTTGGAACCATTAAAAAAGTATATTCTTTAATTTCAAGCTATACTGGCGATTCATTACCTGAACCTGCAAGATCTCAAGTTAGAGAAAGCTTATTGAATTTACCAACAAATTGGTTTTTAACTGCCAGTAATACATCCGGAAATTCAATGGAGAATGTTTCATCTGCAGGTTCATCTGATAATCCGAACACTAGTATAGGAACTCCAAAATGTCAGGATAAAGGTATGACCATCGAAGATATAAATAAGAAAATCAGCCGTGCAAGGAGTTCGTCAGCTGCAAGTGGAGGTGCTGACAGTAACCTTACACCAAACGGTAAAGTCTTAATTCTAGCAAAGGAATCTCTTGATATGGTCCAGAATGTGATGGATGTAGTGGACTCAACTCTAGGTAAAGCTGAAGAGTGGGTGAAACAAAAACAGGAAGTTAAAGAAATGTTCTTAAAATCACTCCTGGAGAAACAAAGAATGAAGGAATCTATTGACATTCCGTTGACTCGACCACAAGAAGAATCGACGAAAGAGAATTAACAACACCTAATATCGGCTAAATGGCCGATAATAATTAATTTTACGACAAAATATCTAATACCTGCATATGTAACACAAATAATTTAATCCAAAATATTATATTCCATTAAAAACAGTAACTTTTTCTATTTTGGCGATATATATTTATGATACTATACATTGCATAATATAGCACTAACAAAAATTATGTGGGAACAAGATATCTTAAATGCACTAATAATTACTAAACAGAACGTCAAGAAAATAAATAATATATAAAGACAGAGAATTCTGAACTTACAATCTAAGTTAGATTATATTCGTTCCATATGTCTTGGATGGGATAATTGAATATTAGATATCTTCTATTTAACTGAACAAATTTTATTATATTATAAAATCAACTTATAGTCGTCTGATTTTTTATATCTTATATAAAAATATATAAAGTAAATTATGGAAACAATTATATTCATAAATGAAATATTGTTCCATTTATATATGTTGGATTATCATTGTCGTGATTATAAACTCACTCGACAGTGGCGTAAGTAATCTATTATTAAGTTGTTGCGGGATGAACCTATTGTTAGATCATTGCGGGATGAATCTATCAATAGATCATAACCTTGGTCATAATGTTGAATATGTAGCGGCAGCACTAAAAAGGCTAACATTAGCTTAACCTAACTGAAGGTGAAGGTAGCTAATATAAGTAGAATTTAGAGTGTGCTGCACTGTCGTATATATAATAACACATGATATATACTGCATAATGTAGTATTCGGTCCCCCTACATTGGGTTTATTGGAGCTACATAGTCCAACGTTACTATGCACAAAAGATGAGCAGTTTAACAACAGCAACTCTGTTTAACAATACAAGTGTACTTTATAAATGACAGAAGTTTATAATCCATATTTTGTTCAGATCTACTTTTTTGCCGATCTACATCAACAATAACATCCGAAACTAACAATATATTCTCAACCCAAAGGTTTTTATTTTGAATATTTGATCTCTTCATCAACTAAAACATTACAAGAAAGCCTATGTTGTATCTGAAACTGTTACAATGTAGAAAGTACCAATACTTAGTTATTACAATTTAATGTTTAGTACGAAATTATTAATAACGGTTCAATATTGGTTCTAGAACATTCTTTGAGAATGGTCAATTAAGTAAGTATGACTAATCGTTTCAGAAGTGTCTAGAACATGTTTCAAGAATGTTTAGTAAGAATACTATCAATATTTGATAGACTGGCTGCCTTTCCAAAAAGTATAAAAGGACCACATATGCTAACTTTAAATATATAATCTTCCGTATATAAACTTACTTTATAAAACAAAAAGAAACAACGATTATTGAAATAAGTTCTAATTAGTTAACAACATAGTAATAGTAATTAAATATAACCGTCTGTTATATTTTTGTCTTCAACCATCCAAGATCCCAATACAACAGCATAGAAATTAGTATCCGATATAGTGTAACGGCTATCACATCACGCTTTCACCGTGGAGACCGGGGTTCGACTCCCCGTATCGGAGTTTATTATTTTTTAATTTTTCAATAAATGTTTAAATATTGAACCAGTTGATCAACACAATGATATGAGCTGTGAAGTTATTCGATTTTTTGATTTGATATACTTTAACAAATCGTTTGGTTAGTTTTAAATTGTTTCAGTTAAGTATATGTATTACTCAGAAAGCTATGATTCTTTTTAAGGAATACATTCCAGTTGGTATTACAATTATTTTGTGACGGTTAATGAAAATAATAAGACAAAATAAAGAAACGTCACAATTAAACGGTAGAATACTATATTTATATTTAGTAGTCGGAAACTCATCTTCATTTTCATAAAGGAAACTACTTTAGTATTTATCAAAACTGCCAAAATTTTTGAATAACGACTAAGAAGAACCCCCCCAAAACAATTACCTCTTAAAAAATGGTAAAATACTCTTGACAAGTTACGCTATCACGATTTCTATAATTGATTGAATGATTAATGTGTGTCACTTATGTACATTTATATAACCTTGAACCAAAATATATCACTATGAACGACAGCACGGACCGTCATTCTCATTTTCTATTCGTCGCAAAGAACTGACGTTCATCTACTTCCTCGAAATGGTGAAGGGTGGGAACTTAGATGCCTGAATTGGGATAGGCCAATTGCCATTCAATCTTCCAAGTTACACACCCAGGGAGTGTAACCGGTGGGAACATTTACCAACGGTAGCATAATATTAAGATTTAAAGTATTAACTAAAGTTTTCCTTAGTTATCTTTAATTATAATCCTATTGACAACTAAACCAACCCTCTGAATTCATTCGACAAGACATACAGAAACGATATTTTCTCAGTAACCTGTATATATATACACCCCATTCATAATAATACCAAATCCGTGAAAGTATTACCTGTTTGCATAGTTTGAAGTAATAAGAAGGATAGGAACTACCATTACAGTCAATATACCACTATGTCTTCAACAGAGGTAAATATTAATATTAAAGTGAACATCAAGTTACCCAACGTGCATGCTCATCATGCTAAGAAGGCGTCTGCACAAGAGAAATTGTCTTTACAATTCAACAAGGACTCTAAGGTACAAACTGTGCTTGATGTTTTAGCTGTTGCCAAACAAACTAAATTCTTAACCAATGTCCAATTGAAACATAATGATGCTGTATTGAACGATGAGCAAATACTTTCTGAATTAACGAGTGCAAAGGCCCTTGAAAAGGATATCCCACTAGAGGTTTCTGTTGAACTGAAACCATATAGTTTCAGAGAATCTCTAAGACATGCCGTTATTGTTCGTGATTTGATTGGTTTTAGTTCTGAAACTGAAGACAATTTATCAGAATTTGCTGTTTCCACTGGTTCTAAATATGAATCATTGAATCTTTCCGAAATTAGACAGAAGGATCCAGAGGCAGAAAAGAAGAGAAAGGAGGAAGAAGAAAAAGCAGCTGCCAAGAAGGAAGAGACTAAAGAAGGTGAAGACCCTGAAAAGAAAGGTCACTTCTTAGATGTAACTGATGAAGAAAAAGAGGCCACAGCAAAAATGGTGCGTGAGATCTTCAAATCTCAAAAGGAATCTTCATTAAAACAATTCTTTAGTACTAACTCCACCCTTATTACATCTTGTGTTCGTTCATTGAACTTATCTCAATACAATCCTGTTCCAGCTTTCTACAAAACCAAGGGCCATTTGTTATACTTGCAAATTGTCACTTTAGAAGGCGAAAGTCTTCATATTACTGCTACTCCAGCTGGGTTCTATGTTAACAAATCTACTAATAGTAAATTTGATCCATCATTGAAGACAAAGATTGATGATGATTTGGATACTAAGAGTCACGGACATAAACATGAATCTCATCCAACTGAGACCACTTTCTACAGTCTATTTGATTTATTAGCTGCCCATTCTAAGAATTTCACATCTCATATTGAGAAATTAGATAGCAAATTGGCTACTATGGAAAATGCATCTTACGTCAAACCACAAACTGCTTTCTTACACAAGCCATGGTTGATCTCTAGTGTTCCATCTAACAACGGTGATTATTCAAAGTTGCAACAAGATTATGTCGATAATATTGTAAACCTAGAGAGAAATTTTAATGACGAATTTCAAGCAATCAAGGACTTACCAACTGACGCTATCGCTTCTCGTATTGAATCCGAGAGATTGTTGGCAAAATTAATTCATGAATTTTCTGGTGTTGCTGCCAACGGTGCAATGCTGATCGTACAAAATAGTATGGTTGCCATGAACCCAGATGCCAATGAAAGTGAACAGATCTTTTTAAAGGACAACATTTTCTACTCTTATGTCACCGATGTTATTGGTACTTACTCTGACAAGGGTGGTGATGCTGCTGCCAGAGCTGCTTCCAACCAGGATCTATTAACCATCTCAATCTTGAACAGAATCAACCTAAAGGATGTGCGTTATTTACTGACCACCATTGTTGACTTTGGTGGTAAGAGATTATTGGCTCAAACTCCTGTGCCAGGCTTACTAGGTACAATGGGCTCCGAGGTTGTCAAGGACGAAACCACTGGTGAAGAAACTTTGAGGGATTTGGAAAACGATATTGTTGTTAGTTACGGTTACGATGAAACCACTAAGCAAATCATTAAAGATGAAACATTTGACAAAATTCTTGGCGATGAATTCTCTAAGGTTTTCCATCTGAAGAAAAATAACGCCGACGATGTTTGGTTCTCATCTCAATCTAAGGGTATTGTTGGTTTTGACAAGAGACACTATGTCTTGGATTTGGCAAGCACCTACCCAGTTGATATTAACTTCATCAAAGAAAATTATGATAACGTCGATGCTGAATCTCGTTACCCACACAGACAAACACTATTACGTCCTGAATTAGTTGAAAAATGGTGGAACAAAAAGGTAGAAGATGAAAAGGACTTAACAATGGAAGATGCTTGGAAGCAAGGTAAATTTACCTACAACCCAGATGCTTATCAAATTCCAGGTGTAGAAGATAAGACTATTGACGAAATTTCTGACTATTTAAACAACGATGTTATTGCAGGTGTCATCAATGATTTTGCCGAAGGTAATGTTACTGCTCCATACACCGGTTCTCATTTGGTTGACACTCTACACAGAAACGGTATCAATGTGCGTTACTTGGGTAAGGTTATCAAAGTTGCGCAAGCCAAACTGAATGAACAGGAAAAACAACATACTGACAGACTAGATGAGATTAAGGTCTCTAACGCTGAACATGAAGCCTGGGAAGCTGCCTACTTGGAAAAGATCCAAAAGATGATCAAAGAAAGACAAGATAAGATCAACAGATTCGTTCAAGAAGGTAAAGAAGTTCCAAAGGAATTATCTGAAGGGTTGAAGTTAGATGATAATGAGATTAGAAAGGCTACCAAGAGTGACCCAGTTATCGTTGGTAAGGATGAACTTTTACCTGTCATCGGTATGGCATACATGGAAATTATTTCTCGTGCTTTAAAACACATTTTCAGAACTTATGCCAATGAGTTGCCAGTTGCTGCAATCCCATCTATGGTTGCTTACTTCTTCAACTTGTTATTTGGTTTTACTTATAATGTTGCGCCAGAAGTTGAAAACGTCGATGAATTTTATCCAGTATCATCTTATGCATTCTCTTCTGTTACTCGTGACACATTAATCCAATCCATTATCAAGGAGACCAAGCTACGTTTCCGTGTTGACCTAACTATTGAAACTTTAGAAAAATACGTTAGTTATAAGAACTTGATGATCAAAGAAATCTCCTCTAAATTTGGTATCCAATTAATCAACAAAAACTACTTTTTCTCAAAGGATGAATTTGAATCTTACAAACAAACCCAAGACAAGAAGGTCAGATCTAAGATTGTTGAGCCTGCTACTACCTTTAGTAAAGATGATATGATCATCATTCCTTTAGTAAAGAGTTCAAACTACAATTCTATCTTAAGTGAAGAATTCTGGGGTCAAGGTACAGCATTAGTTGCTGAAGAAAAGAAGGAAGATGGTCTAACACTAATGGCTCAATCTATTGCCATTTTAGAAGACGTCAAAGGTGTTGTTCATTCAGATGTTGCCGAAAAATACTTGTCTATGGCTACTGTTTACAGTAGAATTGGGTTGATTCCTGAAGCCATTGCCTTCTGTCGTAAAGCTTGTGTGATTTACGAAAGAACCGATGGTATTGATTCCTTTGAATTACTAAGGGCATTGAACAATCTGGCTCTTTTGGAATTATCAAACGAATCTCCACTTAATGCAGCATCGATTTACAAGAGAATCATTGAAATATCTACAATCTTTGAATTGAAAGAGTTCCATCACCCAATTACTGCAAGTATTTTCAACAATTTGGAGCAAGTAGCCCTTGGTACCAGTAATATGAAATTGACCGTTGAAGTATTAAACAACTTGGCTGAGATTATTGTCAACTTGGATGGTAAGGATAACGTTGCATATGGTTTCACTGAATCTCGTTTAGGTAACTTATGTGCCTCTACTAAGGAATACAATGCAGCTTTAGAACATATTGTTCATGCCGAAAATGTTTTCACCAAGGAGTTGGGTAGTAACGATCATTTTACTGTCTCTGCCAAACAATGGATCAATGGTTTAACCAACTTGTTGAACGATCTACGTCAACAAAAAATCTTAAAACAAGACCAAGATGCAGCTGATAGTTCTCCAGTGGTTCCTCATGGGAAGAAAGCTCACTCAAAGAAACAACCAGCCTCTAATCCAAAACTAGCTGAGAAATCCGTCGATGAGTTATTGAATTTTATTGAAGGAGATGAGCATAAGAAATCTTCCAATGGCTCTAAGAATCAAAAGAAGAAGAACGGTAAGAAATAAGCTTTTCGAAAATTTTGGAGGACTAAAGTTTTATTTTTTACTTCAAAAAATGAAGTTAGCAATATTAATAGTAATTCATGATTTCTCTGTTTGTATATATATATATATATATGTATTTAATGTCATATGCATAAATTGTGTAGTCTTTGAATATATTACAAAACACTATGGTATATAAGATAAGCGAATGGGAATAAAAAATGTTTATAAGAATTAGTAAGTGAATAAATATTCACAAATTAGCATGAAAGAAGGAATTAAAATATTATCGTTTAGTATACTGTTCCCTTCAAGTACGCCCGATAAGAGACACATCAGAGCAATTATTAAAGTGGAAACATTTTGAAAATAATTGAGCGAAGATTGTAGAATTTTACAAACGATAAAAGTCGAACTTATGAATGCAATTGTACCTTCAATAGTCTTATTACTTTGTGGCCAATGGTACCTGCCCATTTTCTTACCAACAATAGACGCTAGGGAATCCCCTATCCCTAAGCTGATCAATCCTACTGGAGAATTATGAACCAGTAGAGGGAACGCTATTCCTAAGATTAAATATATGTATGAAATGATCAATGGACCTTTCAAGTCTCTTTCGTCTGCAAATGATCTTAGTTTTGAATCCAAATAGGAGCCTATAGGTTCTATTTTCAAATATCTAATGTATTCTATACATAGAAACAATGGGATAATACCTGCTAAAGCAATTTTAACAAATTCAGGATCATACTTGAAAGGGATTGTAATCATTAGGAAGACTAAAAAATGCCATAATTTTCTTGAAGTGTTTAAGGTAACTTTTGATTGAAACACCATGAATGTAGGAACCAAAATAGCCACTAACGTGAACCATCCAATAAATATACATTGTCTTATTGTAGATCTAGTGATATAATTGAATAACCATTCTAAAGGAGACTTGTGTTCTGGGATATAAATAAAATAGTTAGTTAGCATTGGGAACCCACAAATAATGACACTTGATTGCGTCAATGAAAGGATGTATCGATGTGAATTAAGCCAATTCTTTGCCAACTTAGAGATCGAATAATTAATTATAATAACACATATTAAAGCAGACAACGTCCCATGTAAGATTCTAAACGGCACAGACGTTGAATTATAATTAAAATAAAAAACATTTGTTAGCATAATACTAAACAAATTACAATCTATGTTATCTAAACTTTTCAATTGTCCAATTCTTTGTAAGAAAATAGATAAACTAAAATTCACCAAAATGGCAATTATTGAATAACTTAGATCATGATCGTCAAAGAAATAACAACATAAGATTTGAGTGGAAAAAATGATAGGCAAGTTATAAATACCATTGGAAATGTTATACAATATAATAACGTTTAATGATAATATGGTATTTATGGTAACCAATGATCTATTAAAACAAAATGATAGGATGAAGGGTAAATATATGGCGTAAATCACTTCGTACTTATAACAGACATGTTTATAAGTTCGCAATATGAACATTTGGAATACACCAACAATAGCTAAACAGTGAGTGAAGAGTATATATTCTGTTTTGATAGTGGTCTTAAAATGTATTACTCCGATAGTCATACCGATAATTATACTTTGAACAATTTTAGCAAACATATTACCATTATAAGGAGAAGGAGGTGAGTCATGTACATGTTCAATATCACGTTTCTCACTAGTAGAACCTGTCATCTTTTCCTTGGGATTGAGGCCAGAATATAATTTAGTTTCTGCCGCACACGTCATATTCACCAGGCCTTATTTGAATAAAAGTGCTCTGTGTATAATATATTCCAATAAATAAACCAAACCAGACTTAACCTGCGTTCCACTCAAGCCACCCTAACAGTAATACCCAAGATCAAACTTATCCAATTGTCTTCCCACCAACAATTGAGGTAAGACTTGTTCTTATCTAGTTGAGCATTATGTGTCCTTCGTAATCACCTTACCAAAACAGCAGACAGATAAATTTCACTTACCCTCACCCATTCACCAAAAGTTGCAATGTGCAACCCGATGCCCTAACAAAAAAAATGAACTGAAAAATTTCGTTTTCCGTCGCCGAAAATTTTTTCGTTTTCTCGTTTCTGAACGACGAAGGAATTCTGCGACATATAAAAAGAGGCAGACAAGAGCCAGGATTAGCATGAATAAATCTCTTTCCCTTCACTTATTTATTATAAAGTTTTTCTGGATGTGTATATGTTAGACAATAACAGAGAAACTTAACAAGGGAGTTTCTGATATCTATCTTGATTCAGTGCTAGGATTAAAAGAAAATTAAATGATAACAAAAAGTGCAAGGAATTATATTTTTGCTTCTTTCTTCGTTTTGTATGAGATATTTTTTTTTGCTATTCGGAGTATCTTTCCTTTGATGACCAAAATCAAATTTTACAAACTAGAGTTTCTGAATCTTTTTAGTGATTAGACGTTGATATATAGCTGAGGCGATTCTCTAATATTTGGAAATAATATCTTTTTGAAGAAAGGAACGAATTTTAAAATACAGTTGTATTTTAATATTTCCTGATTGTTAGAATTTTCTTTTTTTATTATTCCTAAAAAAGCAAGTTTTTATTAATGTGTTGGTTTTACATGATGATCATTTCAAAAACAAAAGCTGGAATTACTGGCTGAACGAGTACATGTTGATACGTTTTTGCACTATATCTGATTTAAACTACACATTAATAATATTTTTTGTTTTATTACCTAATTTTAAATTGATAAGAAATAGTTATTTCATATCGGCTTAAATATAGTTTAATTACCTCTATTTTATTTTCTGTTCAGAAATTAGGAATAAATGAAGATGACGATTTATAGCACTGGGCACTGATATAAATAAAATATTTATTTTCATGAGTGACAACGCTTTAAGTGGGCCTAGAAAACCCACGCTACCGATTCATATTTATTTCAAAAAATTATGAGGTTTAATGTTTATTGAATTCAGCCGAATACTTTAGACTTTCCTTCAGTTTTTTTAATGGTATTTTGAAAGGGATGAGAAAGAATATACCAAAACAAACTCAAATGCTTTGAACAAATTAAGTGATGATACCCTTTAGATGACGAGTCTGATCCATGAAGTGAAGACACATCTAAATTAATACCATTCATGCCTTTCTGATTTTATTTGTTTAAACATTTTTGTTATTTCTTTCTTCATTATTTTATTTGATTGAAATTTTCATGTCACTTTTGATAAAAGAGGATTTAATGAATCCATTAGTTAATGGATATCTTTCTTTTTGATATTGATGATGGCATTATTCTATCATAATAATTTACAATTTTTTTTTTTTGAAAACTCTTTTGGCAGACGATGAAACAATTAACTCAAATAGACAAGCATATGTCTGAGAATTTATTTTTTATGAAGTATAAGAGGAATATTGTCTGATGCTATTAAGTTACTGTTGTTTCGTCTCCTTTAGCTAAAGGATTCATTCAACAACATCACCAGAAAACAAAATGATTATTAATCAATTTGATTTTGAAAAAATGTTATGTTTATGATGATTTATTTACATCACGACGGTCAACTGCGTTTATCGAATGTTTATCGATAAACTGTGATGATATTTGCCTGTGACAGGGCAATGATCTGATCCTAACATTAACATTCCATATCATTTAATGGTTATTTTCTAAATTTTCTGTGGATGTATTTTGTTTTTCAAAAGAAACGTACAATTGTACTTGATAAGAATATCTATTTTGAGTTCAAAGTATTTCTTGTCAAGTGGAACCTTGTTATGTATATATATAAATATTTTGGGAGATGATGATACTTTCTTGAGCTTAGTATTCTTTACTAACACTTTCTGATAGTTGTATATTTTACAATTACTGAAGATATGTCTCAATAAATGATTTGCACGTCAGTCTGATCCTCCTCCTCTTATTATTTCTCTTATTATTTCTTCTCTTCTGGTTCTTCATATTCTTGATGATATCTTGATACTAAATTTATTTGGATAATACACCCATCCACCTAAACTACTTGGAAAATTTTTCGTTTCTTCGCTAACAGAAATATTTTACAATTCCGATGCTCATCGCACAACCATAAAAGTATTTCAACAGAGATAGAGAGATACATATAGATATATTGAAGGTCTTTATTACTATAAGTAAATCTGGTATAGGAGCAACAATAAATTATAAGTATTTGAAATCAACTCTACAACATGTCAAGGGAAAACTTGATCTTCAAACTGGATAATCTGGAGTATCAGATCCATTACTTGCAAGATACACTTCAAAATTTTCAACCACGTTTACCTCACACGAGTAAACTTTATAATGTTAAAGGAAGAAAAAATCAAAAACGACTACAACAGAAATTGAGTTCATTGAATGAAGAGACGTTGTCGAAGGAAATAGATTCTTTAAAAGTCACTATCTTGGACAATAAGATACATAATGCAGAAAAACATTTAACTAATATTTTGCAAAAGGCAGTCACAGATGATACACGTAAGAAGATCAAATCATCGTCAACCTCTGTTAACACTGTTGATGAATTTATCGATAGCATCATTGTTTCAAAACTATTAAAATTGACACGAGGCAGAGTGATGAAGATGGTTCATCAGAGACAATTGGATGGTATACCGAGTTGGTACGAACATCATGAGTTCGAAAAGATATGGAATGAGAAAACTAATAAGAAGAACCCCAGTTATGTATGGAATGAAATTGTCCTGAAGATAGACGGTGCAGCAAAATTTGCCAGTTCTACGATGAATATGGGGAAAGTGAAAGAAATTATGTCTACCTATGAGAATGGTATTAATGTCTTACTAGGTATTGCAGTAAGAGAACCAAAACCTGCCGAAAAGAAGAAGGTGATCGTTGAAGAGAAAGAATCTGCGTCTGAAGACGATGAAGACGATGATGCCGAAGAAAATATCAGTATTGAGGATGATTTGGTCCCAGATCAGGATATTGATGAAGATACATTGAAACAATACGATACATTATTAGCCGATTCGGATGCCGAGAGTGGCTCGGAAGTAGGTAATGGATTAGATAACAATATTAATTACAACGAAGTTACAGATGAAGAACCTAGTGATGATGACGATGAAGAAGATAATGGTACTACAGAAAAGAAATATAACTTGCCTCAACTGATGAATGGTTATTACAGTGGTGATGATGAAGAGGCATCAGATCTAGATGAACATGAAGAAAAGCTTGTACGTGCACAAACAGAAGCACCTGAAAAAAAGAATAGACGTGGTCAACGTGCTAGAAGAAGAATATGGGCTCAAAAATACGGTCGTGAAGCAAATCATGTTCAACGTGAGATCGAAGAGAAGAAAAATGAAAGAGAGAAAAGACAAAGGGAATATGAAGAACGTGTAGAGAAACGTGCAGCCAAACAAGCTAAATCCGATAAAGTTAATGCTAACTTAATTCCAATTGCGAATGCCAAGAAAATGGGTGGAAACTATAGTAGTTCAGATACTGTTGGTAAAGAAACTTTTGTCGTTAAGAGCGTCAATGAGAATCATCCTTCTTGGGTTGCTAAGATACAAGCAGAAGAAAAATTGAAAAATGCTAAATTTTCTGGTAAGAAGATTACATTTGATTAACAATCTTGAGAATAATTCATATGCAATAAATATAAATAAAATAATAATAATTTTTTTTTAAAAAAAAATAAAAAATATAATAAAGTTTGTCACATATGTTTATAATATAAATAATTGTATAAAGAAAATAAATTAAAATTAAATGAATAAAAAAAAACACTCAGAAGAGATTTGGAGGGGTTGTCATTTCATGGAGGGGGGGGTCGTAGTTGTCAATGAAGAACTATCTATTCAGTAACTTCACCGGTGATTGGGTCTCTCTTCTTGAAAGTCAATAATAAATCATCCTTAGGGAAGATAGTAGCAAAGACTTTAATCTTTTCAGACAAAGGAGTAACTGTATGTTCGAAGTCGGTGTATAATGCAAACTTACCGATCAAAGCGGCGAACAAGATCATGACGTAAGTTTGACCAATACACACATGAGGACCACAACCAAAGACTAACCAGTTCTTCTTAGCTTCACTTGCCTTTGAACCTTCAACCCATCTTTCAGGAATGAATTCTTCTGGATTGTCATAAACTTCAGGGTCATGTAAAGATGGATATAGAGTTGGAATCAACATAGCGCCCTTTGGAGCAGTATAATTTGGAGTCACTGGGAAGTTTTGTTTAACGACGTATGGGACCATTAAGACAGGAGGTCTGTAACGTAAAGTTTCCTTGATAACCATGTTAGTGTAAGTCATGTTGTTAATCATATCCATGTCTACTCTCTTTTCCGGTTGACCATCACGAACAGCCAATTGTTCTTCTCTAATCTTAGCTAAGACATCTGGTCTATCAGCGACAATTTGGAATAACCAACAAGCCAAAGAGGAGGAAGCATCTTGAGAGGCAAATAACATAGTGAAGATAGCTTCGGAAATTTCTTTGTTTGAAAATTCTCTATGTAATAATCTTGAATCTTCATCGTTCTTGTTCTTAGCATCATGCATCAATTTACACCAAGCGTCCATGACACAAACGGATTCACCACCAGCAGCAATATGATCCTTAGCTTGTTGAGCACAATCTTCAAAAATCTTCATAGCCATATCAGCTGTTCTCTTACCGTACCAAGTCTTTGTGAAAGGAATAATAATTGGGAAATTAACTAATTCCAAAGCGGCAGTAACTAAATAGTAATCATCGGCGACTTTTCTAATTTGATCTTCGGTGATATAGTTACCACAGAAAGCTCTTAAGGATAAAGCACATAAGATTTCTCTCATTTCATGGAAATAAATGGTTGGTTCATAATTTTTATCCTTCGAATATTCAATGAATTTTTCCATATATTTATCGATGACATCTTCCAAGGATGGCAGATATTGAGCCAAAGAAGTACGAGTGAAAAGACCGTTCAATGATTTTCTGTAGTCGGTATGAGCTTTACCATCCAAGAACACCCAATTTTGAGGTCTTAGGATTTTAACCGCAACATCCACGACACAAGGCTTAACATATTTAGTAGCTTGGAAAATTTTTCTAGAGATATCTCTTGTTGAAGAGATGACAACGAATTTATGAAAGATCGAAACACATGATAATTCACCAGAATCCCATTTAGCTTTATATTCTTCGAATTTTGGATCTAAAGATTCTAAGAATGGACCGATAATAGGATATATCTTAAATCTCGGACCTGCAATAGAACCTTTCTTTTGAATGTATGAGACTTGATCCCATACAAGAACGACAGCAATGAAAGTTATGAATAATCTCAAATATGAGACATCCTGTAGAAATGACGACGATGAGCCAGCATCATAAGCAATTGTAGAATTCATTATTAACGAATTGTAGTTTTTGTAATCTGGTTTATTAATCTTATGTAATAAAATAAATTAATAGTATTAAAACTAATAGAACTACTCTAAAACAGGTTTTCCTTTAATCTATAAATCAATTGTATCTTTCCTCTATTTATATGAAAAATAGTATCAAGTTTTGCGAAAACCTTTTCCATTATGTCTGTCTCTCTTCCTTGCAATATTGCTATTATCGCTATTACTGTCAATCTAAACGAGTTGCGATAGTTGCGGTGATCAATCCCACGAAACTAAATTACCAAAATCCTCTTCCGCCCCCGCAGGAACAGCACCAACAGCTCAGCTCAGCAACTGAATTTTTTTCATTTTTGCACCTAAACGACGACAACGACAGACCCGGCCAGAGAAACCGCGCAGGCCTGCTCCCCTCCCCCAAAGAAATCCGCAATTTTCGGCCGAAGCGTATATCGCACTGTGCGGGCAGAAATCTCCGTCGGCGCCGACGGAGACAACGGAGAATTCTCCGCTGTTGCTGGCAGTTGCCTGGACTGGGATTGTTAACTGGTTCGAGTTGATCGATGATCACCTTATCCAATGGGTAACGATCGATGGGGGGAGGGTGTCGGCGATGAGTTAATGGTGCTTCTGTGCTTTTGGAAGGCACATCTGTATGTGAACAATGCTATGGTATGGTATTTGTAGTTGCGTATGGGCGGGGGACTATGTATGTGTTCTATATAAATTTGTATATACGTGGTGTGGGGGGCAGCGGGGCCAGGATATCGTCACTACCTGCTGGTATTACCACTACTGGAGTTTGTAGATGTAGTAGGCTGGATGGTGGACGGTTGAGGTGGACGGATTCCAACTGCTAACTGTCCGACGTTTCTGGTCAACTGTTGTGGTAATGGAGCATACTGTTGCTGCTGTTGCTGCTGCTGTTGTTGGACTTGCTGTTGGACTTGTTGTTGTTGTTGATGTATTTGTTGCTGTTGCATCAGATGCTGTGTATGTAATTGTTGCAAATGTAATTGTTGTGCGGAAAACGTCGGAGCTGGTGTAGTGGAAGCAGTAATGGACCCACTATTGCTATTGTTATTATGTAGTGGTGTAGTTGACGTAGATGGAGGCAATGCAGTTTGCATCGATAAAGCTAGTGGCAATTGGGCATTAGACATCGACACTGGAGGCAAAGGCAAAGGCAAAGGCAATGGCATATGCATATGCATAGGCAATTGTGTTGATGTAGAAACAGGGGCGCCGGTACTAGTACTCACTGGGGTGTGAGAAGGTTGATATGCAGTACGAGATGCTGGACGACTGATAATAGGCTGGGATGTGGCGGTGGCAGTAGTGGAGGCGGTAGCCGGAACTGTGCTTGTGATTGCCGCAGTCGCAGAAGGTGGACGTTCGCCTCCTCTTAGGACCCGGTCGATGTCTCTAACAAACAATGGGTACAACAGCCCAACGATCTGTTCTCTTTCTGCCATCACTAAAGCTCTTTCGAATGGAATCCATACACCTTTCAAATGCATGGAGCCGATCTTCACTACATGTCTAATCTTTTCAGCTTTCAAGATCCCATCACGCTTCCCTCTAGTCATCTTTGTCACATTCAACAATTTCGTACCATTAATCATATCATTATCTGCACGACGGACCACCGAGACTCCATTGGCTTTCACTTGATAACATAGAGTGGATTCGTCCTCCCACATAGTGGTGGTGACCCTCGGTACTTGCTGGCCAGAGTCGTTAACTATATCGTAGGATTGAACTATCCCCATGTTTTGCTGTGTCGTGTCCCAATCGGCACGAGTAAGTCGAGGCGAATGAATCAATGTGTTACTATGATGAGATTCTCTAGAGAGTGTGTCACGAGTGTGCAGTGGTGAAGTACTAGAGAATGCCAGTGGATGACCAGTGGCAGTGGCAGCAGCGGCAGTGGCAGCAGCAGCATCTGCAACTGCAGCATTGACGTTAACGGTGTCTCTACTGTTGGTTGGAACTGGGTGTAATATATGTCCTTGTCCTTGTTGTTGTTGGAAACCGGGATATGTATAAGTCGATGGACCTAACTTGTTAGCAAACGCAGGAGATGTGGATCTACTGATGGAATCCGCAGTCATACCATCTATCCCCAAAGAACCCATCAATGATTGTCCACTCAATACTGACGACGTGTTTGTAGATTTATTATCTTCTAAACGACGTTGAGTCAATCCATTTTCACTGGGAGGTCTCTCCAACAATGGCAAAGTCGAACTAGTGGTTGCAGCAGTAGTTGAGGCAGCAGTAGGATAGTACTGTTGCATCTGCATGATAGGAATAGTCTGTTGCTGCTGCTGCTGTTGTGGAAGCATCTGTTGCTGTTGCTGTTGAGGTAGCAAGTGTTGCAACGGTGTGTTTGCACCATTAGAAGTAGTATTGTTGTTGTAGTAGTAGTATGTGAGAGGATGAGGATGGATATCCTCGTTAACAGTGGGATAATGCACATTCATTCCAGATTGTAATCTTGAGTCTCTCTCGTTCTGATGCATGATGGTTCTATAATGATCTACCTATTCTCCAAGTTTTAAAAAAGTATTACGATCTCTGTCTACTATATATATATAGATATATGTACATATATATCATCCAACCTCAATGTTTTCGTCGTCTTCAAATTGCTTTTCGCTGGACCTCTGCACAGAATGGGTGCCATCACTGAGTGTGTCTATAGCTCATCCATGCATCGATCAAAAGCTTATCGAGTCACAGACGAGAACAGCCCATCGACCAACGCAAAAAAGTCTGCGAGAAAAAGAAAAGAGAAAAATTTTCAGTTAGGGCGTGGGGTTAGGGTTCGTGGTGCGTGATAGTTAGTGTGCCTGTGCCGGAGTTAGGGCTTGATAGGGCTTGCGATGCTAAGGTTGGTGAAGTTGAGGCTGATGAAGTTGATATCGAGGTTGAGGTTAATGAGGTCAATGAGGTTGATGAGATGTATGCTGACGATGCTGATGAGAGCGATGAGGTGTCTGGGAGGGGGACGTCTTTGATGAAGTTAGTGCTGATGAGAGGAGGGACGTGGTTGATATTGATGAGGTTGATGGTACGTGGGTTGCTGACCCGACACGCACGCTCATCATCACAATACTTGACCTGACCAGTGATCTTGCATCGTTGCTGTCACCGTTCATCCTTCATTGGGACCTGTCGAACCGCACCGTCGCGCGCCTTTGACGTCGTTTGGCTGGGAATTTCCAGTTTTTACATAATCTACTATTATATAATATGGGGAAACCGATTCATAGACATCGATAGGGATAAGAGACAGCAGACCATCCTCTTTCGAGTACGACATTGATAATTCCAAGAAGAGAAGAGATGAGCTCAGTGGAGAATTCGCCATCGGCAGGTCCCGGTTCGTCTGGTTCGTCTGGTTCCTCGCCACGGAAGCGGATCAGAGTAGGCAAAGCTTGTGAGACCTGCAGGAAAAGGAAAGTGAAATGCGATGGGACGTCACCTTGCCATAACTGTATTGCTCATCAAGTGGCTTGCACTTACGATTACTCGTCAGCGAAACCACGAGGGAAATACAAAAAAAAACCGAAAGTTATCAAGACTATGGGATTTCATGATACGAATAGTGTTTATTTAGAGGATCAAACTGCGAAATTGTTGTTGCAATTAGGCTCAAAATTGGATTCTAATAACAGTAACGAACAGGATAACGACGATGGAATTGCTTCGACCACTACAAGAAATATGAGTGCTAGTATTAGTAACACAATTGCTCTAGACGAGGACGACAATAATGAAGATTATGATGAGTCCAGTCGGAGAACAGAGAATGTCTCACCTTGGTTTTGTTACTCTTATGAAAAATATAGATTCCATACAAGGTATCAGAATATCTTACCATTTGTGTTTGGTAACTCTGCAATCTCTGATTTACCTCACGATGTCATCATTTCAAATAATTTAGAGGTACCTCGTGTTCAAAATTATGGTTGGAACTTATCGGGTGGCCATTATTTGAAATTGAAATCGATGAATGCTCAGGATCTTCAAATTGAAATATTAAATTTCGACAATCCAATACATGTATCAATAGTGAAAAAATTATTAACTTATTATTTTAATAGTATCAATAAACCACTTTCAATCATCCATGAAAAGATGTTTTGGCAACAATTTAATAATGGGTTTCTTCAACAACGAAAGACAAACACAAAATCAACAAAATTGTTTCTCTCGATATTATATTTATTGCTTACCATTGCCCTTAGATTCCATGACGGTGAAACAGTTACGACATCCCGAATAGATTTCACTATGGATGAATGGACATATTTGACTAGTAATGCGAGAAAATTAGAGAGTCGTTTATTTAGTTACAGTTATACAGTGGTAACCAAGCTAACTTTTGAATGGGAATCCTTCGAATTGATGCAATCGTGGCTCCTGATGGCATTTTATTTAAGATCATCTCATAGGCAAATTGCCGCTTGGAATGCACTCAGTAAAGCCATTACAATGTGTAAAGGGATGTCTCTAGAGTTGAACCGGTTACCAACAAAACATAAACCTGGAGATGTCACGAAATCATGGCATTGCTTTTGGCTTTGTTTCATCATGGATAAAATGATTAGTTTCCAAGTTGGAAGAAGATATCAATTGGATTTACCCGTCGAATCAATGGTTAATCCACAGGAATACTACAAGGACGGAAATGAAGAATGGTTCCATGATGAAACGATTCAAATGTATCAATTATCATTATTGATTGTACAATATCAAAAACCATATAGTCGAGAATTAACCGTGTCTGAATGCAACGAATTTAGATCAAATTTAAAACAATGGCTTGCTACACAATTGAAAGGTAATCTTTATAATCTAATGACATCAAATTTCACTGCATGGCAAATCCAACCGTTAATGACATACTTAGATATTGCTTTGACGTTCGAATGTAAATCTGTATTATCTTTATTAAACCCACCAAATGATAAACTATCGAGTCCACTAGAGTTCAATGTCGATTTCGATTCATTGTTGTCTACAAGTGAATTGGCATTATCTATCTTAGAGAAATTAAATAGAGGGAACCTCTATTTTGTCCCATGGTGGTTAAATCTATCTCTACTATTTACAATAAGTATCACAAACTTGGTACTAACCCATTCTGGGATACGTCGCCAAACACCAAAAAATAATTTGGAGAGATGCATGAGTCTATGGAATAACCTTGAGTCTGCGAGACCAAGAAATCCACCAAGTATGCTAGCGCAATGCATTTGGTGTTTAAAGATGTTAAATTACATATCGTGTTTAAGATTGGTAAATACAGCCCAGATATTGAGAAATACCATTGGAGTTGATCTGAAGGATAATACTCCAAATAAGAACAATTTCCACCAATTTAGTAAAGCTGGAGAAGAAGGCGCCGATGAAGAAGCCAATGAGACAAACCAACAACAATCACCACGACCACCACCATCATCATCATTAGCACAGGAACTGGCTCCATTACATCAAAGAACTGTTCCTGGGATAGTAGGACAGGTGCGGACTAATGGAAATCCGAACCTTTTAAATATATTAGCACCAATGAACAACATGTCATACCCAAACGTATCGGATATTACACCCACGGCCACATCAGGAATGCTAAATGGTACTGTGAATTCTACACCTTCCGATCTACTCGAGGATGACCTGTTTGCTAATCTACAATGGTTTGATCAAACGTTCGTATAGGCTATTCATTATATAATATTACCGCAATACACACACACACACACATCTATATATGTTAAAGACGGAACACTTATAACAGTGAAATACCAATACACTAAGGGATGGTATCCGATCACACACCAACAGGTGATGGCCCCCCTCTCCTGAAGATGATTACCTTCCGTTTTGCATGCCCTGCCATTGTCTTCCTTTGCTGTGTGACGTACCAAAGAAATCCTCGAGATGCTGAAAAATTTGTCTGTTCGTTCCGGAGGGACATCGCATGTCTTTCTGTAGTGATGGCGAAATGAGGGACAGAACGAATGAACTTCGAGGATATTTGAGCAAGGGATGGGACTTTGGAGATGTTTTTGATGTCAATTTAACCTTTTGTCATATATATATATATAAGCTTATCTTTCTTCTAGTAACGTTGTGTTTAAGAACTTCCGGACTTTGAGTTTTTAGGTAAAATACAAGGGGAGACTACAGACAAAATCCAATACAAGAAACACAAATCAATATTATAATGAGTGTGGTTATTATCGGTGCTGGTATCTCTGGCCTAAAGACTGCATCGGCATTATACATGCATGGTGCTAAAAATATTAAAGTGTTAGAATCCAGAGGAAGGATTGGTGGGCGTTTACAAACTGTCACTGGGTTCGATGGTATTAGAAAGTACGATTTAGGGGCTAGTTGGCATCATGACACACTTTGTAATGACTTGTTTTCTGAAGGTGTGGAGGCTGGTGAGAAATACATATTTGATGATGATTTCTTTATTTATATCGATAAAGAACGTGGTAGAGTGGATAGAGATTCCGAGATGAGGTTGGAGATTATCGATCGAGAGATCAATAAATATACTGATATAGAATATTATCAAAAATTAGGTTCAAAGGATGTTTCATTCCAAGAATTAACAACAAAATATTTGTTCGAAAAGAGAAAATATCTGACCGATGATCAAATTAGATATTCTGCTCAAGTTAGTAGATACCTAGAATTATGGCATGGTATCGATTGGAAACAATTGAGCGCTAAGGACACATATTTTGGTCATCAAGGTAGAAATGCAATGGCTTTAAATTATGATAGTACAGTAGATCGTATTGTGAAGACTTTCCCTAAAGAAATCATTGAATTAAATACTGAGGTTAATTCTGTGAAACAAGACAAAAACAGAGTGATTATAACCACCAAAGATAACAAGAAATATGAGGCTGATTATTGTGTGGTCACTATTCCTCAAAGTGTATTGGAATTATCAATCAATGAATCTGCTAAACAAGAAACTGGTAGAATCGAATTTGATCCTCCATTAAACAATAATATTAGAAAAGGTTTCAAAAGTGTTCATTTTGGTGGTCTCGGGAAAGTGATTTTCGAGTTTGAAAAGATCTGTTGGGATAGAAGTGATGCTAAGATTGTAACTTTAGCTCAAACTTCAGGTTCTTTTGTTGATGCTGTTCGTCAAGCAAATACTTTCGACGATTTATTAAGATATATGGATAAAGAGAACTCTAGAATGGTCACTAGGGATTGTTGGAATCAACCATTATACTTCAATAACCTGGCCAAGGGCCTTGACATGGCTAGTTTTATGATGTTGATGCAATCTCCATTGACTGAATACATCGAGTCAATCCAAGATGATAAGGATAAAGTCTTCAACTTTTTCCAACCTGCTTTAGACTCGGTATTAAAATCATTAGGTGCAAAAAATGTTGTAAATGGTATGAACGATTTGAAACTAACTTTCGAAGATAATGTTCCTGTTCTACGTAATGTTATTGTCACCAACTGGACTCAAGAACCTTATTCTCGTGGTGCGTACACTGCCTGTTTCCCAGGTGATGACGCTCTTGACATGATCGTTGCATTGGATAGAGGTCAATCGTCTCGTATCAGATTTGCAGGTGAACATACTGTCATGGATGGTGCTGGTTGTGTATATGGTGCATGGAAAAGTGGTCAACGTGAAGCTGATTATATCGCAGAAAGAATGAACTTACAATAACTAATAAGGAAGATAATTTATCAAATTATTATTTTATATAAATATAAATATATAAATATTTTTTTTTTTAAAATAAAGGAAAGATTGTTTATAAATGGTTAAAAGCCTGATTCTTTAGTTTATTTACATAATGGAGTTATAATAATTATATATATCATTATTTTGAATTACAATTTTCATTAAATCACATAAAATCCTTCTAAATCATTAAATGGAAAATCGTCGGTATGTGCATCTAATAGTTCATTTTGATAGCTGGTTAATAATTTATCAAACCAGTTCTTCATATCGATGGATTCTAATTCTGAGTCAGCCATGGTTGGAACCTTCACAGCTAGGAAATTCCACCAATATTCAGATGGTATCAATTTATTATTATATTTTATTATTGTCTTTCTTCTTAATTTACAATTTAATATACCATGGAAATAAAATTTCTCAAATGGTATTATTTCTGTTGGATGAACGAAACAATCTGCACAATTACAATCTGTCAAAGTACAGTTACAACTTGAATTACTACATGTAGTAGGTATCTCCTCTCTATTATCTATATCGTCATCTGAAGAATGTAAACTGGTTAACGGTACACCGCTCCTTTGGATATATGATGTCAGTTCATCCTCATTTCTATGTATCAAACAATTCAAGCATTGACATTTATCATCAGCACAAGAACAATCTGCACTCAAATAGATACCTTTATGGGTGAAAACATCAACCGTATCGTTCTTAGGATCAAAAATATCATTAAACAATTCACTACCATTCATAGAGGGCGTATTATTAGATGTATTTGAGGTTCCTATACTCGACACAGGCGATGTCACATTTAATCGATTGCCAGCATTAAATACATTACCGAACAAAGATTCTTGCAGCCGTATCTCTTCATCTGACAAGATATCTGGCAATTGTCTTATATGATTGGGATCACAACATTTTCTTTTGCTATCATTATCAATAAATGTATCATTAGCCTCTCTTTTGAATGGAACAGCTACCGTAGTATTTGCTGTAGTAGTGCCGGAAGTACTTCCTTTTTTAGATGAATCATCTATAACATGTCTCTCATTACCATGTTTTGATAAATAATCCCTCTCTGACATATATACCATTGAATTTAGTCTCTTTCTAGCCTTTTCGGTATCATTTAATCCCGTATCATCCTCCTTATTATCTCCTGATCTTGAATTAGAATCATGGTTCATATCAGTGTTTCCATTAGAGTTGATTTCTGTTGTTTTTTTATCTGTAGATTTATCGTCGATAATAATATTTAATTTCCCATCCACAAGCATGGCTTTCTTTGTCTGCTTAGCCCTAACAAACAGGATAGGTTGAGCAGTCATCATCTTGTTATTGGAACAACCACCTTTTGATTTATCAGTCCCATTATCCTCTTGACAAACCTCCTTGTTATGTTTATTGGCCGCATCATAACTCTCTTGCAGTAACTTATTCTTCATTTGAGAATCCATATCGACCATAATCACATCTCGTATATCAATAGGCGAAGGTCTTCCTCTAGTTCTCACCTTGACTAACATCCTTTTAGTGTGTCTACAGGTTGAGGAACGATGCCCTCTAATGCATGAGGAGCAAGAATACTTGGAACCGTTATAAATAATCATTATCTCACAGTTATCTTCCAGACTTTCCTTTTATAGTGACAGTCTTCGTTGCCTTAGATATGCTTATATCTGTTATCTTTACGCTTTATTTTAGTGGCAATTGTTACTGAAAGTTGTCTTTCTTTTCCTCTTTCTCGATGTATGTTAACTCTTTTATAATTCGCTTTTCTGCTTCCATAGGGCGTATCACAAGATTTGCCACTTTTAACGACAAATATTAAGAAGAACTGTCAATATCAACATTAAAAATCTCTCTTTTCTTGTAATGTCATTGATACTCTATTCAAAGAATCGTTCAAGTTCTTCGAAAAGCACTCTAGTGATTTAAATAGTATTTGGTCTGAGGTTGAGGCATTTTACTACTTAGAAACAACGACCAAAGAGGTATCATTCTACAACGTAAGCAGTAAGCAATACTTTAAAGGGAGAAAAATATGTCAAAGACAGCTCAGAAACGTCTATTGAAAGAGTTACAACAACTAATTAGAGACTCTCCACCAGGTATTGTGGCTGGTCCAAAATCAGAGGATAATATATTTGTCTGGGATTGTTTAATTCAAGGGCCTCCAGATACTCCATACGAAGGAGGTGTCTTCAACGCAGAATTACATTTCCCAAAAGATTATCCACTATCTCCACCAAAATTAATATTTACTCCCAGTATACTCCACCCAAATATCTATCCAAACGGCGAGGTATGTATATCAATCTTGCATTCTCCTGGTAACGATCCACACATGTATGAATTAGCTGAAGAAAGATGGTCCCCTGTACAGAGTGTCGAAAAGATTTTATTGAGCGTGATGAGTATGTTGAGTGAACCAAATATTGAAAGTGGTGCCAATATTGATGCTTGTATACTTTGGAGAGACAATAGACCCGAATTTGAAAGACAAGTTAAAATGACAGCTTTGAAATCCCTGGGATTTTGAGTTTCATTCTTACATACATACACATACATACATATATATATATATAAAGTACCACTATTTAATGATATAAAGGATAAAAAAATCAGATATGAATAAAAAGGTTAATAAGAATATTGTTCATTATAATATATGTTCAGATATATACAGTTTTAAAACGTTTCTATTTACCAACACAGAAAGTTGAAAAGACAACTCCAAGAACTTCTTCAACACCAACATGCGAACCAGTGATTTTACCGATCCCATCTATGGCATACTTTAAATCTTCAGACGCCATAACCACATCGTTTCCTAATTTTTTGGCCATTAAAAATGAATCGAGGCCATACAAAACATCATTATGAAGGATCTCCCTAATTCTTTGTGAGACAGTGATTGAATTATTTTGTTCATCAACCAAAGCCAGATCTTTGAATATTCTAATTAGTCCCGTTATTAAATTTTCAATACCTTCTCCAGTATTACAAGACACAGGAAGTACGACGCTTCTACCCTTAAAAGTATTCTGTAAATGATCCATAATAATATTGATCTTTTCGGAGTCCATTAAATCAATTTTATTCAAAACAATTAATAAAGGTTTGTCTTTAAACATTTCAGAGTTAACTAGTTCAATAATCTTGGGATCTGTGATTCCACCCTTAGATGAATCAACCACAATCACACACACATCACTTCGTCCACCCTTCAACATGGCTCTCTCAATACCTATTTGTTCTATCTCATCCTCTGTATTCCCTCTAATGCCTGCAGTATCACAAAAAACGATCTTGTAGCCTTCCAAATCCATTACTCTATCAATTGTATCCCTGGTAGTCCCTGGAATATTACTCACAATCGAAACATCATCCTTAGCTAAAGTATTAAGTAAAGATGATTTACCAACATTGGGTTCACCTATTAATGCTAATTTTAGTCCACTTTGTAATAAATGAGCTCTATCCACCCTTTTTACAAAATCATCAATGTCTCTCTTAAGGATCCTAACACTGGATTCTACATTGGAAAATATTTTATAATTATCGGAGTCTATATCGTTATCATCACCAAAGTCTATTATTGCAGTTAGCTGAGCTTCATTGTTTACCAATTGCGATCTCCAATTCTCAAATAGTTTTTTGTTGGAACCACTAAAACTAGATAAGACACTATTTCTTTGAGATTCTGTCTCAGCATCGATAAGATCCTTTATACCTTCAACTTCAGTTAAATCAAATTTTTGATTTTGAAATGCACGTTTTGAAAATTCACCTGCCTCAGCATAACGAATGTTAATGTTATTTGTTCTATCGTTTAGTTTTCCAATTGCTTCAAGAACACTTTGAGCAACAGCAGTTCCCCCATGGATATATAACTCTAAAGAATCCTCTCCAGTAAAACTATGTGGACCAGGGAATAAAGTCACCAGTGCTTGATCTAGTAAGTTCTGTGTCAATATGTTCTCATTAGGTTTATATAGATTTCGAAGTAGCATCATTCTAGGCGTCGGGTCTCTCTTTCTCCTCGTCAATTTGTGGTATATGTACCCGGATGCACTACCGGATATTCTAATTACAGCAATGGCTGATTTCTGAACAGGTGGAGTGGCCAACGCATATATAGTTGGAAGGTGAAATGTCGATGGAGTAAATTGTTTATGGAAAGATCGAATCAAATTTACCCTGAAGTTTAATCCATTAACTTGTCTGAAATGACTCATAAAGGTTAGTTGTTTTAAGAACATGGTTCAACATAGATATATCCTTGCAGATGCCACAACAACAAGCAACACAGCTAACAATATTAAAAATAATTGAATCGATTGTTATAAGTTGATCTACTCCATACCTGTCGAAATATAATAGTAATCTTTTAATTTTATGTCAAATTAAGTAAACTTAAAACGAATATCATTTTAGACGAAATAAATTAAAAATCCAAAAAATAAATGGACGAGTTGGGAATCGAACCCAAGACCTCTCCCATGCTAAGGGAGCGCGCTACCAACTACGCCACACGCCCAGATAATTTAATAATTTGTTGTATTAAAATCTCAAATGGTTGAAGACAAAAATATGACAGACGGTTATACTTAATTACTATTACTATGTTGTTAACTAATTAGAACTTATTTCAATAATCGTTGTTTCTTTTTGTTTTATAAAGTAAGTTTATATACGGAAGATTATATATTTAAAGTTAGCATATGTGGTCCTTTTATACTTTTTGGAAAGGCAGCCAGTCTATCAAATATTGATAGTATTCTTACTAAACATTCTTGAAACATGTTCTAGACACTTCTGAAACGATTAGTCATACTTACTTAATTGACCATTCTCAAAGAATGTTCTAGAACCAATATTGAACCGTTATTAATAATTTCGTACTAAACATTAAATTGTAATAACTAAGTATTGGTACTTTCTACATTGTAACAGTTTCAGATACAACATAGTTTACTTGTCTGTAAACAAATCAAAACATAAGAATGGAATCTAATAGATTTTGTTAAACAGATTTCCTGTTGTTAAACTGCTCATCTTTTGTGCATAGTAACGTTGGACTATGTAGCTCCAATAAACCCAATGTAGGGGGACCGAATACTACATTATGCAGTATATATCGGAAATATATTATAAGAGGGATAATGTGTTAAACAGAGTTGCTGTTGTTAAACTGCTCATCTTTTGTGCATAGTAACGTTGGACTATGTAGCTCCAATAAACCCAATGTAGGGGGAACGAATACTACATTATGCAGTATATATCATGTGTTATTATATATACGACAGTGCAGCACACTCTAAATTCTACTTATATTAGCTACCTTCACCTTCAGATAGGTTAAGCTAATGTTAGCCTTTTTAGTGCTGCCGCTACATATTCAACATAATGACCAAGGTTATGATCTATTGATAGATTCATCCCGCAATGATCTAACAATAGGTTCATCCCGCAACAACTTAATAATAGATTACTTACGCCACTGTCGAGTGAGTCTATAATCACGACAATGATAATCCAACATATATAAATGGAACAATATTTCATTTATGAATATAATTGTTTCCATAATTTACTTTATATATTTTTATATAAGATATAAAAAGATCAGACGACTATAAGTTGATTTTGTAATATAATAAAATTTGTTCAGTTAAATAGAAGATGTCTAATATTCAATTTTCCCATCAATTATTAATTCTTACAAGGACATTTTATATATCTCGCTCCCATCTAAGTTCTATCATTTCCGTCTTCTGGTATTTTGATGATATGTAGTGATAACACAAATGAGTAAATGTGCATAAAGTTATTGTTTTACCTATATTGAAATTAATTGTAATATATTGTACACTTAAGTTCTCACGTTTCTAAATTAACCAAGGTTATTGTTATTGCTTCTATTTACTTAAATATTTTAATAATATCAATAATTGTTAAGAACAATGATTGTAATATCATTCACTCAGAGGTTGCGGTTGATTTAACCTATTAAGTAAGCTTCAAGGCTAATGATGACACAACCTCTAGTCACATATAGGTATTATGGGACAATCGTCTCCAGTACATTTTTGGAAGATGGGGAGTCGACTTTAATTCCTCCTTAACGGGATATGATGGCGCTGTTATCTTACTCACCAAAAAGAAACAATGTTCATATATATTATTATATGGTAGAATATTTTATATTGCGAAATCACTTACTTGGAGACTCAGATAATGTCAGGTATCAAACAATAAACTTGTTATCCCTGAAAGAAAAAGGCACAAAAATCATGAAAGAGATACTAGAAACATACCATATTATTAAATATATCTATAATATTAGACAGGATATAAAATACTTAATGGTTTATAACTACTGTGTAAATTATTTGTATAACTTTGGAAACAAACCAAAAAACAACTTTAAGTCAATAAATTTTACTAGAACAAATTTTGGTCTTTTGGTAGGAACTACTGTCCTACCATGAATAACATATTCTTAAGATCCAGATCATAATGCAAAAGAAAGGCAAAATGCACCCTTAAAGTAGTTCCACTATGTTTCCTGTTTCCTCAGCTGGTTCATGACCTTCTGAAATAATTCAAATGACTGTGAAGTAATTCAATTATTTTTAAATTTCGTTGAAATGACTTTCAAAAGTTAATGTGGATGTTAAATATATTCCTTAACAGATAAAATATACTGAATATCACAAAGTTTGATTCTTAATTTAAAATGATTTAATTAATAGAGTTTCGATTAGTTCTATTTGTTTCCGTTTTAAATCATAAGAGAATCGCAGAATTGTAAGTCGTTAACATTGAGTTGATATAAAATACCCCATGTTTTTCTTCCAATTTTGATCATTTGATGGTTATTTCATAAAATATCGTTTCACAATCGGTGGATGCGTCGTGGATAGGCTTCCAGTTGACTTAACAGACAAGTTTTGTACAGATTTTGAATAGGAGATGTTAAAGTCTTTGTTCTTAAAACCAATGGCTATTATTTAATATTTGGAGTTAATGGTATAACTCATGATTTGTTTAAAGGATGTAAAGCAAAAACCAGAAATGCCCAATTTTATTTTAATCTGACTAGTAATTCTGACACTTTCCTTTTAATACGGTTCTCTTTCAGTTTCACCTCGCTTGAATATTTCTAGCAACCAAGTCGAGTAAACATCAGAATTAGCAGAATATTTACCACAACAACATAAAAATATCTACCTTTTTAATTCTTTATTAGACGAATAAGGTTCAATGCATTGAAGTAATTCCGTAGCAACTCTATAAGTAGTCTCTAACTGTGACATCTGCATATTCTGAGTCACTATTCTATATTATGAGAGCTTGACAAAGACATCAGTCGACAAATTAACTTCAACATAGACAGCGTTAATATAGGTAAATCTAACCAATACACAAGTAACTTAAAGGATAAATGATAATATATTAGTTTTGTTATTATCCTGGATTGAATAGTTATAGTTCCCGCCTCGTACGACACGACCTTCGGGGTCGCAGAATCCTTCCATAGATTTTTGGTCGAAACGAAAAGAAAGAAAGAAGTTGTGAAACTGGAAAATATGAATATTTGAGACAAAGGAAGATAAAGGAAACGATATTGATTATAATCCTTTGATATAGCAAACTACTTTAGAGTTTATGGCGGGATTGGTTTGATCTTATCTTTGAATTAGTTGCAGAAAATATTTCAGAACATTTATACAGTTGAGAAGTATACCAGTCTTTATTTAGTTGGTATTAAGATGTTATTATCAAAACAAATCCCAGCATTATGTGGCCGTCGTGCCACATTATCGGCAACTCTGAGTGGAATGAAATCGAATATAAGGCCTACTAGCAGACATTTGTCGAAATCTGCGGTAAACCTCGAATCTGAGGGTATGAAGCTTAGCGAAAGTGAGTTACAAGGGTATAAGACATATTACAAAGAATTACAAGAGACAATAAGCAATGTCCCTGAAGAAGTGGCATTACAATCTCAACCATTGGTTACTTTACATAACAGATTAGAACTACCACCAAATTTTGACTTGTCGACATTGTCTCGGTGTTTGACTTGTAGATCATCTAAATTACCTACTTTTGCATCAAGTAACGATAAAAATAGTACTCGTTTCCAAGCGTTTCCTAATACAGTGGAAAGTAATGATTTGTTCGATAACCATGGTTTGAATATATTTGGGAAGAATATCCTAGGGTTCCATATAACGAAATATTTATTGACGAAATATCCAAGATTACCTACCGTAGTATTGAATGCTGCGATCGATTCCTATATTTCTCAGGATATGCTGTCTAATATTGCTAGATCGTGGGGTATTGAAAAGGAAGATACAGCTATCGTAGAGAGATACTTGGCGAATGAACCAATATCATTAACCCTTGGTAAATTAAGATATTTTAATAATACATTAGGTAAAATCGATGGTATTGAAAGATTAAATAAAGGGAACTTCTCTGAGAATTCAGCTTTGGCTCTTACTGTGAGAAGTGTAATAGGTGTCCTGTGGACAATTAAACCTGAACTTGCAGAGAAGTTCATAAATAAACATATTATATCGAGAAAACTGGACGTCTCTAAATTGTTCTTATTCGAACAACCTACAAGAGAACTAGCTAAATTATGTGAAAGAGAAGGACTCGAGAAACCAATATCAAGATTGACTGCCGAATCTGGTAGATTATCGAAAGCTCCTGTGTTTATCGTAGGTGTATTTTCAGGTGAAGAAAAATTAGGAGAAGGGTTTGGTTCTTCTTTGAAAGAAGCTAAAGCTAGAGCTGCAACTGATGCATTATTGAAATGGTACTGTTATGAACCTATATTACAAAAGGGACAAGCACCGGTCATCGACCATGGTACTGTGATTGTTTAAACCATATATGCCACCCCTTCCTCATATATATATAAAATAATTCTTAATTGACCACACACCTCATCATCCAAACTATTTGATATCAATCTATTCCATTTGTGTATATACATATATACTTGTAAATATAAAACAAACATACAAACAAACAATTTAAGATAAAAAACAAATACATTATTTAAACCATTTTATATTTCTTCATGTTCCTCCCCCCAGTGTGTTGTTGTTGTCATCGGGATAAATAGTACATTCCAATTTTAAGAGTACATAATATTCAACTAACATAAACCTTCCCGTGCGAGTGAAACACAAATATCGTCAGAAATATGGGAGACATATTTAAGGTTAGTATACATTCTACTATTCTCAACGAGATAAATTATAAATACGAGTTGCAATGTTCCATTCAAGGTCAACAGAACGTTGCTCAATGTTACTTGTTATTGGGAAACAAAAATGAAACTTCAGTCGTCAGAAAATGTTTACAGATACCCATGAGTATAAATGAATCACATAATTTTGAATTTTTGATAGATATTCAATCATTCCATAAAAGATATCATCTCATAAGACAAGTACAATCAAATGATATCGTACCGTTAGGCATATTTTTGGTTAATAGCAAGATATTCCACTATGATGAAATAATAGAATCAACATTTGTATTAAACGATTTGGGATTAGAATTACCATTAGATATACTGTTCAGATATGAACCAATGCAAATTACTAATGATATCAACTGTTCATTAGAATGTTATCAAAGAGACAATGAAAGTATAGCGATCAACTTTCAAAGGAGAATATTTGAGATTATAATGGATACACAAATCGAAATTTCAAATGATGTAATGCATAAAAGGATAGACGAGGATACAAATAATGGAATAATAACAGATTCTATAAGAACTTATCACAATATTGATTATTCAATGTCAGCTTTTCAAGAGTTTAACAATATTAATGAAAACGAAGATAAATTAGTAACCGATTTAATTAAAAGAGTAGATTCAATAATATCGTTCTTATCACAAACAAGATATAACCCTCACATATATAATGAAAATTATGAGTTATTACTGAGGAAAGTATCTATACTAGTATCTAAATTGGAATTGGAACCAACTTCAGATATAGAAAACGAGATTTTAAACAAGGAGAACGAAATTAAATTACTTCAAATTGCATGCAATCAATGGGAAATGGCGACTCCCCATTAAAGAAAAATGCGTATACACACTTCAATTGTATATACACATATATACATATATATATTTACATATACTGTAAGAGGTAATCCAATATATGTGTTGCTCAAATCAATAATTTACGAACACTTCTTGATACATCCCATTCGTTAAGATTTTTATCAAATACGCATTGTATTAACTTCCTGTGGGTGACTGGGCATTCACCATCGTGTTCTTTAAGGTACATCACAGCACATGGATAACACATGACGTATCCAGTTTCAATGACGGCTGGGTTTTGGATAATATTTTTACATATTATACAATTGGAATCAGATAATGTTTCAAGGTCTGCTGTGTTCAAAGGGGGTCTTGGAATCTCTTTATCTATATTATTTATTCTCTTTTGTAATTTCGCAGTTAAATCCTGACTTATCCACCATTGGTATACTTTTAACATGAACATAAAAGTAGGAAAGACTTGGGATCCGGTAAATGCAACCCCCTGCCATGCATTTAATATCATATTTTTAATAATGCTTCTCACTGTTATATTATTGAAATCGATTCTCTTGTTGAAACCTTGTCCCAGTGTTATATTGTCATAGATATCTCCATTATTGTTGTTCAAAGGAGCAATTGTCCTTACATAACTAATATTGAAAAGATAATCCAGCAGATTTATTGAGTTATTCGTACCTGAAATAAATGTGAATTTCACCGCAAGATTCAGAATTAATATTAATTTCTTCAAAATAGGGTAGATTTTAAGAAACAATTTTTGCCAATCAGTCACCTCATTGAATAATGAACTATTAATTAGTTTTTTTTGATAATCATCAATTTTATTAGTTAGATATGGGAATATAACTTTTTGTAACCATATTATAATTCGTTGTCCTTTCTTAAGTTGTAACAATTTAGGCCATTCGGAGAGTTTGCCTCTACTGATGAGATCAATATAAACACTTGACCTTACTTTATTTGAATTATTAAATTTTTGAAGACCATAATATTTATCTACAAATGTAGAATTATACTTGTAAATGTGAAACCATTCGATGGATCCCTTTAACAGCAGAGAGAACCACTCATCGAAATAATTGTTAACAGTAATGGAAAATCTTGATGGGTAATTAGTTATCCAATACTTAGTTAGGATATAACGCAACGAAGCAGGGAGAAGATCATCAATCTCTTGTGATGATACTATTTCAAAAAGCGTGGGATGGTATGAACTTAAGGCACTTGACTCATTCTGGACGGATGGTAAACTGGAATAAAAACTCATTATACAAAATAATAACCAAGCACCTTTAACAGAATATGCTTGCTGGAATGCTAATTATCAAGCTACAAAAGTCCGCATCCATCAAATAAGTCCAGTAACTTTGATCTTTCAGTTAGTTAAACTTATCGTTTTGTTTTACTACCTTTCGGTTGGTCGGATTAAATTGAAATTTCTTGCTTAGTTGAAAAACCCTCTAAAAACCCTCACTATTAACCAGAAATGTAAGTTAAGACCAAACTAAGATACATAGATACATACTAGACACCACTGCACTGCACTGCACTGCACTGGTACGAAGTAGTGATGTGACCAATATTCAATCTAAAGAAGTCTCTTTTCTTTTGCAAAATAAGATACAGCTTGCTCTAATACAGAATTGTTCCAGTTACATCCCACGACCATCTATCAGTGATAACACAACCTCATACTTCTTGTATTCTAAAACTACACTTCCCCAGAACTATGCATCGTTGGACCTACTGAAATTATGTCTCCCCACATACCACTTCATGGGGACGCTCAGTTCCTCTTTAGAATTTATCCAATGAGTCACCGGATCATTCAAAATGTTCTTAACAAATTGTTGATACAGGACTTAACAGGAGTTTAGACAGGACATAAAAACATTAGCTTGAAGATATTAAATAGCAGTAAGAAAAAGAAGAAGATGATGGTAGTACTGTCTCATTGGGCACTACTCGCCATGTTATTGGTCTCTTTCTTTGTTTCCCCATGGGGTTATACCCTTGCAGCATTACGTAGTTTTAACCAGGACAAGTGGAATCGAGCTCACGAATTGAAAACACACACCAATACTGCAGTTATTGGTCACGCAAGCTGAATAAGGCTCTGATTCTATTTGCAACTTCCATACAGGTATATATAAATATCTCTAATTCTACTTGTTGCAAAACACTTCATCCTCGAGACTTTCTTACCTTTGTCTGCTTTTCTTCTCCTTGATTACACTGCCAATTTTTCTTTTCAGTTACGTTTATTTTTCACTTTTATTATTATATAAGTTGCAGAATGAAAAGAGAAATTTGAATGAGCCAAAGTTCAAGTAACTGATCCACTATTCCTTACAGAACTTACCAGAATTAGTAATCATCAGAACCCGCATCCCAATCTCAATAGAGCCCCACAATGTCCATTTCAATTGCTCCTCGCTTCTTAACTAGCGACAAAGGTACCTTTGGTGAATATACTGCTTCCACTCGTTGGCCAATTATCATCCAAAACTCTGTTGACGACGTTGCTGCTGAAATTGAAAGAATATCTAAATCATCGAACGACGATAAATATGCAATTGTTCAACAAGGTGAAACTATTAAGAAACAATTGATTGAATTCCGTCAAGAGATCATCAAGAACGTTCCTTTGAGAAAATTCACTACTGAAGAATGCGAAATTGCTTCGGTTCCATTGTCATTTAACGAGTATTTGGATACTGTCGAGGAGAAACCTACTTGGAATAATTCCGAATGGTTGTTTTGCGAGATTTATCTATACAGAAGGATGAACGTCCTTTTCAGATCTCAAGCTCATCAACATTGGAAGAATTTCGATATCTTTAATGATTTGAAACAATCAACTTTCGAAGCATCATACTATGGTGTTACTGAACTGGCTTTGAGATACAAAAATTTACTTAATGATATATCTAAATTGAACAAGAAAGATGCCAAAGATCAAGAATTATTACAAATTTTGTTCAAGGAATTTATTGAGATCTCCTTATGGGGTAATGCAACAGACTTATCTCTATTGACAAATGCTACTCTAGAAGATATTAAATCCATTCAAGGTGCTAAGGCTAGAGAAGAGTCTGAATCTAAGATTGTCGTCAATGACACTAACAATGCTTGGGATATTTTACTTAAAGCCGCTACCACTAAGGAAAATATTAGAGTCGATTTTGTCCTTGACAATTCAGGTTTCGAATTATATGCTGATTTGATGTTAGCTGCATTCCTATTACAAACTAAATTGGCTACCAAATGTGTTTTCCACGCTAAGGACATGCCTTACATGGTTAGTGACGTCATGCTGAAGGATTTCGATATCTTGGTTGCTGATCTAAGAGATAGAAAGTTTTTCCCAGCCGGTAAGGATACTGAAGAGTCAAATGCTTTAGAGTTATTTGCCGACGATATCTCTAATTTCCATGACAAAGGAATGCTAACTTTCGAGGCTGACTCATTCTGGACTACGGATTTAGATTACTGGAACATTGATCCATCTGAGACCAAGTATCATGGTAACAAAATTCATGAGGAACTAAAACAATCTGACTTAGTAATCTTTAAAGGTGATCTAAATTACAGAAAGTTAACCGGTGATAGAAAATGGCCAAGAACTACAGCTTGGGAAACCGCTATTGGTCCATTGTCCACCAATGGTATATCTGTATTAAGTTTGAGAACTTGTAAAGCCGATGTCCAAGTAGCTTTGAAGTCCGGGGTGGATGAGGAATTATCCAAACTATGGGAGAAGGACCACCCAGGCCAAGGTTCATGGTGGTGTTGCAGTGGTAAATGGGCTGTCATCTGTTTTTCTGCCTCCAAATAAACCCATAAAAAGAAAGATAATACTTTTCTTCCTTCTACGTAACGTATTTAAGACGAAATAAATTTTTATATGAATATACATATAACATCTGGTAGTAATATCAATATAAAATATTTATTCATATCTAAAATGATCTTTAAACAAATTGTATAATTAAATGTGTTCACTCATTTCCTTGGCTTCCCTCGAAATCTGAAAAATTTCGGTTTATTGTGCACATCGCATTTTCATTGTTTTCCACTGAGGTTGACATAATTAGCATCCTTCATTGATAACGATGAGCTAAAAATAAAAGAAATAAACTAACATATATAGCAAGGGTTTAACACTTGTTGATTTCACTCCCTTGACACATCCCTTGTCATCCATTGATAATATAAAAAAGTGAAAATGTCATCGCCAATGGAAGAATATACACATATTGTGAATACTTATACCAAAGAGATCGAACATCCAAGTTCAAGACAGGATTCAGAGCAATTTCAAAAGCTATTATCAGCAAATATAGAAACATTACTGGAATTAAAGTCCACTATTACTAATAAACTCGCTTTATTTAGTTCCAATGAGACCATAGATGATTTAACTACTAGTTCTATAAAATTCTTGTCCATGGATTATTACTTAGCTTTAATGTGCTGCAGACGTCAAAGCTATGTTCAAGACATGGATAATATTAGTAAGAATAGAATTAGATTAATGTTTTTAGAGAAGTCAATCCAACTTTTTGTTCAATTTTTAATATCCTTAGAAGATTATGAACTTCTGGATAAATCTCTAAGTGGTAAAATTGATTCCTTTAAGATTGTATACAGACCAACTATGGATGAACTATATAAGGTTAATTCAGAGAATAGCATAGGAAATGAGGAATTGACCATGGCATACATGAAAAGACAGCAAAAGATTGAGTTCTTTCAAAGATCTAAACAACTGACAGCAAAAATGCGAGCTTTGGAATCAAAGGTAAATTCTATTGAAATAGATAATGGTAGTGATAAAGAAGAACTTTTAAGAGATTTATATATTCAAAATTTGAAACAGTTAAGTTATTCTGCATTTAATGAAATTGAACAAATTTTATATGAAACTGAACTATTGAAAAATATCATTAGAAATCCTCCACCAATAGAAGAACAATCCTCTGAAAGAAAAGAAGGAAAAGATAACTTCTTTGATAATACAGGTTACACGGATAGACTAGAGACTTTAAATAAGCCTTTATTATCGAAAAATGGTAAAATATTAAGGAATTTTACCTTGGTTGACAAAAAGACAGAGTTGAAGAACAAAGTACGCGGTTATGGTCAATATGGACCAACAATGTCTGTTGAGGACTTCTTACAGAAGGAGTGGGAAGACGGTAGAGTACTCCAAGGTGGCCCCGAAAGTGCTAACCAACAAGAAGAGATTAATGAGGACGACGAAGAGTATAATGATAGAGAAACATACAAAGCAAGGGATTGGGACGATTTTAAAGATAACAATGCAAAAGGTAGCGGTAATACTATGAATATGGGATAAAAACAACGCTAATTTATATAGATTAATAAAAAAAACCTAATTATAAGCATTTAAATACTCATAAACTATATATTACATGGGAAATTAAAATTACTATTCTCTATAATTTCATGCATTGTTCCTTTAGTTCATCTAATGTCACAACGTTAGCACCATCTAAAATATACTGGTCATAACTATTGACAAATGTCGATAGTATGTTAATAATAATCAGACAGTACTTCTTCTTCATTTGCACATCTACGTTGTTCTGAACTTTAAACCAATATTTAAATATCACCTCGGCTGCCTCTCTTTCAAATTTGTTAACAAATCTGAAAGTAAATAATTTTTTATATGAGATCCAATCACCCTTTGGGAGATTATCACTTAAGATAGAATCGACTAGAATATAGTCTTCTAACCCTAATCTACTATCAGGGTTTGTTGACATATTTATTAGGGTAGAGAAGAACTGATCATTATGGTTTGGATAACTTAATAAAGAGGAAAAATATTGGCGCCTCTCGTTTGCAGAAAGGAAAGAATGACCCAATCTCAGCACATCAATTACTTCATCAAATATTGAAAAGCGTATCAGCATAGCTAATAATTGTTCATGTTGTTTTGTGACAATATCAAATTCTGTATCATCTTCCAGAGAAATTTCTATTGACTTTTTAATAGATCTTAAAGCAAGGGATGGATTATTGCCATGATAACTATACAGACAAGATAAATAATAATAAAATCTTGCTTGTTTATGGTCTTGAGCAACAAAAGTCTTCATTAAAGGTACCCATATCGAATCTGAACCTTCTGAAACTAACAAATCATGAATAAAGTATGGTAACTTTTCGGTGTTTATATCGTTGTACCCATCATGAAGTTGGAAAAATCTGCAAGATTCTTCATACTCACCAGCAACAAATAATAACATGGAAAACAGAAGTTCGTCTGATTTATCTCCTCTTCTGTAGAAACGGCTACCAACATTTCTCAAATACATTTTTGTTTCTTGAATTGTATTTTGTTTACCGCTAGGTAATATATATTTCTTTATACTTTCCAAGAAAAATGTATTCATAGTGATTGGTTCTTGGTAAAACAAAGAAATGTTATGCATAATAAAATCATTCATTTCTGAATATGAATAAAATTTAGCTCCTTTATGGTACTTAGTACTTTTAACAAAGATGTTATCAACGAGTTGCAATTTATCATGTTTGTATAATTCCAAAAACAATAATTGTTTATAATTAAATTGTAATAATTCTTCAATTTGTTCAGCAAAGTAACTATAGGTAGAATCTAGTAATACAAATGTCATTAAAATTTGAATTATAAATGCATTTTGTATGCTAATCATTTGGTACATGCTCTCAATAATTGTAATCTTAGAGAACATATTTGTTGTCAGCGTCTCAATAAATGTAGAATTTTGTTGTGGTGTTATTAAATAATTTTGAATAAAATCTGTTAATAAAGCACTAATGTCTAGGTTATTCATTTCAGTCATTAGAAGTTGTAAGTTACCTATTTCGAATTGATTTTGTAATGCTGACTTGAATATTTCTATAAATTTTTCATTTGGTGACAACTTTGTGGATAATTTGCCAGTTGAAATATCAAGGAAGTGTTCACCTAGTGTACGAATAACGTGTCTTGGTAATGTACTAGTAAACCGATTTAATGCTTTCAAATATTTAGATAAGTCATCTTGATATTCTGTGTTACGCAAATTAAAATAATAATATTCTAATCCATTATTAATCTTAAATGCGGCATGATTAAATGGTGTAATAGAATTTACAAATATTAGTTCATCGTTGGAAATAGATAGAGTTGATACTTCGTCCATTTTACCTTTAATATCCTTTGATATTGTCTCTAGGTTAGCTAAATACTCTTTTCTTTGAGTGATATTATCTGATGACGTTACTATTATATTATTCTCACTAAGTATGTTTAATGCCCTTTTAAATACCTCGGGTGGGAATCTTGATTTCAAAGTTAAGAAACATCTATCATATAATTCATCATCAGTTTCATTTTCTGCTTGATTAATACACGCCAAATCCAAATCATCTAGACCGTCAGTTAAAGACTTACTGGAAGATTCAATCCATTGATAATCCTTAAGATCATCATATAATATGTTTAATATTTGAAATTTACTTAAAGAACCACTTTTCCATAAAACAGTCAAGTTTAGGTAACTAGAGGTGTAATTTAAGTCAATTGGTTTAATCAATTTCATATCAGCTAAGAACCATATCGACGATGAGGATAAACTCGAACTTATTATGTTTTTCAAATTAAAATCTAAGACTCCAGTTTGATCCACCGACAGGTAACCAATTTGGAAAATGCCATTCTTATGAGGTGAATAAATGACCAAAGTATTTTGAAAAATAGATAAGAAGTTACCGGAGTCGTTATATTGTTGAATATCATTTCCATGGATATCATCATCTATTATATTATCTGAAAGATTATATTCTTTGATTAAACTGAAAGTTTTGATGTCCCATATCTTCAAATAATAGTTTTGTGTTAAAACAATTAAGAATTGTTCATCAAAGGTTACACAACTTATAACTTTCCCTGTAACATTTTGATTTTTGTAGAAAAGTTTTGTCAAACTTTGAAGGTATGAGTTATCGTTGAATAACAATGGCTCAAGATCTAAATCATCTGAAGTTTTCCTTAAACCTAACAAACCACCATCTTTAAGAAATACCATTAATAATTCCTCTGATACTGGATATAGTAAATGGGGCACTCTAATTGTGAAGTCATATGGATTTTGAACTTTAACCCAATTGTCAGAAAGATTAATGCTATTAGTAACATCCAGTATATAATTCAATGGTAACTTCAAGGTTAGGAACAGTCCATCATTTAGGATAATATGAAAGAAAAGGGTCTCTCCACTGATCAAAGGTGACAGAGTATTGTGTTTTTTCATAGTGGCTTGAGGTAAGTTGATAATAATTGTCTTGCCATCGATACAATTGTCAGTTGTATACATAATTATCTTTGTATAGTTCTGTGATAAATGATAACAGAGTAAATTATCGTCAGATACCTTGATTGTATTGGAATAAGAGCTTTGACTAGTGATGATGTTCATTTGTTGTTCGGATGTCAATGTGGTTCTCTTTAAGTTTGAATTCTCACCTAATGATAATATAACCACATTACGAGGAGTTTCCAACTCTTGAAATTGCAATAGATTAACATCAATCTTAGATAATGAGGGCATTTTTCGTTTGATGATGCACCGTACTTCCCGAGTAGCTGTTGGATATTCAATTCAATCGCAATTGTTTGTTAGCAAATGTGTTGTCAGATATATAAATCGTGTATACCCTATGTAATCAAACACCGATTACTTTGAACTCTAACAAAGATATCTTTAGGTAACTTAGATGGGGTGATCAATTCTTGTTTTCACCTAGTATTAATCGAACTTTTCATTTTCAAGTTTTTTGTTTTTTTTTGCTTCTCTTAGAAATAGTTGTGAAAGTGTTACCCTCATGAACAGGTTTTTTTACTAGTATACCGATATTAAAAACACACGACATGAAACCTGCGATACACTCCAATGGTAACACATTGGCCGGTTAGTGTATTCTGCATTTGGATCATTCCTGAATAAAATAATTTCATTTGGATTAATAGTATCTATGTAACATATATATATATATATATTTACTCCGGTAAGTGCGATGCATGATCTTTCCTGTAACACACCAAAAGCAAAAAAGTGAACGCTCAAGACAATCTTGCATCGTATGATCATAATTTTTCCTCAAAGGTCTCCAACTTCAATACATTTTCACTCAACGATAATAGAATTGTTTCAAAGTTACTGATCTTTGTAGCCTCAATGATGATATTCTTTTGAGCTGTCTTTTTACTCTCAGGATTATGGATATATTTCTTTATCACGTTTGCAAAATTTGGCAATTCTCGAAGCTCAATAGTTCCATCATCATATGCTATCCCTACCGTGTCTGTAGCGTATTTGAAATACATTGATTTTGGTTGACTATTCAATGTGAATTGTAGAGTAATGCGTTTCTGATCAAATGAATAGAATATTAAATGTTTATCCAGTTGGATTATTAATTTCGAGCTTTCTTTGTTTAAGTATAATCTTCCTGATTTTGTAGTAATCTTGTCAGCAATTTCCTTATCCAATTGAATACTTTGTAAAGCCTCACCTTCAAAATTGTAAATTATTAGAGCTAATGGATTCGATGCAAGCACCATGAAGGACATCTCTGTTATTCCTAGTAAAACATCCAGAATATTATTAGAATGGATTATATAACTGGTTTTGATAGACATCATATGAGGATCCTTCATATCCTCTAATTCCAGGATCTGAATGTGATTATCGATCGACATCAATAACCATTTATTCTTGAAATCTATACTTTTAATCTTATCATATTGAATTTCGTTTTTACTTTTCTCACTCTCTTGAAAGATGTTAATTTCATTAATTATTCTTTGCTGTATTGATGACCAAACTTTAATACCATTATTATCAAGGATCATTATAAATTCACTACTTAACCAAAAGATTCCCTTCACCAAGTCCATGTTTAACAGATCAATAGTCAACCCTGTATCATTGCATTGAGCCTCTTCATCGATATGGAATATTTTCAATTTATCATCAAGGGTTACAAGTATATTATTTTTAAAAACGGTTAAAAATTGTTTATTGTTTGAAACGTTTACCTTCTTTTCGAATTGCCCTGATACTGAATAACTGCTAGTAGTGATGGGACTCTCAATTGGGGATTTGGTTTGATTATTAAATAATGAATCCGGTACCATGTATTTTGAATTAATGTCTTTGTTGATCGAAAGATTCTCCATCTCATGAATTGGTACTTTCCTACCATTTAAGGAATCGAATTGCGATAACACGCTAGGAGAATTCAATAAATGTATTATATCTTTGACGTTGTCCTCTACAGTGGCTTTAGCCTTCATAAGACTCTCTGAATCAATTGGTTTTTGAGAGGAGTCTCCCGAAATACCATTATCAAGATCCAATTTCTCATTCGATTGAATCTGTAATTCTGCAATCTTATGACGAAGATCCTTATTTTCACCTTCTAATTTCATAATATAAGCCTTCATCTCTGATTTCTCTAATTCCCAAGTGATCCTATCACGTTCATTTTTTGTGAATTCTGTTTGCAAATAATGCATAACACCAGGTAAGGTGTATTGTCTATGGATATGGTTAGTCATCTATAAGAATCAATGTCGTGTGATGAGCTATAAAGGGTTCATGTACATTAAATATGTGAATTACTCAATTATAACCTTTCTGTATGAACAGTTCCTTAAATTAAGTTCATATGTATATATATATAAAAATATATTGATAATTCCCTTTATAAAAATGTCTGGAAACAATTTTGTTCTGCTCGGGGCAATAAAGCGAATTCAAACAACCACATTATCATAATTGAATAAGATGATAACTTTGGTTAGTTATTTAATATTTTATACTAATAATATTTAACATTTTTTATTGTTTGAAATACCTTGAAATTACTTACATGTTATTTAGTAATAGCCTCTGGATGAAGCTTGTTGATAATCGTAATTGGAGTAACCATAAGCAGCGCCATCTTGTTGGCCGTAACCATCCTGCTTAGATTGTTGCTGTTGCTGTTGCTGTTGCTGTTGCTGTTGTTGCAATTGTTGCTGTTGCAATTGGTAATACTGTTGGTACTGCAATTGTTGTTGCTGAGTCAAGTTAGCTTGAGCGTTACCTTCTTGGTTTTGTAATTCAGCAACATCTTCACTCTGTTGACTAGAAGTAGAATCTCTTTGTTGAGAAGCATCTTCATGCTTTTGAGGTTGTTGTTGTTGACCATATCCATTGTTAGCACCGTATTGTTGTTGTTGACCATGAGGGAAGGATTGTTGGTAACCGTAATTACCATAGTATGGCATGTAAGCTTGTTGGCCGTAAGCTTGTTGCTGTTGCTGTGGTTGTTGAGGTTGTTGCGGTTGTTGCGGTTGGGAAATATCACCTTGAGCAGCTTCGGTGTTATTTTGACCAGCAGAACCATATTGTTCGTATCCTGTTTGTTGAAGTTGAGGTTGGGGTTGCTGAGCGTTCACGTTACCGTAAGCAGCATTAACATTAGCTCCACCAACTTGACCTTGAGCGTATTGAGGGTACTGTTGATATTGAGCGTATTGTTGTTGAGCATAACCGTATTGATTATCATACATACCTGGATAAGAGAAACCTGGGAATTGATTTTGGTACATATAATATTGTTGAGCCATAGCAGCAGCTTGTTGCTGTTGTTGAGCAGTACCATATTGAGCATATGGATCTTGGCCCTGGGCACCACCATTGATTGGAGTAGCTGAAGTTTCAGAAGGATTAGATTCCGAGACAGATGTAGTTTGAGCGGTTGCTGCATTAGTTGTAGCAGTAGTGACTGCAGGTGCAGAAACAGGGGCCTTTTCCTTCTTCTTCTTTTGTTGATGTTGATGTTGATGTGGAGAAGAAGACTTCACAGCAGCAGGAGTCTTCTCAGAAACTTTTTCTTCCTCAGAGGTAGCTTCTTCTTCTGCTTCTTCAACTTCTTCAGAGGAGGAGCTTTCTTCTTCTTCTGCTTCTGCAACTTCCTCGGAGGTGTTTTCTTTCTCTTCTTCTGCTTCTTCTTCTTCTTCAGATGTAATATTATCAATTTCGTTCTTCAAGGTGTCAACATTCTCTAAAGGAGATTTCTTTGGTTCAGCTTTTTGTTTTGGAGTAGCTACAGATGCCCAACTCATCTTCTTCCCAGAGGAAGCAATTGTAGCAGTACTTATTGGAGCTGCTGGTGTAGTAGTAGTAGTAGCTTGTTGTTCAATTTCACTTTCCACTTCAGCTTCAATTTCAGTTTCACCATCATTAGCTTTCTTCTTATCCGTAGTGATAACAGTAGCCCATGATGCATTGTGAGAGACAGATTTTGTATGTATATTTGAAGAAGTATTACTATTACTATTACTTGTTCTTGGAGTTTTCTTAGTTTTGGTATTGCTGGAAGTTTGATAACTACTACTATTGCGTTGCCTGCTCTTTGTATTTATAGCATTATTATTATTTATATTTGATGTATCTGGTTCTTCATAGACGTGACTTAACAATTGAGCTTGTTGACTCTTTTGCAACTGAGCAGCATGTTCCTTTCTTTCTTTACGACTCGGTCTCTTCACTTCATCCCACCTCGTAGCTACACCCGAGGTAATCTTATCAATAACTGTCTCTAAATCCTTATATTCTTGAACCAATTCAATAAGATCGGAAGCGCTCCAATCTGGGAATAATTCTTGTAACGTGTCCACTTTAGACTGCACATCTGCACTGATACCCGTCATTATGTATGTATATGTGTATGCGTATCTGTATATATATATGTGTAAATGTATAATTGAATCACTACAAATAACTTTCCATTGTTTTAAGTACTAGTTGTAGTGTATAGTTTCGCCCAGTTCGTTTGGAAGGAAGTGAAAGAGAGACAGAGACGAAGTTTCCCAAATCCTGAAATTTTTGCTTTGCTTTGCTTCGCTTTGCTTTCCACACTTTATGGAGGCGGGGCGCCACCTCGTGCAGCGTGATGTTGCTTCACACATACGACAGAAATGGGCAACGAAGCTGAAAGCAGTAATGAGTCTCTGGACAATCACAAGAAGATCAGATGGGGGATGAAGGGTGGTTGCAGTCTGGCGATGTCGGCTTGGGTGCTCTGGAGGGGAATTACAAGGGACGAGCGACGACCGGTCACTGTCAGGCAGCAGCTTGTTTCGCATTTACTGCTTTGCCAGTTTAGAATGTATTTCAGTAACAATAATATCTCTTGAGCATTCAAGAGACGTCCTTGATAAATGTCTGTGCTACTGCTCTATGGAGAAGTATAATCCAGGGAGTGCAATTCTTCTTTATACATATGGGTTTAGTACGAAATTTATCATATTGCTTGAAATGTTGACCAGTAATTTATATTTGAGCCGATAAAGCAAACTGTGATGTTAAAATACACACTATCAAGCCAGCCCATGGATGACTACTGACAGGGACAACGATGCCATCTTCATTGCTGACGTTTGTAAAGTCACTATGTCCATTGTTCACTACCTATCGTGCGACACGGCAGTCACGTGCCAGTCACGTGCCAGTCACGTGCCAGAGATACAATGGCAGAGATCTCTTTGTCCTTCCGATGCGATCCGATGCGGCAAGCAACGCAGCAGCAAGAGGCTAAGTGAAAAATTTGGGATTTGGCTGAGAGGTGCACCTAAGAGCTGTGCCTCGAGGTTACGAGGAAGGGATTCTCTATAAATAAACAATTGCCATCCCAGAATTTATATATAAGTCGATGGGGCATACTGAAACTACGGTCTGGCTTATTCCCGATATATTATCTTAAGAAGAATAGACTATTCATATAGACTTATAGATACAGACACACACACACACACACAATGCATTTTGTTAAACCTGGGAACTGGTTTTTCATCCTGCCTTGGATTTCATTCATCCCATGGTATGGAATGCTTATTGCTATGCTTATATGTTGGGGTGTTCAAGGACGTCCCATCTACGATTTTATGGACGAGTATAAGAGTCCTGTCTATATATCAGATATTGGTGCTACTAATCTTCGACCTTTGTTTATTGCCTGTTCATCTTGGGAAGGCATAGGTTATTGTCTTTCAGTGTTTTCGGAATATTTCCAACGTGGTGGTGATATATGGTTCATTAGACCTCGAGGAAAACAAAGACATTACTATATGTCTCCTTGGTATACTGTTCATGAAAGAAATTTGATTCTAGCAGCGTGCGGCCTAGGGATAATAGGTGAGTTGGGTCTGTTCTTCTGTACTATCTTTTCTACAAAGAATTATCCTCATGTTCATACGTCTATGGTTTGTGTCTTTGTTGTACTATTGTTTTTTTCAGTTTGTTGCTTGTCGGCTCAAAATTTAGTTATGGGCAAACATTACGCTCTTTTGCATCCCTTAGCAAACCTGTCCAATGATTTGAAATATGAAGATTTGCATTGGAATCAATGGGAAGGTCATGTATGGAATAAATACACAGTGACTGCTGTGGTCAAATTATGTTGGTTAGCACTGGCTGTAGTATGGGCAGTTTGTTTTGCAGCTATAGATAATGGTTCAAGAAGTTCGGATTTTGAATGGTTATTAGCATTTTGGTTTGGGATCTTATTTATAATCATTTCAGTGGATTTTTATATGGGTGGAAGATACAAAGTCTCTAAATATTTTAATCAAATTGATTCCTTCCAAGGTTTTTACAAATTCGAAGAAATGTTTGATACTAGATATGTAAATCATAAAGATCATCAGAGTGATGATTTTAATAGTATTGAACCAAAGGAAACCGAAGAAGATGAACAATTGACAGCATAGATACCCCTCTTCATAATAAATAAAATATAATCTAATTTTTTGATATATATGTGTATTCTACTATACATTCGTAAGTCCTTCATTGTTTCATTGAAAGACCTCCTTTAAATAACTTCCTTCTGGACGGGCAGTCTCTCCATTGATTTGGATATCGTCTTCATCGTCGTTGTCATCTTGATTGTCGACTGTGATGCTCTTACCTTTCAGACTCGCTACGGTATCACCAATAACATCATCGTCCGCCTCTGCTTCATCATCTTCATTATTGATTACAGAACCCTGTGAAAAACCACTGAATGATGGTTCTAAGTCACGGGACTCGTTTACAGGTAGAGAAACTGTAGTCGTGGTGGCTGCAGCCGTGGTTGTTGTTTCAGGCTTAGTTTGATCATGCATCTTAGCTTCGTGAGAGGCTCGCGAACCGATAAATAATCCGCCTAATCCAAACTTACCAGATTTATGACTTCTGTTAGTAGTAGTCTTAGTGATTGGTTCTGTTTCGGGTGTGACCTTTTTGGCAACAGGGGTAGTAGCAGGTGCAGGTGCAGGTGCAGGTGCAGACGTAGAGGTAGCCACTATAACAGGTGCAGTAGTAGTAGTAGTAGCAGCAGTAGCAGATTGTTCCTCGCCCTCTGGGATAGCTTCCATTGCGTTGGCAACTGGTTGGACAGGTCTATGTTTACTTAAGTACTCTGCCGAAGACATACCTATCAAAGCCTTCACCTTTTCTTCATCCAATTGTGGACTTCCTTCCAATTCAGAAGATTCCTTCATGACATCAAGTAAAACTAGTTTCTCCTTTTGTAATGAAATCTCAGCTTCATTTAATTCACTCTTACGTGCATTAATAGCTGCATCAATCTCTAATTGTTTCAATTCCAATTCCTTAGCAGATAATTGAGCTTCTTCTTTAACTTTATTAGCTTTAACAACTATAGACATATCTAAATTATTTTCCAAATCTTTCTTATTTTCGTCTAATTCGCCTTGTTCTGAGACGTCCCTTGCCTCTTGTTGTCTTTGACCCTCTAAATCATGGCTATAATTTTCAATTTTAGTCTTATGCTCATCGATTTGTGTGTTTAAGAATGTGATTCTACCATTAATTGTATCATAATCCTTAATCAATTGATCATGTTCATCCTGTGCCCTCTGTAAATCCAATAAATATGGTTGTAACAAAGTACGTTGTTCTTCTAATGCGTCTTGGATATCGTTTGCACGTGTTTCGTTCCAATTAACCAACTCCTTATCGCAATACTCTTGTTCTAAATCAAGTTTCATAGCCATTTCTAATTTCAAATCTTCATAGGTTTGTTTAGTGTCGTTGAATTCATCATTGTGTTTACTCAATTCAGCTTCCATCCTTTGAATCATTTCATTGTATTTATTGTTAGCTGTAACTAATACATCATTCTTCTCCTTGGCTAATTTATCATCTGAATCCTTTTGATATTTAGTATCATTAGCAATCTTGCCAGTCTGCAATATATTCCAATTCTGAACGTTTTGTTGTAATTTCTTTGTACGGTTAGCAATATCAACATCGGCAGCTCTTTGACTATCGGCTCTCTCGGTAATCTCTCCTAGGACAGGATTCAATAAGTTCTGAGATATTTGTTGAATGTCCTCAGAGGATAGCCATAGACCACCACCCATATTAATCTTGTTATTTACAAGAGCTCTCTTTTTGGTCAAATTATTTTGGGCAATAGAAACAGCTGTTCTATTATAAGCATCATTAGCAAACAATTGACGACCATAATCTTCTTTCTCAATATTTTCAATCTCTTTATCAACATTGGCTCTGGCTTGAGCAAGAACTTTTGTGGAGGTTAATTGTTTCAAATACATCTGTCTATTTTCTGCTTGTTTTTCTAACTCGTCATCAACTGGATTTCTTGTATCGAATGATCTTACTGCATAAGCCGCATTCATAGCCATATCGTGATTCTTACTTGATGAAGCAGATTCAGCTTTAGACTTAACGGATGTCTTCAAACTTGATCTGGCACTTGCTGCCGAAAGGTCAGATGACGATATATCTTTTTGGCCAGTCTTAGACATAATGGCATTCATCATATCTTTGCTTAAAGTGAACTGGTTATACTGGTGAGCGTTGGTCTGGATACCATAGGAGAAATTTTCTGGATGAGGTTCGGTTCTTTGTCTAACTCTTGTTTCTGCTCTGGATTCAGCACCTTTCAACACTTTCGAAAGATTCATTTTTTTGGAAGTTGGAATAACTTCAGGTTTTGGCTTATGTAGATCTCTTTCATATTGTTTTAATACAGAACTAGCACTCTTCAAAGAATAAGCTTTGTTTGTATTATTATTGGTGATTGTCTTATTAGAGTCAGTCATAGCAGCACCGGTCCCTAGAGTCTGTTCTCTCGTAGAGGTCATGGAGAATGCTTTTGATGCAGCAGCGCTGGCTCTCTCTTGAGAAGATATATTTTCTCCACTTGAACGTGACTTATTGGAAGTAACACTAGTAGTACGAGATCTTGTCTTGGTCTTAGATACCGCGTGAGCAGCTCTAGTAGCATTTGGGTCTAATAGTCTCTTATAGGCGTCAATTGTTTGTCTATTACTTGCAGCTAAAACGGCGGCCGAATCAGATGCCTTGGCAGTATCTTTAACACCAACAGAAGGTTTGTTAGCTGGAGATTTATAATAACCATATTTCATCTTAGCTCTGTACAAAGCCTCTCTACTTAATGGTTCGCCTGTAGTCTGATAGACTGCTCCTGATCGTTTATTAACTTTCTCATGTTTCGTACCATTTTTGGTGGTGGTTTGCGAAGTGCGTTCTTTATCTGTAACAGCTGAAACTAATGACATATTTTCGTGGTATCAATTAGAATAAAAGTTATTATATCTTCTGTGTTCTTTAGGAAATTCTAAAAGTGAATATTATTATTATTAGTAGCAGAATGCCAATTAAAAAAAAAATTTGTCCTTATGAAATTTCTTGTTCTGTTAGTTGTTAGTTACGAGAAGTAATTATTAAATAACAAAACTTTCACAATTCTTGTTTCAAAGTTCTCTTTCCATAGATATATATATGTATAAATATATGTTAGCCACTCCTTTAAAGTCCCTTTAAATGAAATGAAAGGTAACGAAGGTTCTCATCTTTCCTCATCCCTTTCCCCTGTTTGTTCAACTTCCTCCCTCTCTCATCATCCCTTCTCTTTCTTTTCCTTTCTCCGGACTGTGTGGATTCTATGCAGCCCCTTGTAATTTGGGGGAGATGGACCAAACCCTAAAGAATGCTGCTAGTATTGCGGGTGAATATGAATTAGGGTAAAGTTAGGGCTGTAGGGGCAGTCACGTGTAGCTATGGGTTACCCGGTGGGGAGGAAGCTTATTTCTAGTTTAGTTCGTGTCATTCCTAAAAGGGAAAAGAAGACCGGGCGGCATCCGAATGAGGAAACTCGCTAGGGAAATCAGTAAGTTACCCAATTAGGCAAGATGTCAACATCAAGTCTTTACTGAAAAGTTTGAATAAAGTAATAAGAATTTCATTGTCAATTATATCTCCTAGGTCGGTAATGTTAATGCATGAATTTTTTGAATTAGTTTGATTTGGAAAGGGAGACGAAGGGTTGTAAAATTAGGAATCTGGTATTAATTATTTTAGGTTTTTCTTAGCTGTATCATATATATATATATATATATTTATATTTATATTTATATATACTTGCGAAGAGATTGATAATAAGGAAGCAAGCTAAAGACTGCTTATTACGCTTTTATTCTATATTTAAAACAATTGTACAGATTGAGAAGCACTAAAAAATATAACAATGAGTTACGATTATAAATCTTGTTTCTGGGATCCACATGATGATGGAGTCAATGTTCTGCTAACACATATACAATCAGGTATTAAATCCAGTGGGACAGTAGAGAGCTTCTTCAGACAAAGGACAGAACTGGAAAAGGATTACGCCAGAAGATTAGGTGCCATTAATGAGAAGTTACAAAAAAATCTACAGACTGACCCTGAGTTTGGACATTTGAACAAGGCATTGACGACGTTATTAGAAGTCGAAAAGGCAAAAGCGCATGCTCATTCAAAACAGAGTGAAGTGATCTATAGACAAACATATAGTAACACTAAGCTCTTTCGTGGTGAATTACAAGCTAGGTATACTACACTAAGTGGGAAAATTGAAAAAATGAGAGTTGATAAATTCAATAAGAAGAAAGGATGTGAAGAGTTATCAAATCGTTTAGAAAAAGCAACAATAAGAGCAAGAGATTTGAGACTTAATCAAAATAATATAATAGGTTCAAAAAGAGTAGAACAAAATGAAAGGGAAATTGCAAAATGGGAGAATAATGAACAAGAGACAAAATTACAATTAAATGTCTTAAAACAAGAATATAAAGCTTCACAGAGGTATTGGTTGCATGAATGGGGTGATATCACTCGTCAATTACAAGAAATGGAACAAGCAAGGATACAATTTATTCAAGCTAAATTACAAGTATATATTGAAACTTGTATGGAAACTAGTATCCTAGAACAATCTAAAATGGATTTATTAAACAGCAAACTTATGGCTTTCACTTCAATTGATGATATTGCTAAATTCTCAAGCGAATATGGAACAGGAAGATTAAAGGAGAAGCATATCAATAGGAAATCAGCAGAGCATCATTCTGGATCTCTTGTTGATCGAAACTTATCTAATGGACGTAGTTCTATCGAGGATAATGGCGCAGATTACAGATCTTCTAAAGTGTCATATAATCATCTGGGTAACGACCCATATATTGATAACATTCGTAAATTATCTTCAAATTTACAGAAACGTTCTCAAAACAGAAATTCTCAATACAGTAAATCAACCCAAAAGAAAAATGAATTACAGAATGTCAATTCAAATAGTGATTCCACCATAAAAGCAAATACAAACAAAAGTTATGAACCGCATTCTAGGAAAGATGAAAATCAATACCAAGATTTAATGAAAAATAGTGAAAATAGACCAATAACACCTCCACCTGAGCCTATTCATATATCAGACATGGAGGAACCAATACAAGGCATTCAAGTTGAAGTACCACATAGTCATAAGGAAAGCTCAAACTCATATACAACTTCAGAATCTTCTTCGAACCCAACGGATTTTACCTCACATTTGAAAAAGAGAGAAAGTTTGGAATCCATGACAACATCTGTGAGTTCAATGGCATCCAGCATAGGTGATGCACAAAGGTTTTCCAAGTCATGGAATTCATCTTCAAGGAAACGGAAGTCTATGAGCCACATTAATCAATTACTAAATGATGAACATGATAAAAATAGACAAGCAAGCACAAACACCGTAATCAACTCTCAATTTGGTAAATCGCAATCGAGTACAGATTCGTATGATACAGACCGTGACAAGACAACATTAAATATAAAAAATACTAGTGATGTCAGAAGGAAATCCATGGTGCTTGCTAGTTCTACCAATCCAATTGAGGATGCATTATATGAGATGGAAAGACTACAAGGATCAACACAAGCTAATTCTAAACTTGGTAGAGTTAAAGATAATGGTCTTATCGTGACATTACCTTTGGTCACTAGAGGAGGTGAACCTGTCATAAAGTATGCCAAGGCAAATTTCCCATTAATAGATAACGGTGCAGATGAACTTGCAAATTTCGAGAAAAATGATTATGTCCTTATCACCGAAATTATAAGTGATGATTGGTATAGAGGTGAAGTATACGATAATGAAAGGATATCTCCAGACCATAGGGACGGGTTAATTCCTTATAATTTTGTTAGCATTCTTGGATAGGTTAATCTCATCGTTTTATCAGAAGTATTAGTTAATCCAAAAAGACAATTTATGTAATATTATATTTAAAGGAATAAATATTAAGATTCAAAAATTTTGTGATATATGAATATATGAATTTATGTTTGTTCTAGGTGTCTATAATAATTAATAATGTAGACTATGCAGGTTTATGATAGAAAGTAGTAGTAGTAGTAGTAGTAGTAGTAGTAGTAGTAGTAGTAGTAGTAGTAGTAGTAGTTGTTGTAGTTGTAGTTGTTTTTGTTTTTGTTTTTGTTTTTGTTTTTGTTTTTGTTGATGCTTCTTAAAACTAGCTAAACTGTAGATGATTCAGAACTTGAAACAGTTTGTCTATCAATATCAGTGGTAGGTAATTTTTCTAGATCTGAAGTTCCAGATAAAGTCTTTTCGTCGTCAGCTTCTTCTTGTTCACGTAATTTGTCCTGTTCGATTTCGTCCTTCACCCATCTTTTTAAGATAGGAACAAAGAAGTTAGCAGTTAGGACTTGTTCACCTTGATATAACACTAAAGGGACTAGTAATTTCCCTAAATGTTCCTTGTGATTACCATATTGGGATGTGATTAGAGATACACCCAGAGCAGCTGTTTTAGCAGGTGCGCAATACATAATGCAAATTGTATCTTTCTTGTTGTAATAAAATGGTCTAAAAACCTTATAGGAATAGTAATATAAGTTTGAGCATTTCCCTTTGACAGGATCCTCTGGGAACAATTTTAAAAGAAAGAAAGGTCTCGCAATGCAAAATGAAACCAAAGTGAAAAATAGATAAACACCTAGGTTGAATAAGCAAACAAATACAATACAGATGTGAGAAACGCTGGTAAATGACTTTTGATAAAATGCAGTTGAAAATGAACTAAACATGATCAATAATAACATGTATGATCCAATCTTAATATTATATTTTTTCAGGAAACCTATATATGCAGATGTTTGTTTGGGGAAAACATTTTGAATGCATTGTCCAACAAATAATGGAACAAATACAGAGAGACCGACTTGCTTCATAACACGGCCATATAATGCACTGATAGAACCACCACTAGAAGGATCACCAAATGAAAATAGATCATTGCTAGTGTACATTTGAACCAAAGCAGGAGTAATGAATGCACCAAATAAGTTTCCTAATACAACTTCACAAACACAGAGTAAATCGTTCCCGTTAGCATCATGCGTCATAATTACATTCGAAGCCACTGTCGTCGGACAAGTAATAGTGGTGATTATACCCATTAGAACCCATTTATCAATGTTATTATCGTTAGATTTAATGATCGCAACACAAAATCCGTACACGATAGAAGACGTAATTAAAAAACTCATTGTAGCTATTGTTAGATGAGCTCTCCAGTTTGAAATATTTGCTAAAATTTTTTTGGTGGACATACTTAATCCACTCTGTAAAAATATCCATGCGACTGCACCGTATCCTATACTGTATTGACCTTTGATAAGACCGCCATCTCTAGCAAAATTGGGAGCAAATCTAGCTATCACAATGAAGATAGCCAGACAATAAAAGAACCAGAATGATTTAATAATTTTCGTCACTGGATGGTGCCATAGGTATTTGAAATTTGTACTTGAAAATATCATAATATATACTTTTGTTTTTTTTATTGTTGAAGTGATGAAGAACAACTAGTTATTAAATAGGTTGTTCCATCTATTGATTATTACCTCGACAAACGTATGCCTTATATATGTCTCCTTTACATATTTCTTAAAAAAGAAAAGAAGAAATGTATGGTCAAAGTTTCCTTGAAGTCAACTTAATCGAATACTCTGAGAGATGGCTTCAAATTAACTATTAATCATCGTTGTCGGATCTCTATGGGAAAATCTTTCAACAACGCCGATTCTTCCAGGCTTTGTCCCAAAATTTCGGTCCGAAATTGTTCTCACAGAGAGAGACAGAAAACAGGCGGTGGTGCGTTCCCCGGTTCGAAACCTGCCGGCAGCCACCTGCGAATAAGGAAGAACTGAAAGAGTTGAAAGATATCAACCGATAGCTTTACTACTAAAAGAACGTCATGTTTGATGGCTAGACACAACATCACCACGTCACAACGTTTTGCATACCAAAATAAAAGTGAGCACGCATTATAGGTCATGTCCAGAAGAACAGTAGTACGAACAGCGTTGCTGACTGTGACCTGGATTCCAGTGATGATGACTATGGGAGAATTTGTTCATGTTTCTCAAATCAAGGGAAAATCTATGAGACCCACTTTGAATCCCAGTGATGGCAGTACGGATTGGGTATTAGTCAAAATGTTTAGACCACGAAATAGAGAACGTAATGATATAGTGTTGTTTCGAGCCCCTACAGATCCTAACGTAGTATATTGTAAAAGAATTAAAGGTTTAAGTAATGATGCACTGTATTTAGACCATGATAGTATGGTTAAACAGGACAAGACGCATCTAACATTGGTACCGAACGGTCATCTGTGGGTAGAAGGAGATAATATGCATTCTGTAGACAGTAGAAGCTTTGGTCCCATATCCGATGGTTTGGTGATTGGTAAAGTAATGTGTGTAATATGGCCTCCTGAAAGATGGGGGACAAATCTAAATAGATGGGTAGGTAGGGACGTTTTAGCTAACCAAGATTCGGAATAAGACTGTTGATTATCATTTATTATAGACTAATAGGTAAATTGAATATATTATGAACTTGTGTATTCGTGTTTGTTTTGTTTTGTTTTTATGTAAATATTTATTATTATGGAACCTATTCAGTTATGTAAAATTTGGTTAAAAATGCGAGGAGGAAACATGTTTTTATTGAATGTAGTTTAAAACTAAGCTTTATTTGTTTCGTTCTTTCTTTTTTTCAACTTTTTGTGAATGTTAACCTTCTAGATGGGGAACGAATCACAACATGTTCATGATTATGGCTAAATTCGTCATTCTCCTCATAACTGAAATATGGATCGCTTGGAATATTATCGCTGGATTGCAACCTTCCGATGCTGATAGTACTGCTTGTAGAAGCCAGTGAGGAACATATATCATCACTAGATACACTAGAACCACCATTGGAGCAATTATTAAGATGTTTGTAGAATAATTTTGGTGGTGGATCGGGTCTAAAGATATTACTATCTCTTTCTTCCAATATCCTTGCCTCCTTCCACGTCTTCGAATTACTATGTCGTGCCGTGGATGGGTTATTAGAATTGGACTTGAGACTTGATGCACTGGCAAATGTCCTCAATGAGTTACTTCTTGTAATAACTTTTCTTGAAGCCTTTCTAAATCTATCCATTTGAATTTCACAATCGATAATATTTTCTTTAGAATCCATCTCTACATAATTAATTGGGGAACAAAGACTTGAATTATAATCGAAGAAAGCCTTGTAACCACCATCCAGTATCACAATATCCGGATAGAACAAATGTGGGTAATTGTCATGATTGACACATCTGTCATGGTTTCTAAATGCTGATGCCAAAGTAGGACCCCTCTGTGCACTGAATTCGCAATGGAATATCAAGAGACATCGGTGAGACCCCTGGATTGTATTATCTGCTATCCTTTGATCTATTAGATGTGTTGCGATATCTTCTGGTCTTGAAAAATTCATTGCTCCCTTGATATGTCCACCTTCGTACTCGTATGTAAATCTGCAATCGATTATCATATAATCATCATAGAGAGGTTTATGGGCATTGTCAACTATAATATCTTTCAAAGTATTAACACTGATTCTAGGGAATGTGTCATTTAAAGACATTTTACTCTTTGCAGAATAATGATCAATGTCATGCATGTAGTATGTGGGTATATTACTATTCCTCAATGTCGAGTTTTCTCTCTCCAGATGTCCTGGGGTGAAAGCTTTATTTTGTTGGTTAGAAACACAATGTGATGGAGAAACAATATTTAAATCTTTGTATTGATTATTTAACGAGCAAATTGAATTTATTCTCTTGACACTAGAATTTCTCATTGGAAATTTTTTCTTCTTAAAACTTTCGGTACGATATAACCCTAGACTATTCTTACGAGGCTGAGTCATTGATGTCCTTCTCTGTATTGTGGGGCTCGTCACTGTAGAATTCAAACGATGAATCCTATTTCTCCGATTGGTTGTAGGACTCATCATACTAGGAGACAGCATCAAATCCTCGGAACTGATATGTAATGCCAATGGAGACAGTTTTGCTGCGGTAGTCTCGATACTGAATATAGGAGCCACTGGTGATTTCTCGTTAATACTACTGCTATTTGAATCAAGAGCTGAACCTGCAGAATCTTGATTGTTATATTCATTGCTACTTCTATTCTTCTTTTTGGAATCGCCAGACTTGAACAGCGTATGCATGTTCTTGAACAGTTTCTTGTTGAACGGGCTCCCTAGAGACATGCGGTGCAATGTCTTTGTTTCATCCTTAACAGCACTTTCTATCAGGTCATCCATCCTGCTAAGATAATTGATTTGTAGTTCTTCTTCAATTTCCAGTTAGCAATTGCGATTAAAACAAATATAAAGAAGCGACACAAACTCCACCGATTCGATATAACGAAATCACAGTATATATATGTTGAGAGAGAAAGAGAGCTTGTCGACTCCTTTGTGTGTCTTCTGAGGTCTATATCTGTCAGTTCTTGAGGTAGGTCTTTTCTTCAACCTGAAACGCTCCTTGTTCTCAAAACCTCAAAAATTCTCCAGGCGGATCAAAATAAAATCACAAACAATAGCAGAGGAAATTTCTCACTGGAGACAGAGAGAATGTTATTATAACTGTCGTTGCACTTCAAAGGCCAGTATACGCATGGTAATGTACCTTCCACCAGTACAAGGGTATGTATATATATATAAGTGTGTGTAGAATACTTCTCCAACAAGCACGGTAACTTCTCCAAAACAAAGAATCACCAGATGTGCTCTCTCTTTACTGCGACGGGCTCTTCGCCCAGCTGCGAGACGGCCGAAGCCAGGCTGAGATCCTGCTGAGCTCAGCTGAGCAGAGAGAGAACAAAACTGCGTGCTCGTTCGCCAATCAACAAAGGAGGGTGTGGGTGGTGATCTGTGCAGGTAATCAGCTTCTTCAGCAAGACAATGATCCTCCAAGGGTCTATGTTGAGAGACTAGAATGATGATGACGATGATGATGGTGTGTGCATTAAATGTTTCAGAAATTATGTAAGGGAGGAGAGAAGGTATATAAGGTTGTATCGAATATATATTAAATGACAGATGAATGCAGGTGAGAGGGCCGGAGAGGCGATAACTGGTTATCTTACGCGTTTACTAGTTGCTTTTAGTGTTACCCTTTCTGTGTGTCTTCAGATGTTGTGATAAATTATCACTTCTACTGAATTTCTTGTCACACAATGTACACGCAAACGGTCTCTCCTGGGAATGAACCGATCTGATATGTCTTCTTAAATGCTCGCTTCTTCTAAAACTCTTACCACATGTAGCACACGTGAAAGGTTTATCATTTTCCTCACTATCCTTAAATTTAACTCCCGGAACAGTGTTGGTGTTAGGGATCGACGGAGTCCGACTCTTATGTCTTGAACTTATACTTGTTCTGGCAATAGGACCTATTGCCTTTGCCATTGCAATATCCGATTTATGAGTTCTACCAAAATTAGCAATGGTAGTGGATTTACTTCTACCAGATTGCGCACTGTTACTGTTTTGTCTGGAAAGATCGTAAGGAGCTGTTATTCCAGAAACAGAAGCCGAAGCTACAGTTGAGGAATTCCCGTACATATTGCTGGTCCCTGTTGGGAATTGTAAAGGCATGTGCGCATTGATATTACCCGTTGACAGATTGTTGTTTAAGAATTCATTTGTGAAATATGCATTATTATCATTAATAGAATCGTTTGGCATATTCATTAAGGATGGATCACCAAATGGGGTACCAAAATTCATTCCAAAATTCATAGGCATGTTTGCGTCAGCTGACAATATCCTTCTTGGTTCATGAGTCTCTATCTCCAAGCTATTGTTACTAGTTGGGGAACCCGTTGTCTTCCACGGCACAACATTTATATTATTATTACTGTTATTATTAGTGGTGGTGTTAGTTGTTGCCGGTATGTACATTTGGTTCAGAGGAGCATGTAAATTTGGCACAGAGTATCTGTGTTGTTTCTTACTGATACTATATTGTCGTGCTTGTCTTGGAGATTGAGGTGAATTCATCCCTTGTGATTGTAATTTCTTCTTAGAATGTGGATCCTCAATAAGAGATTCCTTACGAACAAGTGGTATATCACTTAGATTATCATTCGATTCGTTAGTAGAAACCTGCGTCATCGGTATTATGGTATTCTGTAAGTTTGTCATACCTATAGAGTTCTGTCTTATTTGTTTCATATCGTTGTTATTAGCTAAGGAGTTGCTTTGTTCCGTGAATGGGTCAATGAAATTTAAATTGTAATCTCCTAATATTTGGGATAACTCTTTATCCATCTTTTGTTCATTACGGTCGTAAATGTCATCCTCATTGGTGATATCTGAGGGTTCCATCAATGTTGCAAACCCTGAATTGGCCCGGTTATTATTACTATTTGAATTATTTGAATTATTTTGCATGTTCCAAAAATCCATTTGATGAGATATCGATGCACGATTGTTGGTTGTTGGCAGCAAGTTATGATTGCTTACTTCACTGTGTCTTCGAATGTTGTCGATCTCACCGAGATCTAAATTCAAATTGATATCTCTAGAACGGCCATATTGACTATTGTTGTCATTATCCTCAGCACCGTTACCTATTTCATTTGGCATGTAGTTATCAAGCACAGTATCCAATTGAGCCGCGTTCAATGCATTATCGGCAGCACCTACAGTTGCTCCAGTTGCTCCAGTTGTTGAACCGTACGTGTTGTCCAGCATTGTATTGATAGGAAAATCCAAATGGTTAAATGCAGTGCTTGCGGGCATTGTCAAAGGTGACATGGACCTGTTATTTTCATTGTTTGGAGATATGTTTTGAGACACCTGAGCCAAATGTTTATTAAGTCTGCGAGCATTCGTGTCGCTGGCATTATTGGAGTTAATGTTACTTTCACTTCCGCTGACATCCTTCCCTAATAGAAAATCGTGTATATTAGTTGGTGTAGTAGTTCGTTCATAATTGATATGAGACGAGTCAAACATTTGTTCAGCAACGGCCAAATCCGTTTCATTCCGTAAATCTTCCTTGTCCTTATAGTCTGCCAATGTAGCGAGAGTCTTCCCTGTGGCTCCATATGGTGTAAATATCGATGCGGCTTCATCAGTAATGCTATTATTGCGATTATTACTAATTGCATTGGCTCGTGTCTCTCTATAATTTTTTGACCTCCCAGGTAAGATGGGCATCTCCAACCCATAACCTGTACTTGTTGTAGAGGACTTCCCCGAAGGTGAATCTACAGCACTATTGTCATTTGAATGTAATTTATTGTGTGTCTGTTCTAAGTCATTATTAAACTGGAGATATTCCGGAGTCCCTGTTATCGTTTGTTGTTGGTTCGGGTGAATACCTGACATGGCTAAACTATAATCTCTTGTTATTCGAAGTTCTCTTTGCTCTAGTGGGAAAATACAAACACGTAAAATGCTACTTCACCCTTCTTATCTAATACTATACAATGAAAAAGTGTGTCTGTGTGTAAAAGTACGTTCTTCTCGCCAACTTACTGAATATCTTCAAAAACTTCAACTGTAAAGGCCAAAGAATTAAAAAAAAAATAGTAGAAGCCTATCACACTCAGATATGTGTTCTTTTGCGTACTTCTATCCAAAACGTAGACTTAAACTCACCAAGCAAACGAACCTTTATGTGATTGCAACTTCTAACTGTTGTTCTTGGAATAAACAGCTCAAAGTTTTGTTTGTTTTCCCAAAATTTTGCTGTCTATTTATTACCTGCGAAACTGCATGCCTCTCCCCCATGCGCGTATGAAATATATATAGATATCGATCTCGTATTTGACTAGATATGTAGATATAGAGATATATAAGATTGATATAAGTACAGCTGGAACGACCGTGAGCTCTATTAATTGATGTTTTGCTCACGGGCATCCTTTCTTTCTTGCCAGACAGTCTTACCTGTGCAAGCACAGACCTGCTTGTCGTTCTCCCATGCACCGGCACTTCTAGCGATGACACCGCCGATTTCTTTCCCAGGACCATCAGTGGTCAATTCCTTAAGGACAATACTACGACCTATGATCTCCCATGCTTTCATTGAGCCACTCCAGAAGGCATGGCCTGTGACGATTCCGTCAGCTTGTTTGAGGCATTTCAATGTTTCAGGGAATTTGAAAAATGCGTTTCCCGTAGATTGCAACCCTTTAGAAATGTCACCATTCTCATTAATGGCAACAGAGTAATTGCCAGCGGGCAAGTCTGCACCATTGATGGTAATGTCGAACAACGTCTTGCTGTCGGTCACTTGAACGATACGTACCAGCCCTTCGACAGTACTGCCTACTTGTTGAGAGAAGTCTTCAAGGATAGTCACTGCAGAGGAGTTTGGCTTACCTGAACCTCTCAGGATGGCGTCCATGCCGTATTTCTGGAATGCAGAAATAATATCACTAGGGGCGACACCACTGGTGATACCAACCATCTTTCTTTTTGAGTCGACCTCATAGCTTTGGAATAGATCGATTGGCAAACATTGCTTCACCACAGTTTCATTGACGTCCTTTGGCGTATTGATGGCATAAGATGCTTCAAAGGTTTCTTCGTTACTTCCCATTGTGTAATGTTCTAGTTGTATTTTGTCTTGTACGTTCGCACTGGATGCAGAGTCTAGCTTATATATAACAGAATACTAATCTGGGTCTACTTCTGAGTCTCGATGGCAGCAAGTTGGTGGTTACTGTTCTTTCCCCTTTTATAGAGAGAGGGCACCATCCACTGTCCTTATTACTAATAATTTTCGCACTCCTTAACTGCGCGTTGGCTATAGCGACCGTTTCCGTTACTATGTGAATGGGATTATTAATATAAAAATGTACGTAATGTGAAATTGATGACATGATAGATGTAAGAAGTATATATGTGCGTATGAGGGTGTGGGGGTGGCTTGAGGACGATGGTGACTACTCCTCTTCGCTGACCTCGTCGAAGATCTTGTTCATCTCCGCCTCGAGGCTTTCGCCATCGCTGGAATTGTTGTCCCTGTTATCTTGAGTCTCAGGAACTGGAGCAACCGCTGGGGATTCCGTCAGTTGAGGGGCAGGCTCGTCAGCTTTGACCTCTGGGACAGTAGCGGCAGCAGTTTGCTCGGGTTTTGGCTCTGGAGCCTTAGCCTCGGGAGCCTTGACTTCGGGAGCCTTAGGGAGACTAGGGATCACCAATGTAGCATTTGCCTCTCTCTTGGCGTTTGCGATTGTCTCTTCGTGCAGTAGTAAAGTAGGTGGAGCCACCTTCTGTTTTCTGGATTTGACTTCGATCTCCTCGCCTTCTTTCATGTCCTTCTCTCTGGTCCGTTTCTTTGTAGGCTTACCATTATCACCAGTTGCTGTTGCGGTAGCATTTTTATCGTTACTATCACCGCCAGCTTTGTTCTTATCGCTGTCCTTACTGCTCTTCTTCTCATTCTTTTTATTCTCTTTGTCCCCATCATCGGCATCGTCGTCGTCGTCTTCATCGTCGGATAGTAATCGGACAGTCTTGGTTCTAGGTCTCCTGGATCCAAACCTTCTTAAGGCATCGTCGATATTCAGTCTGTGTTTCAGCAACTCATCGTACAGGTCCTCCGTCAAAGAGATCCCTTTCTTCCCGGGACGCATCTCACCTGTAGAATTGTCCATGTAGTACTCTCTGATATCGATCAAGTTGATATTCCGGAACTGTCTCACAGTGACCCGCTTGTTCTTCCCCAGATCAAACACTGCGTCTGCCTGCTGGTTGCCCAGCAAACCCAGCGTGTTCGGATCGCTACCGTCAGGACCCTTGTTGCCGTTGTTGTTGTTACCACCTGGGCCACCTCCTCCATTCTGTCTTCTCTTGTTCTTGTATCTGTTGTAGTATGACATATCTGCAAACGGTTTGTCTTGCTGGCGTGGGCTTCAAATTACAGTAGCTCAAAATGTTATTATACCTTCCAGTGGATTGCAACCTTCACAAGAACCAAAAGAACCGTCAAACATGCATCAAATTAGCAGCATCACCACAACGTAAGGCCATGCTTCTTCCCTCTCCCCATCCCATCCATCTTATCTTTCCTTTATATAATCAGAGAGAAGTGAGAAATTTCATAAAAAATTTTCAGTTTCTGTTGGGAAGCGGCGGTGGGTAGGAAGTGAAGGGCTGCTGGCCCACGTGAAAAAGGGTGATTTCGACCAATATGCATTGTTACAGATAGGTATATATATGTGTATATTTACAGGACAAGGGGGTTTATAAGTGATCAGCTCTGGATTTGTACTTGGTTTAGCTCTGGGTGGGCGATTCCCGATGGCCACTTCTCGTTGAGGTGTTTTCCCAGGATCTCTTGCTGGATATGTGCAACGAGTTGCTGCTCTGGCGCTGTTAACTTGTATCCGTCTTGGGACAACTTCGTATATATCTTGTATGCGTGTTGGAATTCTGTCATGTTACTGAACCCAATGACAGTGGGACCTCGGAGGTTCCACTGCACCAAGGCATACTTGACTGCCAGGTCCGCAAGATCCACACCATGTGTTTTACAGTACGTTGCGGCTAGTTGGACGCTGTTTTGTAACTCTGGAGAAGCAGGGTGGAAGTACCTGGTCTCTTGTGCTCTTAACAAGGACATCGATAGGACGGAGGCATTGGCGATTTGTTTGATTTTGCATTCACTCTTGAGACGATCGTAGTATTCCAATAGATGAACGTTTTGTAAATTCAAATTGCAATAGGAAAGCATACAATCTAAAGCACCGATACCCTTTTCCTGAACACATAACAACGCCAGTTTATACAAGTAATCCAATGGATACCCTGATATCCCCACATGACGGATATACCCTTCGTTTTGTAACGCTCTTAATTCACGTAATGCTGTGAAACATTCTTCTACGGTCCGAAACTCAACGTCGTGTAAGTATACTATGTCAAGGTACCAGGACTCCCGGTCTTGTTCAGAGAATGAACCACCTAATAACCTCTCTAAGGAACGCATCACACTGGCTCTTACGCCCTCAGTGGTATAATCAAACTCCTCCTCCTTAACGCGACCTACTTTGGTGCATATAGTGAGTTCGGATCTCTTCCATGTCATATGTGACAACGCCTGGCCGATCAGCATCTCACTGGGTCCATAGTACGGCGAAGTGTCGATAGTATTGACTCCTGATTGCATTGCTGACTCGAGCAGTTGTTTCACGGGCACATCGGAGGGATTGTCGTTGTATTGATGGTTGAACGTCCCACAACCAAGGATCAGATTACTGACATTATGGAAATCACGTTTCGTGGATGGCATCTTGCTTTTATTGGGTGGGTGTAGGCATGTGTTGTTTCCAATGATTGATTCTGTTCAACTTATATACTCTGTGTATCTTTATTCATGGTAGATCGAGACGGTGAAAATTTATGCCGATTCCTATATTAATTTGAACATTCTCTGGTACACTACAGTGATGGAACATATAAGAGAAAGAGAGCGAAACCAAGGCAAAGGAGTTGTATTGAAACTGTAGTTAATAATTGGAATATGGGTGTCAGTAACGTAGTGGCGAAGCCTGAAGTCGAAAAGTTCGTGACTGGAAGGTTAAGTTTTGAACGATCGAAGGACAGTGATGTCGACAATGACAACGACAACGATAACGATAACGACATTGATGGGGACGCTGAAGGTGATGGAGAAGGAGATGGGGAAGAGGACACTACACGTAGGAAGAAACCCATAAAATATATTCAAAATAGAACAAGAAGACATGTGACATTTGCGAAACGAAGACATGGGATCATGAAGAAAGCATACGAGTTGTCTGTTTTGACTGGTGCAAACATCTTATTGCTAATAGAGTCGCATAATACGGGACTAGTGTATACATTTACTACCCCTAGATTGGAACGGGTAGTGGTAGGTCAAGAGGGAAAGGATTTGGTGAGGAGATGTTTGGCAGATTAGAAGATTTTGAGCCGACGAAGCCCTGAGATATGCATATTACTAGATCCTAAATTATTGGCAAGTAGTCTACGAAACAGATAAGAATCGGGTGTTTGGATGAGATATACTATTTGCAAGACACACCGCACCCTGGCCAGCATACGATGACTATTAGTATTAACAAGGATTATAACATGAACTACATTCATTTACCTTGCGGAAACATGTGTATGGATATTATATAACAGTCGATTCAACCTTTTATTGCACCACTCAGTGGCAATCCCACAACCAACGAGAGAAAGTCATTCCCATCGGTCGTTAGGTTCGATTATTTCACAAACTTTCCAGTATATACATACATACATATTGCTAACTAACTCTCTATATATTTTGTTTTGTTTTGTTTAATATGCGAAGCGAAAGCAAAATGAAAGAAATTTTGGTTATCAACAGTAGAAAAGTTGGCAGTCCTTTCAAACGTGATTTTAAAAAGAACAACTTGCTCATATTAAATATATAGTAGGTAGCATCTGTCAATTGAGTTTGCGTTGATAATATACGTTGCAGTCCCTGTATTACTAAAAGAGAAATGTCTGAATTGAAGGTGTTTCAACCAACGGAAATTGTCCTGGCAAAGGTCAAGGGCTATTCGGCTTGGCCATCAATGATCATTCCAGATGAAATTATTCCGGCTAATGTTATGAAATCAGAATATATGAATTCTGATAACGACGATGTGGACTCGGAGTCTGATATAGATACTAGTAACACCGATAACTATATTGTTTATTCAAATATTCTTTCCTTTAAGAAATTTATTAAACCAAAGGATATCTATTGCGTGAAATTCTTCTGCGACGATTCGTATATTTGGGTTAAACACCGTGATCTCTCGATACTCACAATTGAAGATTGTCAAGAATGGTTAAACTCTAGCGTAAGGAAGAATAAGAAGTTGATTCCTGCTTATGAAATGGCTCTTACTGGACTTGTCACCAAAAATGGAATTGATGTTTGGGAATTTGTTGAGTATGGCTCAATGGGTAAAGCCAAAAATGATGAAGAGTATACAGAGGATGGCAATGGTGACTCTGATGAAACTGCAGGATCTCGTAGAAGTAAGAGGATAAAAAAGGTAACTAGATCTTCTAGTAGACAAAGAACCAAAAGACAACAAGAAAATGATGAAACTGAAGATACAGCTGCTTCAAAGAGGACAAGGAGTAGAAGGAACATCAAATCAGAATCGACTACAAAGGATGAAGTAGTACAACCCTCATCGAAACGTTCAAGAGCCTCTACACCTAAAATAAAACAATCTAGAACTACAAAAGCAGCACCAACATTGAAATCGAAAAAGAAATCGGAACCAAAACCTGTATTGTTTAATTATGATGATGATGAGGATTGGAGTGTAGTTGGATTGGGACCTCAAGATCTATCAGTGAATAAACATGTAAGTCCATTAGTCAAGAAACTTTCCCAAAAGAAAAATGTTGATAAGCATAATGATTTGAAATTGGATATACAAGATAGAATCGCATCGGTGAATAGTTTATTATCAAACATATTTGCATCTTCTTTTGAAGAAGGAAATACTCTAAAGAAAAATGATATGGAGATTATATTAGACGAGCTGGACATTGCGATTGGGATGAGAGGACCCCATAACGAATTTATAACAACATTCATATCTAATAGTGAATTGTTATTTAATTTCAGACTATTGTTCAATCTGAAGGGTGAGGAATTGAAAAACTGGTCATTGTGGAATGGATTTCAAAAACATTTTAGACAAATATATGAACATGAATTTATGAATGATAGCAAGACATGGTCCATCGATCCCATAGATAAAGAAATGAATGGCAACAGTAACCTTGGCTCTCAATTAAAGGTGGAGAATAAGTAAGATGTGTAATCCCTATGTGTATTAATATCACGATATTCTAATTGGTAATGTAGTAGTTGTTTTATTAAATAATTAAGTGGATGTAAATATATGTAACTATTCCATGTCAATTAAATTAATATCTTTGATATTTTTAAATTAAAATTTAAATATAAGATAAGCTCACTGGTATATGACAGAAATTATGTCGAAACGATATATTTCAAATGTTCTAATAAGGACTAAACATTAAGTAAAGAAACGAAGAAATATTTGTTGAAATGTAGCAACAGCACTAAAAAGGCTAACATTAGCTTTACCTATCTGAAGGTGAAGGTAGCTAATATAAGTAGAATTTAGAGTGTGCTGCACCACCGTATATATAATAACACATGATATATACTGCATAATGTAGTATTCGTTCCCCCTACATTGGGTTTATTGGAGCTACATTGTCCAACGTTACTATTCACAAAAGATGGGCAGTTTAACAACAGCAACTCTGTTTAACATATAAGTCTAACCACAGTATGTCTGATGGGAAAATTGAATATTAGACATCTTCTATTTAACTGAACAAATTTTATTATATTACAAAATCAACTTACAGTCGTCTGATTTTTATATCTTATATAACAAATATCTAAAGTAAATTATGGAAACAATTATTGAGCTGAAGCAGACATACTGTGGTTAGACTTATATTCGTTCATTATTAAAAGTGTTAGGTATAGAGGTGAATGGTGTAGCTTAAGTTTTAATGTTAGGTAAGCAAAATATAATTGTTATCTTTCTCTTATATTTGTAAGTGATTTTTTATATTATATATAATTTATAGAACGAATAGAATCTAACTCAGAATGTAAGTTCAGAATTCTCTGTCTTTATATATTATTTATTTTCTCAAAAAACTGTTTCTCTAATTCTTTCTTAATAAAATATTACCTAATGAATTATTAAGTAAAAACCATTATTACCTAATTTTTACGTAATGAAATTATTAGGTAATAAATTACTAATTAATGGGAATGTTATTACCTAATTATTACGTAATTCTTCATTCTTATTTGGACATTTTAGATATCTCAATTCCACATAATTTCTGTCAATTATATTCATAAATGAAATATTGTTCCATTTATATATGTTGGATTATCATTGTCGTGATTATAGACTCAATCGACAGTGGCGTAAGTAATCTATTATTAAGTTGTTGCGGGATGAACCTATCAATAGATCATAACCTTGGTCATTATCCCTCTTATAATATATTTCCGACAATGTCTGCTTCAGCTCAATAGTAACATTTTTCTAAATACATTACCCGGATCTTTGGTTTACCTAATATATATTAATATTTTACTAAAACTTCCAAGATGAAGCGGTGGCTCAATGGTAGAGCTTTCGACTCCAGTTAAATCCTGGATTTTCCAAGGAAACAATTGCAATCGAAGGGTTGCAGGTTCAATTCCTGTCCGTCTCATTTATTTTTAAAAACTTTTTGGCCAGTTTCGTATACAATGACGAATATATTTATATAAATTTAGTGATATATTTTAATAATTAATGTTATTGATTTATAAATATCTGTATAAAAATTTAATTTCATGTTAGACAACTGGAATTAAAATATCTGTCCCAAGGCACATTTATCTTATCTTGAAGTGTAAATAATTTCTAGGGCCACAGTCTTCCATCATCATAATGTCTTTCTGCACCGGGCTGATGCAGCTAATATATATATTTAAAAACCATAACCACCCATGTCATTCATAGTTTCATTCATATATTCCTTTTCTATCTCATTTAGAGCCTCTTCATCATCAGAGTACTGATTTTCTGCAGTTTTTTCCTTGTTTGTAGAGTTGAAGCCAGAGTTTTGTTGCTCTATGTTCGTCATTTCGTGCATCATTTCATCAAGCTCAATTTGAGAAGGCATATTTTCTGTTGGTACGAAATTAGAACCAGTTGAACTGGAATTAGTTTCCTCCGTTTCGTGATTTTCGTTGATAATTATTCTTTTACTGCTAATAGCTGATATTGAGTATAAGTCGTCATCATCATCATCAAGATCATCATTATCACTCTTCCTATTGTTTTCTGTTCGGGTAGTGGCTATATCATTGGTTGATAGTATAGGTGTGTCTTGCGATATGGCACTCTCTGTGGGTATACTAATTGAATCCTGGTTAACAAATAACGAACGTTCTCTATTTGGCATAGAATTTGTATCGTGTTCAGTATCATTATTTGTAGCAGAACTTGTGTTATGATTGTCATCATGTTCCTCTGTATATCCAACAGGATCAATCCCCATATCCTCCCTATATAAATTAGCCCTATATTCCTTCAAACTTTTATCAGTCTTACCTAAAGTTTCACACAATTTAATAAAATCCCTGAATTTAGCCTTTGGAAACAGATTATGAGCCCAAAGTTGATAAAATTGAACAATGTTAGACAAGTTTCGTTGTGCAGATTTCCGACTTGTTGATATCCGTATCCTTTTAGGTGCATGTTTCATCACAAATGGTAGTCCTGGATCGCTTAACAGTTTTTCAGAGGTCAACTTTACTTGAGGTCTTCTTGTTTTAGTCGCAATGACCGTGGGATCCAATACAGTCGGATCCAATACTGTTGGGTCCTGTTGTATAACTGTTGGGTCATTTGAATCAGGTCCTGACCCCTTATTTTGTTCGGTTGGGTCAGCCCCGTAATTCATCATATAGTCATCTTGTTCCATCTTGTCACACACAGCAAAATATCACAGAAAGGCAGATATTAGCTCAAATATACCTGGGTATTCGACCAAATGTTCTCGAAAGATCTCTAGCAGTTGAATTTCCCATTAGCTTTATATGTTATTGCCCAATTTAAATAAGGAACGCCAAAATGTTTTCAAATTCAAAAATGCCATAATGATTTTTCGCGTACTTGTTACCCGGCGACTTCACATATCAGGTCACGTGAGAAAAAGGGTCCTGGATCAGATCAGACCTTAATATATTCTTTAAATCCGTCGATAAAATAGTAATATTAGAGTCAATTAAGATAAACACCCCCAGTTTCAATTCATAAGGGACGTTAATATGTGACTGTTTGAGAGTTAACATCGATTGCACAGGACATATATAAGAATTTTGACAAATTTCGCACCATAATCATTTAAGACGGCATTTCAAGATTCATTTTCGGCTTGAAATTTATCTTTCAAGCCATTTTTTTGCCTTGTAACTAAATAACAAGATGGATGACTTCATGGTTTCCAATGCTAAAAAGGAAATATAGGAAGTAGCAATATAAACGAATTTGCAATTCAATTCGAAGACATACCATAACCTTAAGCAGGAATTCCAATATCAGGGATAGGAAGCAAAAAAAAAAAATTCTTTTTTAAATTATTGTTTTTCTGTTTGATTCGAATAGCAATAACAGTTGATTAAGTACCCATGTTTGGCCTAAACCGTTCAACATTTGGTGGTGCATCAACGCAACAAGCTCCTTCTAATGCTTCTCCATTTGGTGCACAACAAACAAGCACCAATTCCTTCGGAATGAATCAACCAAATGCCACTACTCAGCAGCAGCAAGGATTTGGCGGATTTGGTATGAATAATACCACAGCTAACAATACTACAGGTTTTGGTTCTAATGGCACTACTAACACTAGTATGTTTGGTCAAAATACAAATGGTGCACCAAGCAATCCGATGTTTGGTAATAATTCGGGTGGTATGAACAATACTTCTTTGGTGGGTAATTCGATGAATCAAGCCGGATCTAACAACGGTACAGGTATAAAACCATTCACTGCATATCAAGAAAAGGATCCAGTAAGTAGTGCTACGAATGTATTCCAAAGTATTACATGTATGCCAGAATATCGGAACTTTTCATTCGAGGAATTGAGATACCAAGATTATCAAGTTGGTCGTAAGTTTTCAAACTCTCAAGTGCCAGTAACTAATACCACTGGTGTAAACTCTTTTGGCCAGAGTAATGTGAACAATAACAACGTCACTACAAATAATGGTGGTCTATTCAGTAGTAACAACAATACTAATAGCACGACAACTGGTGGACTGTTTGGTCAAAAGCCTACTACTGTATTCGGTGCCGCCGCTGGTGCTGGTGCTGGTCTTTTTGGCCAACAAAATACTAATAATAATAATTCAACTACCATGAATTCTCCATTCGGTTCAAAACCCCAAGGTAGTGCTGGTCTATTTGGTCAACAAAATAATAATGCCACTGGGTTTGGACAGCAAACTAATACAACTACATTTGGCCAGAATAACGTTAATGGGTTTGGTCAACAGCAAGCTACTTCTAATAACACATTTGGTCAACAAAATACAAACACATCGGGTGGTCTCTTCGGGCAATCTAATAACAACACCTTTGGTCAACAAAATGCAAACACGTCAGGAGGGTTGTTTGGTCAAAATAATAACCAGCAACAAAGTGGACTATTTGGAAATAAACCATCATCTGGTGGATTGTTTGGTCAGAATAATACTAACACCAATACTGGTGGTATGTTTGCTCAGAATAATAATTTCAACCAAGGTAATACAAGTGGAACATTTGGTCAGACTAATAACAATAATTCTATGTTCGGAAACACAAGTAATACAAACACTGGATTTGGTGGACAACAGATTGGTGTAAATAATTTCAATCAAAATCAATCTGCTGGAGGACTATTTGGTAATAAATCGGCAGGCGGATTATTTGGTCAAAGTAATAATGCCTCCCAGCAACAAGATGGATTGTTTGGTAATAAACCTGCAACTGGGGGATTATTTGGTCAAAATAGTGCACAACAACCACAGCAAGGTGGTCTCTTCGGCCAAAATAATATGCAACCGAACCAAAGTAGTGGCCTATTTGGTCAAAACAACCAGCAACAACCTTCAGGTGGTTTATTTGGACAAAACTCTAACCAGCAATCAAGTGGATCATTTGGCGCTAAGCCATCAACAGGAGGTTTGCTTGGTCAAAATAATAACCAACAGAATTCATCTAGCGGTCTGCTTGGACAGAATAATGGTCAGCAACAGAGTATAGTGGGGGGAGGTCTCTTCGCGCAAAATAATCAACAGTCAGCTCAAACAGGCGGTCTATTTGGTGCCAAGCCTTCTAATACAGTGGGTGGTGGATTATTTGGGAACAATAACCAGCAGCAACAGGCATCAGGCGGACTCTTTGGTGCAAAACCGGCAGGATCTTCATTTGGTGGCAACGGGTTAAACGCTGGTGCAAACACGAGTGGCGGTCTATTCGGTAATAATATGAATAACACGAACGCTAGCAATCAATCAACTTTTGGAGGAAGTACCACAGGCGGTTTATTTGCCGCTAAACCAGCTGCACAAGTAGGTGGTGGGTTATTCAACAATAGCAGTGGTGCAAATGGTTTAGGCCCAAATACAGGAAGTACTCTCTTTGGGTCAAAACCATCTACAGCTACTCAGGGAGGTGGACTATTCGGAAATAATACATCTTCTGGTTTTAATAATACATCAGTTGGGACTGGACTTTTTGGTGGCCAAAAACAGGCTAATTCAGTGCTAGGTTCTCAAACTCAGATTGGAGGACAAGTATCTCAAACATCGGGTCAACCGGACAATTTAGTTACTAATAACCCATTTGGTTCAGAAAACCTTTTCAATAGAATCGTAATTGATGAAAATGGGTTAAAATCTGCTAAAACAATAAATATTACGAAAGTAAACGCAGAAATAAAGAAAAATAACACCCTGACTGGTGCATACAAACTGGTTCCAAAACCTTTATTCTCAACAACACAGCATATCCATTCTGAAGATGGAAGCACGATGCGTAAGATTCTACGATCAAAAGAATCCGGAATTAATAGCGGCATTGGTTTATCGGGGTCCACACAAAGCAACGAATCTTTGGCAGCCAGACCATCCTTGTTATTAGTAAGTAATGACACCAGTGATAGTAATGGAGTCGTAGAGAAACTGTTATTTAACCCTGAGAAAAAAACATTCAAAGATTTCCTTCAACATAAACTTCATGGAATTGCTGAAAATAAAAAAATAAGAACATCTCCAGAACAACAAGAATCGAAAGATGAGAAGATCCCATTGAAGGGATCGAGTACACAAATCATGCCTAAAACTACTGAGAAGATAACCAACCCTACAAAGATTGACTCTGAGTCCATTGTAGATGAGAGAACGGCCGAAAGTGAAAATAAACCTTCCCCTCCTGGTATGAAGAGTTTAGATTTCTCGTTTATTGATGATAACTATTATATTTCTCCATCTATAAGTACATTATCATCCATGTCGCTCTTAGATATACGTAAGGTGGAACATTTAATTATTGGCCATATTGTTTACGGGAAAGTGGAATTTCTAAAACCGGTTGATTTATCTGATATTCCGGTCATACTATTATGTGGAAAGTACATAATTTTGAAACAAGGATCTTGTAAGGTAATTCCATATTCTGGAGAAGATATGGTGGAAGGTTCTGGTATCAATGTTCCTGCAAGAATAACATTATATAATTGTTATCCAACCAATAAAGAAAATAGACAACCTATTAAAGATGCGCACCATAGCATAGTCAAAAGGCATATTCAAAAATTAAGGAAAATACCTAACACAAAATTTGAAACGTATGATCCAGTTAGTGGTAATTACATATTTACTGTTCAGTCTCCAATCTGAGTTATAAGTTTATATTATTTGAAATAAGTTAGATGATGTTTAGAAAAGAACTATTTTTAATTGTATGATAATAATGGATCTAAAAATTAAAATATACAAGAAAATGTACATATTTTTAAAACATAAATTTAATTTTAAATCCTCTAATGACGCAATTGAGGTAAATAAAAAATGTAGAGTATAAATATGAATGTTGATCTTGTTTGAGGGGATGCATTTAAGTGATATATATATTAATCTTTGAATTGAATATACGCAGAAAGGGGTAAGATATTGTTTCGAAGTTGCGACAGAAAAAGAACATATCTAATAGAAAATAATACCTTATCATATCATGGTTAATAAAAAATGGTCTAAAATAAGCTACTGTATCCAGTGTTCTTATTTTAGTTTGGTACATTATATTTAAAATAGAGTAGTATTCTTACATAATATATTTTTAACATCGTATAGAAAGATGTTCTCAACTGCAAAGAGCTGGTGAAGCCAAAACGACTAAAAAAATATTTTATCCTTTAATTAAAGGAATTAATTAAATCTCAAAGCACCACGTGACTAAGGCAAAAAACTTTAAAAAGAAATGTGCCACCTCCTGGAATCGAACTAGGATTTCATCGGCCACAACGATGTGTACTAACCATTATACTAAGATGGCTTAAATTTCTTGTTTTATCTAAAAATCTTAATTGTTAAATATCTAAGATTTTATAATAAAGTAACTCTTTTCTTTCCGTATGAACTGCATGTAAAATATAGCGGCAGCACTAAAAAGGCTAACATTAGCTTAACCTATCTGAAGGTGAAGGTAGCTAATATAAGTAGAATTTAGAGTGTGCTGCATTGCCGTATATAGAATTGACAGAAATTATGTGGGATCAATATATCTCGAATGTGTTATGAAGCGCGTTATAGTATGAAACAAATATTACGTAATGATTAGGTAATAGGAGAAACCGATTGTCGAGAAAAATAAATAATACATAAAGACAAAGAATTCTGAACTTGCATTCGAAGTTAGATTCTATTTGTTCTATAAATTATATATAATATAAAGAGACGGATCGATTATCGTATTAAAAAATGTCCGAATTAAATAAAGTAAAGCTTGAAGAGACTAATAGAGGTAAACACTCTATCTCAGATTCTCTGCACTGACTCAGCTCGAAAATTTATGTCGAAAACTACCACATCAATCGACTTGAATTAATTGTAAATGAGTGGTGTACATAGTTTGAGAAGCAATACCCCTTTTTATGATTCTTTTGGATAAGGAACACGTGGGACATGACGTAGCATTAATAGCTTTTAGTATTGGAGCCAAACTCATAGGAGTAATAAGGTTGTATTGATCAATACCTTGGTAACCTAGATTGGCGTGTATTTTGGATTCAATTGGTGTTGAAATTTTCTTAGAAAATAATAAGCGATCTTTCATCTTTGTCAGAGAGGAGTTAATAGGTACTTCATGCCCAAAAAATGCATATCTATGTACGTTGACTTTAGTTTAAAATTAACGACATAAAGACCATGTTTAACAGTTTCTAATGGAGCAATTTTACCTGCAGAAGTCGAAATAGAAACACTGTTATCATCGAGAAGAAAATGTACACCAGCACTAGTACATTGAAAGGCTTTTAAGACGCACCAGCAACATTGTCAAGTTGGATAGCACCAATTTTAACAGTACCTTGGCCATGAACAGGGATTTATCCACCGCCACCTTTAATATAGGTTTCAGAAGATGGAACAAATATATTTAACAGCTTTTTGTAGCACGCCTGATTCATCTTACTTAGATTATCCATGAAACTTAGGCAATGTTTCAGAGATTCAGGACACAAGGTCAATTAAAAAATTCAATAGAATCTTTTTTCTTGGAATTGATATTTTCTTTGCATTTTATAAGATAGCTGGCGAACATGGACATCTGAGAAGTATTAATAATAGTATCTAATAGATCGTTACCACTTTGAAGTTCGCTAGTGTCACTAATGGTATACACCAAATTATCAGCTTCACCCTCAGTGGATATTTTGATTCCATCAAGTAAAGCATTGATTAATAACAGGATAGCAGTGTTGGATGCCTGTTTGGGAAAAGTCTATTCGTCAATTACATAAGCAATATCACCGGTTAAGGTGTATTCAGACCACTCAGTGGGATAACGAATTAAATTCTGTTTTAAACGGATAAATCAAGTCTTAAATTGCTTCGGGTCCAGGAAGTTTAACAGACAGCGGATTCTCTTTTAATGCGACAGGGCCCACAATCTAAAAATTCATATAAAAATTGTACATCGAGTGGTACAGTATTTGTACACCACCCCTAGAGTTGTATCAGTGTATCATATTGGATCTCCTATTCATATGAACATATATTCAGAGCTTCCAATGGTGCAACCAGAGATATTCCATACGCAACACAGGGTTATATCACACAGCTAACTGGTTGTATTATTACAGGGAGCTATGAAGAATGAATTATAATTTTATGGAATAATGAGTTATAATTTCTAACTAAATATAAAAGGTTAATAACGAAGTATTGTTACGTACTATATTAAAAGAAATGGTAATAAATGATAATTTACTTTCCATGTGTCGTTACAATTTTTCTTTCCTTCTAATTAAAATATTGCTGTCAAAAAAAAAAGTATCTCTTAACGGCCAAATTAAAAGGAACCATAATTGTTACCAGTCGAGGAAACTAGATGTTTCATAAAGCAAAGATAAGATGAGAACTGCAACTGGTTCGAAAGTAATTGTTGTTATACAACGAATATCATCTCAGAGTTTCCATATAACTGTTAGGTGAAACATGTATTGTATTGCAGACGTCTGTATCGTTCCTGTTGGGACTAGTGAAGTGAGTGGGTCATCTTTTATTGCAGGTGTGGAAAAGAAAATACAAGAAAGTTCGTTGAAGAGCACACTTCACAGTGCAGGAACTACCATTGAGGGTCCATGGAAAGATGTGACAAATCTTATAGGTGAGTTACATGAATACTCTCACTCACAAGGTGTTATGAGGGTCCATTCGGATATAAGGATAGGAACTCGTATAGATAAGGAACAAACTGCACAAGACAAAGTAGATGTTGTACTGACTAAGTTGCAACAAAAAGGAATTTAAGGGATTATTTCCAACAAAAAGGAATTTAAGGGATTATTTCCAACAATTTTATTTTGTAAAAGGAATCGTGAGCCATTTTATACCACGTTTTTCTTAAATAATATTCGATAATATAAAATTATACAAATGTTTCCTACATTTTTATATATTTATTTTTCCATCTTCTGAATTTATGTTTTTTAGTAAGTGCTGTTAATTCTTTCTTTATAGTTGACTCCTCGTTTTTAGAATGGTATAATATTCTAAGAACTTTATATTTTTCGTTCTTATCCATCTGTGGTTTGTGTGACATGTGGACAGAGTTTTGTTCAGATTCATGAATGGTTGTCCTTTCCGTATTCCCATTGGGTGTATTGACTGAGAATAAACTAGATAAATAACTTCCTTGTGTTGAGTTTTTGTTTTCAAAGTTGGGTAACGATCCTGTTTTACTTTGGTTATCTTGGTGATTATATAACATCCATCCTGTATTTTTAGGAGGTTTACGTCTCTTAGTTGTTCGTGGTAAGGATTGGAAAACATTGGTATAACAACATACAGTTGGAGAAATATTCAAATATTCATTAATTTTCTTGATCGCTATTGAATCCAACGAATTTTTTATTATTGGGTAACCTATTTTATTGCATGATATTCTAAACAGTTTTATCAACGGTTCTAAAGGGGCATCCAGATCTTCCATAAATTGGTCAATTAATTGAACTAGTTGTTCAATATTTGTATTGGACATTAAAGTAGGCATGGTCATGATGTACAGAATGATTACTTACTTATTTCTAACAATATATCATTTGAACTAATAATATTTCAATTCAATATCAATGTGTATCAAAATGGATAGTATGTATTATTTTTCTTTTGCTTCTACATTTATCTGTTTATCAAGGTAACAGTATCAGTCGAAGAACTCTCTTTACATGTTTGTGTCTTTTTTCCCATAGTAAAAGTGAATCAAAACGACAATGAACTATGATTTCGGTGAAAATTATGTTACATATTCTTGAAAAACTCTTAAAAGAATCGACCAATACATACTATCGATGAATCATAAGAAAATTATATATTGTAATTAATACACTACTTACCATCATATATTTGTCACCATTCGGTCGAGCTATTGGTATGTTTCAGGTCCCTCTCGAATACAAAACTTTTCCTGGTCATTATTCTAATTATAATGTAATTATATCGATTTACATTTAAGGAAATTCGTGAGTTGCTGTAGACTCTATAATCGATGAAATTCCAAGCAAAATCTTTCATTTATCATCTTGTTTTTACAATTCCTTGTCAACTTGACACGTGATTTTCCTGTCATCGCCCTTATTCGGAGAAAGTTAAGGAGAAGGGAAAATAGGAAGGAACCTTCAATAAAATAACTCATAAATAATAAATATATATTGCAAAGGTTTGATGATATTAAGGTTAGTTAAAAGGGGTGTAAAGGTAATTGGCGACATTTTAAACATTATAGACTGAGTGAGATAGATGAAGAATGTATACCGATTTACTTGAGAGAGGTCCATCGCTCTTATTAGATGATTATCAACAAAATGTGGTTATTCCAAGTAAAAATTCCAAAAAGCCTCTTTCATCACAAGATGCAGAGGAACTATTGAAGAATAAAAAAATCTTATCAATTGATGATATAGATATGATAGATTTAAGGACAGTATTTGATGATCAGATGATCTGTGGTTCACCTATGTATTTTGATTCAGATCCGGAAGAGAATAATGATCCAATTACATTAAAGGATACCAACCCTAGGCCAAACAGTGCATTAGTACCATCAATGGCAGATTGTTATGGTGATGTCAATGGGAATATATTTAAGGAGTTACGTGTTGTTCGTGGGAAATATATCAGAGGATCATTCCAGGATTGTGTTAGTGACATGAAAAATGATTTGGATAGATGGCTAGTTTACCCAAAACCATTACCAAAATTTTGGAAGTTTGAAAAAGATAATAGGTTTAAAGAAAAAATATCGCAATCTGTATCTTCTTCAGACATTGATTTAACTTCGAAGGATTTGAAAAAAGTAAGTAATCATGGATTCTATTATCCACACAACATAGATGAAGAATATTTTTTAGGTAGGAAAAAGAAAAATCCACATTATACAGGTGAATATTTTAATATTCATTTATATGAAAAGGCGAGTCATAAAAATATGATAAAGCATTCTTTGTTAAGATTTGGCAATGAACGAAGAGATATTCCCAGTTTTAAAGAGTTTAGACATGATTTGACGAACTTAATTAAAGTCTCACAGACTAATAAAATCAATCAGATATCTGAGAGAAGATTAGTATACCTAAAGGATAAATTTGAATTATTCCAGTTTTTAAAACAGAAATCAGAAATATTAGAAAATAAAAATGTCCCATATCGAGATTTTTATAACTCAAGGAAAGTAGATCTTGATCTCTTACTAAGTGGATGTATGGGGAGACGTCAATTGAGTGAGTATATTTGGGAAAAATTGAATAATGAGCCGGATCGTATAGTTTGCGTTACAGAATATGGGAAACCAATTAGATTAAACCAATTTTTTGAGAATGGTAAAAATGTAGACAAAGGTGACTGTATCCCAGTAGGGTTAAAACTGATCGATGACGATTTCTTAGAATGGTATAAAGATGTCTATCTCGTTAGTTATCATCTCTTCTGTGCAACTGAGACTTCGATAAGGGATTCTTTAAAAGGTAAACATTATCGTTATTATCTTTTAGCTAAAACGTTTTTAGAATTTGATAACCATATTGATGGTGAATACTTAGCAGAAATATTTACAAGGTTTTGCCTTCACACGTTAGAGAAATCAAAGTATCAGTTGGCCCAAGTGTCGGTAGATTATCAATACACCAACGAAAATGGGAGTACTTCTGATAATTGGTGGAAGAAATTTTCAAGTTGGCTCATGAAATATAATTTAATATCTTATAATGTTCGTTGGAATATTAGATTCTCAAGATGCTATTCTCCACTTTTTGCTTTAGGAAAAGTAAAAAATTTTCAAGATTTTATAAACTTGATTTTTAACCCTCTGCTTGAAGCAATGAATTCGGATGATATTAACTTTCAATTTACGATGAGAAACATTTGTTCTTTTGACTTAGTTATTAATCAAACAGATGATTATTTATGGAAGGTCTTCGAAGATACTGATTTGGAACCAAATAAATGGACAGCAGGAGGTGATAATCCAACAATTTCGCAGTACATGTATGCAGTTTATAATAGCTTGTCGGAAATTAATCAAATACGACATAACTGTTTTCAAAATACCATTGTTTTAAGAAGTTATTGTTGTCCTTATATTACTAAGAATAGAACCTCTCAGTTTAGTACCGCTGATGTTATCTTTAATGAGCAAATCGAATCATTGGCTTGCAATCTACTTCTGTGTAATGGTGGTCTTTTGCAGAGTGAGCCAATCTGGGAGGCACCATCATTATTACTCTACATGTATTATTTGTTTCAAATCCCAATGGTTGTCTCACCCTTGTCATCTGTGTCACATGGAACTACTCTGATTGAGGATTATCATAATCAAGAAATATCTAATGATGAAGAGAACATTGAGAAGAATTTTGTGACTGAGAGGCGAGAAGAGAATAAACTAAGAAATTTGACGGTTATAAACGGAAGAAGTTATAATAAAAACCCATTTATGAGTCTATTTAAAATTGGGTTTAAGGTGTCTCTTTCTTCAGAATCGGTTCTATTCAATTCATCATACACCCAAGAACCAATGATGGAGGAATATAGTGTTGCAGCGAGTATATATTTGTTAAACGCCGCCGATCTTTGTGAGTTAACCAGGAACTCTGTACTCTTCAGTGGGTACGATGGATGGTATAAATCGCACTGGATTGGAGCAGTGGTTAGGAAAAGACAAGATGAAGAGGTAATTAGTGAACCAATAGGTATGCTCGACGTATGGTACGATAAAGAAAGAGATACAAGAGAGAGACATAATGTACCCTTTTTAAGAAGGTGTTTTAGAAATGAAACATTAGCACAAGAATGGATGTTTACCCAAGATGACTTCTAGAAAATAATAACTAACGATACTATTGGGTAACCATTCATTGGTGGTTTATTGGTCTAGTATTTTAAACGTCTATGATGTCAGATTTTATAAACATTATTAATACATTATTTTTTATGATTATTTAAATGCAAGATGATATTATTTTTCCCAACTTGGTTTTATATCTCGAATATATTTTGCAAATTCTGTTAATCTTTTTTGTAATATATCTTTATTCCCAAAACTTTCCAAATCTGAATTATCGTCACCGTAATAAAACATCTTGAAATTGCTATTCACTTGATCATTTCCACCAAGATCACTCGATAGATCTACTACAGAAACGCTCCTTTGAAAGTACCATTTATTTACAACATTATCTTTTCTACTTCTCCATAAAACCTCCTTCGGAAATTGTTTAAACATTAAGTTGAATATTATATCAGAAATACCTAGGGATCCCTTTAGCTGAGGTAATACTGCAAATTTATCTAAATAAACAAAGGGTTTTTCGGTAGGACCCTCGTAAGTTAAGATTGCTATACCTTCATAATCTCCTATAATGATCACCGATGCGATATTATTATTAATTCTACGTAGATAATGCGATAGATCTAACGATCTATTGAAACTTTTATCTAAAATGTTTTTCATTTTAGTCAGATCTAATTTCAGGCCAGTATAAGTACTTAAGTTGGTATCCTTGTCTATAAACTCATTTGGTAATCCAACACTATTATTTTGATTCAGTGATTTTGAATTGAATATCTTTATATCGACACCTTTCTTGAATACAGTTGTATCGAAAACAGCATCCTTAAGTTTGTTGGGGAAATTACTGAAGTTTGGTTCATGTTGTTCTTCGTGCTCATCTAGGATCGCTGTTTGTACTTTAATTTGTTTATTATTTTTGAATCGTGGTAACGATGATGATATCAAAGATCTATCTGTGAGTAGATTATAAAGGAGAGGGTTTTTGGTATCTTTAAATACACTGGCAGATTTAATGGTTGTTACCAGACCCGTCGAACCTGTTGATAGATTCGACAAGACATTATTCATTAGTTCCATATCTTCTATATGTTCCTTTAGTTCTTCCTCCTTATGTGTAATCATATCATCATATATATGTAATCGCATACGATCCACTAAATTACTAGAATCTGGTTGTCTTAGTTGTAAGTTATATAATTGATCAGTAAGATTTTTCTTCAAAGTCCCAAATTCTTGTGATAGATTGATGAAAACATGAGCATTATCGTTTCTCTCGAGTGAAGGTGTACCACCAATTGTGTTCAATATAAAGAATTTATCGATTAGTAGGCTTGAATCCTTACTAAAATGGGACATGAATTTAACAATATCCTTTGATAGATATTCGGAAGCATCACATTCGTTATAAACGTAAGGTTTAATGATAGGAACCATTCCCGCTATAGTATCATCGAACAATCTAGAATTGGAGGATATGATTGATTTATAAGTGCCTGACGATGTTTTCGTAAGGGCTTCCCTTAAATGTAAAGGCTTTAAGGATGCAGACGTAACCATAGAGTCTAACATTTCCGCCTCTTTATCCATAAATGGGGTAGGAGGTATTACACATATGGGTCGTAACCCTAGCATTCTCAATCTCTTGATAGAACCTGAGAGTTTCCTTGCTGTCAATTCATTGATACTGTGCAACCCACGGATAAAGAGTAAGCAGTGGTTCACTATAACCGGCTCATTATTATATTTCTTCAAATAGTCCCTGACTTCTCTCTTTGTAGCCGTAGAATTCAAAACTGAGAGAATCAGTTTCTTCGAGGCCATATTTGGCTGCTCAAACTTCAGTTCCTTCGCCAGCACGTTTCTCCACATAATAACGCATATATATATATACAACAAGTTCCAGTTCTGGATAGTTCACGGCACCCTATATATATCGTAATTGAGACGGATCTTTCTCCTTCTCTTCTTGCTACTCGATGACTCAATCGATCTTTCTCTTACTTATATATATGGAAAAGTGAACCAACAAATAAATAAATAGCGATAATCATTGGAAGAGAGATCGATGAGCGTCACAATTTTTTCTTTTCAGTCTTTGGCTGCTCAGATTCGGCCGACTCACGGTTCGCAATCGCCGAACGGTCGGTTGACCGGTCGGTTGGCAAACTCTTTCAGCTTACAAAAGGAAATCGCGTAAGATTGGTAATTAACTTGAAGGTTAAACACGTAACCCAGGTTGATAAAGGTTGGTTAAGGAAGGACCAGTTGATCGAGAGGTTGTTTGAAGTGTGTGATGTCGTTGCCAAGACGTTTACAGGAGACATTTTCCCCCGAAGAGGTTCAGTTTATTGTTGAGAACCAGAAGATTAAGATATTTCCACGTATTACAACTAGTAAAAGACGAAGTGGGAATGGGTCACATAGTAGCAATAGTGATGATGATATGAGCAGATGGAGGATGTTAACTATGGATGGACATGAGTTGGAGAATATGATCGTGATGAAATCGACAGAAGTGACGTTGTGGTTAGCGTTGTTATTGAAACAACAATCTAAATGTAATATCATTATCCCGGAATGGCTTACGGTGAAAGGCCTTGACCTCATGTTACAATATGAGAAGAGGAATATTCAGCGATTCAGTGCTCTCCCGTGGGATTGGCTGGTGGTCTCAGAGATCTTATTCAAACAGGCAGCAGATGATTTTAACGATCCTATTTACGAGTTGAGAAATAGAATACAAGATCTGAAAGAAATTAGACAGATGAAAGTGTTACAAGGTTTGAAAAATTTAAATGAGTCTCATATGCAATTAGATAATTTAGGTTTGTTGGAGATTAATGAATTGAGACCGTTTATTGTTGAAGTCATGGACAAATTGAGACAGATACATGCCTCTGTTCTGGATACCACTGAGACAGAACCTCAGGATTATGACGACGATAAAGATATTGGTATGGGAACAAGTATATCTTCGAATAGAGATACATCTTCTAGTGGGCTGCCAAACGCCATGTCATTCTAAGTAATAATCTATTATTTAATGTGTATAATTTAGGTTATTAATATTATTAGAAGAAAAATAATAACATACATACATGCATACATCGATGAGGTTTATAATTATTTCATCTTATTTTAGATCATCTACTCTATAAAGTTCTATCTACGATAAATTGGTTAGAAACCTCCTCTCATGTTACCAAATGGGAATGGGTTTCCTTGAGATTGGAAGTTGAACCAATCGTTACCGTTACCTTGCTGTCTATGGCCGCCGCCACTGCCACCATTCCTGCTATTGTCATAGTCTGAACGTTTGTTATCATCACTCAAAATTTCATAGGCTTCATTGATTTCACTCATCTTTTCATGAATTTTCTTTTCATCGTTTTCAGACAAACTTCCCTGTTTATCTGGATGATACTTTTTGGTCAAGTTCAAATAAGCTTTTCTAATCTCTTTGGAGTTTGATTCTTTTGGAACATTTAAGATTTTATAGTAATCTTTATCTGTGTTATGGGCTGGTGGAGGAGGTGGTGCACGTTGTTGATGTTGCTGTTGTTGACCGAATTGTTGGAAAAATTGTCTTTGTTGCTGCTGTTGTTGTTGTTGTTGTCTTTGTCTTTGTCTCTGCTCGTTCAACTTTTGTTTCTTGTTCTGGATCTTCTGAATGACAGACGCCTCTTTCTGGATAAAAGGGTTCATAGTATTGAAGAGACTATTATCATTAAAGAATTTAATAAGCAAGTCCTGTAATTGACCATTAAATTGTTTGAACGTTTTCCTAGAAATAATTTTACCAATCATATATATGGATAATGTTGGATACATATTCCATATTTTATTCATGAATTCTTCAGATATTTGGGCATCTTTTTTGTTTAGGACATTTATAAAATTATCCCATTCTTCTGGAGTTAATGTTTCCTTCAGAGTTTTTTTGCAGAAACGATCCATGTCCTTCTTATAATGGTCTCTATCTTTACCTTTAGTTAACGACAATTCCATATTGGCTTGGCATAATATGATATCCAAATACTTGAAGAAAGCAAAATGATCAGCTTTTACGGTAAGCGGCCCTTTTTTGGTGGTTTCAAATAAATGGTTTGTAGCTGCTCTATTTGTCACCAGTAAGTCAGTGTTATCATTTATTAGTTTTACAATTTTACTGTTAATCCATTCATAATTGATAATACCATCTCTTTTTTGTGTCATGTAATAATCAATAACTTTATTCCAATCAATATCGGTTTTCGATACATATGTCTCTGTATCCAATAACTGTGCTCTTGTTGGGTTTATCTTACTTAATCTTGATACCAATAGACTTAAATCTTTACATGGTTTATAGTCCATATCTATCGCTAAACATTTTCGGATATGTTGTGTCGGCTCAATATTTAGAATTAATAATTGTAACAAAGAAATAGTATAATGCATTTGAATTCTTTTATCTAAAGATAATGTAATCTTATGTTTTTCCAGGATTGTTTCGTATATTCTTGCAATTTCGTAAGCCGCCGTTAAATCATTGAAATTTTCAGATTCAATTAATTGGTGGAATAAGAAATCGGCCCTTATTGTCAACGTATTAATATCATATGGAGAAATGTTTAACATTGGTACTAATTCATCGTTAATGGTAGATAACTTGGATGGATCATTGATCTTTTCGTGGAGAGTCGAATTCAAACTTCGAAATATATCTCCGGTATCGTCATCTGGTAACAACAATTTTAAACGATCCCATAGACCAAACTCAGTATATAAATCGCTTAATCTATCTTTACTCAAATTATAGTATGAATCGCCCAAATCTTTCAATTCTTCGAATGCATTCATTCCCTTCATGTCGTTACCCATCGATAAATGAATGAGACCGATCTTATAATATATTTCATTTTTGAACATATATAGGTCTCTCCTAGAGTCGCTAAGGCAATTATCCAGTCGAGATGCAACGTTCTGATACTTTGATAGGTCAGAATTGTCAAATCTCTTCAAATCCTTCGTCAATCCTTGAAAGTACTCTAATTTGCAATCAGAGAGATTCTCAGTGTGGGCTACCGTAGTCCCCAGGTAATACCATATGACTACCAAACACACTTCTATCAGTAAATTACTACCTTTCATATCGGTAATTTCATATGATTATACTCAAATTCTTTGATAATTGAAAAAATCTATGTTTATCCTACAAGGAATATGTTTGAACTCCGTGGGTGATGATTTTCTATGTTATTGGTTACGTGGTCCCCAATATATCGAAGTATGATGAAACAATTATATCCTGAGTAACTCTAATACAAACAATTACAAGTTAAAACAATTCAAATCTCAGGATTTATTTTTAACAAACTTCCTTCTCTAAGCTAATGACCCATTTGTCACCTATTTGGTCTGTTGGTCTCTGAACTTGTTGCAGGTTGGTCATTTACAGCTTTTAGTTAAATTTAAAAAAATGTCGTGATAGTTACCCTCTTTGTTCAAAAACACGAAGAAACACGAAAAATAAACAAAAATAACAAAATAAAAAATAAAGATAATTCAAGTTTACGTGTTTGAAGAAGTGTTAAATTCATCATTATTGATGAAAAGGAATACATTCTTAACGCAAGCTACTATACCGGAACCTATTTGCTCTGTTAGTTAATTTAGACGGTGGGATTAATACAGTTGAAATATCGTTTTTACTCTCAGTAAAAAAAATGTATATACAACGTATTATTATCAAAGGTTTTAAAACCTATAGAAATGAAACAATCATTGACGACCTGTCGCCTCACCAGAACGTGATTATCGGTTCTAATGGGTCTGGTAAGTCAAATTTGTTTAGTGCAATTAGATTTGTGTTGAGTAACGATTACAGTCATCTGAGACACGAAGAACGACAAGGTTTGATTCACCAGGGTTCTGTGGGGAATTCTATCATGAGTGCCTCCGTAGAAATAGTTTTTCATGACCCTGAAGGTAAGATTCCATTGAGCTCTTTCAATATTACTCCAAAGCCAAACAATGAGATCCACATAAGAAGAACAATTGGTTTAAAGAAGGATGATCATCAAGTGAATGACAGAAATGTAAGCAGCACCGAGATATTCCGAATTCTTGAGAGCGCAGGGTTCTCTATCAATAACCCTTACAATATTGTGCCGCAAGGAAAAATTATTGCTTTGACAAATGCTAAAGATAATGAAAGATTAAAGTTATTAGAAGATGTTGTAGGTGCAAAGTCCTTCGAGATCAAGTTAAAGGCTTCGTTGAAGAAGATGAATGAAACTGATTTAAAAATGAAGGAAATTAACAAAGAAATGATTGAATTAAAATCCAAATTAAGTGAGATGAATACTGAAAAAAATGAGCTGGAGAAATACAATGATCTCGAGAGAAATCGTAAAGTATTACAATTTACCTTATACGATAGAGAATTAAATAATATCTTAGATCAACTTGAGAAAATAGATGATGATTATAACGTCACGTTTGGTGATTCAAAACAATACATGCAAGAATTGGATAAACGTGAACAAGTTGTAAGTACTGTAAACGACTCACTTCTGAACTTAGAAAATCAATTGAGAATTAAGATTAGAACTGATCAACAACAGACTAAAGCGATATATGATGATGTATCCTCTAATCTAATCGATTTAAGTGTTAAGATCGCAGATTTACAAAAACACGTTGCTAGTTCAAGTGACCAAAATAAAAATGATAGCAAGTCCTTAGAGATTATTAATAACGAAATTGATGCACGTAAGAAACGACTAGAAAAATTGATGCCAAGGTTTAAAGAGCTGTCAGCTGATGAGCAGAAATGGAGATTTAAACTGAGCGACTTACAACAAATAAAAAGGGAGACTCTACTGAAAAGAGGTAACTATTCTCAATTTACTTCAAAAGAAGGTAGAAATATATGGATCGAAACCCAAATTAAAGAACAATCTGAGACACTAGAAACTGCACAAGCATCTGTACTTGAAAATGAAGACGAAAAAGAAAAGCTTTCTAATTTGATGAAAAATGTTGAAGAAGCTATAGATGATCTGACAGATTCCACAAGTGGCCCATTAGTATCAGCTACTTTAGAAGAGATTTCCGACGAACAAATTTCATTAAAGGAGCAATACGTCGTAAAATTAGATGAACGTAAAGAAATGTGGAGAAATGAACAGAAACTAACAACAATACTTGAAAATATCTCTACAGACTTAAAGTCTTTCCAAAAAAATGTTAATGAGACAATGAGTCGTGATATGTCTATTGGTATTGCTAGCGTCAGAGAAATCGCAGAAAAATTGGGATTATCCAATGATGCCGTATTTGGAACAGTCGGTGAGTTGATCAAGGTTAGTGAAAAGTACAAAGCGTGCGCCGAAGTAGTTGGTGGTAATTCATTATTCCATATTATAGTTGATACTGAAGAAACCGCATCTCTTTTAATGGAAGAATTGAATAGAATGAAAGGTGGTCGTGTAACATTTATCCCACTTAATAGAATTACTTTGGACAATAATTTTTCATTACCTCCTAGTAATCTTGAGGATTCAAGATCTGTACCGTTTACTCCTTTGATCAAAAAAATTAAATACGCCCCTAAATTTGAGAATGCTATTCAACACATATTTGGTAGAACTGTAGTGGTGAAGGATCTTGTTAATGGTTTAAAACTGGCAAAAACATATCGTTTGAATGCAATTACTTTGGACGGTGACAGAGCTGACCAGAAAGGTGTTTTGACCGGTGGTTATTACGATTACAATAAAAGAAATAGACTAGATTCCTTAAAAAGTTTAGCTAAAACTAGGAAAGTTCACAGTCAAACTTTGCTTGAAATGGAGGGAATTAAGAGAAAATTAGAAGAAACAGATTCCACAATCGACTCTATAAATGATAAAATGAAAAATTTGGCTAATAAAAAGGAAGGGCTACTAACAGATATTGAACAACTTCGCATTAGATTGAACAGTAAAAAGGGCGAACTTGCCATTATGCAAGAATCATTAGATTCACTTGAAATGAAGAAAGAAAAGACTCTTTTGAATATTGCCCATCTCAAAAATAGAATCGAAACTTTACAGGCAGATAAGGATGTAGATTTTGATTCGGAAATATCAGAAAAAGAAAACCAAAAATTAGAGAATTTAACAGGTGAAATTAATGATGTAGTAAATAGGTTAGATGTCACGAACGAGTCTTTGGAAGAGTTGACATCAACAATCGATAAAATTAATGCTGAGTTAGAATCCAAGCTAAATCCACAAAAGGATTATCTGGCTCAACGTATAACTGAATCATTACATATTGATTCTGAAACGTCCAGCGAGGAGTTAGATGGTTTATTATCAAAATCGAAAGACCTCACATATCGTAAAGAAGATCTTTCTAACACTTTAAATATTATTCAGAAAGAAATCGATGATCTAAATGCTGAAAAATCAAACAGTGAGAAAATTTTAGAGAAGGCTAACTCCCAACAAAGATTGCTTTTGGCAAAAATAGATGACTTCCAAAAGAGAACTGAAAAGACTATGGTAAAAAGATCAACTCTGATAAGTCGTCGTGAGGAGTTGCAACAAAAGATTAGAGAGGTTGGGTTATTGTCAGAAGATATCCTGAATAAATTTAGTGACCTTTCGAGCGAAGATTTGTTAGGAAAGTTAACAAACACAACCATAGATATATCGAAATTAACAAATGTTAATAAAAGAGCTTTGGAAAATTACAGAAAATTTAACGACAAGGAGATTGAATTGGAAAACAGAGCTCATGAGTTGATGATATCTAAGAATTCTATCCAGGATCTAATTGAGAAGTTGAAATCTCAAAAGACAACTGCAGTTGATGAGACATTTAAGAAAGTGTCAGAAAATTTTGTCCACGTATTTGAAAAGTTGGTTCCAATGGGTACTGCTAGGTTGATTATACAGAGAAATGAAGGACTGGATGATGATTCGATGCAAAATAGTCCTGGGACGCAGTCTGGTTCAGCTTACAGTGGAGTTTCTATTTCTGTTTCGTTTAACTCAAAGCAAAATGAACAACTTCATGTGGAACAGCTGTCAGGTGGTCAAAAGACTCTGTGTGCAATCGCATTAATATTGGCTATACAAATGGTTGACCCAGCTCCATTTTATTTGTTTGATGAGATTGATGCTGCATTGGATAAGCAATATAGGGCAGCCGTTGCTTCAATAATAAAAGAATTATCTATAAATGCTCAGTTTATATGTACCACATTTAGAACTGATATGCTCCAAGTGGCTGATAAATTCTTCAGGGTTAAATATGAAAACAAAATCTCAAATGTCGTGGAAACTAGTAGAGATGATGCTATTAAATTTATAAGAGGTAGCAATAAAAATGCAGGAATGTAGGTTTTAGAAAAGTTATGCAATTAAATAATTTTACTACTTAAAAATTTTTGAGTCTTTAGTTTTACATATTTTGATGTAGAGTGGGCCATTCTTAGTCCACTACGATTTATCAAATTCAAGAAGAATAATGAAAAAGTTTATATATCTCACAAAATGTTACAATTTATTAAGCAGGCGTTGGAAAGGTCATGGAGTCGTTGTAATCAGAATCATTCTCGGAACTTGTTTCCCTTGATGTTTCCTCATCTAAGCTCCCTTCTTGCTCAAGTGGAATATCAAGAGCCTTATTATCTGTTACTGTTTGGAAGTTCTTTTCTTTAATGTCCATAATGGTGTGTAGTGAGGGTCTTGTTTTGGGCTTCTGATGCTGTAAAAATCCTGTTTGATACTTTATGTTTTTCAGTGAGTCCAAATGTGATCTTCTTTCATCCGCATCAGGAATTTCTTTACCCGGCTGACTAGTTGTATGTGGTATTTCAATCTTCTCTGACTCTTCGTGGACAGTCTTGAACGATGACCCGTTAGACAGGCCGTATTCATTAACCGATTGATAGTCAGTATTAGATACGGAGCCGCTGATTGTCGAGAAAGTACCATTATCATGATGAGATAATAAGCTTCCTTTGCTGTCTGGTATAACATTCTCACAATCCTTCATATTTTCAGCTAATTCGCCATTAATTGTAACAGGCGTTTCATGTTCATTACCTGTGGCACTTTGCTGATCCGGTAAAATTTGAGTATCTAGTTCAGTCACCATCCGCTCTTTGATTGGATCAATGTTTAAGGTTAATGGCTGTTTCTCGATTTCTACAGGATTTTCAGGAGATGTAGTAGAATTATCAGAGAAGTAGTCAGTTTCAATTCCTGTATCTGTGTCCAATTCATTGCCATCTTCTTTATAATCTTCTTCATCGCTTAAAGTTGATGGTACTACATCATTTTCGTTATCTGTGTCACTCTCAGAACTGTTTTCGGTATCTGAGTCAGGGTTTCCAGAGAGTTTTTGAGCCGCCTTCCTAGCAGCATTTCTTGGCATATGTTTTGGCAAAATGTTCCTTGGATCAGGTTTTGAATTATCTATATCTTTGTGTAATACTGTAGTGTATGGTTTCTTCCTGAAGGAACGTTTTGTAGGGGCATTTTGAGCATCACCCCTCAAGAATGCTGGTATTCTTGAACTTTTAGACTGCATAGCTTCTAATAGATGTTTCTTCTGGAAACTTGAATTTCCTACAGATTCTCCGGCGCTTCTCATATTAACAGAATTGTTTGTTTTCGTTATTTTGGAATCGTCCTGTACCATTGATACACCCTTCTCCCCTTTCTTGTATCCAATGGTTTTAGCTTTTACAGGAGCTTTGGCGGTAGCGTCCGATATAGTTGTTTCCTCTAATGTTCCCTTACCTGTTAATTGCTGTGTTTGTCGACCAGGTATAGAACTGGATTTCAATGAACCATGCTCACTATCAGGAAGTGCAGCTAGATGTACTTGATTGTCATCTTGCTCAAGAATAGGGATATTCTTTACAGGTGAACCGTTATTGTCAGCAATTGAACTTTGCTGGCGTTTTAGAGCTTTCGGTGGTGATCTAGGGATTTTTTCATGATTTCTGGTTATTTTGGATATTTCTGGTAATTGGGTAGAGATAACATCATCTATATTAGTATTTTCCTTAGTTGATGCTGCTATAACTGACACTTGGTGAGAATACAGGGAACGTACTGCAGATGTAGAAATTTTTGTCTTAAAAGAACTTCCGTTGGTAAGAGGGGTAGAACCAGATTGTGGTTCGCCATTCCCTTTGTTGTCTGGATGAGTTTTAATTGATCCGACCTTCGGTGTCCGTAATGGTTGTTGACGTTTTACAGCAGATATTTTGTTCTGATCATAGGATGACATATCTTTTCCTGTATTATAATATACGTTTCGTATCGTCATGTCTGTCCTATTCGGTGTAGTTATAGGAATATGAGGGGAATTGAATTGTAGTATTTGCTGCTTGCTCTTCTGGGGGTCTACAGTCTCAGACCTTGATACAGTATCATCTTCCATCAAACTTCGAATTCTTTTCCCAGTTTCGATACCGGAGCTAATACGTATTGGAGGAGATTGTGGTTGGGAAGGAGGTGGAAGAATTGATTTATTTCTTGGATCAACAGCGTGATCCTGGTCAGGCATTTCATGCGGTCTATAGATTTGATGGACTAGAGGTGTTGATATCCTGATCCCCTTATAGAAGGTTCCCTTCGATGGTTGTGACATTGTTCTCTTTGGTAAAATAATTCCATTTGTTTCGTTGTCGCCGTTAGAAGCATTGGTAATATTAATCAAAGGAGGGTTTGAATGAGTTTGTGCAGCATTAGAAGGTATTATCCTGTTAGTATTATTAGGCATTACCTTCATCCGTTTATTAGCATAGCCAGAAACTGGGACATGTTCATTCCAATCAATATCATTCTTTAACAGCACCTGAACAACGCTTTCTGTAGTAAAAACTTCGCCAACGATGAAGTCTGGATCCAAGTCACAACCCCATTGATCCTGTAAGGTTTCAATTTCTATTTCAGATTCTAAATTAGGGTACATTTTCCCGATTTTTTCTATTATCTCATCGCCTAATCGTTGTAAATTGATCGTCTTCTTTGTGAAATGTAAAACCCTTTTAATGTTGGAATTTATCCGCGGTATGGCTGAGCTATCTATGTTTCTTCTTCCACTGTTAAAATGCATTCCACTATCTCTTCTAAATAAATAGTTTGCTGGAAAATTATTTAATGAAATGCCCGACATGTTAGCACTCATTAGTGAGTTATTAAAGAACTGCTGACTAGCATTACTTTGTGCAGGCGTCGTCACTGCGCTAGGAGGTATTAACTGTAGCTGTAGCTTGTACATCTTTTAAAATATATATATATTTATACTACACTTTTCCTGAAAACCTAACAGGTATTAGTAAATTGAACCTTATAACTGTTTCCTGAGTCTTTTAAAACTGAATCATAACTTTTCGTAACTTGTCCTTCTCTTCCTCAGATCAATCATCATCAAAAAAAATATTCTGAAATTTTCATTTCATTAAAAATCAAAAAAAAATATTTGGACGAGTTGGGAATCGAACCCAAGACCTCTCCCATGCTAAGGGAGCGCGCTACCAACTACGCCACACGCCCATATATTTATAACAGGGTTGTAACATTTTGTATATTATATTGTATCCTCTTTATCCGGGTAACGTTAGTGTTTATACTTAATAATGTAAAATATAGCGGCAGCACTAAAAAGGCTAACATTAGCTTAACCTATCTGAAGGAGAAGGTAGCTAATATAAGTAGAATTTAGAGTGTGCTGCACTACCGTATATATAATAACACATGATATATACTGCATAATGTAGCATTCGTTCCCCCTACATTGGGTTTATTGGAGCTACATAGTCCAACGTTACTATGCACAAAATATGAGCAGTTTAACAACAGCAACTCTGTTTAACAATATTCACAATACTTAATTTCAATAGGTAAAGAAATACCTTTATGACAGAAACTATCTGGAATAAAGATATCCAAAGTGTCCTAATAAGAACTAAACATTTATTAAGTAATAGTCGTTCAGGTCATAATCGTTTAGGAAATAAGTTCATTACTTAACAATCGTTTAACCAATGATCGTTTAGGTAACAAATCAATTACTTGACAATCGTTTAGGTAACAAATCAATTACTTGACAATCGTTTAGGTAACAATCGTTTAGGTAACAAGAAGAAATGAAATATCGGTAAAATAAATAATATATAAAGACAAAGAATTCTGAACTTACATTCTAAGTTAGATTCTGTTCGTTCTATAAATTATATATAATGTAAAGAGACCGATCGATTATCGTGGTATAATAAGGGCTTCCTTTTTACATCATTTTCTTTAAAGTTTGATTCTTATCAATACATGATTCTTATCAATGGTTGTCCTTAAAAGTATTTCTTTACCTATTTTAATTAAGTGTTGTGCATATTACTCCTAATTTCTGACACTATTAGTAAGTCGTTGAGGGAATTATCTATTATCAGATCATTGCGGGATGAACCTATCATTAGATCATAACCTTGGTCGTTATCATTCTTATAATATATTTCCGACAAAATTAAGGGTAATAGGTTGTCAGAAATTAAGGGTAATATAACTCTGCAGAGAATGTGAGATAGAGCTTTTGACTCTTGTAGTCTCTGCAACTTTTAATTGTTTTAATTCGGACATTTTATAATACGATAATTGATCGGTCTCTTTTATATTATATATGAGTTACATATTAAAGAACATTTAACATTTTATATATATTATATTAAGAGCTTCTTTTTATATCAATGAGTGAATGTGAATAAAGGATTTTCTTTACCTATGTCAAAATTAAGGGAGTTATATTATCCTTAATTTCTAACGATTTGTTTTCCTGAAGCTCTATTTATCTTACCTAAACTACTATTACCCAAATGCAATTATTATCCAAACGACTATTACCTAATGGCTTGTTTAGTTTTTATTAGGACATTTGCGATATGTCACTTCCACATAATTTCTGTCAATTAGAATAATTATATGTATTATGCAATATTTTAGAATTGCATTCAAGACCCATTTCAACATGTCTAAATTATGATATCTAGTCATATTTCAATATATTGAATAGCTAAGAGTAAAAAGATAGATTGTTCCAGATTGCAAAATACATTATCATGGACTTTGTCAGATTCCAAATTTCCAATCATAGAACAACTCATTCGGTCTGTTCAACAAGTTCCAATTATGTACATATTTTTTTATTGACCAGAAGCTCAAGGAAAGTTCTTAAAATATCAAAAATGCAGTTTTTCTTGAAAACAATTTATTCTTTTACATATTTTTCACTACCATTATATAAAATTAAAGCTTTGCTGTAGACCACTAACAGTGTTTGAAAGTTGCTTCGCGTAAACAAAAATTTAAAAATGATAATCTTTCAGAATCGCATAAAAAAGAGTTATTGGCTCTCGAACATTCAATATCAAGAACACTTTTATATTTGAACAAAGCAATACCATACTTAAAAAGAGTATCACATTATAGTTCAACCAGCTTTGTAAACATTCCAAGCAAATCATTATCAGGGAAGCAAAAATTGTCCAAATTAATGCGTATTCAGCAGTTTTAAAACAAAGACTATCTTCGTATACGTCAGAGTAGAGCTGATCAGATTTTAACTGAAGACAAAAAAGGTTCAATAAGTAATAATAAATATTATTGGATAATGAATATGTATACCAAAGTTCAGAAAATGGCACCCTCTAAGACTCTCATATTAATATAGATATGAAATGAGACCAAGAACTTTGCGGAAACAAAAGTTTATTTATTCCAGAAAAAGGTTACTCTCCTCTACAAGAGGAACTATCTATTGGACATAAAAGAACGATAGACTGGCCAAAAATGACTACCTCATTAATGTTTCAAAAACATGATGTTATAAATTGGAAGATACCAGGTTAAACTATCAAAAGTTGATAGGCTCAATGAGGACGGAATATGACCTTTGCTGAAACTCCAACCCTAATATTTGAATTATGTGGTATTGTAATATCCCTTATGTAGAATTTGACAATTAAATTCTATACATATCATATAACAAGGTGTCATGTTCTCCATTAGTAGTTTTTATATTTTTTTAAGCTCGTTCATAATTTGAAAGAACGACTCTAAACGTGATCCTGAGTCCACGTTTACATCACAATAAAACCAGAGCTACGAATATAAAGTGCCATAAGCAAGAGTATACGTAATTTAATGCAGAGCTGTATGTACTACTAGCAGCCTGGGGTTTTCCGTCACATTTAATACTCCTATCGATCAGACATGGAGGGTAAACATTACATTATCCACAGAAATTTATATCAACATGATCCCACTTAATGTATAAAGTCGATTTATAAAGCATATGGTTTCCGCAATGTGTTACCATAACATTATTTTTAAATTTTATTAACAGTATGATATCCTGCATCATATAGGCCTGTTATACATACCATTAGGTAAATTTGTTTGATGATAATGTTGAAATGAAAGAGATACGAAGAACGTTTCTTATTGTGCTTCCAAATCTGTTACAGTAATTTACATTTCTGATGAGTTTCACAATTTTTGTTCCAGGAAGTGATTCTTCAGGAGCTTATAAGTCAGCAACAACATATATATTTACACTGTTGAGAGATGTTATGGGTGGTGTGATCACTCCTCAGAACGTTACCTTTTAAGAAAAGAATAGTAGTTTTAGTTAGATATGTAGATTAATGAAACTGATCTCTTAAGTACAATATAATTTTTGTTCTTGACATGGTGCGGAACGTAGTGGTGACATGAAAATATAAAAGTTATTAAGTACAAATTGAACTATGACACAGTCATTTTTACAACCTAGATTGCTAACATTTCAAATTACTCCAATAAAATGATTAGGAACAAGTGGTGTGTTCAATATGTTTCCAGTAGATATTTGGGAATGAACGAAAAGTAATAATATTCTTTTTGTTTTATAAATTTGTAATCACATTCCATTTTGACAAGAACGCCAAATTTAAATTCACTTAGACATGTGTTATCAAATAATTGAATGTTCTTCGCAGCGTATGTTTTATTTCAATGTTGAAATTTTCTAGTTCATAGCATCTCTAGGGTTAGTTATCCTCTCTATTATGCTCATATTGAAATTTCGCATTGCCGCGCTGACCCCAGATAGACAATAGTGTCGTTTCTTTATTGTGTGACACTTTTCTTATTATCAGCAATTGGCGTCGAGCCATGTTTAATAGAAGAACCCGAATCAGAGACTTGTTAATATTTTCACAGTTGTTCCCATATAGAAATCCTCGTTTTCGTATCTTCGTAACTAATTCTGATCTAGATTACCCAATTTCGTAATTTCTGTTGCTCTATATTTGCTGTTTAATGTGACTTTAAGTTAGTCTTATATAAGATGACTACTTCATTAAAGTTATCTAAATAGCATCTACTTTGGAGGGAGGGGGAGTAACAAAGGGTTAGTTAGCTTCCAGCCAAAATAAATAAGGTTTCTCAAATTAGAAACTAATTTTAAATCAACAAAAAATGGTATCAAAAGTTACACTGCTTCTTATTATTCACCTTATTTTCAAATGCCCTTCAAGCGCATGTAATAATGCGACCCACGGTCCCTAGATTTCCTAACACAACCTCTATTAGTTCTATTAGCTATAGTACTGTACAACCACGTGTCACCACCTCAATGAATGTAAGAAGTATATCAGTTGCTTCAACACCTGAATTAGGACCCTATACAAGTTTAGCAAACATATTGTCACACTTTACCGTGGGAGCTACAGAGAACAATAGAGTAACAGAGAGTACAATAACCATTTCTCAAATTGGAAATATAAATTAATCGCTGACCTTACTAACACTATTGGAAGTATGACAGAACATTAAATGTTAACTAGTACTATTGTTACTGAGATTAGGTTAATCATCTCCGCTAATATTTTTCCTCCGATCGACAATGCTTTACAAAAGAATACAATGTTAGGTTTTAAACAAGTTTGAAATACTAGTTCATTGTTAATGGATTTAACTCCAACTTTAAAAAGGATTTCCACAGAAACTGATGATCGTATTGTAGATAAAACAGATAGTTCGACATAGACTAAAAAATATTTACAAAAAGAGATAGTTACAAAGAAACACTGTTCTAATACCACTTATTCTAGTACTAAACAAAGGGGAATGATATTCCCGAACTGCTCCCTAAGTAATCCGATACCTATTATATGTATTAGATCCAGCGAGAATGGTGACTCTGTTGGCAACAATACTCCAACAGTTCGACCAAAGAACTTAACATCTCCAACCGTGAAAAAGGTGTACCAGTTCAACAGCTACGAGTGTCGATCTTGTTACAACAATAGGTACTCTTGCTATTGGAACTACTGACTTCTTATTAATAACAACTTTTACCACTCTGGAATCTTTAAGTACAATAAACATGATGAGGGATTATAAAGGGAACCGGAGAAGATTAAAGCATTCTGGTTCACAACCCGGTTTCTTTACAATACTAGCTGTTTTTTTTAGAACATGCCATAACGATCATTTAAACCTTTAGAAAATTCTTTCCTGACTTAAACAATATCAATCGTCATGCTTTCCGATTCCTACTTAGTCTGTTGATTTGATTAACGTTATAAAAATCGGAATCAAGAAGAATTTAGGAAGAATAAATAGTCATAAAAACAAATAAAGAATTTCATAATAAGTTAGCTTCCGGAGGTTCAAATTTCTGAAAAATCATCAATTAAATAAGACTACTAAAAAAAAAGAAAAATTCTTTTCTCTGTGTATGTGCTAATTTATACATTTCTTCTATAATAAAAAATAACCAAAATAAAAAGAAAAAAGAAATAGCGTGTTACTCTACCATCATTTTATCTACCAATAAGAATAGAAAACCATCCCAATAATTATCAAATGGTTCAGTAATAAAATTATTTTATTGTGGGAATTCTTATCCACATTATTACCTCGTACAGATAACACCAAAATATAACTACTTGTGTAATCGGGTAATGACAGGATATTTCTGGTTTCCCATGACCCCTGTAACTTGTGAAGGATTTTGAATGACAATTGAGAGTGTGTCCCTATTGTTCTTGACTTTAACGAAGCATTTTGTTTATTTGAAAGGGGAAGTTTTTCTCTATTCTTTGCAATGTCATTATCTTCCATGGACAAATTTATTGTTCTTTACAGCGAAAAGTGAAAAAATTCAAAATAACAATAGTTTGACTAACAATGGCTTGACTAAAAATGGACCGATGAGGACAATTGACAACTATGTTATCAAGTCCTTAATAATAAGAGAAGAGGAAGTGAAACCCGGTTGTTTTTTCCTTCAGTTGGATGGAGGGAGTACTTATAATTGAGTGTTTAGGCACGCTCACACAACGACACCAATCAACCAGCACTTAAAATGGACCAACATGTGCATTGTTGATGCTGTCAAATGGTTCAACAAATCGGAAATGGAAAAGAATTGTACGTGCCTTAGACTTAATTGGAACAAAGACTTTAGAATCAAATCAGCATGACTGAACTCGTAAGTACATTTCAGAATTTTGACGAAATTTGTTTTGTGATTCAGTGCGGTACAATTGTTTCTATGGCTGTTTCTCAACAACGTGAATTACAGGTACTTTTATTTCCTAGTTTATATGGAATTAATAAAGAATTTTGATTACTTAAAAGTGTGTTTGATCAACATTATCATATAATTTCACTTCGAGGTACAAGGATCCCGGAGAATGCCAGATAATTCTTGACAATTGGTATTGAACCTCCGTATTCGTTTGTTTCCTAGGTTGGTATTGTAATTACGCTCACAATATATTTCCACCCCAGTATTTAGTGGTGTTTTTGGTATTCTATTGTGCCAATACATATAGCTCAAGTATATCAATATTTTTTTATCTATCGAATCCCCCAAAAGGTAATAAACGACCAAGCAAACGAGTTTGTCATACTACAACATTGTGATATGGCATTTCTATCGTGTAAAAATTAAGGCCGCTGTTTACAAGTATAAATCGTCCTTGCGTATGTCATTAGTTTTTTGCTGTGTTTCTTTTGTATTAATTAATATCTAAAGTGAGTAACTAGCTATACTTAATATTAAGACTTTTTTTGCTGAACCATTCACCATCTCTGGATTAATATAATAGAATAAGAAAAGAATCCCGGTAATACAATTAGATTTCCAAACTACACTAGTCTTGTAGGTAACGGAGTAACCTAGGCATTCTAACCCAATTTTGGGAAGTTTGCACTCGGGAATTAATTTGAACAAAGAATGATCACTGTTCAAAGTTAACTAAGATAAAATGTTTCTCAAAGATATATAAATGAGGAACTTAATTGCACATTAATTGAATTTGAGATGTCCAATTATTTCTTGATGTTCTGTAATTGTAATTCTTAACTTATAGTTTGTTCTTTCGAATTAGATAATATCATAACATTCACAACAACTTACTAATAATATATTAGATAGCGTTTTCTTAAAACTAAAATGTTTTTGGTCATTCTCACATTATTGTTCTACACAACAAGAACATATGCTTTCAATGCCTCATATGCTTTAACCCCTTCGCTTCAACAGTCTGTCCTTGATGAGCATAATAGATTAAGAGCTTTACACGTAGATACTCCACCTTTAGTATGGGATGATACATTGGCAAGCTTTGCTCAAGATTGGGCTGCTAAATACGACTGCTCAGGTATTTTGGTTCACTCACAAGAACCATACGGTGAAAATTTAGCAATTGGTTACACTGCAATCGAAGCTACAGATGCGTGGTATGATGAAATCCAATATTACAATTACTCAGATCCTCAATACAGTGAAAAAACAGGACATTTTACCCAAGTAGTATGGAAGGATTCTCAGAAGTTAGGTTGTGCCATAAGAAATTGTAATAACGAATGGACATTTTATTTCGTATGTGAATACGATCCTCCAGGTAATTATCTAGGTGAATTCTCATTTGAAGTTATGCCTTTGATATCGAGTCTATCCAGTTCTACAACAGGTTTATCAATTACAAGTATATCTACTACTACTTCTTCAGAACCGTCATATGCAGACATATCAACTCTCGTAAGCAATTCCTTGGCTACAAGATCAATTGATGAAAGTGTTGCCGTACCTACTGAATTGGCAGCTGAAGCTCAATATGCTACAGTGAAATCGAATAGTATATTGACTAGCAGTAGTATTCAAACCACTAGTGTCTCTAACATCATAACTTCTTCATTGTCCTCTCTTGACATGACTATATCAACTTCTGAATCACAATCAGTTACCAGTTCTTCAAAGTCCAAGTTAACAACTCAAAATATTATTTCTCCAATTGTGTCCTCCGCTTCAATGTTGCACTCACAGATTGTTGCTTCATTTAAAAATTCTACACTCAGTAACACAGAGTCGCCATCGACAATTTCCACAATTTCTAGTTCAGAACCAGCAGTTACTTCTCAAACAAAGTCAATACAGTCGTCTAGTTTGGATCCAATTATTACCTCAACAACTTCAACTTCATTATCTGTCTCCACACATATAAATGTGGCAAACAGTTCAACCAATGAAAACACTTCATCCACAATATCTACCAATTTAATAACTTCAGAAACACAACTGTCAAGAGAACCAAAGTTAGAAGGGACTTCAAAAGTGACTACTGTATCATCTACTTCCTCTAGTTCCAGTGGTGCATCTTCTTCTTCTACAGTCTCCGATTCATTAGATGCAAGGTTATTCAGTCTATCTTCTGAAGAAACTACTCTATTTAGTGAAGATGTTGTATCCCAATCTTCAAAGATCAACACAACCTTGAAATTGGAGCAATCAACAATTATAAGTTCGGCCGCCTTATCTCTTCCAACGAAGGAAACCCCTTTTGCTACAAGTGACAATGAAACCATCATTAACACCAAATTATCATTACCAACTATTACTTCTAGTTCGAATGTTTCTAGTATCACTCATATTACGACAACTTTGGAACCAATTTCTACTTCCGTAAACCTTTTGTTCGAGCACGAAGTTCATTCTTCATTCAGCCCAGGTACAAATAGTTCAAGCAATACTATTTCCACTTCAAAATCAATAAGTCTAATATCATCATCTTTAAATGAAATTGAAGATTCAACTTCAACATTTTCTGCACATTTGTCACTTTCATCCAAAGGCCCAAGCAAAGTAAGCTCTTCAGGTATAACAGAGGTTCCCTCAAGTAGTAATAATATCACAAGTTCAACGTCGGTTTTATCTACAAGCGAACTACCAGTTAATCCCACTTCTACTATTTCAAGTTCTGTTTCGGTCAAGAATATAGTAACTGAGACACCTTTAATCACTCCAAATGTTACTAGTACCAATTACATCTTAGATGACGCTGAATACAGTTCTGGAATCACTTCCATTAGTAGCTCAGAGTCAAGTAATACTGTCACACAATATATCGGTATTCTAAACTTTGATAACAGTTCAACAACCGAGCTATCACCTTCCATAATAACTTCAAGTAAGTCAACTTTAACAGAATCAACAACAGCTTCCATAAGTTCTTCCCCAGTTTCTAGTGTCAGCGAAATAAGTTTGAATGGTACTAATATTTATTCTACAACACTCCCACAAGATGGTTCATACAGTTCAGCTAGAATTGTCGCAGGTATCGAAGTAGGTTCAAGTAGTGTGTCAACTGAGAGAAATTTACCATCAGCAAGTAACAGTTTGGATTCCATTCCAAAAGATATACCAATTAGTACTACTATTCCAGATGATGATGCTTCTTCTACCGGTTCTATGGCCAACGAAAACCACATATCATCCATTAGTCAAGTTATTGAAATTCCAATGACTACTTCATTAAGCAAAGATGTCTCCCATATAATAACATCCGAAATTACTCAAGCACAAGAATCAGAGGATCCATATACAACCACAATTAGATCAGGTGTTGCTGTAGCAGTTTCTAGCACAACTACTAGTAGAACCACTACAATTACAGTTAATAATAATAATAATAATGATAATGATAATTCGACAAGTCCTATTTTAGAAGATAATAATTCTCAAACTTCTGAAGTGAATTTAGAAAATATAGTTTCTTTAGGCTCACTTGCTACCAAAACAGGTCCATATACCACAACATCAAATATCGCGGTTGAAAGTGCCATTGAGGGCCAAGTATTGACTACTAATATAAGAAAAACACATAGTTCTACTATATCAGTGCAAACTGAAATCATAGAGAGTTATAGTGGATCCCCAGCACAAGCTACAAATATCATTAGCACTTACCAAGGTGAAGCCAATCATTTATTAGAAAAGAACAGTTTCTTTTATACTATTATCATTTTCATTATTTTGTTTTAAAAAGTTTATGGATACATCCACACACAACATAACAAACTTACCATATTCTTTAGAAAATTCGTCGACTACAGGTTAGTCATTCACATTTTCAGACATTTTTTTCTTAAAGTCTAACACAATTTCTAATTGTTTAATTTAATTTTAATACTATATACTAAGACAAAACATATTTACGTTTAATTCATTCATTTTCATTAATCAAAAAACAACAACAACATACATACATACCAATTTATTCCTTAAAAGGCAAACAAATGACTCAAAAAAAGGGAGACTTGGATGCAATTACGAATATTCCCCCGATTTTAAAAACTACTACTCTAATAGGACGTTTACTTTCATATTGATCACAAAGGACGAAGGGGGAACAGCTGCAAATGATAAGTATAGATACTATAAAACATCCTCGGTGTCTACATTATTGTTAACTTCTTTGAATCGATCTTGATAAGGAAACAACTCTAATGATTCAACCCCTTCACCCCCCAATAGACTATTATGCTTACACATATAAAAAGAGAGTCCTCCAAACCCATCATCTACATTCTTTAACTTACATACTATATGCTATAATTGCTTTCGTTTGATTATTCATCGATATATTGCAGTGCCAATTGTTTAACTTATATCCGGGGTAACCGACCGGACTCACCGGGCAAACAGGACAAATATTATTTTGTATTGAAAATATGCTCGATGCCGTAAATAGGAGACAAACGGCAACACATATGATGATGATTAAGAAGTCATCTATGACTGTAGTTTATTATTATATCCAGTCATATATGTTAATTACAGAAAAGAATATATATATTCAAGTGTATATTCTCTATTACAACTGATTGAAAATTATTTCAATTCTAATTCTTTCTGGTTAAACACATAACTGTATCAAATACTATTTACCGAAAACTACATTCATACTCATATCTACACGACTGTCGTACTTAACTCATTAATCAGTTCAATTTTCTCCATCATACAAATACTTTTCGTTTTTTTGTTCAAATGAAGGTTACAACAGTTATTATCACTACTTTTGGATTAATAGTTTCATTAGTTCATTCAGAGGCAGCTCCCAATCCTTTTAAAACAGTTGGTAACCCAGAATTTAAAGTAAGGAGTGAAGTTAAAATCAAACCAGAATGATATAAATAGCAATACGCATCGAGAGTATCCATTCATATAAAACTCTTCCAAACATCTTTATATTCAATTACTATTATGTATCGTAGGTATATATTTGCTCATTTCAAATAATATAATAAAATGATTTTAATTATCTAATATGTATTTGAATACTTTTACATATTTGAAAGTGGATAATAACATTAATAGAAAGGAACACTATAAATGTTTCTAAGACCAACCTCTTATTAGACATGTTCACTAGCTATAATTAGTAATATCGAACATTATCAAATTATTGCGAACGGTTTGCGATTTAGAATTGTATCCACCCCTCACCAGAAATAAAAAACATAGAATGTCACAAATTTTAATCAATTAAAATTATTCTTCCCCACCCCCAAAGTGTGTCACTTCTTTTTCTTTCTCTCTTAAGGTAAGGCGATTTAGCATTTTCTTACCAAAGGAAAAACACACACACAATAAGCCTATGTCCTAATTAGGCCATACACCCAAACGTTTTACTACGGACGGGTCTGTATTCCCAGCAAATTGATATACTTCTTCTCCTAATTCATATTCTTTTCCTGTTTTTGGTTCTCTATACTTCCACTCTATTCCCAAGAATTTGCCACGGAACAAACAGCTAGCGAAAAAGAAATATCAAAAGAAAAAAGCTGCGTAGCGGACTGAGAACCAGCCCAGCGCTCTTTCTCAGTTTCCCGATTAGGAAGCAGAAAAGAACGAACCCGCTCCGTTCAGTTTTACGCAGTCAGTTTGGTTAAAGAACGTAGTTATCCTAAATAGGATTTAAAGCTGGATTCCCCCCAACGTAACGCGTTCTTTTTTCATGTTTGAGAGAAATTAATGTATATTAGTTGTTTGTAGTACGGCAAATGCTTGGTAACCAATAATCAAGAAAATAGTTTTCCCAGCTCGAATCAAATTAAACTTAATTTTTTGTGGAAATACGAACAAGAACACAATTTGAATTTGTTTTCTTTATCGATTTTCCATTTTTCAATTTTCGTAACTTATCCTGATGTTATCATTGTACAGTTCCCGGAGGATTGTAAGCAATATATAATAACAATTTTTATATACATATTGTAAATTTTTGTGAATACAAGGAAAGGAAAATTGTTAGGTTAAACTATTATATTCTTACCAGTTATGGGTATATAATTGGTGAATTTGAAAATTAAATGATAGATAATTAATTTTCTCTAATCAAGTCGTATTCTGCTGTTATTATTGAACTTCTTTTTTTTACGATTGGAGAAATACAGTAATAATATGTTTTTTTGTTTCTGTAAAATGTATGTATTTTGATTATTACTGTACTTGAACTCTCTCTAACTGTGGAAACTGTTAACAAATAGCAAAACAAGTCAGTACGAACTTAAGTAATACCGATTAAGTAACCAACATTTTTTCAAATATTGTTTGCTGCGCAATTTTTATAGCGTCGCTTGGCAAAAACAAGAAAAAAAAGAAAAAGAGAGGAAAAAACAAGAAACCCGGTGCGGTGCCGTGTCCACCGGTTGATAGTATAATATTATCACTAATTTGAACGAAAAAAAGGACTCTACACGTCCATTTCTTGGGAAAATGTTTTGTAAAAGTGAGCAAACTTAAGAAAATAATTTCTCGACAATTGGACGGGCCTGTGTTGACTCCAGTACATACATCAAGTGAAAATCAACAGTATTACAGTTTGTAGTCCCGAGAATCTTAAGCCCAGCAACCGCAGCTTATTTCAACCCTTCGGTTTTTTCTTAACTTTCTGTTTTCTGCCGGTAAATTTCTTACAGTTTTCATCTGCCATTGTTAGTGTTACACGTACATCCTTCTTCTATTCTAATATTTATTTTCTTGAAGAATTTCGATATAATATCAAATCATAATACACCCACTTCAAAATGAAGGAACATGAAGAAAACCGACTACTACATTTATGTCGCTGGGCGTTTTCTTTATGTTCTTTCTTTTCATTTTCTTTTCTTTTGTTTACGTTTCTCTTTGTTATTGTTTTTGCATAAATTCAAACACACAAGATTACTTAATTTGCTACGCAATTATCTTTAGCCAACATCAAAAGACTAAATGATATGCACACACAACTTTAATCACTGAGTCTCTTTAACGTCTATCGTCCGTAGTTTTTTTCCTTTCTATTCCAACTCTTGGTAATACTAGTCCCAATCATGCAATGTTCACCTGCTAGTCTTTCGATTCAAATTTTAAAATTAATATTATAAGCTTTTTTTCATTCTTTGTGACAATACACCCAGCACGAAATGTTAAGAACTAAGTCTAAAAATGTATAAACTTTTATCGCATGTTGTGCTAGCTACTTAAAAAAAACGTTGGTCTTCTCTTGTGTTTTTGTTTTGGATTTTCAAAATAAACAAAAACAAAAACCGAATACTTTAGTATCTTTCCAATGATGCTCGAAGTAATGAGATTATGCAATTATATTTTCCTTGTTTTTGTATTTGTTTTTGCTTTAAGTTTCCTTATTTCAAATTCTTGTCTTTCGTTTTCTGGTCATATATATAGATACCAAATCTTCAATAAATTCAAAACTAAACTTTTCTCTAATATTAATCCTCTTTTATTTATAACGTATATTTCTATCTTTTCTCTCTCTATATATACTTCTTATATTACAGATATATCAACAACAAAAAAATTTAAGAAAACGTTCTACACATTTACCTAGTATCTGTTCATAAACACATACAAATAATACAATAACATACAATGCAATTAAGTTCAAGTATATTACTGGCGCTCGCTTACCAAATGGTAACTGTATCTGCTTTCAACTCTACATATGAGATGACCGCTGCCGATCAAACTACAATGCTAGACGAAACCAACAGATTAAGAGCCTTACATGTCGACACAGGCTCATTGACATGGAGTAACACTCTAGCTGGTTACGCTCAAGATTACGCCGCTAAGTACGACTGTTCCGGTGTCCTAACTCATTCCAAAGGTGATTATGGTGAAAATTTGGCCATTGGATACAGTGTTTTAGGAGCTGCGGACGGTTGGTACAATGAAATTAAAAACTACAATTACTCTGATCCAGGGTTCTCTTCTAAGACTGGCCATTTCACTCAACTTGTATGGCAAGACAGTACTGAGGTTGGTTGTGCCATTAAATACTGTGGTGATGTCTGGCACAACTATATTGTTTGTGAGTACGACCCTGCTGGTAATTACCTCGGCGAATTTGCCGATCAAGTTAAACCGTTGATCTCGAGTCTCGAAACCGTTCCTGCCGCTAATGAATCCCCATTATCCTCCTCTTCTACCTCTTCTTCTTCATCTACCTCCGAAACTTCTTCGACTTCCACATCATCTACTATTGAATCCTCCTCCTCCTCTACTGCCTCCACTTCTTCTGATTCTAGCTCTTTAAGTTCATCATCTTCAAGTAACTCCAAATCTTCCAGTTCTTCTAGTTTGATTACTTCAACTACTTCTGTATCCAAAAACCTACGTGATGCTATTTCAGTCTCTGCTACAGTCAAATCAAACAGTGCTAACTTCAACAGTAACGTAACTTCTTCCACTGAAGAAGCTACTTCTCTAGAAACATCTTCCAATGACGCTACTGCTACAATTTCTGGTACTAACGCTAACGGTATTGATGCCATCTCTACCGCCAGAGTCTCTGTTGTCACTGACACTGTTCATGCTAAGAGAACAACTACTCAAGTCGTCACACACTGTTTTGACAATGTCTGTACTGAAGCTACTATGGTTGCTACTATTGACGTCGTACCTGCTACCACTACAGGAACTAACAACAATGCCGTTGATGCTATTGCAGCTGATGCCTCCGAACAAACTGTCACCATTGTCAACGAAGAAGGTACCATTACAACCACAGTCAAATGTTCTACTGCTACTGCTGCTTCTAACGTCGACGCCGAAGCTGCTACTATAGTTTCTGATGCTACTACTACTACTATTCCAGCTCAAGCCATCACCACTATCACTAAGAGTGCCGAAAATGATGTTGCTGCCACTACTAGTACTGCCGAAGTCGATAGTGCTAGTCAATCTCAAGTTTACTCAAATACCACCACTGTTCTATACGGTAACACCACCGAGACTACTGTGACAACTGTTACCCGTAAGACCACTAAAGTATCCACTTTGCCATGTTCTAAATGTACTGCTACCACTATAAAATCTTCCAGTAGTATAACAGAACAAGAAGCTCAAGTTACAATTGCTGAACAACAACCTTCGATGACTAGTTCTATCATTAGTCATTCATCTGTTGCCAACAATACTTCATCTGTTAAATCCATTGAAGCATACCAAGGTGTTGCTGCTCATGTAACTGGCTGGAACAGTTTTTCATTAGCAATTGTATTATCTGCACTATTATTGTAATCTTAATAAATTGAAACACATGGTAAAAAAAATTATTTTTTTTAACCATTATCATTATAAGGAATGAATGAACGAACAATAATAACATTATGTTTTGTAAGTGAATGCCGTTTAAAAAAAATTAAATTCGTCAATTTTTTAAGGCTTATATCATTCATACCAATTGTACATTAATTCAATTCACTCACATCGAAACTATAGGTATCGAAACAAAGACATTCTACAATATATACCAAGCAAATATTCACTACATAAAAAACATTAATAATATATATTTTTTAGATAAATATTACAATTGTCGTTATCAATATCATCATTACAGTAAACGATCGTTCAGATGACTAGAACAAGTTGAAGCTATTTGATAGAATATGTCTCTTTTACCTTCAAAGAGGTTAGGGCATTCGCATTATGAAAAATGGCTGCAAGTAACTCAACAAAACAAAAAAATAATATGCATTCTCAACTAAAATGATGCCATTTCATTCAAAGTTTAACGAACTCTGAATTCCTTCTAGCCTCTTCATGAAACATGCTGACATCACTTATATATTCATTTTCCGTTTTTGCTGCTAATTAATGATCACTCATTTCCTAATCGGGCCAAATTACATAACCGTAAACGACAACAAACTCCTCGTTCCCCTCTGGGGGAGGTGGGGGCGTGCAATAACTATACCGCATTAGGAAATTGGTGGCAGATCTTGCAGCTGCGGTCTTGGGAGGTGTGTCTGGGTGTTTCGTTTTTGTTGGGTCTCCGCATATTTATTGCAATGCGCAGCTCATTCGGCTGGGGAGCATAGAGACAAAATGGGGCCGGGCCAACAATATTTGCGCGTGGTGTGCAGGTGGAACAGTGTTCGTGGAAAGTGACCACTGACCTTTTTGGTTTTCTTCCTCCGCTTAACGAGAAAAGCAAAAAAAAAGTGAAAAATCACAAACGGCCGGAGTCGTACCTTGATATTGCCGCTTTAGGAATAGCCATTCCTGTTTAGGTCCCACGGTTTGGAGGGTCGCTTAAGTAAACGATTAGTAGTGGCACCCCCTGCCTTGGATCAAGAAAACAAACCAAAAAGGTTTCTATTCGAGTAACTTATATATAAGAGGATACCATTTTAAACATTCCAAATTTATACAGTTTTCTTTTTTTGGCATTAATTAGTTTACTTCTATTTTGTAATTTTTATGATTTAATAAACCTATCGATATATTTTATTGTTTTTCCCACTTAATAAATTTTTTATTTTATTCTAATTTAACGTCTTTCCTTTCCATCACGTTTAAACTTCGTTCATTTACGCTATAAACAAAAACTTTCAATCCTTTTTCTTTTGTTTAAATTTTGCTATAATTTTTCCCATTCCTTAATACTAATAATAAATTCTTCAATTTTCGTCCACTCTTTAAATATACAATTATGAAATTCTCTACATCCACTTTGCTAACTGCTCTAACTGCTTCCACTGCCCTAGCTGCTCCAGCTGTCGTTACTGTCACTGAACACGTCCACGAAGACGCTGTTGTCACCGTCCAAGGGTTCGTCTACCAACACGAAGGTGCCTGGACCACCACATACGTTACTTTAAACGGTGTAGCTCAAATTGCTACTGCTACCTCAGCTGCCACCACTTCTGCTAAGGTCGCTGCTGTTACTACCAAGGCTGCTGCCGCCACTACCAAGGCTCAAGTCTCTGCTGTTGCCGTTGCAAACGTCCAAAAGGCTTCTTCCTCTTCCAAGGATGCTGTTCAAGCCGCCTCCCCAACCACTTCTGCTAAGGGTCAAGCTGTCACTGTCACTGCTCCAGGTCCACATGCTACCGTTCAACAAACCACCACCATCAAGCCAAGTGTTACCCAACAATACGACACTACTCCAAGAACTGTCACCAAGACATCTACTACTACTCGTCCAACTGAATCTGTCAACCTATCTGATTTCGCTTCTTCTATGTTGTCTGAACATAACAAGAAGAGAGAACTACACCAAAACACTCCAGACTTGACTTGGTCCGAAACTTTAGCTTCCTACGCTCAAAACTACGCCGACAACTACGATTGTTCCGGTAACTTGGTCCATTCAGGTGGTCAATACGGTGAAAACTTGGCTGTTGGTTACGGTACTACTGGTTCTGTCGATGCTTGGTACAACGAAATCTCCAACTACGATTTCTCCAACCCAGGTTTCTCCTCAAACACTGGTCACTTCACCCAATTGGTCTGGAAGGGTACTTCCCAAGTCGGTTGTGGTGTCAAGTCCTGTGGTGGTGTCTGGGGTGATTATGTCATTTGCTCTTACAACCCAGCTGGTAACGTTGCTGGTCAATACGCCGACAACGTCCAATCCCTAAAATAAGACATTACTAAAATCCCAATGTACATGTACACTATATAAAAATAATTAAATACTAAATAGTTTATTTTTATGTAACTAAAACCCACAAACAATACCAATACCAATATCAATGTTAATATCTATAACCTTCTTCTAATCCCTGTCTACGTTGTATCCTGTTTGTTGATACTTATGCCTAGTATAGTAGTCAAGGAATAACAGAATATCGGCCAGCAACGGATATATACACATTTCGCGTTGTGCGTTCGTATATCCCTGCAGGTCAAACCAAGGAGACACGGTAAGAGCGTCCACCCACGCGAAGATCATCACCAATAAGTCTCTAACCTCACACTGCAACTGGATTTGGAAGAAAGTCCTTTTTTGAATTGTGTCTCTGTATTTATCGCTGGTCCCGTGGTCAAGTAGAAGCATCTCTATATATACAGGGATCAACTATCAGTGTACACGTTGTGGAGCAAGCCTGCCACATTTGAAAAAAGGCAAACACATATATTATGCCTGGATGCACTCCCAGTCCTTATCGCTGTGTGTCCTGGTACAGTTTCTTATAATGTGTCTACAACCTGCTCACGTTCTCTCTTATACTACTAGTAGTCGTAATAGCACCATCTTAGTGGCTCTGTCTAAAATACGACGAGTCACGTGATACCTCACTCTGCACGAACGAATGAATTTGCGGTCACATGCTGAATTCGTCCAACACGACATACCTCCTCTTCAAATATGCCACGTCTTCGGGTTTTCGTGAACAACGCAAAAATTTGAAGTTTAACGCGTGTCGGCTTCTGTCTCTCTCGGTACCTCAGAGAGAATATATAATATATATAATATTTCAGTTTTAAAGGTTAAATGAAATCAGGTAAATATTTTATTGGTTAGATACGATTGTTACCACAACATTTTCCCCTTTCAATTCAATTCCTTTTACTTTCTTTAGACTAAGATATATCAACAACTATTTTCATACTAGTTTTCCATATCTATCATTTCCTAAGTTACTACCTTTCATTTGGTACAGAACATCAAAACAACAGGCAAATTATAATATAGCCCAGTAACAACAAGTTTAAGAGACACTTAATAACATAATCGGATTCTTTATTGATCTCCGTTCATATATCTTTTTAACTTTCCCTACTACCGAATTATTACATAACAAACACCATTTAATAATTTAATTTCGGTTCTTTTTTTTCACGTCGGTTTCACTTGATCATTAATTAATTTCTCCCTTACTCGCAATGTCAAACTCTTCTGATATCGTCGATACTTCCAATATCGCTAGTTTATCTACAAGCACCATTCAAACCGCTACTGCTACTACTGCTACTACCGAAGAATACTCAAAGGAAAATGTCGCTCCAGAAACTCCAAAATCTTTACCATCTTTGAAAGATCTGCCTTCCTTAGGTTCTTCTAACTCCATTGCAGGTAACAACAAGGTCTCCTGGGGCCCAAACATGAAACCTGCTGCTTCGATCTCTTTGGCTCAAACTAAGAAAAACGCCGCTGCTAAATTGGCCGCTGGGAACAACCGTTTAAAGACTATGCAAGAAAATTTCACTTTGGATTTACAATCTCAATTGGCTATGACTAAACAAGAATTATCTAAATTGGTCTCTTCTATAAAACAACACCATAATGTCTCCATGGAATCCACTCTAGCTAAAAACTCTAGAACTTTCTTGATCTCTGGTATTGTCAATGACGTCAAGGAAGCTAAACGTGAATTGATTAAAGGTTTAACTAAACCAGTCAACGATAAATTCGAAGTCCCAGCTAAATGTAGATCTGTCATCATCGGTTCTGGTGGTAAGACTATTCGTGAATTATCCTCTAAATACGAAGTTAAAATTAACGTCGCTAAAGAAAACATTGAAAACTCCTTCGATGAAGATTTGAACGATGAAATGTGTTACGTTACTCTATATGGTGATTTCGAATCCGTTAAGATGGCTAAACAAGACATTATGAACATTGTTAAGGAAGATACAAAGAACGCTAGTATCAAGATTGTTGTCGACGATGCTAATTTGTTACCATTCTTATCTGCTTCAGCCATCGAAAAATTGGTTTCATCTGAAACTAAGGTTTCATACTATCCAAATGGTGATTCTGCTGATATTGTCATCCAAGGTCTACGTGAAACTGTTAAGAACGATAAGACTGCTGTTCAAAAATTCTTGAACAACTTGGCTACTGATATCTCAGAACAAAAGATCAAGATACCAGCTAAGTTCCAAACTGTCATCGATGCCAACGCTTTAATGGAACAATTCAATGTTATTGTTAAGTTCCCAACTGAAGCCGGTGATGAATTTGTCTCCTTCATTGGTCAAGACGCTAACGTCAAGGATGCTATCACTGAAGCGCGTGCTTCTTCAAAAACTTACTCTGTTGACTCTCTAGACATCTCTAAGGCTCATTCTAACAACGTCACCCACGCTAGATACTTAGCCATCTACTTTAACAAATACGGAAACGCTTTGAAACATATCCTAGATCAATATCCAGCTGTCAAGATCGCCCTACCAACCATCAAGGAACTAAGTGACAAGAACCTAACTTCTGTTAACATTATTATCAGCGCCAAATCTGAAAACGTTGATGATATTAAGGCTGTTCGTAAGGAAATCATTGGTTTTGTTAACAACATCACTCCAGCTGACACTTTGGTTATTACTGACTTGGACTATGAATTATTCCATGGCCAAATCAAACACACTCTATTAAGTACTGAAGCTAAGACTGCATTCATTCAAATGGGTGACTACGTCCAAGATGATGACACTGTGATCTTGATTGCTCAATCCTCAGATGATGATTTCAAACCATCCATGCAAGAAATCCAAGACTCCCTAAACGCTGTCAACGATGCTTTAGAACCGTTACGTGCTAAACAAAATAGTATGGAGACCAAGGTCTTTGAAATCGCTGCTGACAAACAAACTGAATTATTCGGTGCTGAATCTGTTAACAAAGCATTGATCCTAGACGATGTTGCCAAGACTAACGGTAACATTCAATTCAAGAGCCATACTCCACACAAGGACCAATTAACCATCAGAGGTGATGACAAATCTATTAAACTAGTTTCCAAGATCATTGAAGCCATCATTGCTCCAGAGGCTAAGAAGGATAAGGTTGTTATCGAAGTTCCATCTAACACTGTTCCAAGACTTGTTGGTAACAAGGGATCCAACTTGCAAACTATTCGTGACAAATTCGATGTCCAAGTTGATATCCCACACGCTGAAACTCAAAATCAATCCACACCTGTACCTGTTACTGTCACTGGTTTCGATTACAATGTCAATCATGCTAAGAACTACGTCTTAGCCGAAGCTAAGAAATGGGCTGATATTATTTCTAAGGAAATTGTCGTTCCATTGAAGTTCCACAGAAATATGATGGGTCCAAATGCTTCTTACAGAAACCGTCTCCAAGATAAATACAGTGTTCACATTAACTTCCCAAGAACTAGCGAACTAGTCACTGTCAAGGGTCCATCTCGTGGTGTCAAGGCCGCCTACGAAGAATTGAAGAACTTATTAGACTTTGAAATGGAAAATGGTCACAAGGTCATTATCCAAGTTCCAGCTGAACAAGTTCCTCGTGTCATTGGTAAGAACGGTGATAACATCAATGATATCAGAGCCGAATATGGTGTTGAGCTGGACTTCTTGCAAAAGAATTCTGACGAAAGTGTTAAGGAAACTGGTGTTGTTGACCTGGAAATCACTGGTACAAGAACAGCTATCAAGGAAGCTCAAGCTAAGGTTGAAGAAATTGTCAAAGAAGCTGCAAACTTCACTTCCGAATCAATCAATGTTGAACGTAAATATCACAGAATCATTGTTGGTGCTGGTGGTAGCAAACTGAGAGAAATCATCAGCAATGCTGGTGGTGATGAAATCAGAAACAAGACCATTGATATTCCAAATGCTGACGAAGAAAGTGACGTTATCACTGTCCAAGGTCCGAAGACTTTCGTTTCTAAGGTTGTTAAAGCCATTAACAAAATCGTTGAAGATGGTGAAAACTCCATCACCAAGGAACTAGAGGTTCCAAAGGAAAGACAAGGTGCTCTTGTTGGTCCAGGTGGTATGGTCCGTCGTCAACTTGAAACCGAATTCAACGTTACAATCCAAGTTCCAAACAAGGATCAAACTGGTCCAGTGACTGTTACTGGTCTAGCTGACAATGTTGCAAAGGCTGAAAAGAAGATCAAGGAAGATATTCTAAAGGACAATTTCGATGTTGAAATCCAAGTTCCAGCTGCTATTCATCAATTTGTTTCTGAACGTGGTGCTTTGATCCAAAAGTTGAGACTCGATGATTTCGTCAACGTTAGACACGGTAACGCCAACAGAAGAGCCAATAAGATAAACAGATCCAAGCTGGTAATTCCAGTAGAAAAGGTACGTGCTGAAGAAGGTTCTACCCAAAAGGTCAAGATCACAATCGAAGAAGTTGGTGAACCAAGAGATGATGCCGAAGAAGGTGACATTCCATGGAGATTAACTTACGAGCCAATTAACTTTGAAGAATTACTAGGTGAAACTTCTGACGAAGACAAAGAAACAAAGCCAGCTGAATCTGCAAAGCCAAGTGCCGAGAAGAAGAAGGCTGCTCTTGATAAGGCTACAAAGATTATCGAAGATAGAATTGCTTTAGTCAAGGATGCTACTTATGTCTGTTACATCTGGACCTCTGAATTCAAAAACTTCAATAGAATTGTTGGCCCAGGTGGTTCCAACATCAAGAAGATTAGAGACGATACCAATACTCTGATCAACATTCCAAGAAAGAACGACCCTGTCAATGATGTTGTCTACATCAGAGGTACTAAAGAAGGTGTCTCCAAGGCTGCTGAAGCCATTGTTAGAGGTCTAAATTAAAACTAGCATTGTTATTCATTGATAGAAATGAACCAAATTTACTCTTTATGTAACCCATATGTACACGTACTATTTAATAACAAAAAACGGCGATAGAATGCCTATCTTTACCATTTTATAAACTCATTTGTTAATGCGTATCTTCGAGGTTGGCCTTAGTTTTCCAACGGAAACTCTCTCAGCGAAACGAAAAAGCAAACAAACACGACAAACAGCGAAATAAATAAAAATATAGTCAAAAGTTCTTTAACATTAACGAACTTTTAATAACAGTACAGGGAACACAAGAGGAATCTAAGAGGTAGTATTGAACATTAACTTATTCAAAGTTTCTATAAAGGTGCCAAAGTACTGAACTCAAAATAAATCTGTTTAAAACCTTTATTAATTATGTCTAATCCAGCTTTGCAAGTGTATGGTGGGGATGAAATATCTGCAATAGTTATTGACCCGGGTTCTTACAGAACAAACATAGGACTTGCTGGTACCGACTGTCCCAATGTCTCAATTCCTTCACAATATGGTTGTTATAAGGAAGAGTCTTCGTCTAACAACAAGAGTGAAGAGAAGAACAAAGATGATAAGATAGAGGATAGTGATAATCATATAAATAAGAAGAAACACGTCTTTTCTGAACAATCTATTGTCTTTCCTAGAAGTGACTATGAGATTAAACCTATCGTTGAAAATGGGGTAGTAACTGATTGGGATGTCGCGCAGGAACAATGGTCATGGGTGCTTGAACAGGAAATGTATCTAAAATCTAACAAAGGTATGCCAGTTTTATTGACTGAACCCATATGGAATCCAGTAGATAATAGAAAAAAATCCTTAGAAGTATTATTAGAGGGTCTAGAGTTTGAAGCTTGTTACTTGGCATCTACTGCATCCTGTGTTTCTTTTGCTGCTGGTAGACCTAATTGTTTGGTTATCGATATAGGTCACGACACATGTAGCGTAAGTCCTGTTGTAGATGGTATGACATTGTCAAAGAGTACTATGAGAAGTCAATTTGCAGGGAAATATATGAACCATCTTTTAGAGAAATATCTTGCACCAAGAGAAATAATACCGCTATTTGCTGTTGCTGAAAGGAGACCTGAATTTAAAAAGAAAGAATTTTCATTTTCGATAGACCCGTCATTGTATAAATATGCTAAGAATCATGGAATATTCCAAGAAATGAAAGAAACACTGTTCCAGATATCACCTGAAGGTCCATTAGAAAATATGAAAGATCAATTAGAAAATCAGGCAAAAAGATCGATCGAAACACAATGGGGTGAAACTATTGTATTCGACGGTACCACAAGATATGGATTTGGAGAACAACTCTTCAATGTTAAAAATCAAGATGTTCCATCTGATTGGGAAATATCTAAGGACAGTACTGTTGAGACCTGGCATAACGATTATGTTCCTTTGAAAAGAAATAAGCCAAGTGGTGGGAACAAAGATGCATCCGTGGCTCCTAGTGAAAGTAGTGTGAATCCAGATGATGTTCCAAATGAAAATGGCAAAAGACCATTAGAGGTTAAAAAGAATGACATAGCTGGCCTAGCCGATCTTGCATATTTATCTATTATGGCAAGCGATGTTGATTTACGTGCTTCCTTGGCCCACAATATTGTTCTTACAGGTGGGTCATCTCAAATACCTGGTTTAGGTGACAGATTAATACATGAGTTAGGAGGTAGACTACAAGCACTCAAATTCAGAATAATGTCCTCTGGTCAAACCAGCGAGAGACAATACCAAAGTTGGTTGGGTGGTAGCATTCTGTCAAGTTTAGGTACATTTCATCAATTATGGGTTGGTAAAGAGGAATACGCTGAGGTGGGTGCAGATAGACTATTAACGGACAGATTCAGGTAAATGAGGACAATTACGAACGACAGTTCTTATGATATACTTAGAATATGGAACATTACTATTAAATATCTTGTAGAATATTTTAGAGAAATATGCCAACGAATTATTTATTGAAAAAGTCTTTTGGAAGTATTCTAAGGAATATATTGACGGACGAGATTTTTCTTTCACACTAAGGATATGTACATGTATTATAAGTAATTAAAATTCAAACAGTACCTAGTACAACATACGTAAACTTTCTGACTCTTTGCAATTTGGCATGATAGTTGGAAAAACCTTTTCCGTTCTTGTCCATACGATTTACATATTTTGACAGAGTAGCATAATAGTATCCTAGTACAAATTATCCTCAGTAAAATTCGAATTACCATTGTCACTATGGAATTCCTTGGAGTCTCCTACCTTTTTTTGTTTGTTCTTGGTATACCAACAGAGAATTCCTCTATAAATATAAAAGAAGCAACTTTTAGATATCTGTTCTAAATAGATAAACAGATAATGTTGGATTAAAGAACCCGCTTTTATAAATATTGAAAGGGAAATTTTTTTTCAACCAATCGGCATTTCATAAACATAAACATTTATTCATTCACCGCTTTCAAAAAATAGTAGAATAAATGCCCAACAGTTTATATCAGTAATACTATTTAACCTTTAACTTATATTATAGTTTTTTAGAATCAACATTTTTATATAGGGTTTAACTTTCATTAATATAATTACCTAACTTTTTATTTATAGACAACACTTATGTACTTAGCAAGTAATATTACTATAGTTTATTAAAATGCACGCAATAAAATAAAACAAGAACACACTCACATCAAGTTTTATTCACCTTAATGAACTTAAATCCTTTAATATAGCATATGCTGAGGGTACTTCCTTTAAATTAATAAAAATTTAAGAATAATAATAACAGTTTTACTAATTTTACTTTTAGATTCATAAAAATGTGAATTGTAAAGAAAATATTTCGATTAAATAACGACTTTTAAGAATATTTTCAAAAGTATTCTTAAATAATTAAAATACTATTTATTTCGTTTGAAAATTTCAAATAGTATCCGATATAGTGTAACGGCTATCACATCACGCTTTCACCGTGGAGACCGGGGTTCGACTCCCCGTATCGGAGTATTACTTTTTGCGAAACATATGACTTAGCCGTTGAGTGTATTCAATTGTATCTCAGTTTCTTTTTAGTATTTTTTAATACATTTTTGTTTGATGTCAACCTAAAATAGTCTCTTTTTTGAATAACGGTTATTTAACTTTGTCTATAAATATTAGTTAAAATACAAATCAGTAAGTCAATTTAATAAAATACAATTGAATTATAATAGTATTTATATAATTACAAAAAATTATTTTCTACATAGATAGTAAAAAGTTGCCCATTCGATCTTTAAAGGTTGGGTCAACGAATCAATATGGCATTGTTGTTGAAATTCAGCAATAAACTGATCTGCGATATCAGGTTCATCAGGATGATCTTTTACCCAGCTAGTGTAAAGACTCCAACTTTGAACAAATCCCTTAAAATCATTCAAAGTAATAGTACCTTTCATCAAAAAAGATGGAATGCTTTGGTTAGTAAACAATCCATCATCCTTAAATTCATTAACAATTTCATGATAGATATCCTTAAAACCGTATTTGTTTAATTTAACATTGACGTCATTCCCACCAAAATTAGTAAAAAACTTTCTTTGGTAATCAGTTAAATACTTACCCATATATTCATCGGTCCAGCAGTATTTCACGTACAAATCATGGGCAGCACGTCCCAAATCAATGAACTCAGGTTGAACATAAAACCAAAATGCAAAAGTACCTTCTGGTCTTAACACTTGGTTAACTTGATCAAAGACCTTGTCTAGGTCACACCAATGAATAGCCTCGGCACCAATGGCCATATCGATAGAGCCTGGTTTAATACCACCTTTAACCAACTCTTCACCATTAACAGAGGCAAATTCTAATTTGGGATAATTTTTCTTAGCCTCTGATAGCATACTATCAGAGGGGTCTAATCCGACAGTATGTTTGAAATGGGATGCGAATTGAACAGTACTGATACCAGTTCCGCAACCTATATCAATTAATTCATTGCAAGAACCCTTATGGTAATCCATAATTTTGTCTACTAAAGATTGTGGGTAAGAAGGACGAACGTCATGATAACGTTCAGAATCAAAGTCTTTGACAGTTAGGTAGCTAGTTTCTGGCATTTTCACAAAAAAAAATAAAATAATTAAAAGTAAATTCAATGGAGGAGGAAGATAAACTATATATATATATAAGAGCTACGTATGCTGTGAAAAACGATTGAGTCTCAGTTGGTTTTCTACTATTTAGGAAAAAAAACTTTTAAAAAGAAGGTAGTCTTTTTTAGATAAAAACTTCTTTAAAAATATCTTTGTTTTATATAGAAGAATCTCCCCCCTTTTATATAATTACGAAATATTTTTCAACGCAACAAATTATTATACGAGCCGATGAATCTTTTACTTGAATTTTTTTTTGTTTATGCAATTGTTACGAACCGTTGCGTGGGGGTTTCTGATTACCAAAAGGTGGGGGAATCCATCTTCAGTTAAATTTGGATATTCTTCCATTATAAACAATTCAAATGAGATGGGAGTATCATTAGTGGTAAACTATACCGGTAGTCATATAATTAAATAAAGACATTTAAACGTAATATTTATATAACAATAAAAAAAAGAAATACTTCCAAAACAAGATACATTGTCCAATTACATTACAGAGCTTCCTCTACCCTATCTAATGCTGCCTTGATCTTCATCGAAATACGTGTACTTAGCTCGTAATCATCTGCGTAATTTTGGGCCCTTACTAACCATTCTCTAATCTCTGGTAATTTCCCAACACCACCTTCTTTCCAGCTAAATAGAGCTCTCTCATATAATGCGGTTGGGTATGCCCATGGATCGTTAGTTTTCTTAATATATTTCACTTTACCGTTTTGTAATGTAAATATTTGAGGTAACACTTTCTCATCTAGCAATTTACAACCTTCCTTATGTTCTTGAAGTCGACGTAAAGTAATTGCCAACAACAAATTGTTTACCAATTCTTGGTCTGGGTCATGTAGTGCCGTAGCACCATTCTGATACTCAGCTAATAATCTCTTAGTCATGATTAAACTATCTTTAGTCATTCTGTTGTAACCGTTGTAAAAATACATAATTTCATGAATTGGGGATGTAGCAATGGCATCTACAATGAATTTGCAACCCAATTTAGATTGTGTCACTTTATATTGACTGACTTTCCTGGCCATAAATCTATCCAATGGTAAATTTTTAGATCTAAAAGTTTTCTTCGCTAATAAATCAGGAGCACTTAATATCAATTTTTCTGCACGTTCTTTATATACTTGTGAATTATCAGAGTTAATAATCTTTAATTCGCACTGTCTCCATTTCTCCAAATAACAACATCCAGCAAAATAAGTATAAAAAGCATGGGACCAATCACTGAAATCTGTTAGAAAAATCAATTCTTCTGCTGCTCTTTCATATTCATGTAAATTAACCAAAGTGTTTGCCCTGTCAAAGACCATCAATACTTTAACTTGTCTCATATGAATTTCATTCACATCAATGGAATCCATGAGAGTCATTGAATCACTCAATCTACCCTTTGCTGAAAGCATTCTAGCTTCGTTTAGCAACCAAAGTGCACTATTTGGAAATAAGGCTCTTGCTTGCAACAAGGAATTTTCTAATAGTTTACCTGGATGTAATAACTTTTCGTTTGCCATAGAATCAAAATCCTTAGCGTTAGTATAACTTCTAGTTAATGTGGCATCTCTCTTACTCTTATCGTTTTTATAATGTGACACTGGGATATCAAAATCGTCATCTGTAAATTGGAATGGACCATCATAATAAAACATCAAGGATAATAAACCTATGGAACCATGAACATTTCTTTGTCTAGTAGATTTCCAAATTAATTTTAACCCTTCCTCTCTAGATCCTTTAAATCCTACTATAGATAATACGGCCCCAACAGCTGGTGGAATTAAAGATAAAACCACTTGTAAAATACCATAACATAAATTTGCACCAGAAGCAATAAATTCATCGATGGTAGCTTGATGTAAATCGTACTCCTCAGATAGATACGACTTCTGAGTCATATTTATACCTTGTCTATCAATAGTTTTCATTGTGTGTAGCCCAAGATCTTCTCTAAGTCTATTGAAAGCTGGTGCATTATCAATATGGGAACCAGCCAAACGACCAAGTCTCATCTTTTGAATCCTTTCTGCAAGTGCGATCAATGAATCGTCACTTTTCTGTTCATCAGTTAATTTATATGGAACATCAACAGATGTAAACGTTGTAGCATCAGATACCGAACTTGTTTCAGATTCACTTGGGGTTTTGTTTGTACCCTTGCGGGTGCTACTGGTGCTACTTCTTGTGCTACTAGTACTACTACTATTGTTTGTATTGTTAGTAGTTGGTTCACCATCTATAGCAGTCATAGATATAACTCCTGGTATATTTTTCTTTCTCTCGGCTTCATGGACCAATTGAATAATTTGAGAAAGCATCGAATAAGCCTTTCTTAATTTAAACAAAGCCTTCGCAGCTTCAACAAGACTTTCACTAAATAGCATCAATAACGCATGCAACAATAGTGCCTCCGTATATGTTACTGCGTATACAGTACCTGGTGGATATATCGAACTAGATTTAAAATTTTGTTTTTCAGCATCTGTCTTACTTTTCCAAGACAAATCTTCAGCTCTCATCAATGTTTCTGTAGCTTTCTTCATCTCTTCATGCTCAAAACTCAAGGTAGCTTGTAAAAATTCCACTACACCTCTTGCTAGTACACTAATTGTATGAGGGCTACCAGTTTTTTTATCAATATCGTCTAATAACGCTTTTCCTTGTTCAGGTCGATCATCAAGGACATAATCCATGGCTTGCAATGCACTTTCAAAATCTATAACTTGGTGCAAAATCCTAAGCGTGTCTTTACTCCTCTGTTTCTCAACATCTTTCTTTGACTCAGGTTTCGAGCTCCTAAATCTATTCAGCACACTAAACATAGTACTTAATCCCAATTAGATCTATATAAGTATCAAATAAATGAAATGTAGATCACTTGTTTTTTTTTGTTGTATTTTCAAACCTTTTCTAACTTGATTTAGTTACCAAAAACTGTCAAAAAAAGTAACGTAAGTAATTACGATCTCATAGCATCACAACTAAAAATATCTAGAAATGGTTGTTACAATCCAATCTATTTATTTATGTATTATATTTATATATTTCTTATCCCATTCTCGAGGTTTAGGTTGGAATTCTGTCAAATGTCGTTCATTTTTGCTTATGAAATAATTTTGGTGGGGTCGCAGAGAAATACACGCGGAGAAAAGGGAAAATGGATAGCTCCGTCCCCCAGATTGTGTGCCGTCCCTCTTAAAATGCGCAGTTCTGCGCGATTTTCTTGGCAAACAAATCACTTAGTTAAGGAGCTAACACCAACAGTTGCACCTCACTTCACCATCCCTGACCGTGCATCGCATCGATCAATCCGATCCGATCCTTCCGATCCGATCCTTCGTGGGATATAATGGTTTCATAATCCGTCATGGATATCCAGATATATGTCCCGATCTGACTTACAAGTGAACATGTCTGATCCCCTTCTTGATGTTGTTGAGTTCTCTTCCAACAATGTTACGCTTCCCTCTTCTCTTTATCTTCACTTGCGGTTCGACTCGAGGCTGAATCACATTCAATACATAACCATCAACACTGTTCCAAATTTGGCGATCTACCTCGCTAGGTAACTTTCTACCGTAGAGACATTGATCGACAAGCCACATCCCGACAAGGAATGATCTTCTGTCCAATGTTCCATCATGCCGAGTGTCGACTAGATGATATATCTGTCTTAAGAGATCATCCGGCAAATTAGATCTTTCCCAAATATCCTTCACCACTAAATTTAGAATAAGACCGTCCTGTGGAAGGGTAAGTAATATATCAGAATAGTCAGGAGTTGGTGACCTGGACTCAGCAGCTATAGTAAAATCATTGTGCTGAGTCGCAAATGAAATTGGACTACTTGGTACAGGCTCTAGTGGATTTTCAATATCATGATCCTCATTATTATTGCTAGATTCAAAAGAGCGAGATTTATTAATTTGGGAACCTAGCTCATTCTCCACGTCTGTGTAATATTCCGATTCATAATCGACTGTTCCAGCATCATCTACACCATTATTTTCGATATCATCCTTCTTATGTTCTTGAATAATTCTACCTTGTGCCATTGATGCGTTTGATACCGTACTATCCTGAAGAGCTGGATTCTCATCATCACCTTCTTTAATAATTGCCTTATCTTGTTTTTCAGATTTTAAAGAAGAATGCGTATCCACAGGTGTTAATTCAAGATGACTATTATTATTACTTCTCGACCCTTGTGTACTTACAAATGATCGAGCATCTTCTCCTGCTGATTGACCTTCAGATCCAGATAAACCTTCTGTGTCCTGTTTAATATCATCTACCGGCCACCAATATAACATATTTAAGTAACGGTAACGATTACTAACCCACATCCCCTCATATCTTTTACGCTCGACTTCTGACATAAACTTTGCATCTTTATGAGCTTTCCAGGGTTTGTCCTCATTAAATGATTTCTTACGATTTTCATATCTCATTGTAGTCTTGAATCTCATTTGGGTAGCAGCCGCAGTGTTTACACTTGTTGTACTTCCACCGTTATTACTGCTATACACTGCTGCAATTGGTTTATTATTAGGAACGTAGACAGGACCTCTTGCAGCGGCAGCTACAGCAGCTGCCGTTGGAGTGTCATGGATATTTTGGCTTGCACTGGTATTATTGCTTGCTAATAAAGGATCAAAATTCCTGCTTGTTGTATTATATGATGTAACTGGTGTTGTTCCTTTACCAAATATTTTTTTTAATGGATTTTTATTACTTGAACCCTTTTTTCTTGGTAAAATATTGGTCCCAATTGAGAAATTCTGACTCTCTAAGTCCAGGGATTCTGTATCATCTCCTACCTGTTGTCGTTGTCGTTGTTGTCCCATTGAAATACTGTGATTTCCAGTTGAATTACGGTCATCAAAATCTTCCTGGTCGTCTATTAAATTAATATGCTCACTTTGGGAGTCAATAGGTTCTGATGCAGTTCTAGCCATGGGTGTTGCTACCTGAGATCGGAAACTGGATAATACAGAGGATGAAGGATGTTTTGGATGCTCTTCTGTTACTGAATCCTGACTACGGATTTCATCAAGTAGTTGTATTGGTCGTATTCTTTCTCTTCTTACAGGTTGTGGGATTTCCATTCTACGTCTTGTTTGTTCCAATGAATAAAATTGTTTTGGCTCTATTCGTTCTGGAGTGGGTGGCCTCACAGTAGGTGGCGTAGTATCTCTCAAAACTTCTTGTTTAATAGATTTTGCTACTATTTCATCATCATTTATCCTTGAAGAAACATCACTTGGTTTCCTGGACTTATCAGAATCAGTCACATATGAATGGGCCAACACAGCTGCAATATGAGCAGCATTTGCTGCATTTGGCAAAATTTTCCTCTTGGGAATTTCATTGGACTCCTTAGGGACATTTACTTTTCTAACTCGTGTCTTCCCTTCATTAACGAACCCGACAGGTGATTGAATCGGGGATTGTCCCTTCATCAAGGGCAATTGATTATGTCTATAAGGTTTAGTTGTATTTGGTCTCCTCGGTACTTGCTGTGGCAATGATTCAACATCTGCTTTAGTGGCAGATTTCACCGTATTGGCTCTTCTTGGAATTTGATCTATATTAGTTTGTTCTTGTAGTTTAGTCCCAACTAATTTCTGTCGTATTTCTGCTGTAGTTGTATTACTAGGTACTTTACCTTTTGAATGTCTCTGGAAGATGACTTGAGCAGCCCTCAGCGAATCATTCAATGCTTCTTCGCTAAGGACTGCTTCTGCATTTATATGTTGTGATTTTTTCTTTCCTTTTGAAAACATTTTGCTAAAAAGCTATATGTGCAGTCAGTATCTAGCTGTTGTCTTACTTTTACTTTCTTCCAAAGTTGTTTAAACTAGTGGCATCAATATATTAAGAACCAAACGTAGGTTTTGTGTTTGTTATCTCTATCAGAAAGCCTGTTTCTTATCTTGTATTTCAAAGTTTCAAAACAAAATGCAAAATGATGTTATAGGAAAGTTACTATTAAAGCAGAAAAATAAATCGTGATTTTTCCTTGTATTGCTATATTCTACTACTAACCACTTCGAATGATTGTCTGAATCATCCAATCAAACACCCAAGTTTTTATTCAAAGTTCAATATTTGTCAATGATGATTATTTGCTTCTAAACAATATTGCATGTGTTGCTGCCCCTCCATCGTTTGTTTGTCCCTTCGCCATCTGATGAGGGCACGCCTAGAAGAAACAAAGCCATTTTAGACTGAAAAAAATGTTGGAACAACTCATTGAGAGCTTTACATGACGAACAAGACATTGAAAAGAACAGAAGAGTCAAGAGAGCTGAGTTTGAACCTCCTCAGTTTTCTGGTGCTTGCACTACGATATCAAGTGTGCTACCAAGTACGTGATACCGCTATATATAATATCTTATATAGGCATTGATTCTTTGACTTTCACTCCGGGAGATGGACATACCGATTTATATTCACAGTCTCCCCTTATCTTTATAAATCAATTCCCTGAATAGTCCCCAAAGAATAATACTTTTTGAAGTTGATGTAAGCCCAATACCATAGAATTAACGGAAACTGATCGCACTTCCTGTAGGAATTGATTGCTTACGTATGATTTTAGACATTATACGTAAACTTGTGACTTCATATTTTTGCAATAGAAAGGAAATGCTTATGTAATATAAGTTTGTGAGTGACAAACAGTATTTCTTTTCTTGCTCTACCAACTATAGCCCTATAACTATATATATATGTACATTCCTTTTTAGGATCTTATTTTATATTTGGCTCCCATTACGTCATTTTAATTTCTGGAATATATATTAAAAAACCAACGAAAATATAACAAAATTACTTCGAAAACCTCCCCGACTAAGTATTCTACATTCTTCCAATATGGAATACATCTAGTTCCTGTGTATATCGAACGTTTGAAATTTATTCAGGGAAAGATAATTATTGATGAGTAGAGCAGAATGTTTCATTGAGGTCAATTCATATACTGTATGATCTTATCAGCCAACCCTAATGACATAAATGTATTCAAAAATCATAAAATAAAGTATCGAAGAATATGAAGATGACGTTGCAATAATCCCAAACCTTGGTAAATTGATCGGTTGACCATTTAAATTAGTCTACATATCTTCTATTAAACATTAGTGAGTGGGTTAGTCTTTATTTAAATAATGCAACAATGTATGTAAATGTATATGGAGAATCCTATGATGAAACGTTAGAATCCAATTGTCTTCTGATGGCTGCCATGATCTGAGGATCCAATTCCGTAGGTGAGATATCTACATCATGATAATAGTGAGTTGGCACTCTTGGAGTCATTGAAGAAAGTTTGATCCGAGTATCTGTGCTAAAAACCGTCGGGTCATTCTGCCACGATCGTAACAAGGACACAGCCCTCTCAGGTGTCACACACTCAATATATGAAACAATAATACGTTGCTTTGGATCGTTCCTACTAGAGTAATAAATATCATGTATATCATCTATGCCAATCTTAGACGTCGTTGTCTCGAAGAGAAACCGTTGTAATTGTGATTTTTCCAAGATCGATGACAAAGCAACTGGATCACCATCAAATTCTAATCGTAATGTAGCCGAATCATAGAAATGAGATCCCAAATCAATATCATCATTATTATCTTCTGTTGATTCAGTATCTTTAGTGGAAGCGTTTGTTTCCGTAAGAGACCAATCTCCGAACGGAACCTTGAAATGCTTCATTTTGCGTAACATCTCTCCATACTCCTGAACAGCAGCAATAGAGTCCGCATTCCTATATATACTTGTTTCAGATACTTGCTTCTTCTGTAAAAAATTCTTACGATGATACCAATGATCGTATTCATCTCTCAATGATTTGTCAGTGAGTATCTGTATGGCCACACTAATCTCGTGGAACTTACTGTTGTCACTATCGTTCGTATTCTTATCTGGGTGATATACAAATGCCATTTGCTTATATTTACTCCTAATTTCATCCGTTGTTATCGCTTGTGGTCCTCCACGATTGGCCACCTCTGTTAAATCCAATCCCAGTAACGCATACAAATCGACGTTCCGGTCCACCACATCCTTAATTCTACGATCCATCACACTTGATTGCTCTCATTACTTGAACTGACTGCTACAATGACCCCCAAACCTCGAGATCCTCTTCTATACGGCCGTCGACCCTACCCATCGAGAGATCAGAAGAGTCAGGCCATCCCCCTTTGCCAAAGAGGGCAGCAAAAAGAAACGGTGCCTCGCGGAATACAAAACGAAAATCGCTTTAATTTTTGATTTTTTTTGATTGAACTCCACCAATAATACTAATAATAAAGATTTGTTACTAAGACCCACGATACTCCTGGTGGACGATTCAAAGAAAGAAGGTGTATCTCAATACATACATCACTCCTCTTTTGGTTGTTTTTAATCTAGTACTGTTAACGTCACACTAGGACAACGTTCGGATAAAGAAGCAGGATCGTGTGGGAGAAAATAGAAACCCTAAAAATAGCTCTTTCTAATTTAGGTCCCTTATCCCTGGTTTCGAAATATATTACATAATCACCAGTTTTTTCCTTCCTTCAATATTTTTATTTTTATTTGTTCTTAAGTTGTTAACTACAATATATTAACTTTAGTTCTAGCTCCCTTCTACTTTATGACTCAACTTACAAACACCCTATCACCGGTATTCCCCTTAGAGAAGGATGCTGATGTAGAAGCTAACGCTGCTCCTTTAAAACATAGTGCTCATATTCAAGTTTTCATTCGACTGGTAGAACCTGTCGTGTTTTTCCAAGGGTTCGAAACGCAGCATAATAGTGACAGACTACCTGCTGTCCTAAGAGGTTCATTGGTGGTCAGAGTACTAAAAGCTACAAAACTTAAAAGCATATCGTTAGCATTCAAAGGTTATACGAGGACTGAGTGGCCCGAAGGTATCCCACCAAAGAAACAAGAATTTGTAGAGATTAATGACGTAGTGAATCATACTTGGCCATTTTATGACTCATCAGATCCTATACAGCCGGAGCCGAGAACTAAAACCAGTAATAGCAAAAAAGATGCAGAATATGAAATGTTATTACAAGGTAGTGGTGCTTCGATGTATAAGCCGCTTCCAGGTGGGCCAGGACAATCTACAATGGGAACTGCTGGTATAGCTGCGATATCGCACAGTAAATTGACTGGTTTGACTTCCCCTTTACAATTATCCCCTGTCTCAAGTAATCCTAATATCAACAATAGTAGCATGACCGGATCGCATACAGTTACTCCAAAGAAAGAAAAGAGTACTGGTAATTTGAGAAGAAGTAGGGCTAACTCTTCGGGATCTTTAAACACAATAAAGAACAGTCCCTCGGTGAGAAGTTTATCTCCATTAAACCTCTTTAGAAGAGTCACTTCATCCAATCATGAAATTCAAAGAGTCCCTCATCAATCCTCATCGACTAACCTTAATTCCAATTCTAATTCGACAAATGATATCAATAATCAAAAGAGAAACCTCTCGGGCAATAATTTAACAACATCGAATACAGATTCAATAAAACCAGTTACCTCAACTTCAATTTTTTCCGAATTATTATCATCAACTTTCTCCTCTGATGCGACAACATCAGTTCCACACAAATTAAACCATCATGATTCTATAGTATCGGCAAGCTCAATAACAACGTCTGACTCGTTCGTATTCCAACCAGGTGATTATGTGTACACATTTGAACAGATAATACCTCAAACATTTCCTGAATCTATCAAAGCCGATTTTGGGTTTGTCGAATACTTTCTATTGGCTACTATTGAAAGAGTTGGTGCGTTTAAGTCAAACTTGAATGCAAGATTACCTGTTACGATCGTAAGAACCCAATCAGATACATCTGTGGAAGAAAGTGAACCCATCTTAATATCGAGAGACTGGGAAAATCAACTGTTTTATGATATCATAATATCGTCAAAGGACATTATCCTGGATGCTTTCTTACCAATCAATTTTTCCTTTTCACCTTTGGATAAAATTACATTACACAGAATAAGAATTTATATTACTGAAACTATGGAATATTATTGTAGAGGTAAGAAGATACATAGACTCGAACCAACAAAAAAGTTCTTATTGGCTGAACATTGTGGTCCAACTTTACCAAATGCTCCAAAGGATACAAATGGTGTCAAGGCCAAATACATGGGCAATTTACTAGAGGATGAAGACGGCTATTTATCCAACAAATCATTTGAATTCCAAGTTTTTATACCAAGTAGGTTTGGTAGTCATCAAAGGTTACACCCTGATACTGGGATCGAGAAGATTAAATCAAATCATTGGATTAAACTTTGTCTTCGTTTATCGAGAATGGTTGACGGTAAGAGAAAACATTACGAAATTAGTATCGATTCTCCTATCCATGTATTGCACAAATTATGTTCTCATGCAAATACTTTACTTCCAAGTTATGATGTTCATTCTTTACCATTTGGAAATAATATTTTCCCATCTTCTGCAAGTATCTCTATGGCTTCCTCAAGTTTAAATTCCAAATTTGAGTCAGATTCTGTATCAGAGAGCATGAAATCCAATCTTACTTCCGATACCAATGATCCAAACCATTTGTACCATAACTCTAACATTTTCTTCCCTAAGGAAGTATTCAGTTCACCAATTTTATCACCTAACGTGCAGCCAATTGATGTTAGTTCAATGAATGGGCCGACAAGAACACCTTTGCCAAGAATTTCATCAAGCCGCCATGTCAATAGCAGCAATAGCAACAGCACCAATAATAACAATAGGCATATTCATAACTTAATACATAGCCAAAATGGACGTCCTAATACTGTAGGGGGTGAGACTAGTAAAAATGATATATTTACAAATCCAAAACTGAAGTCAAATATTTATCAACCTGAATCAATCGAAAGAGCGTTAACTTCTCCTCAGGCTGTTCCGCTATCTCCAATTACATCGCCTCTATTGAGACCTCTGTCCTTCCAACTAAACGATAGTGATTCTTTCAGTATTAATGATAATGCTTTGGATGATCCGCCACCTGATTTTAATTTTGATGACAATAAGCCTATAACCTCAGTAGGAATAAGAAGACCTCCATTAACTACGTTCAAAAGTAACCCAACTATTCCTTCGAAACTTCCTCCATCTTATGGGGAAGCGATGAAAGGTAAACATAATGAAAGAGTAGTAAACTCAAACCTCCAAGACTCGAAAATGTCACGCTTGTCACTAAATAAATCACAGGATTCTTTACTGTTCAGTATGAACAACAGAAGAAGTAATTTGAACCTAGATAATGAATTAGAAAACTCATTCACAGAAGAAAGAAATACAGAGGATAATGATGATAACGATATAGCGTCCAGCTTTAGTTTTGATAGTTCGAACTTACAGACACAGAACTTGCCCTCAAATATATTAAGACCACATTCACCGCCAACATTAAGGCCTCTCGGTGGCGATCTAATATTCGGTGGTGGTCGCCCTGACAGTGCTAATATGCTGCCATCTACTTTAAGAACTGATAATCAATTTTACAATGATATGAATCAAATATTTAGTGATAACACAACATCACCAGGTGAAAATCCATCCTCTCCGACCGAGGATGGCAATTCAGTAACGTACGAAGGAAGCCCAAGGCGGTCAATCCATTCTACTAATGAATTGTCACCACATTCTTCTGCCGAAAATAATAGTTCAAATGCATACCGTAATGGGGATGGCATTGCTGCCGAACCTTTACTTAATAATGGTCTAAGGAATAGTACATCTCATAACAGAACTGTAGGTGATATTACAGAAATGAGCTATGACAACTCTTTTTTTCAATCCAGAGATTCTCTTAACGATTTGTCTGAACAACCATTAGACTCATCAGTTGACCTAACTGCTTTATACAATAGAAATACCGTCGGATGGAATACTTTGCAATTTGATCAGGGAATCGATAACGCAAATGATTCAAGAGAAAACCGTGACATCGGAGGAGGTACCGATGCTTCGAGTAGACTTTCAGAGGTAGCAACCCAAAGCGATTTGAAGACAATTGATACCGATAGCAATGCGGATAACAGTACATCAACGTATCGAAATGTTGAAGGTGCCATGTCCTCATAGGAGTTGATTGTGTTTAAACTAAGCTTTTTTTAAAAAACAAACTCAAACTTTTACCAAAAAATCTTGTCAGTATAATATTTATTTCGTTATTTACTTTTTTTTAGACACTTTTACAATATATATTCTAGAGCTTAAAGATTTCTATTGGTTTTCACTATTTAAAGATATAATTTACATAAAATGTTAATTGAAGATACCAGTAGGTAAAGTCCCAAGAGGTTTATTTATTAATATTTTTCTGAAATGCTTAAAAATCACTTAAAATATTTTGGTCAACGAAAAATTCGAACACATACAAATCTATATATTAGATAAAAATACAGCAGATGGCTTTTCATATTTCTATTTTATTAACGTGTTACTTGATCAATTGCTGAAGTTAACTCTATAGGAGTATACTTAATATGCTTTCTTGGATTTTTAAACGAGTCCTTGTATCTCCCGTAAAATCTTTCGTACATTGGAATTATCAAAGAGACAATTTCGGATTTTAAACGTTTCTTTAAAGCCGGATCTGTCAATCTATACTGTTTAGTCTTACTTTCAAGTGCTTCAAAACCATCATTAAACCTCTTAAACTTCTCCTTTATTTGTTCTTTATCCTTTGATTTTTTACCAGTACTATCTATGAACACAGCATCCATTAAAATAGCTGTAAGATCTTTCCAGTCAGCAACCATATAATCGACGTATCTTTTATGCAATTTCTTAATCCGTGAGCTACCTTCTTGTCCTAATATTGAACTCAAGTTGGATTTTTCCACAATCTGTTCGACTAAAGAAATATTCATTAATATAAAGTAACCAATTCTTTGTTTATGTTTAGGGCTACTAAAATTATCTTTAGAAGATGAATGTATTAAGGTAGGATTAGAGATCTCGGATGAGAAACTATTCCCTAATATTTTTTCAGCTCTCTTTTCAAGCAGTAAACATAATGTATCAATACAATCACTGAAGAAACAAGATAGCAACCTCATTGGTATCTCTTTTTCACTGCAATTATTCAAAAAATTGTCATTGAACGTAAAATCCTTTGGTGAAGACGATGCGACTAACCAATTATCCCTTCCCATTGTAGCAATGGCAGTAATACATCCGCTCTGGAACTCACTTAATTTTCTTAATCTAGACATCGTATCGACGGTTGACTCTGTAACACCGTTATCGGTAGGTAAAGAAGAAAGTCTGTTAACCTTTTCACCGATTCTCTGGACAGTATCCTTAAATAAAGATTGTGTTACTTTATCTATTTTACTTGAACATTGAACTAATGAATCTAAATTCTGTAAATTTTGACTAAATTTAAGGGATCTTCTTACGTTTTGCACACTCTCTACCAGTTCAAAACTAAATATACCAGTGTTATCCAGATTACCTTTCACAGATTCTAAATTGTAATTTACCAATTTAGAGTAAGTCTTTAACAAGCGTTTCAAAATAGCATCTAAGATTGGCTCTTTGAATGTCATATATTGGGAACATATATCGTCCATAAGAGATTTTTCGTTGGCAATGAAACCCAGAATAGCTTCAGTGTAAGGGTTCATACCACTTGAACCCTTCTCATATGGTGCATTTTTAGATGTTGTTATTCTTTTTGCAAAAGGTTCTAAGAACGCCATTGATCTAAGAATGGTTTCACTTCTCTCATTAACCAATGATTCTTGGATAGCATCTATATCGGAATTATTATAGAAATAGTCTAGAATGGAAGACAATTCACCTAATTGTTGATCTTCGTAATATGGGAAGGGTATTTTTTTGTTCATGTTAATTTGAGGGTCGAATGGTTTAATTGTTCTTAATATGGCTACAAAATACATTCTTAAATTTGTCTCACTGTCTTTTATAACCTCCGTCAGACGTACCAAAATACCATTGAATTCAGCACTCTGTTTATTATTTATATTTATACTTTCAGCCATATCATCAAGCCTATGAATAAGTTGCGTGTAATTCTTTATACCAACTTCTTTAATCCCCTTTGATAGAAGAATTTCATATTTTGAAGCTTCTGTAGCAAGGTCCTTCACAGAAGCAACAGAATTTAATGTACTCTCTATATTTTTTTGCAATATTGTAAGCTCATTATTTCTACCTAAGATTGGTACAAATAACTTGGTTGAGTGATCCGATGTCTGTACTATTTTGCTCAGTGATTTATTAATGTCATATGTCAATTTACTAGTCTTCTCAAGGCCCCTTGAAAGGACCAATATATCAGCTTCATCAATATCGATCTTTGAAATATTTGTAACGGAGGTCATTATACAACTATTTGAATTTTCGTCAAAATGTGATAGGAGATTGTGTTTCTGTAAATTTGATGATATTAATAGCTACCTCCTCTCGCTATCTAGTTTAACAAAATTCAAACAAAAATAAAATTAATAGCAAATGCAAATAGCAAATTCGAGTACTTGGAGAACTAAATTTCAAGTAATTTAACTTTCAAAGTTAACAATAATCTTAGATTGATCATGCAATGTATCCCTTAACCTAATCATAACTTCCATATTTAATGTTGTTTTGATTCTTCGTTTACCTAATTGAATGGAAATTTCAAATCGCTGAGAGAGGAAACAAAACCCTAAGGTTAGGGCGAGTAAAAATTTATACCTCGATGATTTCATCTTTCAGTAAAAAGCAGATGCCGGTATTGAATCGATGACCATACCCAAAATGAAACTATTGATACATATGAAGCAAAGACTACTACTGCCAATTCAACATTCATAAGAAATTAAATATAAGTTATCAATACTGCCTAACCAAAAAAATGGATTCCTCAGATAGCAATGTCTCAGAGATAGGACAATTAGTTAGTGATCTCGAGGCTGCATCTCAACTTCATCAAAGAGGTAAAGCTTATAAGAGGACTTACAATATCTTCGATAGCGAACAAAAAGTGAATAGTTGGAAATTCAATGAATGGGATTATGGTAAGAATAATATCAAGTTGCCCACCAATGCGAGAGGCCTCTTTATCCTTGATGATCCAAACGATCCACGAATTGTTGCTAGAGGTTATGACAAATTTTTCAATATCGACGAAGTTCAAAGTACCAGATGGCAGTGGATCGAGGAGTTTACGACAGGACCATATGAAGTCACTGTTAAATCTAATGGCTGCATCATATTTATATCTGCCTTAGAAGACGGCACAATAGTAGTCTGTTCTAAACATTCAACTGGACCAAGAGATGATGTAGATAGAAACCATGCATTGGCCGGCCAAGATTTTCTAATGAGACAATTAAATAATTTAAATGTAGATAGTAAAACATTTGCGAAGGAACTATATGATAACAATTTGACTGCAATTGCTGAATATTGTGACGACACTTTTGAAGAACACATATTAGAGTACGGTGAAAAAGAAAGAGGTCTATACTTACACGGATTGAACTTAAATGAAGCCGAATTTAAAACTTTACCAATGGATAAGGTACACCAATTTAGCGAGAAGTATGGATTTAAACCAACAGAGTCAATGCTTGAAGGAAGCGTTCATTCATTAAGGAAGTTTCTGGAAAATTGTGCTGCTAAGGGTTCTTTCCAAGATCGTGAATTAGAAGGTTTTGTTATCAGATGTCATCTGAAGGATGAAAACAAGACCTTTTTCTTTAAATACAAATTTGAAGAACCTTATTTGATGTATCGTCAATGGAGAGAAGTTACAAAGAAATATATCGAGGATGGTACTCGAGTATTTAGGTTTAAAAAACATAAGTTTATTACAAACAAGTATTTGGATTTTGTGATACCGTTACTGGATAATGATCAACAATTACGTGAGAATTATTCAAACGGGTTTGGTATCATTAAATTAAGAAACCTCTTTCTAGAGTCATACGGTATGAGTGGTATGGAGATTTTAAATCATGAAAAAATTAAAGAATTAGAATTAAGAAATGCTGTAGATTATAACAAGATTGATGAAAATACAAAGTTTTTAATATTTCCAATTGCAGTAATTGGATGTGGTAAGACCACCACTGCGCTAACATTGTCAAATCTGTACGGTAATCAGTGGGGACATATCCAAAACGATGACATTAGAGGTAAAGATAAAGCACAATTAATTAAGAAGTCTCTCGAAAAATTAAGTGAAAGCGGTGTCAAGTGTGTATTTGTTGATAGAAATAATCACCAATATCGTGAACGTCAACAATTGTTCGAATGGGTCGATGAATATAAGGAAGAATACATGTCATACGATACTAATATCAAGATAATAGGTATATCATTCCTGGATGGTACCGATATCGAAAGAGTTAAAGAGGTTACTATCGAGAGAGTACTCGAAAGAGGTGATAACCATCAAACTATTCAATTGAATAAACATGGAGAAAAAAAAGTGATTGGCATTATGAGTGGCTTTTGGAAGAGATTCCAGCCTGTTGAAGTGAATAAGTATCCTGATAACGCATTCGATTTAATGATAAATCTAAAAGTTGATAGTGAATCATCGTCATTGTCCAATACTAGAGAGATAATAAGACAAATACATGAAACATATCCTGTACTTATCCCCGAATTACCTACTGAGAACGCTCTTGAAAATGCATTCAGAGCTGCATTAGAACACAAGCCAGAAAATATCCCAAAAATAGTCAAGGGACAACCTCAAAAGCCAGTAATTAAAAAATTAAAACCTTCGTTTTTCTCAGCAGCTTTCATGAACAAACGAATGCTGCTGGATGAAATACAAAATACAATAAACTCAAGTGAACTAAGTACATTGTCTGTGAGTAAGATGCTTGAGGAGAATCAAACCCAGCCAGAGTTTCATATTACTTTGTCACATGTTGTACAGGGCAAAAAAGGTGATGCCCGTGAAAAGCGTATTTGGTCAACATATATGAAACACTACGAAGAAGAAATGATGAGAATATCTGAGTGTATACTAAAGAAGAGACAATCCGGAGAAAATGTAAATCCAGATGCTCGCGAAGCCTTTGCATGCAATAACGGGGACCATTTGAAATTTAAATTAATTAAGTTATGCTGGGATGACAAGATTGCGAGTGCAATTGTACAATTAGATAGAGATATTGATCACCATAGTTGCATTAGAGACAAAAACAATCAATTCATTAATGGTCTGGATTGTACAAATCTTATTTCCCATATAACTATTGGAATTTTAGACGAGAATACAAAGGCATCATACTCTAACCTTCTCTGTCATAAAGTAATGGAAGGGAATGACGAGAATGTAAATGTTATTGATATCTCTGATGCAATTACCCATACTGCTGGCGTATGTATTAATATTAATTAATGTAACTATTTATTAATCTGTTATTATTATTCATTACATTACTAATAATATATATATATATATCAAATTTTTATATATGCATCAATTTAAGGAAAACAAAAACAAAAACAATTGAATGAGGGAGAAATATGTACACACATGCAAAATTCCCTTATTTTAGGTTGTTGAAGTTACCCTTGTTAATGACGAAGACGTCAATAGCAGCCATAGCAGCGTATAATCTGTTTTCAGCTTCATCAAAGACGATAGAGTGTTCACCATAAAAGACGTCATCAGTGACTTCTTCGTGATGTCTTGGTAGACAATGCATGAATTTAAATTCTGGATCAGCTAAATCAGCCAATTCTTTGTTAATTTGGAAACCTTGGAATTGTTTCAATTTAGCTTCTTTAGCAAATTCTTCACCCATTGACACAAATGTATCGGTAACAAGAATGTTTGCACCTGTTGAAGCTTTTTTAGAGTCGTGAGATGCTTCAATCTTAGTACCATTTTGAGATGCAATCTTATTAGCTTCGTTCATAATGTTAGAGTCCATTTCAATACCAGTTGGAGTAGCAATAGCCACATCCATCCCTAGTTTCAAACATGCAAGAGACATATCGTTAATGACATTATTAGCATCACCGATCCAAGTAATCTTCAAATTTGGTTTGGAAGAATCTTCTAGATGTGCAGCAAATTTTTCTTTAATAGTTAACATATCACAAATTGCTTGTAAAGGATGATAAGTATCACATAAGGAGTTAATAATTGGTACGGATGAATCCTTACACAGAGCTTGAATATCATCATGACTATTCACACGAGCGAATATACAAGAAACCATAGATGACACAACTTTGGTAGTGTCGTAAAATGATTCATTAATACCTAATTGAATATCTTCTTTACCTAAAAACATTGGTTGAGCACCAAAAAATGTAGCAGCACCTTCTGTAGAGATTCTGGTTCTGGTAGATCTCTTAGTGAAAATCAAAGCAACAGTTCTACCTAGCAATTTCAAATGATTCTTTTGAAATTCTTCAGAGCCACCATTCTTAAAGATAGTCTTGTAATGTTGTGCTCTGTCAACTAGAATTTTGAATTCTTCATCTGTTAGATCTTTGATAGAGGTTAAGTGACGAATAGAGGTAGACATATTTTGTATTGTTTGTATAAATGTTTGTTTGTTTAACTAAGTTATTATTGTGATTTAACAATAATATCCCTTATTTAGATCTGATTTTCAGTTTATCTTTAACTTTAATTTTCCAAATTGAATAATTCAAGTTATGTAATAGCGAGTCGTCATTAGTTGTACTTAAAGGACATCCTCTTTCTTGTCCCCATTTATATACTTTAAGTGAAAAAAGAGGCGACGGCCCTCTCTGTCTCTTGCACTTAACGGTACAGTGTGGGGCACGGGTGCTTGCAGCCAAAATAAAGCAGAAAACAGTCACAAATTTTGCGTTTTTGTTGTGACCGAGGTGTGAGAAGATAGTCTGAGGTGTGTGGGTGTTGGGAAGTGAGTCACGGAGCCGTATGCGTGACACATAGCCCACTGAGATAGCAACTGGATAGTAGTGGATCATCAGCACACTGGTGGATATGGCATCATAATTAATTATAAGTATGAATAAAACTTATTTTGCTAGTGACACAATTTAAAGTTTAATATTGGAAATTGGTTAATCAATGGTAAATGACACGATTGGTCATAAGACTTGTATTCATTTGAAATGCGACTAGATAATGGAATATATAATGGAATATAGATAAATATAATGAAGATGAGATGGTTGAACATAACATTTCGCTGGTCACTTTCTCTTTTTATTAGTTCCATCTTTAATCGGTTCTTGCTCATTTACCGCTGTGGTAGATGTCGACAAGCTCGATGGTAACAGTAACATGTTGACAAAATTTTTTGGTGTTTCTGTTTCTGTCAATCTTGGTAAACCCGTCATATTCTTATTAGAATTGATATTTGTTTGAGGATTGCCTCCATCAGATGGAATAAGTAATTGTGATATACTAGTTATACTAGTTCCCGAGAAAGGTGGAGGCATAACTCTTGAACTCAATAGCGAACTAGTACGAGGTAGTGGTAATGTTGGGGACTGTTGTTGAGACAGGATCCCGTTTTCATCTTCCCCTCGTGGATAAAACATATATCCAGTTTGATCTATCTTTCTCTTCTTGTGTGGATTTAGAGTGTTTAGAGATATATCCACTCCTACTTCCTCATTTAACGACGTAGAAGATCCCACCGTAATAGGGGAAAGTAAACTCTTGACGTTAAGTTGATTCGACTTTGATTTCTCATTTTGGACACCATGTTGCAGCTGTTGCTGCTGTTCTCCTTGTGACGGAATAGGGTGTTGATGATGTTGAAATAGTGATGCTGTACGTCTTTTCGTTTTAAAAGGTATCTCGAGGGGTCCCATGTTATCACAGGATCCCTCATCATCATCTTCAGCATAACCATCATCTGTATCTTCTTGGTTTCCAATTAATAACGGTGACAATAGGTATAAGGGATTTGGTTGACTTGGATCATTGATTGTAAAATCCTGTTGAACTTGTGCATTTGTATCGGTTGTTGTTGCTGTTGGTAGAAATAAATTACTATTAATTTCTTCTAACTTCGGAGTCGCTAAAGACTTAAACAATGTCGAAAGATTACGACTATTGCTAATCGTACCTGGAATGTTATTATTGTTGTTTGCATTATTCCCTGAAGCAAACATATTAAATTGTTCCATGATTGCCTTTGAATTGGTTCTAATTAAAGAATTATTATATGTCAAATTGAAATGTGAATCATTGAAATCAGATATCTGTTTTAAATAAATAGATGGAGTGGTAGCTACTTGAAAATGTTCATTAACTTTAAATATCGAAAGATCAATATTAAAGGATTTGATAAAAGGTTGTTTCTCCAATGTTAATATATCACTTTGATACCATAACAAAGACCACTTAATCAAAAATTGTTTAAATTTATTAAATTTCCAATAATATTGATTTTTTAATATTTTCTTGTTAGTGACGTCTTTAACGCCCGGTACTATTACTTGAGACATTCTATCTGACCAATCACATAATACACTTTCGCATGTGTTAATTAAATCAACGTTTGAAATTGGCAAGAAATGGAATAAATTAAATTTTAATGGTTGATGTGATGATTTACCAGAGGTAGTATTCAACGAATTATAATGCAAAATCAATAAATAGTATAACGTCAATATCTCATAGCTAATTTCTTCGATCGAGTCATGTTTACCTAGTATCGTTTGCGAATCCATCGTTATGTCTTTCCCATTATTGTTAGAAGATGTTTGCCCTGGTTCTAACTCTGCAACTAATGTCAGAATTAAATAGAATAAAGTTAAATTAATCTCTATAAATTCTGATTTCTCTAACATCAATGGCTTATTTGTCGCAATATTATTAGACAACAGTTCCTGATCATTTTGATCATGATCAAAATAATTATGATATAGTTTGTAACGAGTCAATTGATTTCTAAAATTTTCAATAGTCACCACCAATTTCGAACGTTCTGCTGAAGCTAATATCAATTGTAAATTTGTTCCATCCAATGATTTTACCACCAAATCTACTAAGAATGAAAAAGATTTTAAAATAGGAATCTTTAATACTTTTGGTTGAAATTCATCAATTAGGAAATTCACCTTGGGTAAACCTTGGATTAATGACCACCAAGAATTTAAAAATTGGAAACACCAAAAAGTGACATTATAAATTGAGTCGTTTTCATCATTATTTATAGTTTGTGATTTTAAATGTCGTATGTTGTCATTAGTCACTTCATGCAAATTTTTAGGATTAATATATAGAGCCATTGACAGACATTTTGAATAATTCATATTAGTCAAATCCATCACTATAGTCTGTTGTAATGAAGAATTTAAAGTAGGACAATAACCCATGAAGTAATAAGTGGCAAGGTTAAGACATTGTACCATATTAATATCTGATATATTTGCATTAAGAATTAATTTTGTCAATTGAAATAAGATCATATCATCGTAACAATTCCAATTAATTTGAATGATATATTGCAAAATGAGTAATTTCAATAGTGGGGGCTTAGTAGTATTTGTTTCTAGTTGATCTGTTTGTTGCGTCCCCATAATAATCATATCTATTAATGAATTCTCCATGATATCGAATGGATATAATATCGGAATTAATGAATTAATTGTTAGGAAAAATTGCCTAACAGCCTGAATTAATTGAGATTTAATTAAAGATGTATCATTTCTATACTGGTTTATTAAAAAATGAGGATAAATATAGTTATTCCCGTTCAATTTCAATTGTTGTTTCATTAAAGTCATTAAGATTGGCTCAAAATCATCAAATTTGTGAATTTCATTGTCTGTTTCATTATTCAACATATCATTTTCAATATGAAATATTTTATTCCAAGTTCTATGTCCTAAAAACATTTGTCTGTCATTATCCACTTTCACTTTATAATTTGTAAATTTATGAAAATTATCATTAATAAAGGATAATACCAATTCCGGATTTTCTTTGGAAACCGGTGTATTCGGTTCTGCACCTTTATTATTATGTCCCTCTTGTTCTGATAACAAATTTTGTAACCTTACTACTTCTTGTTCCAGTGATTCTGTATAACCTTTTGGAATACCTCTTCTAGCCAATTTATCACCATGAGTACAAACAAAATTAATTTTAGCGCAATTTGAGCACGAAGGTTTCAAACCATCGCATCTAACTTTCTTTAAACGACATCTATCACAGGCCTGAGTCTTTCTAAATATTTTCAAGTGAGATTCATTTGTGGATGATATTTTTTTTTGTTTATTTTTACTGTTCTTTGGAACAATCGTACTAGTTGCAATTGGCATTTTTCCAACCATTTCCTATATAAAAACAAAACCCTACTGTAAACAGCAATACGATAAAAGAAAAGAATATCTAATGTTTTAGGTATTATATAAGTTCCGATTTTGGAAGCAAAATGTGTAAGTCGTAATTAGCAACTTCTCAATCTCCCCATATATATATATATATATATATGATCTTAACCTATTATATAAAAGAACAAAGTAAATAATCGTGTGGCTGTGATATCAGAATGCGAATAAAAATTGCTCAAACTTAATGATCACATCCACTATCCCCTTTAGAGAACGGAATTCAATGAACATTATGTTGCATTTACGGTTTAAGGTCTCCCATTGCCAAACGGTTGTTTGTTGATTATTTGGTATTATGTTGCTAGAAAGGGAATTCAATGACTCTCTGTGTGTGTGAAGGAAACCCTAACTTTACGCCCTATAGTTCCCCGGGTTAACGGAGTTTATGTATTTTGAGACTTTTTGATTCGCCGGGCGAACGGGAAATTCAAAAATCGCGAGATAACGCAACCGGAAATAATCGGAGCTCCTGTTTCCGACCGTTTCCGGTTACAGCCACGTGACTGCGAGCATATGCTGCCACGTGACGTAGAATCGCCTATCATGCTGTACGAACACAGTGGTACTTCTCTTAATTCCCTCTATTCTGCGGCGTTTGTCTGCTTCTCATAACAAAAGACCCATAAACCGAAAATAATCAGAATAACAACAGAAACGCGATGCCGTTTGGTGTATTCACAATATACCAATGACAGTATTTTCGTGAGACACTCACAGTATACTAGAACATATAGAAGAAAGTACCTTCAGATCGTGTTATAATATTTACTAGAGGTGAGAACAAAATTTGAAGTACGAGCCTGTAACAATAAGCATATTTGTCATAAGTTGGTTATGGAGTCACGAAGTCCGTTTAAAGGATTGCTGTTCTGCTTCACGGGACTAGAACCTGAATTATCCAAACCATGTATTAAAAAAATTGTAAAATTAGGAGGGCAGTATATTGGTGACCTTACACCAAATGTGAACATTTTGGTAATAGGAACTAACCCTATGGAGTCAGCTAAATATCAATTTGTTACTATGCATAGAAATGATATGGTAGTAATTCACCATAGTGCACTAGATCAGCTATACGATATTTGGGTTAATGGAGATGACATATCTTGCAAAAATCATTCTAATTTCCAGAAATATTCGAATAATGACCCTCTAAGGATGTTGCATGTATTACATAGTAGATATGGAGCAAAGCCTCTCACTAATTTTTATATCTTTTTGGGTAGGTGTCAAAATGAAGATATTAAAGAACTGGAATTTTTTTGTCGTACAATGGGTTGTATCGATTGTAACACTACGCAATTCATGTTGGATATAAAGACTACTCATCCCGATAAACAAATTCTGTTTATTACAGATAGTGCAGAAAGTGCAAGAGCTCAGGCTGCTTTATCGGTCGGTGGTATACCATTAGTCCATTTTAAATGGTTGAAAGATTGTTTCGTGAGAGATTTAGCTTTACAGTACGATCCGTATTATCTGATTGAAAACGTCACTGGATTGCCATATAATGAGATAGGTATAGACGCATGTGATTCCCTAGAGCCTCGAATATCTATACCTAATCAATATCTGACAATGTCAGGAAATCTCGATTCTGAGGAAGATACATTGCTTCATCCTGTAATGACAAATAAATTAAAACCAAAAATTGATAAAATATGGGAAAGAACATTTGCATCTAACAACAAAGATAAGAACAATGATCACAAAGACACCGAAAAAAATACAACAATAACAACAGAAACAGAAACAGAGACAACACATAAACCTCTATATGGTTGTTTCCAAGGATGCACTTTCACCATACATCGTAGTTTTGATGTTAGGAAACAAGAAATTCTTGAAAAAATCATTACTCAAAACGATGGCTCAGTTAGTAACAGAACCACCAATGCAGATTATCTCATTGTACCAAGCAATATGGCTCTAGATTCATTAAATATAGATCCTAATTTGGAGACAATGCCCGAATTAGTAACTGAATTTTTCATCGAGAGATGTTACTATTATAAAAAAATCATATCACCACCAGATTCGTGGTCAAAACCTTTCCTTTACACATCAGACTTCAAATTAATCCCATCATCACAATTATTACAAAATCATAAGGATCACATATTAAATATAGCCATCACCGGATTCTACGGTGTAGAATTATTACAATTGAAAAAAATCCTGGAGTTAATGAGACCAATGGGTATTAATTTCTCCGAATTTTTAAATAGAAACTCAGACATACTGTTATTAAACATTGCCTCTTTGAACAGTATCCCAAGGACACACGTTTTATGGACTAACGAATATAGTGATTTACTCTTAGAAAATTATAAACAATGTGATTCAAATTCATCTGACAAAGAACGTCGAAATATTCATACAAGTCCCGTATTTAAAAAATCAATGAAGGAGAAAATTAATTTCGCCAGAGAGAAACATCCAATACCTATTATTACACCTGCATTTATTATGGATATCTTTCACACTGCAAGAGTTTTTACACGAAACATAATCGACGATGAACCGAAAATCCGTATCTCAGATAGTAGATGGACCGTTTGTTTGCCTAGAGGTAATGCAAGTAGTTTCATTTGTAGATTGAAGTATATCGATCCAACCAAAAGATTATTACTAAACAAAACACAAGATTCACAGAAATATGAATCCGATGGGAAAGTAAAGAAGGAAGGTTCTATAAATAAAACTCCATCAAATTTCTCTTCTGCAAAAGAAATGGCTAAAGATGTACTAAACATTATGCAAACCTCTTCATCTGCACCAAAGAAAATTTTAAGGAAACGTGTGCAGTCATTAGAAACAGACTATAATTCACCCTCACCTCCAGTTAATGAAGAAACGGTAACAAAACCCATGGCGAAAAGACCAAAATTGGCCATGGTGAAGAAACTTAGACCCGTTGAGAGAGAAGTAAGCTGGGGAAGTATGATCTCCGATGAATTGAAACGTACTGGCCAAGATAATACTAAACAAGAAGAAAAAGAAATACAAGTACAGGATTCTTTTAATAACAACGGTGCATACACTCAAGTAACCTACGGGCATCGAGATCAGATGGAATCTGGAAATCAAACCACTAAGCGTATGACAAGACATCATGCGAAAGAACTCGGGATATAAAACATTAAACACTATACGCATACATAGACATACGTAAATATCATTTAATCAGCATTTAAAAAATATATTCATATTTTTAAAAGAACACAAATGACAATCTATTAAAGAGTCTTGTTGTTCTCTTTTCCTTCATTTTACGTTATTATCACATGCACAGAACAAGTTCCGTTAAGCAACTTCGCTGGAAAAAAATTTATTAAAGTAACACGTTAGATAGATCTGTGAATTATAGAAAGGAACAATATAAACACTACTTTAAAAACATAAACTTGAAAGGACGAATAAACTATATCAGACCAATTAAACCGTGCCTTCAAAATGTCTACTTTAAAGGCTAGAAAGGAAGAGTTTGTTACGGGATTGAACGGTGGTTCGATCGAAGAAATTAATATTGTTACCTCAGTTGCCTTAACTTCCTATTTTTGTTGGAATTTATTAAATGAAGCGAATGGCGATAACGAATTGAATATATTTGTAGATTTTGCCCTTAATTGGTTAGCACTTTTGTTATCTATAACGTTATATGCTGGTAATATAAAATTGTTGAGTACTCTAATGACAGTACCATGTCTTATAATGTTCATTTACTTCAAATCAAATAGAAGAGTAACTTCAAAGCAAAAGCCAAAAAAACCTGTTGCTAAGGATGAAAAGTTCCAACTTTTAAGAAAACCATACATATCTGCTTATAGATCTGGTATGTTGATACTAACATGCCTAGCTATCATCGCGGTTGATTTTCCAATATTCCCTCGTCGTTTCGCAAAAGTTGAAACATGGGGAACGTCACTGATGGATCTAGGTGTTGGTTCGTTTGTATTTAGTAATGGTCTTGTTTCATCAAGGAGATTAATGCAATCAAAAACAAGAGTTAATATTTTTAGACGTCTGATTGGCGCATTACGTTCCAGTAGTAGTCTTCTAGTTCTAGGGCTCCTTAGACTATATTTTGTTAAGAACTTAGATTATCAAGAACATGTTACAGAATATGGTGTACACTGGAATTTCTTTATCACACTGTCTTTCCTTCCAATTGTTTTAGTCTTTATCGATCCCTTAGCAGAATATATCCCAAGGTTCATTATTGCACTAATCTTTTCAGGTATATACGACTGGAAGTTAGTTAATGACCCAAAATTCTTGAAATTTTTGATTTTAGAAGACAGAGATAACCTATTCAATGCGAATAGAGAAGGGATATTTTCATTTATTGGTTATTGTGCAATTTTCTTATGGGGTCAAAGTACTGGTTTCTACCTATTAGGGAACGTTCCAACTATCAATAACTTGTACAAGAACTCTACCATTACTATTGATCACAAAAGGAAATTGACAGGCTGGGCCAAGTATACTACAGTTAGACCTCTTTCAGGGTTATTGATATGGTCTGCAATTCTAATCACATTAGACCAATTAATTTTAGCATTCCATCCACATGCTGTCTCAAGAAGATTTGCCAATTTTCCATACACTATCTGGGTCGCTGCTTACAATGTTGGGTTTTTGACGATCTACTGTGCTGTTGATCAATTGTTTGGAAATTATAAGAAAAAATACAACCTACCTGTTTCGTTAGAAGCAATGAACTCCAATGGTCTTGTCTTATTCTTGCTATCAAACGTTAGCACTGGTTTAATTAACATGTCATTCACTACGATTGATGCCAGTGATTACACGGCTCTCCTAACCTTAGTTAGTTATGCCGCTTTTCTGGCAATAGTTTCTACCATTCTGTATAAAAGAAGAATTTTCGTAAGACTGTAATTCTGGTCAGAATGAATCACATCGATTTATATACATCTTCAAAATTTTCTATGATAAATGCACTATTTTTTTATTATGTTTTCTTTGTTCCATTTAAATTAAATGGTATGCTGATGTTTATATATGTATATAAATCAATCATCTAAGATGATAATTTCACTTTTTTCAATTTTTGCTTTCTTTCTAGCATTTGCCAATTGCGAAAAAATATCAACTTGTGTTGAAGAAGGTTCTCTTTTGACATTAGATATGGGTCCTGCTGTTTGGACTCTCTTTTTATTTTTGGTTGAACTCAAGTCGTTGTTAGTTTCCTTCTTGAGAGCTAGCTTAATATTTGTACTACTAGAGGCTTTCGCAGGCTCTTTCTTTGCAGATTTTTTAGTCTTAGTGAATGTAGTCTTCTTGGAAGGTTCTTTCTTGACAGTAACTTTCTTTTTCTTTGATTCTTTTCCTTTTGATTTTGGATTTCTAATGGCATTTGCTAGAGTTCTTGCATTTGAAAAAATAGGTCTATTATCTACTGTCAAATCATCAGGGTTATGCAAGATCTCAGAGGCTGTAGTATCTTCCAATTTTGTCTTGGGTATGGATATTTCATTATTTACGGAATTAATTGATGTTTCTGTTAATTGAATTGGAGTCGAAGTTATTCTTCTTGCACTTCTCCTAAATTGGGCACCTACCCTTTCAGAAACCCTTTCATCTGGAGATGGTCTGGAAAATGAAGAGTCCAATTTGGAGGTTGAGTTTGCACTTAGGGTTATTCCTATGTTATTATTCAACTGCGGCGGCGGTGCAAATTTCTTTGTCGGGGATTCAGGTGCTCTGGTACACGGTGCAAACTGACGTTGCGGGGATGGTGATCTTCTTACATTATTTGTAGGAGCACATTTCCTTCCAGGACTTAGTTGTAACGATTGTTCTCCCAGAGTTCTTTTAGTTGTAGAGTAAGAAGGCGCATATTGCTTTTTATTGTTAGTTTCGATCTTTAAAGCAGCAGCTGCAGTAGTAAAGCTAGAAATAGCATTTGGAGCAGGTAATTTATTTCGAGATAGATCCAACGAAGCCATATTTCTAAGTACATTTCCAGCCCAAATCATTGATTCTCTTCTGTTCTCCACAAATTTTGAATAATCCTTAACTAATGTATTAAAGGAGAAATCCTGATTCAATTTCTCTGGTCTTACATTAATTGCACGATATAATTTATTAATATTCGATAATGAATCCAATGCCATTTGTTGATCAGTTAACGTTTTCATCACCTCTGGAGTGAAAAATCTACTTGGACCACCAAACATCGGACTATTCGATTCTTCCACAGAAGATAGATACAGTAAATATTTTGCACGAGTCTGTGCTACAAAAAACATACGCCTCTCTTCATCCAAACTTTCATCTGCATTAGTTGGCAATTTTGGGTTCTTATCATTACTAGCATCATTCTCTGTAGAACTTTCTGAATCCGAATCCTCTTTATTGTCCGATTGGAACACGCTTGGGATTATCCCTTCAATACAACCTGGGATAAAAACGACTGGCCATTCCAAACCTTTGGAACCGTGAATCGTAGAAATTGTAACAGCACCTTCTTTTAATCTGGAACTCTGACCATTATTTTCACTGACACTATCAGCAGTAAACAATGATAATGAATTGAAAAACGTTCTAATGTGTTCAACAATGGGGGAATCGTGCTTCATATCATCTATCGGTACAGACATTTTAGCATCATTAGGTAACTCTTCAACTTCTTTAGTTTCCAAAAAGTATTTTTTCAAAAGTTGTATATTCTTGTGTCTTGGATTATCTAAATTCGGATCAGTATTACTAGTCTTATCAATTTCTTTATTATTACGGTTTTCTTTACCATCTTGAGATAAATATTCATTTTCCATATCGGACATCTTGTATAAAGTATCGAAAATTTCAGTCAGAGCAGTCGTCTTGGTTGTGGTACTATAGAATGTATCTCTACAGGATTGAATCATACTAATAAATTTAGTAATAACATATTTTGCTCTACTGTTCATACCAAGGTTATGTTTCCCTGTAGATATTTCTCTTAATGTATCCATTGCAGACATTGATTCTTTCATTTGTTGTTCCTTCATCAATGATGTTATTTTTGATGCCGACGTCTGACCCAGACCCCTTGCAGGGTATGTTAAAGCTGATATAATGGCATTTGGATTGTTGTCAGAATATAAACAATTCAATAGGTTTAACATCGATGTGATTTCTTTTAATTCCCAAAATGCATGTCCTTTAACAATCTTATAAGGTATTCGATGTTCAATTAAAGCTGTTTCGATAGATTTAATTTGCCTACGTTGTCGTACCAAGATGGCAAAACTATCATAAGTAAATAGATTAGGTAAAGCTTTCAAATAAAGTAATTCTTTGGCTAATGATGGTCCCTGTATAAAACTTACAGGGAAATTTGTATATACAGGGGGAAAATCACAATCAAATTGTGCTTTTAAAGGTAACCGTTGTTGCCTCCCATGTTGTTGTTGATTAATTAAGGTTTCACTTGTATCAAGGATTCTCTGTGAAGATCTATAATTTTCAACGAGGATCACTTGAGAACAAGGTAATGGGCATTTATTTGCCATTTGTTGGAAATTATATGCAAGGGCATTTCTGAAAGCGTAAATACTTTGATCTGGATCACCTACTACGGTTATACCTCTGGATAAATGATGATTTCCCTTTGCCAATAAGAACATTAGATCCATTTGTATACTATTTGTATCCTGAAATTCATCTACAAGGACATGTTGAATCTGTGGTAAACATCTATGTTTACATAATAAACGGAAAGTAAACATCAATAAATCATCAAAGTCCAAGCCATTCAAAGAATTCATTTGAGATTGATAAGTAGAGTAACAATACGCTAATGCTTCATCATGTGTAGATTGTTGAATATATTCTTCAGGTAATAGAGCCATTGATTTAAGTCTTGAAATCTCACGTTTAACAATCTTTGGGTGTACTGCCCAACCATCTCCATTTTTCTTTGATGGCCTACATAAATTTATCGATCTTTTAAACGAAGTAGCATAATCTCTAATCTGATCTGGCATCTGTTGAATAGTCTCTAATATAATTTTATCAACTTCTTTATCATCTAATATATGCCATCCGGACGTTAATCCAATCAATCCACCATATCTCATTAATATTCGAAGACAGACGCTATGGAAAGTTCCAATAATTAAATCATTCAAAGGAACATCATGATTTTGAAGCAAATCTTGCAAACGTTGCTTCATCTCCATCGCAGCTTTGTTTGTAAATGTCGTCACCACTATATTTTGAGGTGGAATGTTGTAATGTAGTATTAAATGAGCCACTCTAGCGACCAATACTTTTGTTTTCCCTGTCCCTGGACCAGCAACGACCTGCAATGCAGCACTAGGGTCAAACTGCACAGCCTGCCGCTGTTGCTCATTCAGTGTGTCCATAGTCTGATAACGATCGGTCTATGCTTGTTTAAGTGGAATAATACTGCAAGCTAGTCAAGTGTGCTATCATGATCTCTCTAATATACATTTTATCTGTGTGTTCGTATTTTTTTGCCCTCATTAACTGGGGGAGATCCTCATCGCTTTGTTTGTTTACAATTATTTTTCGGGTTTTGGCACGAAACAGATATAACGCGTGCCATAAACCCCCAAAATATTCTGAAATGAAATATTAGGGCTTCTGGAAATATTTACTTGGGCAATATTTAAGATCAGCAAACCCTCAAATGGAAAGGGCAAATTTTGAGGAAATGCCTGTGCAAAATTGACACATTTGGATTTGGGATAGTGACTGCACACAGTCGGTCCAGGACAGAATGGGAGGACGAAGAGATAAAAGATAGGGCATTGATATATTTCCAGGGGGGAATGAAACCAAGGACAATACGACACCAATACACGAGTGAGAGCCCCCATCTAGACACATTCCTATAAGATTACAAGGTTAGAAACATTTAGAACTAATGACAGCAGGTATCTCGAGTACCTAGAAGGTGATTATAAATATGCAAAGGTTCCCGAGTGATTCTACTTGTTAAAAAGACAACAGCAACAACACCGACCGGACAAGAGCTTCCGATTAGCAACTCGATCATTGAATACAAGAAACGTCTAGTAAACTAGAAAATAATGTGTATAATCTTTCAGGAAATGTGAACTCTCGGAACAACCCAAAAATGAAGACATTTTCAAATGATGTCAAAATTACAATAGTTCAATACAAATTGAAGCACAACTTCAATGGATAATAGGTTATCTTGGATAGACACAACTATATCTCGCAAATAGCCTCAACACACCCTAATATACATAAATGAATACAATTGGAACTGTCAGTAGTGGGGCCAATCACTAATTCTACTCAGTGGACCTTTTCGACCGTCTTTTGCGTAATGACGGTAACAACTTCACACTCCTGTCTCATTATCTCTGGATATTTATGCTGCCCTAGTGCATTATTTATAGAGTTTACATTGTACTGTGCTTCGTTTGCGTTGTATTGTTCTTCTTCTTGTCCTTTCATTGTGTTGGTCGACTTTTATTTTTATTGATACTTCATTCGTTTCAATACGGAGCGGGATTATTCACGCTTTATTTGTTTGTTTCATTACGCAAGGACTGTTTGCAATGATGACATGATGGATTAGATGAACAATAGATGGGGGACTGTACTATATACATTACGTAGATTATCGATGATAGTACTGATATTATTATTATATATATAAGTGGAGAGGTAGTTGCATATACACAGAATTGCATAAACATACTCTGAGAAGCTCATTAACGAATTATCCAATGCAATTATGGCAGGGTCGATCAGTACAGAAACCTCGGTGGATTCTGCTCTACATCAAGCACTTAAATTCCATAATGAACGTGTATCTATCATTAATGAGGATCCGTCATCCAGAACGTTTCTATTTTGGTTTATTGTATCGTGTTATTTCCCTGTAATTACGGCTTGTTTGGGACCAATTGCAAACACTATATCGATTGCCTGTGTTGTTGAACGATGGCGTAGTAATGCTATAAAATATGTCGATCATGGAGTAAATGGGGTTCAAGCAATTCCGGTAAAGATAGCTGATCCAAAAGGTATATTTGCAATAAACATTTTATCCCTGGTTTTTGGATTTATTTCAAATACTGTTTTGATTATGCATTTTACAAGAAAATTAAGTTATTTAAAATCTCAAGCAATTAATATTACAGGCTGGTCATGTGCAGGCTGGTTACTATTAGCAGATGTCGTCGTCTGTTCTAAATATGATATGCCTCATGGATTTCATAGAACTATTGGGTTTTGGTTTGCTTGTTTCACTTCAGGTCTATATTTAGTATGCGCAGGGACATTATGTGTGCATTTTATCGGATTCAGATTAGGTAAATACCCTGCAACTTTTAATTTATTTACTAATGAAAGAAGTATCATCTTATTTACAGTACTATTATCCCTATGGCTAATTTGGGGATCGGCAATGTTTTCAGGTCTATTAGGAGTGTCATATGGTAATGCTCTTTATTTTTGTACAGTATCTTTATTGACGGTAGGGTTTGGTGATATCTTACCCCCGAGTGTGGCAGCAAAAATTATGGCTTTAATATTTTCTGTGAGTGGTGTTCTATTATTAGGTTTAATTGTCTTTATGACAAGATCAATTATTCAAAAATCATCGGGTCCAATTTTTTATTTTCATAGGTTAGAGACCATTAGATCAAACACATGGAAAAAAATTGATAATGGGAAATTAACTTTAACTAATAAAGAATCCTTTGAACTGATGTCCAAGTATAAACGTTCTTCAAAGCTTAAAGAACATTTATTCTCTTTAATGGTCACTACAATTGTCTTCCTAATGTTTTGGTTGCTTGGTGCTATGGTATTCCATTATGCGGAAGGTTGGTCATATTTCAATTGTATATATTTTTGTTTCTTATGTTTATTGACTATTGGGTACGGTAGTGATTTTGCACCATCTACAGGTGCAGGGAGAGCATTCTTTGTAGTTTGGGCAATTGGCGCAGTTCCATTGATGGGTGCAATCTTATCTACTTTGGGTGATGTTCTATATGATACAGCAAATAAACTAGACAGTAATTTTGCCAAAAGGTTCGGATTCGCTATAAAATATATGATTGTTAACACTGCTGAGAGGACTGTTCGGGCTGAGAGAAATCATGTGAAACATCATAGCCATCATCGTCACCATCACCATCATCTGAAAACGCGTAAACTATTTGTTACACCTAATGCTATTGTGGATTCTGTAGATGATGCACAGGATGTGGATGGTACACCAGAATTAATAACCGACTTAGCATATAATACAGATAATGATACCGATCCCCCTGAAGACGATAATGATACAGTTTGTAGCACTACAGGTGTTGCAACGACGATATCACACCCTCAGGAACAGAATATACATGATAAGGGAGATCAACAAAGTGATGAAATCGACGAAAGTTTAAAATTTAACGGATCAGAGTTGATGGCCAATAATACTAGTAATGAAACGGATCTTGAGGCTCAACTGGATGCTAATTCACGTCGTAATAGTATGAAGACCAAAAGTTCGCATGGTAATGATAGTCGGGTGTCCGATGATTCCATTGACCCCTTGGAAGTGGTCAATTTATTGACCGATAAAGATATTACACAGACTAGAGATGCTTTGTTTTATAAATTGGAAGATTTACAAAGACAATTACTTGATTTAAGAAAATTACATCAATTATCTATTACAAATCCAAATTATTCATTAAGTTTTCAACAATGGACAAACTTAAGAATTCTTAATCAACATTCGCTCAATGAACAAAATCATAGTACCGAATTAGAGGAGTCAAATTTCTGGTTATCGGCAAACACGCCTTTAAGGTTCCCATTGAATGAACCCCATTATGCATTTAATAGATTGTTTAGACACATTGACTTACAGATGGATCGTTTGTTACATGATTCAAGAGGTATCATTGCAAATAGAGACCATTTCACGCAATCTTATTTTGGATTACAAGATGAGCCCTTTCTCAAAACAGTAACGAGACGTAGAGCTTTCACCAACCAATCACTACCTACACATTGGAATGAGTCCACAACTAGAACTGTACATCCAGACAGGACTTTTCTGAGACGTTCATTGTCAGGAAAAGGGGACGATGAATCATTGGCAACCTCAAATTCCAGCGATTCTGAGGATTTCTCACCAGAGTCATTTCCTTAAACTGATGGAGTACATACGTATAAACACATATATAGTATGGACATATTCATACTGGCACATTGCATCATATATACTTATAAATATTCATGGCATATAATAATTAATATTTAACATCATACGATTGGATTCAAAGGGACATTATATATTGAACTATATATATATATATATAATAGAAATGAGAAGTAAGAAAGCTGTTCTATTTAAGAAATATAACCATGGATGTCTTACTTTCGAATGAATAAGAATAAAATAATAATACACATTTCATATATTCTGATGATGTACTTGTTAATATAGTCATTAGAGCAACAAGTATAGTTATATCTAAGCTCTTCGTGAAGCACTTTCTGCGGGGTGGTCTTCCAACTTTAAGGCTTTAAAGTTCCCCGTTTTCTTCCGCCCTTTGATGTCTTAAATTTATATATATATTTTTCCTGTTAGGAAGGTAATAAATATATATATAAACACACACAACTAATTTATGAAACCTCAGATATAACAAGAGAGATAAAAGGACAGAAACTACTACTATAACTATCAACTTTTTATTAAATAAGATATCATTACAACATTATATAACAATATTCTGTTTTTGTTAGTTTTATTTAAACGATGGCAGGTCAAGTGGGCGGTGTTTTATCAGGAGCTAATCCGTTTCATTATAACTCAAGCTCTCCCTTAACATTATTTTTATTCCAAACATGCTTGATCCTAGCGACTTGTAACCTTTTGCATCTTTTCTTTGGAAAATTACGTCAACCAAAAGTTATTTCTGAAGTCATTGCAGGTATAATATTGGGTCCAACAGTATTTGGTCAAATACCAAATTATACAGAAACTGTATTTCCTAAATCCTCAATCCCCGGCTTAAACCTTACAGCTAATTTAGGTATTATCCTTTTCATGTTTTTCTTAGGGTTAGAAGTTGATACAGCGTTTATGAAAAGACATATGAAGACTGCTCTATCCATGGGTTTAGCTACCCTAGCTATACCATTTGGATTTGGTTGTCTTTTAGCAATTCCGTTGTATCATAATTATTCTAATAAAATTGATTCAGGAAGAGAAGTTAAATTTACTGTCTTTATGGTGTTTATTGCCGTTTCGATGGCTGTCACTGCATTCCCTGTACTGTGTAGAATACTTAATGAATTACGTTTAATAAAAGATAGAGCTGGGATTGTTGTATTGGGAGCTGGAATTATTAACGATATCTTAGGTTGGGTGTTATTAGCTTTAAGTGTCATTTTATCAAATTCTGAATCAAGTCCAGTCAATACTGTGTACATATTATTATGCACATTTGGTTGGTTCTTGGTTTATTTCTATCCTTTGAAATATGCTTTGAGATGGATTCTAATAAGAACCCATGAATTGGATAGAAATAAACCTTCTACTTTTGCCACTATGAGTGTCTTGTTTATTATGTTTATATCTGCTTATTTTACAGATATTATTGGTGTACATGCAATATTTGGTGCATTCATTGCAGGACTTGTAGTCCCCAGGGAGAATCATTACGTCGTTAAACTTACTGAAAGAATGGAAGATATTCCAAATATTGTATTCATACCAATATATTTCGCTGTTGCAGGTTTAAATGTCGATTTAACTCTTTTAAATGAGGGGAAAGATTGGGGTTATATTTTTGCAAGTATTGGGATTGCTATTGCTAGTAAAGTATTTTCAGGTGCAATTGTGGCGAAATTACATGGTTTATTTTATAGAGAATCTTTGGCAGTAGGAATTTTAATGTCTTGTAAAGGTATTGTGGAAATTGTTGTTTTGACAGTTGGTTTGAATGCAGAAATTATTAGTAAGAAAATATTCGCAATGTTTATTCTAATGGCTTTGGTATCAACCTTTGCTACTACTCCTTTAACTCAATTAGCATACACAGAATCGTATAGAAAGGAATTAAACAAGACTTTGGCAAAAAGAGATACAGAGAATGGAATAGAAGAAACAACGGAGGAGTCAGAATTGGATCTTAAAGAAGAACATTTGGCTAATACACTTTCCTCCTTTGAAGATTTGAAATCATTTCATGTTACAGAAGTGGTAACAGTATTAAACACTACAGATGCTATATCGACTTCCCTGGAATTCTTAAATTATTTGATATATGATAATACTCATGATCAATCCAAATTTATCAGTGCTCAAAGAACAAGAGTATTAAGTAATAGTTCAAGTCATTCTACATTAAGAACAAAGACTAAGAGATTAAAGCGTTTTTTGTCCAAGAATACTACTTCTACTATTGATGATAATGAGACAGGTCTTACTGTCATTGAAGAAGATGATCTGGGTTTTGATTTTTTGGTACCATTAAATGTTATTCATTTGAGACTACTGACTGAAAGAACAACAGATTTATTACAATCTTCAACTCTTTATAATGAAGAATCTCATTTCACACCAAATTCAGATTCAATTATAGGTATCTTTGATATATTTTCTCGTTTAGGAAAAGTTCCATTTTCAAGTGAAGTTATTTTTTCAACAATTAGAGAAAAAGCATTAAACATTAAATCTTCTAATATCAAAGAGGGAAACTTGGTCTTACTTCCTTTAAAAGGTGCACTTTATGAGTATAAAGGATCGATTGCATTGAATGATGAAAAATATCAGAATTTCAATCATATTTATTCTCATTTATTAGGCATCAATGAACTACCATATAATTTCTTCAACACATTAACAAATCTGAATGCAAATCTGGCAATGTTGATTTCGAATACAAGTAGTAAAATGAATGTCAATAGATTTTCTTCTAGATATTTTACTTTGGTCTTACCAAATGAAAATTTTACTTCTTCTGATTTTTTGGCTTTGTATATTTTCCTGTTAATATTTTACAGAAATAGAAACAAACAAATTAATAACAAAAGTACAATATTTGTGAATGAGAAGAATTCTGGTCTTACTGACACGTTATTCACAACTTTTCAGAATTATGAATGGATGAATGAAGAATACGTCGAAATTATTTACGTCAAGACCGAACATAAAACAGTCAATGGTATTATTGGCACGTCTTTTGTTGAAAGTATTATAGAAAATAATCTTTCAATAGAGGCGAAAGAACGTTTAGAAGAAACGACATTCATTATGGCCGAGCCATATTTCCAGTCAACAGAACCATTTTCTGATGAGGTGAAGTCTGCAATATTAGAGGGTGCTAATTTAAGATTTGACGTTTTAGTCGTGCACCATTATACCTGTAATATTCGAAAGGATATCACACCAACTGAATCTGATAAAGAAGTTGGCGGTAGTGCCACCTGATTTGACTCTTTTTTTAATCCACTAGAACTAAGTTCAATTCGCATTTTTAATCATTATTCTATAATATTCCATACTATCTATCACATATATATATATAAAACAAATAAATAAATCATCACATATTGTTGACTTTTGTTCCTTCGCGAGATGAAATTCTTAATTTAGTGGAATTGATTTTATCATTCGATTTGATAAAGTTATAAAGTGCTGTCGAATCAAAAATGTATTTGTTACTTTCCTTTAAAAATAGATGGCTTAGCAATTCATCAGCTGTTGGTCTCTTCTCTGGATCAATCTCAAAGCAAGCATCTAAGAATTGTCTTCCTGCAGTAGATATCAATGGCAATGTATCATCAGGAATAGGTGGTGCAGATTTGGATTTCCCAATCTTAAACATTGCAGCTACAACTTCCAGATTAGACCATGGTCTCTTTCCTGCAAACATTTCTAAAACAACACAACCAAGGGCCCAAATGTCTACCTTAGCACTATATCCTTGTTTGGTATCCACCATCTCGGGAGCCATCCAAAAGACAGTACCTCTCATAGTCATATCCGCGTTGGAATATATATCCTTAGATTTCTTAGAAATACCAAAATCACTAATTTTACAAATACCATCTTGGTCTAGTAATACATTATCTGCTTTCATATCTCTATGCAAAATACCGCGCGAGTGAAGATAGGCTAGACCTTCTAGGACTTGATAAGTAAGGTACTGAATTAAAGGTTCATCAAACCTACCATACATTCTGATAAGAGAACCAACAGAGCCTCCTGCCACATATTCAAGGAACAGACTATAAATATTGTCTTTGACCTCAAAGCCAAGATACTGGACTATATTCGGGTGATCCAGATCTTTTAATGTTGAGACCTCAAATTCTAAGGCCTCAACCATGTTCATAATATTTTCATCTTGTGAACTATATTTTGGTACTTCAACTTGTTTGACAGCCATCATTTCACCAGTTGTTGCATTTAACGATAGATAAACAGCACCAAAGGAGCCTTTACCTATCTTTTCCCCCTTGATCCACGCAAATTCTTTATATTCACCTTTTGAGTTTTTTGCTTTATTGATAGCAACAGCTTGCTTATCTGTAATTTCAATAACCTTGGTACCCCACATTTTAGTATTTTGTCTCTTTATCTTCATCGATTGTTTTCTCTTCTCACTAGCTTCGTGTGCGATAGTTCTGATTGTTTTAGTCCTTCTAGGTGTCTTTAGACGGTTCATGTTGTTAGATGGAAGTGATTCAATCTGCGAGTCAGATTCAGGTGGCGCAAATGGATTATTTTGTGAAAGATTAGAGACTTGGGAAGACTGGGAAGACTGGAAAGACTGTCTCATAGAAATCGGAGATGTTGGTGTTAATCCACCTTCAACAACCGGTTTATCCAAATTAGCGCTTGGAAAGAATTTCTCCAAATTTTGGTAAACCACTTCTGGTGAAGGTCTTAATGTCATCTTACGAACCAGTCCATCCTTACCTGTAGTAGGGGTCACTAACACTATATCAGAATCAGTGTCAATCTCTTTTTGGCCTTCTTCAGTGGATGGACCATTTCTCTTATCTGAAGCATTAGACCATATAATATCATCAGATGAATCACTGTCATAACTATTATCGTCCTTACTGGACTCTGTTTCAGATAGCGGAGGTGCATCTGCAAAAGTTATATCATTTTCAACAAACACATCAGCAGCACTAGCAGATGATATGATTCTTCTTGAACTCCCCCTCTTTAATAAACCAGGGGATGGTGAACTGAATATAGAATTTGAGGTCGAAGCCACAGAATTAGACCTATTAAGATTTTGCTTGTTAATGTAAGATAAAGTTGGATTAGTATATTCATCTTCTGACTTCTTTTTTCTGGTAATATCATTAGCACCTTTATAAGGCTGGGGTACCAATACTTGGGTTGATGCAGGAGTGTAAGATGACATGATTGTATCAGATGTAGGGCTTGTAGTTTCTACAGGTACCTTAGTTGCGCCACTAGGGATAGGTCTTGTCATATTTTTCATTTTGCGCTTAGTACTTGTTCTTCTAATATTTGGTTTCAAATTTGTATGACTCGAGAGTGAAGTATTCCTTGGTGGAGAAACATTACTTGGAGGTTTTGGAGCATTCCTCTTAGGTGCTAATTCAGCATCTAGGTAAGGTGATTCCCTCCTCTTATTAAAATCAATTTCGCCAGTATCATCTTTCCGTAGAACATTAAAACTACTCTTATTATCAGAGTCTAATTGTAAAGTACCTTTTCTTATTTTGTCTGGTAGATGTAAGTTGAATTTTTGTGCTGGCTTAGATGTCATGGTTGGCACCGTAAATTCGTCCGGAACTTGCTCTTTAACATTCCAATAGTTCGTTTCTTCAGATCCGCTATTATTCAATACAGCATTATCATAATAATAACTTGGAGTTTGTGGGTATCTACGAAAATTGTTACTAGGTGAGTGATCTTCAGATGAAGTGATATCAGATGATGAAGTAACAATAGAGACATCATCAGTAGTACCATGTATACTACTTGTAACAGATCTTACCGAACCCTTACTCTTCACGGAGCGCAAAGTATGGTGGATATCGCTTGATAATGTACCTGTTCTTAGTCGATTTTGAATTTTGCTATGGTCCTTTATATAAAATTGTAAAGTGCTACCCTTGAAGGAGTTGTTAACTAACATGTTGATAATATCGTCAGTAAGTGGCGATCCGATATCCCCTTTAAAGTTTGTCATATGAACGCACATTTGTTTGATACCAATGTTAAGTTTTGTACAAATAATATCTTTGAAATCCTCTGGAGAATTGAATTGATTCGTTGGGAATGGAATATAACTTTTGTTGTCTTTAGTAATAAGAACGTAGGTTTCGTGTTCTTCATTTGTTGACTTATTGCCTGGAAAGTATTTTAAATCTATATCAAGAACAGATTCCTTAGAAAGAGGTTGTTTTTCTTTGTCTTTTGGTAAACTAACAATTGGAGCATTATTCAAAGAATCACTTTTTGGAGATTGCTTTTTAAGAGGCTTTGAAGATGTAGTGGAGACGCTTGGGGATTGTATATCATCATTTAACTTCCCTGGTGTTAAAGTAATCACACTTGAGCTTCTCGATGGTGCCACAGGGGTTGGTAAAGTCGAAGAGGAGTAAGGGCTAGAAAATTGACTCCTTCTCTTCAGTTTTCCCCAAAGATTCGATTTTTCTTCTTGTCCGTTGGATTTGGTGGGGGACAAAGATGATGACTCATGAGTTGTCTTTAGTTTGCTTGCTGAATCAAACGATTTCCTCTTTGAATTATCTGATGGACTTTCGATAGACCGAGGTTTTGTCATAGTATTGTGTACTTTATTTGTATTTGGAGACAATCCACTACCATTTTTATTGGTGACAGATAGATTAGAATTTGATGAATTGTTATGTGAAGTACCAAATATTGCATTCAACAAAGATGATTCAGACGAACTACTTTTATGGTTTCTCCTAAATATATTTGGATATGATGACGGAGATAACGGTGGAGTATTTGATTTACTTGAAGATGCAGTTGATTCAATAATGGAAGATGGTCTCGATGGGATCTTTAACTTAATATTTGAAGTTGGATTAGTTGATTGGTTAGTCCCTTGTTGGTGGTTATTATTTGACACAGGTGTTGATGGTGTTAATGATCCACGTAATGATATAAAACTTTTTCTGTAGAGAACACTAGCACTTTTAGTTTTCTGGTGGGTTCTCAATTGAGGATGCTTGGATTTGTCTTCTGTCTTTGAAGGACCAGTCTTCTGCGGTGATATCATAGACTCAGATGCAGATCGAGAAGAATTTCCAATCTCCTCCTTTGCTTTATTCTTGATTGATTCGCTTGAACTTCGTGATGATTTCAGTTTGTCGGATGACCTCACTCTGTTATGGCCATGATTATGATTACTGTTTGTTACATTCTTTGTCATAGTTTGTTTTAATAGCGTTTGAAATTTCTTATATGATGCATTCTTAGATTGAGGTAAGTATTTCTCGTACACTGCAAAATTTTCATAAGCAAGTAGTTTAATAAAGTTTTGACCTACGAGTCTATGTTTCTTAAAGGTTGAAATCCATGTGTCAGGAAATTCATGGAATTTTAACCATGAGACTATACGTTGTATATTCCATTCGTCAGGGTCTGTAGGATTCCATGATAAAATTAATTTGTCGAATGAAAGACTGTTGATGCTATTCCCTGATGATTTCCTTGATGAGGATTGTGCAGAAAAATCTCCTCCGTATGCATTGGAATTCCTTTGAGAAGGTTTTGTAGAGCTTGTATGTAATGTTGACGACGATGAAGCTGTCATAGAAGGGCTATTGGTAGCATTTTCAGCTGAGTAACTGTCAGTCAATGTATGGACCTCCAATTGATCTGATAATGATCCTAACGGTGTCTTTTCTGATGAATGGTATTGAGGATCGTAACTGAGTTTAGAACCATTAGAAGCAATTGAATTTCTGAGATCGTTTGTGGAATGTCTATTTTTAGCGTAATCGTTACTAATTCTGTTGTGATTTTTTAAAGTTTGACCAGCAGACTTCACTGAGGATGCAGAATGTGATTTGGAATGATTAGGATTCTCAGGTACATTCACCGTACCTTTCTTGAGAAATGTCATGTATAATCTTCTTGCTATAATCACCTTCTTTGCCTTGTGTTTTTGTCTTAGTCTTTGTTTATGCTTATGTTCATTGAATAATGTTTGTTCTTATATATAATATATACGGCTGTTATGGTAGAAATTTTCAGTGCCGAGTAAAAATTGAGATTCCATGAAAACAGTCAGAAGAACAGATTGGTCAAATTAAGAGTTATATCTTCTGCTTGAAAGAATGGATAATAATTTCAGTTATTAGTTTGGACTTAGTAAAAATAGCAAATGACATATGAGGTTTGTGTAATTTCCCAATGTTAGTTGGTTGTTTACTCAAGCTGTACATTACCTTCAAAGATTTCACGGTCTAGATATTCACGTGATATCTTACTTCGTACATGTTATTGTAATACTATCTTAACTGTTTACATGTGAATTGTGTGCTATTATTTATTTAATTATTTTATTTACAAGTTGTAAATGTTGGAAAGAATACATAATGATAAAACGAGAGAAGTGGATAGTGGGTTAAAGAAATACACGATGTCTATTCTTCTTCAAAAAAACGAAAAAGCAATGCAGTATGAACTAATTTACGGACAACTCGCTGATTCTAATCATAGTCAAATCACCTTTCCTCTTTGCGTGACGTACTCTTCTATTTCTTCTCTTAGTGACTTCTCTGATTTCAAATTTCCGTTTAGACTTCTCGAGAACAGTAGCCTTCAGATTATATAACGAAGGATCTATTGGTTCATCCACCAATTTATAGTTTCTGGATCCAATGGTCCTGACATCAGTAAGGGCTAATATATCTCCTACTTCAGCATTCTTTACTTTATATGGCAGAATGACTTTATCACCTTCTGTAACAACGTAAGGTCTACCATGAACTCTAAATTCAGCATATAGTTCATTTGACAGTCTCAATGGGGTAATATCTACAGGTCCAGCAGAGGCAGTCTCCCTTAAAGTATTATTCTTGATATATGTACCGTTATGACGGACTAACATCCCCAAAGCAATTGCAGGCATCCCTGTTATCATACATTTTGTTGGCTTTACCGTAACAGCAACAGCACGACTTAAACTTCTTAACATCTTCTGTCCTATGATACTCTAGGAAATGAAACTACAATATCCTTCAGTTTATCGTTATTATGCTGTCCCCTTTCTCTTCTATACATATATATGTGTGTGTGTGTGTGTATGTGTATTGGGTAAACGACAAATCCTTTCTTTAGAGATAAATTCGGCAGGTTCATTTGGCTTTGTCGACCAACTGACAGCGTTGAATCTCCTGCTCGTACACAGTGATTTTATTGAAACAATTTATAAATATAAATATATATATATAAATATGTATATAAATGCATTTATGTACATTGTAACGATCTGATCCAGTTATTAATTACTATCTTATATTCAATCCTTCTTTTGGGATATTTTTCCATCTCTTAACGATTTCATCACTTTGCGTCTTTGAACGACCATATGTGAGAACAACATTGGTAAACCTGGTAAATATGTCAACATTGAGAAGATTAAACCATATTTTGCATACACCGAGTATTTCAATTCAGCAATTGGTAATGAACTATAGATCAGCGTTAGTTCACTGGCTACCCCGGTTGGATATAATACCCAAAACAAATTGTATCTTAATAACAACAAAATTGTTGGAGGACCTGCCTTGAATGACAAAGTGAAAAAATAGAAAAGGTATCTTACGACTTCTGTAATAGACCATGCAGTTAATAATGTAACATAAGCTAATGAACCAGTAGCAGGTGTTTCAGGAAGCAATTGGAAAATACCGATCACAACGAGTAATCTGGATAAAACTTGAGCTGCGGTGGTTACGATTGGTGAACGAACAATACCTAGAGCTGAGTTCAAGATTTCGATCACTGCACCACATTGAATCAAAATGACAATATTTTTAGTCTTGTAATAGAATTCTGGTTGGCCTAATGCAGGGTACCACGCAATAACAGTATACAAAATGTACGCCCATCCGGCTGCAGATACCAAATTATAAAGGGCTAATGGTGAAAATGCGTTCGCAGTCTTGGATTTACTCATAGCAAATATATTTAACAAGGGAAGTTATTATTGAGGCAAAACAACAGAGATACTCGTTCTCTCTTTATTGGAAGATGTGACAATCGCTGTTCTCAACTAGTTGGTTCCTCTTATTTCATACGTCGGCATAGCGAAGATTTCTGTTTAGAAAATAAATAAATACTTCAAATCAATGGATATTTGTCACAATTCAATGCATAGATTTAGGGACGTTTACAATTGAATGTTAAGAACAAGATAGCAAGCTAATTGCATCTGTATGTACGAGGTCGGAAATGGAGAGCTTTCTTCCAAGACAGTGTTAGCACGATAGTACCATTAACCTTATCTTATCAATGTACTCATGTTCAATGTCGTGAGAGTTATTGAAACAAAAAATTGGGAGAATGGTTGATTCCATCTGTAATTCATTCTTGGTCGTTCTCTTTTATTCCAAACTTTCTGAAGTGGATTGTACTATGACCATTGTATATATATCATTTTTCTATGTATAGCCTCTCTCCAGACACACATTTTGTTCAAATTTTTATATATGTAGATAATGATTTTTGAGTATTTTCTGTGAATTGGAGAATAGGTTTATTTTAGAATATTGCCCACACCTTTCATTTGTTCTGCATCCGTGGTTTTGTATACTGTATATTGCATAAAGTTCGTAATTCCTGTTAAAATATTAATGCAAATGCATTGGGTCATTAAGCTTTTATAAAGATTAAAAGATAAACTAGAAATTGCAACGTCCCTCAAGGTCAACAGGTTGACATGGGGGAAAATATTTTTTTAAAAGTATGTATCAGGTATTGCTCTCTTTCTGAATAAGAACTTAATGTTACAAAATATTTTAATTCAACTTTAACTGCATTATTGTACCATTTATATTTTACGAAGACATTCGATATTAAACCTTGGGACAAACGACTTATTGAAGAGTATTATGATATATTTACGTTACAATTTCAAATGACACCCTTTATTTGTTACTCAAGATTTGAATCCATTAATCAACGAGCTGACATTCCATATTTTTGAATTAGGAAACTTATACGACCGTATGTGTTATCTATTCAACTACTACATTCCCTGTCACCCACAAAGGCTCCTTTAAACAATTATTCCATGAAAATTCACTCTTTTGAGGAATGCTGTGGAACTTAACTTCCGCACTACCTGATCATCAAAATAACTCATTCTCAAAGCAATCCGCAATATCCCGTTTAAAACAGTCTTACTCCGTGTTCTAACAAGATATATATATAATAGAAAACTGTAGAGGTCTTCTAATCTTTCAAAACTTTGTCTTGTAAAATGGGGGATTTATTAAAGTTACAGATTTATAAAATTTGCGGATTTGATATTTGGTGTTTATAACAATATTGTTATGGGGATAACTCCCGTTTTCTAAGCAAAGTTTTACATATTTCAATCAGAATCATCGCCTCTCAGAGGTTCTTGTCGGATCATCATCTTTCCATAGCACGTTCTCTTTGCTGGTAGACCGGCACAATGAATAGGCCTCATAGTCGTCATTGACATCCTCGTCTTCATCTTCATCTTCGTCGTTGCTGTTGTAAGCATATTCGTTGTCGAGATTTTCTTCAAGTTCAGCATCACTGTCGTCACTAAGTTCATCATCCTCGAATGGAGACAAAACTTGTGAGTACGCAACATTTGCAACACGGTGTAAATCAGTATCGCTAGACGCTGGTATTTCTTCTTCGTTATCACTGTTATTGGCACTATTATCTGCGCTATTATCATTACTGGTACTACTACCACTGCTACTACTTGCACTGCTGCTGTTACTATCACTACTACTATTACTGGAGTTCTCGTTCTGATCATAGTCTTCATCATCACTATTACTTTTTCTATATGCTGGGTTGTATTGTTGTTGGAATATATCTTCGTCGTGTAATTCTGGAGAAGCTGGATGTGAGCGTTTCCGTAGTCCATTTATCAAAAACGATTTTGAATCTGATTTATTACCATCTGAATTGTTGTGATTGGTTTCTACATCCAGGTACTCGGGTCCATGATCATCTTTGGTTCTTTTGGCACTACCAGTAGTGGTTGTATGCCCCAGCTCATCAGACATGTACTTGTCAAATCGGCTATCCTCATTCTCTGCTCCAATATCGTCTATAACTTTTTCTTCTTGTTCAGTTTCATACATATCTTCAAAAGAGTCATCTGCATCGACATCTATATCATCATGATCGTCATCTTCCTGTATACTTTCATCAAGGTTTCCAGTATTTTCGTTTTCAATGTGTTCATCGAGGTTTTCATCAGGTTGGTCATATTCATTTTCTTCGAGATTATCCATATCGTTGATTATTTCACCATTTTCATCTACTACTTCACCCAAGACCATGTCATATTTTTCTCTTGTAGCCATTAAAGTGGTATTCACGTATTCCTTCCATTGGTCACCTGCAAGAGATTCGGCAATGGTAGGCATCACGAAAGTTAATTTTAATTCATCCAGATAGATCGAAAATTTCACTATTTCTTCAGCGACTAATGTTAGATGACCCATATAACCTAATCTGGTGTGATTCTCTTCCTCTTGTGTATTGCTTTCTTGATCACCATTTATGATCAGTTTTGTGATTTCAGCATTAACTAATAAGTCTCTTATCAAAAATTTGTTGTACGATATCTTTAATGGGCCGTTGAACACTTGTTGGATGATATCAAATACAACATTGTGCAGGAAGTTGTTCCATTTAAAATGGAACAGCATCTCAAGAATTGTAGTAATAATCTGTGTATCAGATAACGCAATTTTCAATTCGTCACCGACAACAGGATTTTCTCTTAATTCCTTCATTGCTTCATCAGAATCGTCAATGACATCAGATTCTTCTATAGTCTCTTGTGTGACATCATCTTGATCCATTGATTGGCTACTATTGAGTTGTAAAGAGTTGAGTTGGGAAGTCATTTCTTCACCATCTGGTGAACATCCTTCTTCCAATTGTTTTTTTAATAAGGCCTCCCTAGCATTGTCACGCGCCTCAATGATTTGAGGTGCTTTCTTCTCATTCAAAAGACTCATGTTCGAACAATGCAATAATTCTGCAACCAACTCACAGATCTTAAATCTTTCAAATCCAACAGGTTCAATTCTTCCAAACGAGGTATCCAAAATAGGTGTGGTTGTTTCCACCAATATGTCATTGAATGCATGTATATTCTCAGCGAAAAGCTTTAACATATGACCCAAATAGATAGGGTCACGAGCATTTGGAGGTTGGGTTTCAATTGTTGTATGCATAACTTGAATGTAATCATAATCAGAATTGTTTTTTCTGATCAGTTCGATTATAATTCCAACACCATTACTCAAACATGTACCACCTTTTAGCATATTAGCGATCAGTTCACTCATTATTTTGTGTGATGCAAGTTCTCTAGTCAACTCATTCGGACCAATTCCAGAAGCAACCTCATCTATACAATTTCCACTGATAGCTATAAAAGCCTTAAGGAAATCTGCTGCAGCACACTGTATGGTGGCATCACAATCAGGTCCTAATTTCTTTAACAGCTTCGGTATGAATTCTTCTTGCTTCAATTTATGTAAAACACCATTAGGTTCTTCTGGTTTATCAGTTGATATGACTTTCAACAAGAAATCCATTAAAGGAGGATTTGTGATATGCAATAGACATTTGTCGACCAAAATCTGTTGATCTTTGATAAAATTAATCATTGACGTCATGTCTGTGTCCAACAAACGTTCATTGACTTTCATGAAATAGGTAGATATATCTGTAGATATTGGTTCTTTTTTCTTCACGACAGACCATAGTTTATTTAAGATTTCAGGTCTTTCGGTAAGGGCTGTTGATATTTGCCATACATCAGCAGACAAAACTTCAGCAGCCATATTTGCTCTTCTGATAACAGCATCTTCCTCAGTTTCTTCACCATTTTCTCGTTCCTCCTCTTCTTCCTGTTTCTGTTGCTCATCGGTTTTGAATATTTCTGTTGTTTTGTCACCGTCATTGTCATCGTCAGTCTTTAATTTGTTTTTCTTATTCCTTTTATGTTCTGTAATTATATAATCTATCAGTTTGTCTAATACTTGTGGGTATTTCAAATATATCAACAACTGAAAATTCGAACACATCAACTCTGTATACATTTCTTCATCGTCTAATAATTCGTCCAGAACATCTAAGTTCGGTTCATAATTCTCATATTCTTCCTCTTGGTCAGGTAGCTTTACAATTGTGGTATCGTTCTCTTTTTCACTATCTTGTTCCGGTTCCATATCGGAATTTTCGGAATAAACGTTACTACCAGTATCACTGGCTGTTTTGGTAACTTGCTGACTGATATTAGATTCCTCATCATCAACACCTTCTTTATGAATCTTTATAAATGCTCTATTTAAAATTTTGGAGACGGACGACTCAGAAGAGTAGTCCTGACCAAACTTCCAAAAAGAACCTGACATTATCGATTCTATTGGGTTAGTTTCAGCGATATTAATGACTATTCAAAAGAAGCGAATTTTTCGGGTATACTACCTAAAGATGTGATACTAATCGTAAAAAAAACTATACCTGGATGGGATCGTAAATTAAACTTGTATAGACTTTTGAAATTTGAGTTATTTTAATTTTAGCTTATCAAACTATTCAAATAAAAATTAAAATAAAAGCGAAAGATAAGCAATTTCCTGGACTTCTTCACCTAACCAAGAATGAAAATCTTTCTTCACGTAAACGCTAACGTTTTATTAATCTTACTAATTAAAAAAATTTAAAAGATATGCAACACTGGTAATTTTACCTCACAAATAATGCAAATATACACCTTTATGTCGTTCTCTATTACATATATATCAAACTTATCCTCATCTGGAAAACAGCTTAATTTGGTTATATAATGGGAGTTCATGGTTAACTCCCTTGCGACGCATGGTTCGTCCGATGCCCTCAAAATTTTTCAATTCGTGTAAAGTTACCCGCACGGCTACAAAAAGAAGTCTATCTTACTATGAATAACAGTTGATTTGGATATATAATTACACTTTCGTTTTTACCTAGATATATAGATATGTTATGGGGCGTATGTAGGCCTGTTTCACTCTTTAGTCATGGTATCTACCCATCCAAGCATGCGGTCTACTATTGTAATGAAGGAACTATCGGCATAGGGCAAAGCAGTGATTCGGGATTTTACTCCCTCGACGGTGAGAACAGCACATAATTTAAACAGAACTTGTAAATTGAGTATTTGGAAACTGTCATAGAAACGTTTTTCGTACGATATCTTTTCCGCTACAAGTTTAAGGACAATATCAAAATCTAATATTTCATCGCCATCTGGATTGTAGTCCATAAATATGTCCAGAAGGGTCTTGCAGCTGACATAATCGAATCGATTAGCCATACTTGTACGTAAGCAAGCAAGGGCATCGTCCCATTGCCATGCTCTTAGCATTGTAAGTCCTAATAATTCCCATTCTAATCCGCTATATCTTGCTTCTTTATTCTTTTGTAGAGCTCGGCTCAATTTCAAGTCGTCATAGACATCGAGAAATAATTGATCTAACCATCTCTCTGTGATACGTTTTTGACGTACTTCCATAGGAATATCTTTATTCGTTAAATTTGGAGAACCTCCATGTTCCATGAACTCCGATTCCATAACAAATGACTCTCCTCTCAATTTCAAAAGACCATTCCATCCAATTCTAGAAATTAATTCCATTAACAATTGTACAGCTTTTCGTTGAAACCAACTATACTGTTTTGCCACTGTATTTCTTGCAAGTAAGCTCGCATCTCTAATGGAATGAACTTCCTGTGGTGATACAAAATTTATCAAATTGCAAGATTGTGGACCATACACAGGACCCACCTCGATACAGGCTTCATCCCAAATTTCCTTTATGTAACCATCATGAGATTTATTTGGCATTACAATTCTGCCAAACACTACATTCTTTAATTCATTGTCCTTCCAGTTTTTCATTGTGCTTGCTAAATTATTAAACTCATTTGAATCTAGCCCTATATTGTCACGCATTTTATCACCTAATGGCCTTGTATAGTAATTATATAACGTTGATTTGCCATATATCATTTTCTTGTCCCTGTCAACAACAGGTAAATTTGGCATTGAATTAATAGCAAGTAATGCTTTCCCATATTCGTTTTTATGGATGTAGCATTTCGCTAGATAATACCAAGAAGCAGGTGAATCCAAGGAAAAGTCTGTAGAGGTCTTTGCTACTGAAAGAGCTAGGTCATAATCGCCTCGTTTAATTAAAAATTTTGCCTGTAGGTTTAATAATCCTGAAATGCAATTTAATATTTGTGGGACCCTGGGGTCATCTTGTTTCATAAGCTTTATTACTTTCATCAACGGATTGAGAGTTTCATGCAACATTTTAATAAACTCCGCATCTCGTTCGTCATATTGTTCTAATATAGCAATGTGAGCTATCTTGTAGAACAAATCATTTTCCATATCAGAATGGCATAGCTCCTTTAATATTAGCAATGCATAATCTACTAAATTAGGAGATATTGAAAGAAAGGTTAATAATGATCTCATTAGGTAATTTTGGAATACAGTTGGTAACATATGCTGAGTTGTATCCCACCCTGATTCTAAACATCTTGGTAAAAATTTGCAGAATTGTCTTATAAGTCTTTTCGCACCAAATAAGCTAGTATTCTCTATTGCCAATGGATATTCGACTAAACCTGGAAGTTTTCTTTCGGGATCCTTGTTAGTTATTAAACTCCTCATACAGCAACAAATAAAGGTCTCCTCCCATAAGGTCTCATCAATACTTTCTAATGCGTTCAGTGCTAGGCAGTCGTAAGCTTTGATTTGTACAGAACCATCGGTCTCATACCTGATTCGGATGTCTATCTTACTGAAAGTATTATAACAACAATATGTTGCAATGTGATTCTGAGGAGAGTTTAGCTGATTCAATTTCAACATCTTTAGAAATGCCACCGGCATAGATGGACTTGATACATCAATACCAGTTATATAAAAATATTCTCCAATCTCTTCATCGTGATAGCTGTCATGTAAAGTCATATGGATCATGTCAGGAAGTCCCAGCCCTGGTCTCTCAAGCATTGCCAACTCACTAAGAATATTGTTCCGAAATCCAAGACTTTCACCAAATTTTTGCTCTAAAATTCGAGGAAACTCATCAAGTGCATATGGAGATTCCGCTAATTTTGTTGTGGAACCATTGGTGGAAGTCTTCTTTAAGTTTTGAACACTGCCGTTTGCTAATGTTAGTTTACTTTTACTCTTTTGGGAATCCTTGGACTTGCCCCACAAAAAACTCATGTTGACGTAATGAAGTCACGTAATTGTCCTTTTAACTATAGTATACAATGTATAGTGAGTAATTGAATTGAAAGAAATGTAACCAAAGATGATTTATATAGTCTTTATGAAGCTATTGTTAGTACTATATCCCGAGTTCTATCTCGGCTTACTTGTTGTTTCAGTTAACTCGCGAGATTTAACGAAAAGTAAATACCACGAATTTCTGTTGATATGTAGACAACTACCATTACAAAGAGCTGTAATACAAGAACAATTTGATATTATCTATCATCTTTTTCATGACTTACAGATTCCTACTCTATATAGATATGATGAACCATTTGTTTCTGTTATAATATATGTGTTTTATTTATGAAATGAAGATCATAGATCAAAGAAAAATCACTAGGTTAATAACTTTGTCACTGAAAAGGATATCGCAAGAAAAAGTGTCTTATTTTGCTGCTTATCAGATATTCGGTTTTCAGTGGAGTAGTCTAATAAACTCACTATCCACTCTCGTCTTTTCTCTGGGGTACCCCATTATGGATTAATGTGTCACAAGAATTTTCTGTTCAGTTGTTTGAATTAATGCAGTTCATTATCGTCATTTTAATTTTTTAACAACAATCGTATCAAAGTCAAAGGTGAAATTTGATAAGCCTAACAGCACAGGTTAAATATAAGTGACACCCATAAAATATTCAAATACATATTGTTATTTCAAAAAAGTAAATGATTCAGGGAGTGAGCTCCTGATCAGAATCTAATAGTCAATAAATGGTATATTTTGAAAAGAAATAGAAGCAAACTCAAGGGGCACCTGCAACCATTAATGTTCGATGCTTCATAGTGTAAATGATACAAAACACTCATTAGTAGGATGGTCATATGTATCAGAAGAATACAGTGATAGGAAACAGAGAACAAAAAGATTCCAAATCTTCGGAACTAATAAGGAAGTGGAACAAAAAAATCTTCCCCGCCAGGACTCGAACCTGGAATCTTCTGGTTCGTAGCCAGACGCCGTGACCATTGGGCCACGAGGAACAAGATTTTAAAAATTTGTTATATCTGAAACTCTTGAAACCATAATATAAGAATCTAACAATAGGCCAACCCCTCAGTAACATAACAATAGACGAACCCCTCAACAACTTAATTATAGTAATTAAACTGTCGGAAATATATTATAAGAATGATAACAACCAAGGTTAATCCCTCTGTTGAATATGTAGCGGCAGCACTAAAAAGGCTAACATTAGCTTAACCTAACTGAAGGTGAAGGTAGCTAATATAAGTAGAATTTAGAGTGTGCTGCACTGCCGTATTGACGGAAATTATGTGAAATTGAGATATCTCAAATG